TTTTGATTTCTTAAAAATAGGAAAATTTTCAAAAATTTATTTATAAATATTAACCAATAGGTAAAAAATACCAATGTATTTTTTATTTCTAAATAATACGCACAAATATATGTACATTGTCATGTCATGCGATTTGATAAAATCAAATTAACAATTTTCATTATTACGTGGAAAATTTTATCCGTTAGCAAACGATTTACCCACCCAAGTGGCTAAAAATTGAAAAATAATATGGAACAATAACATCTCTTTTCACACATATTTGCCATTATTTACGTGGATGACAAAGAAGAGAAATTTGTTAGAGCGCCAGTATTTTTCTTTGCACGGCTCGCTCGTGATTTCAGGCAATTACGTTTTATTAATTAGTTGTATGGAGATATGCTCTGTTTCGTTTAAGTACCTAGTTTCTAATTTTAATCGTTTTTATCTCTTCGATGTCCTATTTGATGCGCAATAAGCCGCGCAAAAATATATTATTATCATATCCTCGAGTTATATACTTGTCCAATTGTACAGCAATTATTATTTATCAAAAATTCGAAAAAATTAAGTTTTTATTTATTGTAACCAAGCGCTGATGCTTATTCGTTCCGGTTCTATGAAGGCCTCAAAACAAACCGAAATCTTTACCAGCAACCCGTCAAATGATGACTTGGGGTTAGTTTTGGATTTTTTTTGCAAACCCTGTACCGCAATCGTAAGAGGATTTACTTAGCGGCGCCTCCAATCGTTATCTACCGAAAAAATTTCGCTACAATAGATTCCTTTATCAGCGGCATTGTTTTAGATTAATCTAAATAAAATTCGCAATGAACGAGTTTATTTATAACGAGTGACTCGATCTTCCGGGTGTATCCTCCAAAGCTGTCGGTCAAAAGAAAAACATGGATTAGAGGGCAACTTGCAAAAACTCATGGCTATTCGCAATACAATACAAACTTTGCATTTAAATATTTTCGTATTATTATTAATTAATTAGTCTAATTAATTAATCTTTTAATTATCTAATAAAATGTAAACAATTTGTAATTTAGAAAACAAACAAATTAAACAACATATCTTTACCTATTTTTGCATTGCCTTTATTTTGATCAAACTAAAGTTGTTCCTGATATTTACAAAAAATAATTCATGCGTTCTTTGTTTTAAATTCCGGACTCGGTACGTTTACCTTTATATAAAAATGACGAAGCGGCTTCTTGCTGTTTTGAATGAAATTACTGTCTAAGATTATGCGTCCTGCGTGGTCCAAATATTGGCTTTAAAAGCTTTTTGAAATATGATGATATGATGCCTTGATACCTTCCGAGTGTGTTCTTCTTAAAAGAAAGAGAAATTAAATATTTCTGTATCAAAATCCACTGCGTATTGTTTTACCCCATACCCTTCCGGTTATGGGCCGAGTTATTGAATTGGTAAGGACTAGGAGTAATCAGTGAATATCGACTTTGTGTAAAATTGACTTGAGCAGTTAAAAATGGAAAATAAAAATGCCAAAACACGACTCTCGACCACGAGGTAAAGTTGAAAAATGAAAATAGAGATACAAGTACCGAACCTGGCTTTAAGTGACAAGAAACCTCCGATATATCAGAATAAGTTTCGAAAAGTGCCCCAAAATAATCGGTTTCACAAGTTTCACAAAAAAGCAAAAAAGCCGAATATCATCATGGTGGAGGTCTGACCATTTTAAAAGAGACAGAGAACTCTTCAAACTGCCCAGCTAGAATTGAGCGAAGCATAAATGCAAAGTTCTGTACGTATGCTTGGACGTTAACAATACTTCGAAGAAAACAACATTCATTTTGGACTCTGATGCTTCAGATCACATTATTAATCGATCTGACTTAAGTGTCCATTTCTCAAGTCTAACAACTTGTATCAAAATATCAGCAGCAAATAGTTAACGGCAACAACATCGCGATCGTTTACAAACGCCCCTCGTAACGTAGGTACCTGCTGAAAGTTAACGCGTCTCGTCCTGTACCGAGAACTCTTAATAAAGATTAAGTAAAACAAACGGGCGCAGATAAGATAAGTCGCCGCGGTTTGTCTTGAGCTTCGTCGTGTTCGCCATATCGGGTTTCTCCATTCGGTCGGCTGGAGAGTGAAAAAAAAGTGATCGGCGTAGCGACGAAAAAAAAATCGAGACGAATTCCGGCCGTTTAAAAACCAATAACTCAGTTTGAGTTCGCGCGAGAGGCCCGACGCGTGGGCTAATGTGATTTGGGTGTTTGTGTTTGAGATTTTGAGATTGAGGAAATGGTTGAGCCACATCGGGAGATCGAAGACTTATTTCCCGAATCGCAAGAAGAGTAAGTGCCGTATTTAGGACACCTTGCGTCAGCTAATCGATATCCATTTTATTCCTTTCAAGTGACTTGGAATAATGACTTCCGCGTCTCCTATACCACTCTGCGTTCGAAATTTTTTTTTACTGTCAAGTGCCCAAACCTTTGAGACTTGGCACCGAACGACTACTCATGTTTCTTTCTGTTGGATACCACGTTTGGTACTAGTATATTATGCATCAAGTGCATAATTTGACTGGCCAGTGACTTAAAAAGTTTACAGAACGTGTTGCATACTATACTTTTTCTACGACTGTTAGTTTTTGGGTACATTTTCGCAAAACAACGCGAATACTTCACTGACATGACCGTCGGAATTGACAAACGTCAACGTCAAAATTCAAGGCGTGGGAAATATTTCCGAAAACATCCGATTGCTCCCAAATCCGTGCGGTAAAATCCCGGAAATGTCCGAAGTGGCTCGGATCCGTCGGAAACGAAACAGAAGTGAAAAGAAAGAGGCCTTATTACCAGTGCCTAAAAATATTCAACAGTCTCTCGGACCGGCTACAACTATTGGTATAAATATCGAGGTAAATATTTTAAAGAAGGGAATATTTAACATTCTAGTCAAAGTTGAACCTTATACTTTTATACTAATATAAGGAAATTGCTGCAGTTTCCAAAAGGAATTTATTCAAATTCAGAATCTTAGCGCGATCTCTCCATATGAGAAACGTAACTAAGTAGCTTAATCTCGATGAAAAATGTACATAAAATCGAAATCACGAAAGATGAATTCCGAATATTTAATTTATTTAGTAAAAAATTACTTTTATAAAGAAAACCATTTAGTTTTGGTTAGTTTTAGACTTCCGATCACTAAAAATTATGTTTATTAAGTATTTAGAAGTCAAAAACAACCTTTAAAAACAAAAATTTTGACCGCAACGGTCAGAGAACACCGAAGACTTTGCCACCCCTCCCTAAAGCCGTTGTCTTCGTCTACGCAGGACCGCAATAATTATATCGCAGTTTACACGAACGTTGATTTGCTTTAAGAGAAAACAGGTTCTCATTTTACGCGTACAACCCTCAATTATAGCGCAGGATCGCATTGTATTTATGTTAATAAAAGCCTTTTATAGTCGGGCTCGCATTTTTTTAAAATCCAGTTCCTGCTTACATTCCATACGCTTGCGTGGGTATATTAGTCGCTTTTGACTTATAGTTTATACAAAGATCTCCACAATGGCGGCAACAACTATTTGACTTGCGTTTAGTTGGTAATTGGTATGGTATACTTTTCCCTCGGGCACGTCCCCTTTTTGGCGCTTTGAGACCTACTAGAGATATAGAGGCCCTGCTTATGCTGATAAAACAGCTATATCTTTCAACATGCACCTGCGCGAGATTTAAAACCTTGTTTTTAACCAATTCCAGATACGGTATTTTTAGGGGAGTATTTTCTCAAAATATGCCTATATCTTGTTAAATGTTCTGTGAAACCGAGTTAAGTGATTAAGTTAAGTAATTTGATTTGCAGCCTTAGTAACTCTTGTGTTAGGAGAAAATACATATTATACATAGATATTGCAGGATGTACCGTTTTCGAAGAAAATGGATTTCAAAAATACACTGTATTAATTCATCAAAAATTGAAAAGTAAGCCTTGAAACCGGATTGATGGGTTTGTTATTTGTTAATTTTCATTTGATAGCTCACTAGCAAGCTACTTTTATGAAAAATAAATAACATTAATCACGAAATTTAATTCATAATTTCGTTTACATTAATACATGAGAATACATAGGCGCGATCTAATTGCAATATTTTGAGATGCATGAAATATCTCGGAGCGACTCTTCCTTATTTGATTTCCAGCTTTAGTAACTCTTCTGGACTATCTACTGGCGTAAATTGAATTACACATATAGTGGGTTTAAGTCGGGCGACCGAGCTGACCAATTATCTAGCCCACTTCCACAAAATGTTAATCTAACCAGTTTCTTAAACCCTGCGCAGAGTGAGCTGGTGCTCTTTCAGCATGATGGAGCACCAGCTCCAAACGAATACGAATGGAAATATTCTCCACCAATTCTGCCAGATCATTTGTAAAATTTTTTTTAATACTTTCGGATTCCGACGCAAGGATTAATCGAGAGTAGGTGTAAATAGTTTAAAAGGACCTATTAACGTATTACCCTGGGTAAAATCAATAACAATTTCAACAAAGAAAACACCATAAATGTCAAACCGACAACTAAATCACAATCGTATCAAGTCTGTTTCGAGCCCTACTATTCAATGTTTGATGAATAAATAAGATGCTAAACGTTGTATTTTTTGAAATCCAGTATCACTCCACTTTTTTTCAACCTGTTTCCGAAACATTAATAAAATACTCCGTAAAAAACCATTTTCATATGTTTTTATAGAAAACAAGGGTGTGTTTTTGATGTAGAATATGCTGTTATAATTTGAACCACTCATTTCGGGACAACATGCATAGAGACCTCGTTTCTATTGTTTGTGAACTATTTCTTTGGAAGAATTGCATTTTCATCAAACTGTCAGTTACCGCATCCCCTATTATTTTCAGTTGGTAACACTTTCATCCCGCGTACGGCGCAAAATCGAAATCTGTCTCGCGAATTTTAAAATTTTCCGACCTGGCGCGTTAAATATGAACTTTTATATTCGCAGATGTGAAGATTTCGCGGACACAATGGACGAGGAGGTCGAGCCAGGGTCAGAGGAAGGTCACCTTTTGGTGCGTATCCACGTGCCGGAACTGAACGTCCAAAAGTGCCTTCAGTTCCCGCGGGACCAACTCGTCTGGGACGTCAAGCAGCAATGTCTTGCCGCTTTGCCCAAGGTACCTTTTTTCTAGACGGTTTGACTAGGAAAGGTTTGCACTTGAGGGATATTACAGATTCAGATATATTTTACAAAACCATATCGTTATAATTTTTTTGGCGGCGATTTCAGGTGCGGTACTTGAACATGTCAAGTTGTCGTGAGGACTTTTTTTTATCTCCCGAATGTGTCTCCGAACTTTTATTTTTACGTTGTAGGTGGGCCAAATTTTGACTCAAATCGTCTGCAATAAGCTAACGCTTCAAATTATAGAATAGGTATCCAATAATAGTATTAAAGAAGACCCGACAAGTTATCCATAAACAATAACATTTTGCGTTTTATTTCATCAAATCATAAATAAGCAACTAGTCAATTTGCTGTTGTCAAATGTCAACAATTCCAAAGCATGCTGGGAAACTACCCGGAACTTATTCGTGTATGTTTACAATATGATCTAAATGTCCCCCCGTAATCGTTAAGGGCTTGTCGGTTCTTCTTTGAATATAGAATGTCTTTGGGGATACCGTTTTTTGCGCTTTTACACTGGCCATAAACAGCTTTGATTTGGTTGATATGTATAACGTAAATGCAGGTTTTGCTCAGTTTCTGCGATACGTTTTCGCCGCGCTTGAAAAAAAAAACGGCATACCTAACGCGCTGGTCTTAAATGGTAATTTTCGTTCATTCAGATAATAATATTTTATAAGGTTGTTCGGAAAGTCATTTCGTTTTTTCCCGTCAGCGGACTTAATTACGTTTTTTCGAAACCAACTTCACACTTAAGCCGCATAACCATTATATGTCTTGAGAGCTGATATTGCAAGGCTTGTGTGTGAAAAAGTTCTATTAATTCTACGCAGTAGTTTTTGGTTGGTGCCCTTTTAAATATGGAGAGCAATAAGCAGCATTTTCGTCATATTTTACTTTTTTACTTCAGAAAAGGTAAAAATGCTGTCCAAGCGAGAAAAAAAATAACGGATGTGTATGGAGAAGGCGTGTTAACAGTACGCCAGTGCCAGAACTGGTTTGCAAAATTTCGATCCGGCAATTTTGATGTCGAAGATGCACCACAGTCTGGAAGGCCGGTCGAAGCTGACAAAGATGCGATAAAGGCATTAGTTGATGCAAATCGGCGAATAACCACACGAGAAATCGGTGAGAGATTAAATTTGTCAAATTCGACTGTTTATGGCCATTTGAAAGGCATGGGCTTAACCTCGAAGCTAGATGTGTGGGTGCCCCATGTCCTTACGGAGCGAAATTTGTGCCATCGCGTTGACGTGTGTGATTCGCTCCTCAAATGTCAAGAAAATGATCCATTTTTGAAGCGGATTATTACTGGGGACGAAAAATGGGTTGTATACAACAATGTTAAACGCAAGAGGTCATGGAGCAGAAAAGATGAACCGGCTCAAAGCGTGTCAAAAGCCAACATTCACCAAAAAAAGGTGATGCTCTCCGTTTGGTGGGATGTCAAAGGAATCGTTTTTTTTTTAGCTTTTGCCAGACAATACAACGATTAATTCAGAAGTCTATTGTCATCAACTGGACAAATTGAATGATTCACTTAAAGAGAAGAGGCCCGAATTAATCAACAGGAAGGGTGTAGTGTTCCACCAGGATAATGCGAGACCTCACACAAGTTTGGTCACTCGCCAAAAACTTTTACAGCTTGAATGGGACGTACTGCAACATCCACCATATTCTCCAAATCTGGCGCCTTCCGACTACTATTTGTTCCGGTCCCTGCAAAATTTTTTGGATGGCAAAACCTTTACCTCAAATGAAGATGTCAAAAACCACCTGAACCAGTTTTTTGCCAGCAAGGACCAAAACTTTTATGAGAGGGGAATTATGTTACTGCCAGAAAGATGGCAAAAGGTGTTGGACCAGAATGGCCAATATATAATTTAATAAAATATTTATTCATTATACGAAAACTGTCTTTCATATTCCCCAAAAAAAAACGAAATGACTTTCCGAACAACCCAATATAAATCAACTTCAAAAAAGTCTTGATAATTTTTTGTTGCTCTGACTCAAAAGCGATGAAGCATATGAAGCCAAAATATTAACGAATTAAATACTTAAAGATAATTTCAACCGGCATAAGTTAAGGGTATTCAAAAATATGAAGAAGATTTTTTTTAAATGAAGATGTTACATAGTTTAAATATTGGTATTAATCAAATTAGCCAGAGGATAAGACGAAGTGTTGTTGCAAAATCTTATCTAGAATTTTTGATTTTTTTTTTAATTTAAAATATAACTAATGCTTTAAAAATTAAAACCCTTTTTTTATTTTGACTGAACTGAAAGAATTACCTATCGAAAATATTAGCCTACGCCTACCACGCCGTTTTGAAATGAATCAATCAATGAGTCGATCGAAAATGTGGTGCGAGCTGAACAAAGCCGACACTGTAATGTAGTGACACGATCTTTGAATAAAACAATCTTGTGCTTAATGTTAGGGGTCGTATCAAGCACTAAGTACTGTTGTGTATAATTTACGTTTCCTTTTTTTTTGGTTGATGGCACTCAGGTGGCAAGCTGGTATCGGGTAGGTATAGACGTTGCGCATGTTCTGGCATGTTCGTAGAGAATAGTTGCATTTTATATTAAATTATTTATAAAAAAAAACGGATAAGTGACGTATTTCTGACCAAAAATAAATTTAAAGCGTCCCAATAAAAAAATTTTTGGATCTCCGCCCCTGGCCGAGAAAGAATCCGAACATTGCGCGAAGGGAGCTGTTTACCTCGGATCGGGGAGGGGATAGTTTCATGGGTCAGCGGTCAAGTGGCCCCCGCTGAGCCCCACCGCGTTGGGCCTCGGAGAAACGATTCTTGCTATTTTTACCATACTTTTTTCCCTTGTGGCCGTTTGGAGTTGGAAATGACGTGTCATTATCATGGTGCATGGTACTGCCTGTTTCTCGTTTTTGTTAGTTTGCTACATTTGCTTAGAAAACCTGAATTTTTCCTACGTTGCTGTAAAGTTAACCTGTCAAAAACCCTGTTTTAAAATTCACTCAAAAGACGCAGGTTTCTGGTGGTAAGTTTAAAAAAACCTCACCACCAAGCGAATTTCGGTCTTATTTCCTATTTATCACTTCCTTTCTGGCCCTGGGTCACTGTTCTCGAATTATTGGGAATGGTAATGTTGTGGGCAAATAGCCAAAAGTGTGTAGCTAAAATGCGAAAATGTATTCTTGAAAAATTTCTATTAAAAAAAAAAGGAATTAAAATTATAACCTACAACTGATGGCATGATATTAACAGTGCCGATTTTGAAAAGAGTCTGGAGGTGATTGAGATTGACGCCTTACAGGTTTCTATCAGAATATGTATTGAGCTATTTATACTAATTAAACTTCCTTTCAGCAACTTGTGGGTCTAATATTTAAGGCTTCTCTGTTATACATGAAATCATTACATCTTTTTGGTAGGCGCTAGGCGCTTGTTGGCGGTAAGCTATCTCAAGGAAGTGTCATAGTGGCATTACTTATTCGACAACTATCTCAGAAGGCGTTAAATGTTTGAACGTGGTCCAAGGTCGCTGCTGGCTTCCTGTGTTTTAATTGTGTAGAAATAAGCAAGTATTTGGTTAGTTTGGTTAATTTCTTGTATTCTGTTGTTGAGTTGATAGAGAAGACAGCAGAGGGCAAAAGTGGGAGGCGCCGTGCGCGGACTCTCAAGGAAAACCGACGACGACGGCGCGGCGCGGCAGGCGGTTCATTGCCAAGTTGCGTTGGAAACCCTGTAGCGAAAAACAATCGAAACGGCAATAAAACACGAAGGAGATGTAAACGCAATACCGTCTGTACGGCGTTCGGGGTCTCGCGGGGCAGTTATGGCTTTTGTTAGGCCTCGCGTTTTATGATAGTGGACGGGCCAAGGCATTGAGCGCTTTCGATAATAAATCAATTTTAAAACCCCGCGGTCGTTCCGAGCTGTAAATCAAATTTAAAGGCGCTCGGTCCTATTGCGCCGATGAAAATTTATTGTGTGCGATCTACGCAGTCGGCGCGCGACGCCATTTTTTAAAGGGCGGACACGCGGCAGTTTAAAGATCGTTTGGTGTGTGCGGTAGGGCTGTAAAAAACCGCGTTCTCGATAATTGTAAACAAAACATTATCAAAGTGTACTGAATAATTTATATAAGTAGCTTCACCTGAGGCAGTCGCGCGACTACCTACCTCCTTCTCCGCGCCTCTGTTGCGGCTGTTGCTTTTTAAAATCCATTTCCGAATTCCGCGTCATATTTTACACATAATTCGTGTAGCATACTGGACACCGGACTCTTACTTTTTATAGGCAAAAGAATAATAAAAAAGGAAATTTACTTTTGAGGCACAGGTATGCAGCTAGTACCAGTAAAGTTCGTAAATTTCTACAATTACATTTCTGTCAGTAAAGAAAGTGAATCTAAATGAAACCCAGAGAATTAAAATTTAAATTTTAGAGAACTCAAGAAAAAATTTGTAATTTGTTTAACGCAAGATATCCAGAAAGATCATCTACGGCCTGGTCGTCCAAAAACTAATGCGAACACATCGTACATCTTCTGAAGTAGCTTCAAACAACAATGTTAGCGAACGTCAAAGTTTAAAAACACCGAATCTTGAATGCAGAAACATGAATGTGAAACGTGAAATGTTTCACTTTATCGTCCAAACTTTTTGTATATGCTTCATATCCCAGTTACGCGATATTTGGATGGGCAATATGTAGCGGATATTTACCATCAACCGTCAAGAAAAACATCTGAGGTTATAAAAAAAGTTTGAACCGAAACGGACAACAGATTTACCGAGAGCGAGGCAACTTTATATTATTTTGTAAACCTTGGCATTACTACCAGAACCAATCCCTTATACAGGGTGTCCCATAAGTAATGGGACATGTTTAAATAGGAGATTCTTTAGGTTAAAATCTTTCGATTTAACGAAACTTACCTTAGTGCGAAAGTTGATGTTAACCGAGATACAGGGTATCAAAGTTGCAATTTCATGTTTGATTTTTTTAAATAATTCCTGAAATAATTGAGATTTTTGCACAAAATTTGATAATTCCCGGTTTTTTGACATGAGAAAGTCATTTTCGTGAATAATTTTGGGGCAAACTGTAGACGGCGCTGCGTATGATATTTTCCGTTCATTTGATACTTCCTAACTCTTTTGCTTCTTAGTAGTTTTTATACCATTTTGAATTTCGCTCCGAGTCGCCGTTTTCGAGAAATTTGGGTTTGCAATTTTCAGTACATCATTACATAAAATTTAAAATTTCATTTTTTGTACCATCAAGTTTAAAACAGCCTAGATAATGTATATAAACGAGCTAATATGGTGGTATAGATCTAAAGCGCGTTTTTAATGCTGCTTATTTTGAGATTGTTACAACAAAAGACCCAATGAAATTGCGATGTCAATGAAAACAATTTTACATTTTACAATTTACATTTACCGTGATGCATTTAGAGACAGGCACGTGTTTTAAAAGACTGTCTGATTGTAAATAATAATTCCTCGTTTCCAGCGGCATTTTCAATCCTATATCATAATTCATCTCGAGTATGAATTACTTCTTTATACACTACCGACCTCATATACCCCCGATAGGATGAAGTCTGGAATCCGGTTACATTGTTTGAGACTCCCACGACCAATCGATCCAAAAGTGCACCGGCGCGCCATCTTGCATGAAAATCATTGTTCCTCTTAACTCTAAGGATAGATCATCCTTAGAGATGGGTTCTAACATGTAATTATCAGTTATTCTAACCAAAACTAGCCAAACGTTTATTTTAAATTCCTGTTGACGTTCATTTGTCAAATGGGGATCTAGATCGCACGCATGCTTATTTCTAAAGTTATGCGTGTAAATGTTGCTTCATCTGTAAGCATTTTATTTATTTTATTAAAGTGACATGTATAAAGTTTTTCTTGGTGAAACGAACCATTTTTGCCGCTTCTGTTATAAATTTGTGCTTATTATATTATAATCGTGTCTGTTTTTGTCAGAGCCTACTTCACACTATTTTATTGTCTTTTATTGTTCATATGAAAATGTTCAATTAGATGCAACGAAAATTCCAAATGCGAATTTTTCGAAAACGGCGACCCGGGAGGTGCAAAAAAGTTATGTGATGATGTACTGAAAATTTCAAACCCAAATTTCTCGAAAACATCGACTCAGGGCGAAATTCAAAAAGGTATAAAAACCTGCATACACTAAGGAGCAAAAAAGTTAGGAAGTATCAAATGCACGACATACGGCAGCGCCCTCTACAATTTGCCTTAAAATTATTCACGAAAATGGTTTCTGCTGTCAAAAAATCCCGATTTGCCAAATTTTTTGCAAAAAGCTCGATTATTTCACGAATTATTTGACACCCTGTTATATTGTGCGTGAGAATGTGCAGATTTTAAAAATATATCCGGGTATAATCGTCGTCGTCGTTGCCCGGCGAAAAATACGGCGGCAGACACCGGGTGGGCGGCGAATTATTTAATGATAAGTTTGCAATACAAACTCGTACGTAACGGGCCCCGCCTCTGATACAAACCCGAACCAGAATTAAATCGTAACTATAATCAAGACCGCTTCATTTTTTATTTTTACCCTCGCTCTGTGTCTGTGTGTCTGTGTGCGGCACACGGCATCAATCTTAGAAACGGTCAGAGAAATAGCAGCGGCGACTCGTCGCCGCACTACGCCGCGATAAGACAGTTTCGTTGGGTGACCATGTAACCTCAATTTTTGGCATGCGCAAACAGATATATAGGCAATTAAAATGGACCGGTAGCAAATTTTTTCTTTTCTAGAACTTTATTTTACATAATACGCGTTTTTTTCATTTAATCTAGCCTTATTTTGTAGAAAAAAAATACCTACACTATTAACAGTTCTTATCAAATCAATAGGAACGTTTGATACATTTCAAAGATTGGAAAATTCGGAGAATTTATGCAATATTTTTAATTTCGATTAGGTTTGTATTTTACAGTAATGTGCTATAAACATTTTATATCAGGCTAGCTTGGTATAGAAAAATTAACGTGAATAACATGAATAATGCGTCAGATTTTACAATAAAAATAAAACATTAACTCATTTACCCCTTTTTTTTTCTCGAAAATAATTTTTAAGTATTTATTTATCATCAAATACAGCGTGTTAAAATGACGTGCATGGAGCTTTACCATTAACAATCTAAATATCTACGAAAGAAGCTATTTTAGGGAATCTTACGTATTCGTGTAGGCTGGTATTTGTACTACTGTTGTAGTCGTTCAATTAGTGGAAGAAACCAGGAAAATTATATTTACGAGAAAGTAACTCCTAAAACTAGCGCATCTTTTTTTTTGTATGGGTATATGCAGTGGCAATAATTTTTCTACTATTATAATATAACCGATTAAAAATGATGAGATATTGGCATCTGGTGCGTCATAAATTTGTTCCAATAATTTCATTTATCGGTAAGCTGATACAAAATGTCGACTTCGCAAAAAATTATTTTGTTCCGAATCCATTGGCTTTTATCTCAGTTCAGAAATATGTGCAAATATATATTCAAAAGTAATCGCTGTTAAAATCGAAATGCGTGATAGCATGCGGGCTGTTTGTTCCCCACATCCTTGCTCCTTCTGCTCCCCCTTGGATATCTCTACTTCTATGCATCTTAGTACCGAAATTGCTCCTATGGACATTGGCTCGCCGCTAGAGCTAACCTCCATTTTTTCTTCACGCAGGAGCTAAAAGAGAGCTTCAACTATGGCTTGTTCTGTCCGCCAGAGAACGGCCGGGCTGGCAAGTTTCTGGATGAGGAGAGACGCCTGAGGGATTATCCGTTCAACGGACCCGTCGGCTACCTCGAGGTAAGAAGTGAAAAAAAATCCCACTTCTGAGCTGTACATTACATGGCAATGGGTTTTCCTTTCTCTCGTAAAGTTAAAGTACAAACGACGGGTATACAAGATGATCTCATTGGACGAGAAACAGTTGAAAAGTCTTCACACGAGGGCGAACCTGAGACGGTTTTTGGACTACGTGCAAAATGTCCAGGTGGAGAAAGTAACGAAGATGTGCAACAAGGGTTTGGACCCCAACTTCCATTGCCAGGACTCGGGTGGTAAGTACTTTCATAAGACTATAAGACATGTGTTGAGGGCAATGCTTTTGTGATAGCCGATAACGTTTTAAAAAAATGTTGCGCATATATTAAAATAGTATTACAAAAAAGTGTCTTCTTTTTATCCTTGCAAAAGTCAGTTGTTTCATATCATGACATAGAATGGTATTTATTAGTTATTAGGCTATTTTTACGATTTTTTCTCACCCGATCTGTGAAATTCAAAGTGCCGACGCCTACTACTTTAACTTTTGTCATGTAAGGGTCAAATGAACTAAACCTGTTTGAAATCACATCATGCTAGTCACTGCTTACATCTTACGAATATTGTATCGGTTCATTGGTTATGGGTTTTTAATTCCCAGAGACGCCACTGACAATCGCGACGACCGTCAAAAAACCGGCGAAACTGATCATCGCGCTCGTCAACGGTGGCGCCATCTTGGATTACCGTACCAAAGACGGTTCGACCGCTCTGCACCGCGCGATCGAACACAAGAGCCTCGAAGCGCTCAAGACGCTCCTCGAACTCGGAGCCTCGCCCAACTACAAGGACAACAAGGGGCTAACCCCCCTCTACTTCACCGTCAGTCCTAACGTCGACCCGGTGTTCGTGGAAACCCTCCTTCACGACCATGCCGTGACCGGAGCCCAGGACACTCAGGGATGGCAGGAAGTCCATCAGGCGTGCAAAATCGGTCTGCTGGCTCACCTAGAACACCTGCTGTTCTACGGCGCAGACATGAACGCGCGGAACGCGTCTGGCAACACCCCTCTCCATGTCTGCGCGGTCAACGGGCAGGAATCTTGCGCGCGGCAGCTTCTGTTCCGGGGGGCGGACAAACACGCCCTCAATTACGCCAACCAGACGCCGTGTCAGGTCGCGGTCATCGCGGGCAACATGGAACTGGCTGAAATCATACAGAACTACCGCCAAGAGGATGTCGGTAAGTGTTACCGTCGCAGAATGTGCGACTGGGCCTTTTGTTCACGTTTGGTTAGTTTAGTTTTATCGCGGGTACGGTCGGACACTTTGCTAGGATAAAGTTCTGAGGATTTTTTTCCAATCTTATTTGGAATAAAACATCAACTTATCTTCATAATGTAATAGTATCGTTTCATTTGGTAAACGTGAATCAAGAGTATGAAAAAAAAAAACGGTTTGTCTACGCCTATTGTGACTTCGCACAAAAAGGTGAAATAAAAGCACAGAACCTTTCATTAGTTTATTTTTGTTATTTGATTTAATTTTTTTCGAAATGAAAAGAAACGTGACACCTACAAAAAAAATGGCTCTCAATGGATAATACCATATTTATTTTATTAAGTAGTTTATATCAAAAGTAACACGTTTGAGAGATAACGTTGATTTGCTTAAAATGGCCCAAAAACTCACCATGTTAAATATATTGTTTGTCGTAGTGGCATGAAAAGAAATATGCATTTTTATAATATATACCGGGTGTCTTACTTACTTTCGAACATCTGCGATTGAGACTTATGATTTAATTGAAAGGTATAGTCGAACTGGTCAAAAGTTGAAGACTAATTTTATTTATTTTTTACACCATTTTAGAAACCCAGAAATAATTTACAGCATTTTCTCTCATAGCCCTTAGTGGAATGCCTGTTATATTTTTGAAATTATATTTTCATGTAAGTGTTCCTTAAGTAAGTCATTGAAATCAAAAAATACAGTCCCTTTTGGGAATAACAGTAAATAATTTCAATTTAAAATCTGCACACATAATAGGATGTTTACAAAAATCTCATTCGACTAATGGGCGTGGTTTTCGCGAACAGATATCGTTCAGCAGTGAATTATGCGGTTTAGAATTATCTACGTTATCTATAATATTAGAAACGATCAATTATTTTTAATAGCTCTAATACTCGGTAGCGTTTAAATGACAAAAACAAAAGCTGGAAAGCGATACTTGTGTGACTTTGTAAAAATATTACTACGTTTCGCACCTGATACGAAACGAAAGTGAATGTAATCGATATGTATATTTCCTAGAAGCATTTTTTCGGCGAAAACATTAGAATAACAATTATGTAATAATTTCATCATTTCGGAAAGTACACCATTTCTAGCAAGACTATAGTCGCTGCTCAAGTTATAATCATGTGCATTGGGTTCGGTCATTTTATTATTATTACATTATTTTTGTAACAAGTCTACCATTTTTCTTGAAACGATCTCAAGAGAACGTCAGAAAATACTTATAAACTAAGACTTGAGGGGTAAATTTTAGTTTCTGAAACCATCATTTTCCGTTTTGTCTAATTGTCTATTAAATATTTGTTTCATCAGAAGGTGGCACTGACTGTAAAGAGAAACTAACAGTGGCATATATAATTGGAGAGACCTTTTTTTGTGTAATGTTTTAAAATATCTCATACTCATTGATTATTATTGCACATCAAAAAGATTCAGCCCTGAAAACTCCGGAATCGGAGATGTACTAAATTAGGACCTGCCAACATCGATGACGCCCTTAGAGTTTGTCGGAAGTCGTTAATTACGTGCCGGGTTATTCAGGAGCAACTTGGTGTGTAGATAATATTGAATGTCATGACACAGCACAGAGAGAACTCCTTGTTAGGCGCTTGTGGCATCTTCTTTGATGGTTTACACCTTACTGTCGAGGATTGTCAAACGAGCGCCATCTCTCGCATACTGCGTTAACCTCCGCCTTCGCTTTTTTCGTCGGCACGGTATTTATTTTGTAACGCACATTTAGACGTTAATTATTAAAACCCGATTTGTTATTTCTACGGATCAGTACTAACAACAATTCTCGGGTAATTAATTATTCTTCCGACCGGCGACGACAGGGATTTGTGGATTAAAAAAAAAAATTTAGCGAATCTCCGAGAATTATTTATCAATTAATTAATTCGTGACGTCGAGGAGCGGGCAAACAGTAATTAAAGGTGTCTACTTTATCCTCAGCAATAGTTTCCCAGGCCCCGCGGGTAAATATATATAAATATATAGCATGAGTTTGCACTTTTGATGACATATTTGTATTGTTATTCGTTTACTAAATCTATGGCGGGACATTTTCTGCTGTTTCCCACCGTTCGTCGATTTTAATAATTCTCATCATCGCTTCACTTTTTCAACGATTTAGTGCCTGGTAACTTGCAGCCGACAAACCATTACGAATGGTGAACCCAACGTGTTTTGGTAAGGATTAGGAATTAATTGGTTCTAAACAACCGGAGGATCCAAATTAACAATTACAGTTACATTTTTATTATAACCTTCAAGGTTTTCCTTTGATATTTTTTTATGAAAGTTGCTTACTTATTGTACTGACTACAAACAACTAAAACTAAAAATTGATGAAAACTTTCCAGAGAAATCGATACACCTAAAGCACTTCGATGTCATCTCGTGTTTATTCTCTGTCGCCATGTTGTTTTGGTATTTCTCTCCGTTCCTATTGGACATATAAAAAAAGTTTTCCTGATCGACGCTTTCCCAACAAAGGTGTCAGATTTCGCATAAATTCGACAGTCTTGTAGTTTTAAAATATATAGAATAAACAGACCAATGCACAAAACGTCTTCTGCAACTTCCGCAACTTATTCTATCTTTGATAACTCTCTAATACGAAATTCAAGGTTTTCCCATGTAATCAGGGATAGTCAGAGAGTTATAGTGTTTATTTAAAGTGTTTGTCACACTTTTCTTTTTTGCTTTGGTTTCAACCATTATGTCTCATTTGCATTATTATTTTACTTTTATTCCGACCTATTTTCCCAACCGCTAACATTGAGTGCGGCTGGCAACCAGTAAAAATCACTTCAATCCCACTCCACTGCCGTGCGACAAAATTGGCGTTTCCGAATCCAAATGTAACGTAAACACTGCGAACGAAGCAATCAGCTCGCATTCCCGAATCGATATCCGATTTATTAGCTGGAAAACTTCCAAAACGCGCTGACTGCCAGCGAAATGAGGAAATGGAGTTAAATGTCATCCAGTTTAATATTTTTTTCGCCGAACGAATGATCGTTTCGCAAACAATATGCTGCCCGCGCACGCAGAAAATGTCTCCCGTTTACCATCGTTTGATTATTTAAAATTTCGAATTGCATGTCATAAACAATTTTCAACCCTTTTTCGCACTTTTTGTATTGCAAAAAAAGAAGGCCGCAAATGTTGAAGATTGTTGTGAGAGTTGAACTCTGCTCGCTCAGGAAAATGGCGCGAGTTAACAGCGTTCACTTTGGCCGGGATATAAAACCGCGGGAAATGTGAAAATAAAAACATATTCACAATTCAACGCTGCCTATGTATATTTAAAAACAAAATCAGTGCGCGTCAATATGGCGACTGATGTAGTGTCCCAAACACTACGGAAACAAAAACACTGTATCTCGCTATTTCAGTGCCGTTCCGCGGCCCCCCAAGCTATAACCCGAAGCGTAGATCCGCCATCGGGTGGCTGAACAGAACCCCATCCATGAGTACCCTCGCCTTACCACCTTCCCCATGTCCTAGCGATAGGTCCTCCATACCCTTTAGCTCGGCCAGCTCCAGCCTAAGTGAGGGCAGCAGCGTACCACCGGAAACTGACACGGCAAGTATAGTCACAGGTAAGATCTAACCTCTATTTGTACTACGACTGTGACTATCGTATCGTTTCGAGACTCCGAAAGTGGTTATGTTAAATCAATACCATCATGTTTATCTGGTTTCGTTTAAAATGTGTATGAAAAACACCTCGTATTTGGGCAATAAGTATAAGTCGAAATCAGTAACATAACACATCCTTTTCTAAGCGCACATTGATGATAAATGAAATGGATAAAATTAGTTCGAGTATGATAACATTAACAACAATTTGCCGAAATAAATGTTACTTATTAACAGCGAATCATAAATATCTAATTTGGTAATCCTGCAGATTACTTATAGATGAGGAACTGAGGAAGCATAAACTGTGATGGCCGACTGATGCGGAGCTCCACAGCTTTGCCGGATACTTATATTTTTGCATATATTCAGAAATTAGTGTAGGAGTTCAAAATTATCGAATTAAGGTGTGTTGAATTTGAAACGTTTAAATCACTGCAAGTTAATTTGGAGACATCAGACATTCGATTACGCCAACTGACCTTTTCGTATTTTATGATCCCACCCGTCATGTACGTAAACTGCAGCATAACAAAAAATCCCAGAGAAAACTAATCACATTAATTATTTATTTAAGCCGATGAGGAAAATTAACGTTTACCTGCCAAAATGGGAGCGAAATTATAAAATTCATTAACTCTTTTACGCAAACAATAATTTAAGCGTTCTCATTGTGTTCCGTGGTAAATGTCACAAAACGGAAGAATTTTCTGCATCGGCATCTCGGATTGCCTATACCCTGTCGCAGTCTCGAAATAATCGCAACTATACTAAACTCATTAACCGCATGTTCGATGTGCATTAGGGAATGTCATTTCTACCACCGAATCTGACTGCGGAACGCTTCTTTATTTCTCGGCATGTCCTCCTTCGCCGTCAAATAAGCGAGTTTGAATTTCAAGTACCCCCGAAAAAAACGACATCGTAATTTTAATTCGTTAAATTACGTAATATGGCTCAGTGCTCGCACTGGGTGTTGCAGATAAAAGTCTCGGCGACACCAGCGACATCATTAGCGACAGTTCCGGCGTCGGTACTGCCAATTCCGACACTACCAACTGCAGCATCTCGATACCTGGCAGCACCGTGGTCTGTGTCGAGTCTTACAGTTCAAAGGACAAGGGTCACATCAGCATCAGGGAGGGGGAACTCATCGAGGGTGAGTTGACTCGAAAAAAAAAACGACGACGTTTTTTAAGTTAACGTCAGGCAGTAAAAACGATTATGAGATTTAGAAAGTAACGCGGCTTAATCTTAGGCACAGTAAAAGTTAATCAAACCGGTACTTCGACCCACATAAACACGTCAAATGCCTTTTAAATATTTGCAAATCGGTTTTATTGCGTATTGCGTTAAGCTACAACATACGCCAGCGAAAAACACGTAATATTGACTCTAAAGTAGATAGAGATAGAATCGATGATTTTATGGAAATAAAACAATATTTATATATTATTAGTTTCAGTCATTTTTTTTAAAATACAATACAATATTCTGTGCTTCAATATAATGACTTTATTACACGTAATATTATAAAGCAGAGTAAGTATACTTCTGCATACTTATGTTCCTATTTCAAAAGGTATTTTTTTGCTGCTTTGAAATTCTCTCATAAACTATAAAAATTGACGTTTGCTTTCAAAACGACGCATCATGTCGCATTACATTGTGACGAACTTTGTAAAAATCTTTTATCGTTTCTTCTATAAAAAATATTGATTAAATTCGCATTAATAAAAAAATAAAAATAAAATCGTCGATCTTAAAATTCGTAGTTTCGAATAGGATATGATTTTCGAATTCGGTTTATTTATTAAATGAAAATGAAATTTCATTATTGACAAATATGAAAAAAATGGTATCTATCAAATGCAAAACTAATGAGTTTATTTTGTGTGTTGGCAACTCCTTAAAATTTGAAATTATCTTTAAAAACAACGTTTTTTAAATTTATATTTCTAAATTCTCCTAACAAAAATTTCAGATCTGAACTTCATTTCACTTCCGTTCTAAAACATCCAGATTTAAGAAAGTTTATCTTAAATCTGCTGTCTTCGCAGCAAATAATTTTTTTACCGTATTTTTCAATTTTTTTTGTTTTCAATTTTCAACCATACACACATATTTTGTAAATAACAAAAATTATTATTATTGTTTCAGTTACTGCTGCAACAGATGACGGCTTCCTAGAGGGTAACGTCAGGAGTACCGGTCATCGCTGCGGCCTGTTTCCGGCTCATTGCGTCCAAGAAGTAAAACTGCGACATCATAACATCCAGGCACCCATGATGGTGGCCAGGGACGCGAGGACGCCATGCCAGACAAACGGCAGGGTAGTAGGTAGGCGAGAAAGCACATCCAAACAATTCGCCACCGCTCCCAGAGCCAGGAAGGGGTAAGCGACGTTTGGTTATTTTTATACTCACTATGATGCCGAATCTATATTTTGGTCGGTCGAATTTATCCCTTGACTCTCAACTTCGCTTATTAAACTATGCGATGCCGGACGACCGTGTAAACGCCTTTATAGCCGCCATTTTATCGACAGTTACACGGGCTCGACCCGCGATACCCGTACCGTCGTCCTTCACAAGGGCCGCAAAGGTTTCGGTTTTATCCTTCGCGGAGCTAAGGCGATGTCGCCGCTGATGGAGATAACACCTACAGAAAAGTGTCCAGCGTTGCAGTACCTCGACGACGTCGACCCAGGAGGCGTGGCGGATATGGCCGGTCTGAAAAAGGGCGACTACCTCCTGGAGATTAACAACGAAGACGTGTCGTCGGCCTCACACGAACACGTCGTCGACTTGATTAGGAAATCCGGTGACTTGGTGCAAATGACGGTAATGACGAAACGCCGTCGATACGATCGAGAACGAAACGTTGACGTTCCTCCAGGTGATTTCCTGGGACGGCACATCAACTCAAGGCACGCTGCACATGAGCAGGTCCACCATTCTTCCGGGTGGGATCCAGGAAATTCCAGTCGTGACAAGACAATTCGCGACGTTGCCGCGGAAAGGTAACACGGCGGGGATGAACGGCAGGTCGTCACATGCGCCCCTTCCTCCGAGGAGGGATCCGAAGACGACTCTCAGTATCGGGAGGGCGCGGGCGAGGAGTCTGGTCGCTGGTCTAGGTAAAGTTTATATATTTACCTTAAACAATGATTTTACTTCTCTCTTTGACCACCAGGTGGAGACAGAGACGAGACTGACGATATGACTAAATCTAGCTCTGCGGAGTCCATACAACAAACTCCTTGCGGGACAGGCAACTCGACGCCGGTAGTCCAGCCGAGGACGGCGTCCATCAGGCAGCGTCCGACGTCGACGAGGATAGCGCACACGGCGCTCGAGGAATTGTTCCAGAAACAGTCAGAGAACACGCTGAGCACCAGCTCGTCCACTGTCGGGGAAGGCGTTCATTCTAGCTCACCTTTGAAGGGAAAGGTCTACGCTAGTGTGGCCGAAATGAAACGCAACAAAAACAAGGCACGATTTTCACTCATCCATCACTTTCAAAATTTAAATGGTTCCGGTGGACCCCCTGCAACTACCATTCCTACCTGAACCACTTTGCTCACCACAGTCTTCGCGGTCGCCACTCACATTATATCATTTTCCTTTTTTTTTTTTGTAGCACCCTCGAACGAAATTCGTAGACGTCTTTGGCGGGGCAAACGGCACTCTGAAGCGCGACTTTCACAGCACGCCCGACCTAGTCCAGGTCTACGTAGGCTCCCGGACGTTGCCGAACAAGAGCCACCGTAGCCAAGAGGACTTGTTTGCCTTGGCGACTGCGTCCAACCGAAATCTACCACCTCCGACGTACCCTCCGCCTCCGCCGCCGCCCCAGGTGCAAGTAGTCAAAGTGGAAGTGGCAAGAGAATACGATACCCTTAGGAAAGAGATGCTCGAAGAAGGTGTCGTGTCTTCGTTCAAACCAACCTCGAGCGCCAAACTATACGCCTCTCCGGAGGATATGAAGACTGTCGGGTACAGATCGAAGAGTTTGCCGTCTCATTCCTCCCGTTCACAGATAAGAAAATCGCACAGCATGAAGACGGCGTCGCCCCAGGTTGTCAAACTATACCAGCAACAAGCAAGTAACCCCTACGCTCAACCTATCAGACCTGCAAGGTCGAATTCGACATTGAGTGGTAGGACCAAAAGGAAAAAGCCTGGACCTGTGAAAATCTGTCAAACGGGGGCGGCGCCCACTATCCCGGAACCTGATTACAGTTGTAGCGACTCGGAAAGGGACAGTGATGGAGAACGAAAGGCCTTGGGGGATTTAGCTGCCAGATTGACAGCCGTCCAGCCGCAACCTGTCGAGAACAGCGGCAACAGCATCGCGAGGTGGGGTGTTGGCGGGGATCGTTTTCGTGGGGCATGTCGGAAGTGTTTTTTTTTGTTTTTTAGTGGGAGCAGCTCAGGTAGCGGTTCCGTGCCGCATAGTTTCAACGTCGAGGAGATTCAGAAATGCAGGTCGCAGTTGAAGTCATCCAAGTCCTACCCAGACGACTTCTTCAAGAAGCAGGCCAAAACGGATAAGATAGACGCTGAGGACGGGGATAATAGCTCGTCCGGGGTTAGTTCGGATCAAGAAGTGACCGCGGTTTCGGGCGATTGCGACCATCAAGGCGGCGGAGTGCTCAGCGTCAAGGCTCAGAGGCAACAGGCGGGTATGTAAACCTATACCTTAATTTCTTAATTGTTTGTGTTTTTTTATTCGTTTAAAAGGTCAAAACATTTTATAATTAATATATTTTTTGTTCCAATTGAAAAATAAAAAAATTGTAATTGGTAAAAATGAAATAAATTTTTATTTGTTGCTTACTTTTTCGTGTATTTTACGGTTAAAGAAATACAGCTATTTTAATGATACAATTTATTGTTTACCATTTGGAAATAAAGTAGTTTTTAATATGGCCCGTCTTTCTCTAGGTCACCTGAAGAGGCACGCAGTGTCCCTGGCGCAACTCCCGCCCCCAATCGAGAGCGAAACCGATGAAAAGGAGGACTTCTGCTTACCGCCGCCGCCCGAATTCATCGAAAACCAATCGAATTTCGTCCATGGTGAAGAGGTGGTCGTCGCTCCGCCCCCTCAGTTCAGCGACAACCGTCAAGTGACGAGGGTGCGGATCGTGGGCGCGTTACCTAAGGCCGCGCCCCCTAACTCCGCCCAGAAAATTAAACAGGGCCGGCTTCACAGTCAGTGATTCCCGCGCGGTTCGAACCCATTAGCACCGATAATTTTTTGTCAAGAAATTAATGGGCGGACTTTTCCAAATTTTATCCGTCGTCGTCAATAATTACCCGGTTCGATGATAATGGCCCGCGGGAGAGACAGAAAAATATCTCGGCACGGTTTTTTTGAACAAGTTGTCGTATGGGGTGTGACAGTAAATGCAATGTCTACGTACACATTTTTTAGCCTAATTAGTTGCGTGCTAACCAGTTTTAGAAAAAAAGTTTTATGCCACTGCATTTTTTGCAACATAACAGAACTAGTTTATGAGATAACTCGCAATTTCTGTTTTAACGTCACTGAGCGAATTTTATTTGCCCAAAATTACTTATTTACTTAATATGAAAGAAAAATTATGGGTGGCCTAAGTTTTTTATCAAAAAATTTTATGTCTTAATAAAGTGTCTTTTTTCTACAATTAACCCTGCCGAATTTCAGCAACATGGTAAAAGTGATTATTTAAAAATATTTATGAAAAAACGATAATCTGTTTAAAAAGTTTGCTGCGCTCATTAGGGACAACAGTGTACAGTAATTCGACAAAAATTATTGGCAAATTGTATAAAACCTAACCTTAACTGAGATTTGACTGTTCTTGTCGCGGTGTTTCGCAATCGCAGCCGATTTCATTTTTCTTCCGCTCCGAAACGTCTGGCCCAATTTGTGCAACTTTACTCCTGTTTTACGTCATCCCACGTGTATTTTTGTTTGTAATGCACCGGGTGATCGAAGAGTACGGTCTCTACCCTTCCCCACCATCAAATTTTTCCACAATTTTTCGAAAATACATAATATGAGATACAACAGACAGACAGAATTTTGGAAACTTGTCTATTTTTTGTTTGTATTTTGACGCGAAATGAACTAAAAATGGTGCATATGTATTTCATCAGATTACCTTGCTCAACATCACCCGGTATGTACCATAGATACGTCTGTAATTATAGGTTTCGGTGCTCTCCTTCGGGGCATATCGGCCGCAGTTGTTGTACGAAAAAAGGCTTTGTACGCCGACTGCGACGGGCCTGATCCGAACCGCGGATATTTTTGTAATTTATAATATAGCCCGCGTAACTTTATTTATTTAATATTATATATTCGTTGTAATCGGCGCCCTTTGCGCGAAATTTAACACTCATAACGTATTTAAGTGTACATAATAATCCACCATTATTAATTACTAGATAAACACTTAGACACGCATATGCGCGCATATACTGGGTGATTCGCGCAAACCCACCATTAAAAGTTTACCGGGAAATTCTTCCGTTTTGTCAGGAAATGACGTCGCCTTATTTTTTTTAATTTTGGAATCATCAAAGTCGAAAAAAAAGTGCAATAAGAGCAGTAAATGAATATATAAAAAATAAAATGAAATACAGAGTAAAAGTACATTAAAAAATAAATATATTAATTCACTTGTTAAAGTTAAAGAAATCCCACTGAATTTTGTAAATGATTTTTTTTAAATTGTCTATTTTATGAGTCTTGTTTCGATCGAAGGCTAGACTGCGTCTGCTTAGGTCATTTATATTAAACATAATAAAATGTAAAATGAAAGAAACGGTTTGGGCGAATAACCTTGTATATACAGGATGTTCCATGCCATATTATCCATACTATTATGATACCATAGTTAGAGAAGATAAAAAATAAGATTAGTCGTTAGAAAGTGTTGAAAATAAAACTTTTTCCAAAAACAAAAACAATTACCATAAAAACATACAGGTCACAATATCCAGTTTCCGTGCCTACTAATATTTGTAAAATTAAATCGTTATTAAATTATACATTTTTGGACATTTCTGTTTTAATTTATAGCAGCATGTGTTGGTTCATGGCGGATAAGGTATGGGACACCCTGTATAGAACGCAGTAGGTACAGCCATATTGTAACCAGAATCTCATTGCGCGTCGGTCAGCGCGCGGTTCCACTAAAAATAAATCAGCTCCCCCACCCCCTCCCACGTATTTTGCTCAAAACTGTGTGCACGTATGTCTATTTTTTAACCGTTGAAAAGTGCCTTTTGTTTCGTATCGTTTTGTGTTTTTTTTTGTTGGAGGGTGGGGAGGTTATTATTTCTAACCTAATTTCGGATATTCAACGCGCGCTCGCATGCGCCCGCCTTTACCTAGATTTTTTATCGGTACTCTTTTTCATGATTCTAGGTGATTAAAATATTTCCGGTGGTATTCGTCTAGCGTACTGCAATAATATCGTCTGTATATAATTTAATAAAATGTCGGTATTATTGTTCGTTTGTTGTGTATATTTGCCTCTCTCCCAAGTTTACTAGTACAGATCGACTATTCCTTCACGCTATTGAAATCAGTGACGACACGCTGAAACATGCTTTTTTTGCCATTTTAATTTAATTAATAATGCGCAATTTTTTTGGTGTTTAGTTTAGTAGTCTGTGCTTTAAACCAATAAAGACCTAACGACCATAAGCAACCAACATGGCCGCTGGCAAATCATCAGTTCGACAGGTTTCAACAAATGTACCATTTTTGGTTCAGTGTTTTCTCAAAATATTCCAAGATCCCGTTAAATATTGTGGAAAAACATGTACATGTCGTTAAAACAAAATTTTAGATCGCGCGCATGCGCATCTTGAATGATCCTACTCAAAATTTATTTGCTTATGCAACCAGTGCGATAAACGGCATTTGAGTCAGGAGTTTATTTGGCACGAACAGAGCGGAGCGAGTGGCTTAAAAAGTTTACCAACCGTGTTGCATACCACACTTTTTCTACGACCATTAGTTTTACGGTACATTTTTGCAAAACAACACGAATACATTCACTGATATTACTCTCAGAGTTGACAAACGTCAAAATTCAAGCCGCGCGGTAAAATCTGCGAAATCATCCGATGGGTCCCAAACCCGTGCGGTAATATCCCGGAAATGTCGGAAGTGGCTCAAATCCATGGGACAAGAAACCCACGTGTGACGCTCCCCGCACGCTAGTGTAATTAGGCATTTTACAGACGGGTGTAGAAAAAAATAAATTTTTATCGTGGTTGGTTCCGGAGCCAGTTCGGGGACACGTGTTCCGACACGCATATAAATTGCTAGTAATCGGGAAATTCACTTAACACTTATGTAAGAAAGTTAACTAACGATAATAATTATGCACGAGGCCTTGATGCCTCGACACCGTTCTTGCGACTAGAGGGAAAAGATCCTCTCATTAAAAAAAATCCAGGCAGCAACGTATATCGTAACCATAGCGTAGACATCGTAGGAAGAAGTGTCAACGGATAAACGTGAGTACAACTTAAAAAAAGTTTATTCGATACGATGAAAGAAAATACGCTACATTGTCCTAACCCGCTATAGCACATTTTGTCCTTTTAAAAAGTGAGAGTGAACCAGTAAACGTCGCGCTTACGCAATCGCGGCTTGCTTGACCAATTTTCGGTCCTCATTCCGCTCTGAACAAGGACGGCGTTATTATCGGTTTCAATCGTAAACGAAAGTAACGTATACGTTTACGCGTGAATATTTACGATCCCATTTGTTAATGCGTTGGTGCTCGGAAAATGACAACGTCGTGATGAAAATAAGGGTGATGATAGATGTGATTACGGGCGACATAGTTCAAAACTAAAATTTCATTGGCGTTTGTACATCGTGTATAGTGTGAAACCCACAGTTGACGATGAGGGAATAAAATCCCTGTACAGGGTGGACAAAGAAGCGAGGTAAGCGGCTATAGCCCGAAACCACGAATTGTAGAAATTTACGGTAAGAAATTTTAGAAAAATGCATTTTACTAAATAATATTATATTATAAGTTGATACAATACGACCACTGGAGTCATTCTAAAATTCTGCATCTTTTTGGCTCATCACTTTTAATTGTGCGTCATCAAATCAGAATGGAGGGGAAGAGAGATATCTGTTCTTATTTCAAATGTTAAAAAAAGCTATGGCAAAACCCTGGAATGCGCGAAGTTATTGTCAGATATTTCTTTTCCCCTCCCCCATTATTTGTGTGAACCAAAAATATGCACAATTTTGCAAGGATTACAGTGATCGTATTTTTTTGTCAACTTATAATATAACTTGTACGGTAGTAAAATGCATTTTTCTACCGTACCATAGTTATAACGCCTCATAGCACTCTAGATATGAACCGGAAATTATTTTAAATATTTTCTTTTGGTTAGTTTATAAAATTCGTGATTTTGGGGATACTGCCGTTTGTCTCTGTTATTTTCGCATCGAAAGGGACAATAAGTTTTGTGAATGTTTTTGACACATATCCATTGTTTCAGGATATGGTCGGTCGACGCCTGCTGCAAAATACCGTATTTCTCGTAGCGGTTTGGTGTATCGTTCAAACCTTGCAAGTCGATCGGAGTGAAAACCAAGTAGAAACCGGAAATCAGGTGGGTTGTTTCAATTTAGATTTTGTATATAGTGGCTGGTGGAAAGGAACGTTACCACGTATTTTTTATAATATATTTTTGAATCCATTTGCAGGTTTACGTGATACGGCCCAAAAGAGCCACGCGCAAACCTGGATTTTTCCGAACCCTCTTCCAAGTCACCATGGAGGTAAAACTTATAATTTCTACAAACGAGCAACAGCGCGTTTTACGCTTATGCATTTCAGCAATTTAGGGACACAAAAGACACCTACAGAAAAGTGAACGATATGATAAATGACAACTTCTTGCCGGAAAACGTACCGGTGAGCAAAAAAAAAATGGTCGCCGCGGGAATGTGGAAGTCGCGAATCCGTTGGACTGAAAGTCCCGCGAGGTGACGCCGGTGTAATATAGGGACTTGTTTTTAGGTTACGACTACGCCCAGAGTCGAGTCGAATAACGCGACGACGACCGCGGCGCCTTACAAAATCACCAGAAGCGAATTCAACAAGATCATCCAGCGCAACGTAAAAGGTCTGGCTCGTTTATTCAACATCGAGCTGCGCGAAGCGCTGAAGGTGAAACGACCGCCATTTTGGCACTGACCAAAACTATAATCTCGATTTTTTTGCAGCAATCGGACAAGAACTATGCGGAGTTTAGGAGGAATACATCGGTGGAAGTGTCAAAATTTTTATAACATGTAATTAATCTGTGATTTAGTGTCGATTAATTTTTGTTTTTGTTTAATTTTTAATAAAACACTAGAAGACTAATTAGCGCGCAATTTTGTTTTACATGTCGATTACGATTGCGAAAAAGTCGATTTTACAGTTCCTCTGGCGGAAAAAAATTTGCTGAATTCTGTTGATAGATATTTTATATTGGCAACACTGTCCATTTAGGGATATTTGAAGTTTTCCATTTACCGTCAGAAGAGTAGGTTATGATCCAATACATAATGATGTGATTGTATACAATCACATCATTTTGTATTGGATCATAACCTAGTCTTCTGACAGTAAAAAGAAAACTTCAAATATATATAGTCCCGCAATTACAAAGGAAACGTTTTTTTTTTTATCTGGAGTGTTTTACTTTTTTTTGCCGTTAGTGAGCTCTTTGAAAGTAAAAACTGATATTTTTAGTAGAATTTAATTGGCCTTTTCTAAAAATTGAAGTACTAAAATAATCTCAGTAGATCTTGGAAATATCAACAATTGCGATAAGCAACTCCAGATTTTCCATGTTAAAAATATTTTACGAAGGAACGTTAAAATTATTTAAAAATTTAAAATCATGTTGACACCTATCAGCAAATTCAATAATCAAAAAACGGAGCGAACCAATAGGCGATCGGAAATTTTTCTGCAAACGTCTTATTCTAGGTCACTGATTAGAAGTTCTGCTTCTGCAAACGGTTTAAGCGTCAGGCAGTTTGTAACAATTTATGACTGATCTGCGAGGAGTCTTTGCTAAGTTCCACTTAAAGTTTGACAGGACTTTCGCCCAGCATGCCTAACCCTACATTTAAATTTTATTGAAAACTGCTTGGCCCGAACTTGAGAAGAATTGACGGACAACATAACAATTAAAATTTTTAATTAGCTCGGTCGGTATAATACACTTAACAGTCTTTTGACGGATATATTTTTTATCGTCTCGCTGATTAATACGCGGGACTAGTAGTTAGACATGTGAGGAAGATACTGCTCCATGCCTTTCAAATGACTGTAAAGCATGTCCTCGGAGGGCGAAAGGCCTACAATGATCCACGCAACGAACGCCAACGCTGCCCTCCATAACGATAAGTGGTTCCACGTGTTCAACTCTGCTGGGGTTATCTAGAAAAATAACAGGAACCACATAAAACTGACCAGAAAACACTAGTTTTGAGTGAAAATTGTTTAAAATACAATGGTCGTGTTTAATTAATATCTCAAAAGCAGCTAAAAATAGATATAGGGATATTTTACAAAAATGATCTGCTAGTGATAGCGGAGAGAAAAACAACAATATACAGATTGTCCAATTTAACACATTAAAGTTCACGCTTTTAGATTCAAGCGGCCATACTGGAGAAAATATTTTTAGGTCGATAGCGGAGAGTCAAAACGCTAAGACCAATTTCAACCAATTGCTACGGCCGTTTCTCTTAAAACGTCTAATGTTCCATCAAGCGTGAGACACCTTGTATGTTTATGAGTATTACTGAAACAAAAAAATACTGATTTTGTGCTATATCAAAAAGATAAATCTTTTCTTTTGAATTTTGTCCAACGTATTTATTTATAACTTTTTGAAACATTATGAAAAGAAAAAAAATCATTTTTTCACTTTTATTTTCCAACAATATTTGGTACAAAATGGGGCGAGCAACTCGTTTTCCTTTACGCACCTGCGTTTCGTTGAGCAATGTCGTAGTACTCCGATTGCCGTACGACATTAGCGATAATTTCTCGTCGTAAGGCGTCGCCGACAAATGAATAATCAAGCAGGCCGCGTATATGACAACAACCACCGACGACTTGCGCCCGCTCACAAATTCGCCTAGGTCGACCCACTGGATGTGACCGACGTCGAGCCTAGAGTTATAAAAAAACCGCGACTGTCATCCTCTCGATCTAGGCATTGCCGTACTTACCTGTCAAAAACCGACACCAAACAGAACACGCACAGTGCGAAAAACAGAGCGACGTAGATGTCGCTGTAGTAGGCGTAGTGCAAGAGGAACGAACGATCCTGCTTGCTGAAATTGCAAGTTATGTACAGGCAGTGACCGAGGGCGAGGCCACCGAGGAGGCCGTGGCAGAGGTTCGACACGCGCGTCCACCGCCTCTGGTGTTTGGTTGCGATTTGGATCGGGTATTGCGAGGAAAACCTGAAAATCTCCCGTATAAGGACATTCATAAAAAAACCAAATTTGTCCGCCATCACTATGCACGGTTATTTTTGATATTTGTTAATTAAATGTAAAAAAAAACAACAGAAACATAATGGGTAAATGTGAACTTCACGCGTTTATTTCTCCTCCTTGTCGAGACGTCAAATCGGCTGACCGACGTCGCATCGTTTTAACGCGATGCGTTTTACCTTTTTTCGCCGACGCTCTCATCTAGATCCTGCGCGGCCTGCCTGCTCAAATGGTTCCCATTTTGTCTTGGAACCGCCTCGAACTTGTTCTTTTTCTGCACATACACCTTGTCCGATTTCCGCGGGCTTTTTCTTGCCTTGTCCATTTTGAAGGAAGGTTCTTCGGGAGCGTTCTCGAACACGTCGTCCTGAAGCTCCTCCAGCGCCAGCGTGATATCGTTCTTCAGTTGGTAATCGTCCTCCCTTGTACCAACAATAGCGTATTTGTGGTCCGCGCACGCGCCATTTCATACTCACCTGTTTTTGGTTTTATGTTTCCGTTTGCTGTAACTTGATGTGGTGGGGCTGCCGTCGCGTTTTTTCTTTTTCGTCTTCTTCTTCTCCTTCGGTATCATCATTTCCCTACTGTCGCCAATTCCGTTTTCGGCTTCCGCATATTTTTTCTTCTTCTTCGTTTTTTTAACTGCCGATGGCCCGAGAATTTCTTCCGCTTCCCTGGCGCCGTACAAATCCTGGATGACATTGTACGCATTACGCTCCTCCGTATCCATCTGGGAATACAGGTCGCGACGTTTTTTGATATGTTTCTTCTCTTCGGGACTCAGCAGTTCCAAATTGCCTAGGGAAACCAAAAGAACCGCTGTTAATTGTTCTTGGTAGACGAAATCGAGGCGCGCGCATTACTGATTGTATTGCAGAGTTTATATTCAAATTTGAAAGTTGGCATCCCTGCCGCGTGATAACTTGTATGCACATCGTATTGTTTACAATTTAGGCTTGTCATATTTTTAAAAAAGTTTTGATTTTTAATTTTATATTATATTATGCGATTTTAGTACAGGTGAACTCCAGATGTTGGCGCGACATGAGTTTATAGATAAAACTTGTCGCGCGTTTACCTTTTTGGAGACTTACCCGACAATTCTTCTGGTAACTTCTCGTCCTCGTAGAAACTCAAACTCTGCGGCCTCGACTCCGTAAAATGGTTGTGCTTGTTAATGTCCCGTTTCATTTCTGTCTCGATCAACGAGAGAATCTTGGAATTGATCTGGACATCCCCGTCCACAGATATTTCCCTGCTTGGTGTATGTACTACGCTATAGTTTTCGTTCTTGTCGCTTTTCGGGACGTCGACATTGTCCTCCGACGTCACATGATCGTTATCCGAACTCGTATGGGTCGGCATTATTTGTTTATGTACCTGAGCCACCATTTCCTGCTGTTTCGTGTCCTCTTTTTGTTTGTGCCTGCGCGGTCTCGGCGATAGTTTCACGCTGATACTCATGGCAGCGGCGGCCCCCGGCTTCACGATGTTTGTATCGAAACCCCCCTTTACATATTCGCGTGTTCGCGTTTCGTTGATATAGTTCGACGAAAAATCGATAACTCTAGTTTGGAGAATAGCGAGCGCGGAAATGGTGCAAGATGTAGGTGTAAAAGCCAAAGGGCAAAGCGCATGTTCGGGGTAACTTGTTGAACGTTAGGAGTTGGGGTTGGAAAACGCGGCTGTGGATGGAGAGTGGTCGATATTTTGTCCCGTACGTTCAAGGCGCGGGAATTAGAGGAATTGTATTTGCGTAAAATTGGAATTATACCAATTTATAATGACGTAATTTTTTGTTAATATATTCTAAACAGCGGTGACAACAAAGTTTTGAAAAAAATGAATGTTAGAAGATTTTGTCGTTAAAGTTGAACAAACAACACACACCCAAGGTTCCCGATGGGAATCGAACGCACAACTTCCGTAAAATCGATCCCTTGTCATAAGGTTATTTATTTTTAATACAATTTTATTTAAACATTGCTTTGTCGACTTTTCGAAAGTTAGTTTGAAAAGTTGAGTTGAGTTAACTCCTTGAGCACTGGCTACCGGAGGATTGCACCTTGTTAGAGTTGTGTCAATCGCGATTGATTCGGTCACTTTGATTCAATCACTTCATAGTATCGAACGACGAAATCAAATTCGCCTTGCGGAATACGGTTCATTTTAATGGTTTAAGATTTAAATGCATAACAGAGACAGACCATGGAAAAAAGAATGAGAGCATTGTTAAAATTATTGTTGGTATTGAGTTGCGATATGGATCGGTCGATTTGCTTATATGTTGAATTGAATATTGAGTGAAATACCTATTTCCACGCAGGTATTTATTTTAAACAAATTATGTATTACTCGTACAATCCAATACTTAGCACCTATTTTGATAAAATCATGACGCAATAAAAATCAGAACACAGCTAAATATTATACTAACTAAAACAGAAAACAGAACATATAGACACAAAAATAATTGAAATTCAAATAAATCTGAATCGGTAGTTCGGACTCACTTATGGTTTATAGCTGGCAGTTGGCAACAAAAGTATTGAAATGAACGATTGAAATGATTCGATCCTTTTCAAAATCGGTCACCGATAGATTACGTTCTCGTAAAATGAACGATTGACACAACACTCCCTCGATTATTCGGAGTGCGAGAGTGTCACGTTTATTAAAATTCTTGAAAAACATGACAAGGAAATTAACGTAAATGAAAAATGAGACGTTTGAAAAACCCACCAACGCTCGGTTGGAGATTCGTGAAAAGGAAAAAGTTAATATAAACGTAGGTCCGGATACGGAGTGTTAATACATTTAAAAAGAAAACGGATTTTTAAATATTTTTTGTTCGATTTTGTGGAAATTTACTTTCAAAAGGCCACTAACAGTGGAATTTTTTTGACTCTTGAATTGTTTCCGTATCTTGTCTCCTCTCATGAAAATAGACAAAAAACGCATTTTTACGAACATTAATGAACTAATTAACATTTATTTTTTAGCACTCCTTACTTATTAGTGACGGACCTGCGCCCTCTGGCGAGTTCATAGAATAGGGGAAAAAAGTGTGAAAGGACGTGTCTATCGTTGGATTGTTTTATGAAAGAAATTGCAATAAACCTTTTGCAATATGAAGCAAAATAAAAGTAAAATAGGTAGTTTTATTTTTATAATACGTAGAGCAAATGGTATATTGTTCTGTTCTCGGAGGATGTCGGTAATGGGTAAGTGCTCAACTTATTATAAAAAAGTAGGTGTTGGTATTCTGTCAAGAATTTTTTCACTGGTTTCTCTAAAATACACAAGTATATACCGATTCCACGATTGTCAGCGTACGTCAGTTTCATTACTTACCGCTGCGAGCCACTTACAATGTTACCCACGAGTTTTAACGTAAACGGACATTTTCGGAAATATCGCCCATGGTTTGAATTTTATCAATTCTGACGATCATGTCAGACGTCATTCAGAGAATGTATTCTTGTTGTTTTACAAAATTGTACTCAAAAACTAATGGTAGTGGAAAAACTATAGTATGCAACATGTTTGGCAAAAAGTTTTAAGTCACTCTATTAAACACTCGCTCCGCTCGTGCCAGATAAACTTGTAACTGACATGCCATTTACCACACTTGTTGCATAATATACTATTGTCGTTCTCCCTTGTACATTTATTGATCCCAGGGAGTGGAAAATTTTGATTTATTCGATATGTATCAGTTACCATTTCCAAAAGACGAGCGCGAAATGAAGTAAGGTTTTGTGAGAAATTGAACTTGTTACTCCTGTATAAATTTACTTACCATATGAATTACAGCAGTTTAGCGGGAACGGAAGAAGTTATCGTTAAATAAAAATACCGAATATTTTACGATTTAATGAACTGTGTGTACTACACTTCGAATTTATAGCAAATATATATAATATATATATATATATATAATTATATAAAGTAACAAAATATGTGTATATATATTGCCCGATGCTAATTTGATTTACTTTACCCATTTTGGTTGTTTGATTAGGTATATGTAATTTTTAAAATCAAACACACGTAAACAATCGAAAAAGTTAAAACATAAAAATTACGTTTATGCTAACAAATAAATAAAGCGGGAAAACAGTCGTAAAAAAAGAGATTTGCGGCGCAATTTCCCACGAACAATTCATTTTTGTTGGGGCATCAGCTTCCAGGGTGGTAAACTTGACAAAATAAATAAACTCGAGCAAACCGGGGATCGATCGTCATGGTACTTCGTCGAGATTACATATTTTTTACCTATACATCCATTGAACTACCGTATTCGGGTAGTTTAATATGGTTACCCGATTGGAACGTTTGACCGGTAAATTACACTGCCGCTCGGCATACTTTGCTTTCCTTAAGCACAAAAAAAAAGTTTCGATTTGCACCTCTAATTTACACTGTACAACGATAATATTTGTAAATATCTAAATCGACACGGATTTTCTATAAAACTCTACTCAAGGAACTGTAACAATTACGTCATTAGCATTATAGGGCCCTCATCGACAGGTACCCCTAAATTAACAACCGAGATGAATATTTGTTTCCTGTTTTTTTTTTGACATTTTTGCAATATCTCATCATCTCATCAAATTTGGATGGCCATTTTTTTTTTCAAACTTCAAGTGGCCAGATTGTTAACGTTTTAATTTTGGGTCTGTTGCGCTGTTTTTATTTTTGCACAAATCTCAATATGAAATTTTTTGACGATTTCCATATCAGGGAAGACATAACAATGAAATAATATTATAACAAAAACCGTAAGCTGAAGAGACACGTATTTTAAGGATTAGGCAAACAGTCTGAAACAAGACGATATTTGTTAAACAGAAAAAAACTTCGGCCTAACTTTAAAAAACAAAACAAAACGCCCTCGAAATTTGAAAGATCAAATCTTTTTTTTTCAGCTCCGACACTCGATATATTTATAAATATAGACTTATTGGGTTATTCACTCAGGCGGTTCTTTAAAATTTAGATTCATGTGAGGTTGTTAATACATTGTCACATCACATTCTCACCCTGTATATATTCCCATTTTCTATGCATATTATGTTTTATTTTAAATATAGTTTCCGATTTCCTATCTCTTTTGGTTTTTGCATAATAACTTATTAAAAGTTTGACGTCAAAAGTTGGAACTATGTTTCGTAACTGTCATTGTTAAAGGCTGAACAAGTGTGTTTTTTTTTAAGGCCAACAATTGTGAAGGTGACCTAAAGTAACATTACTCAACATTTTCTAAAATGAAATTTGTGCCCAAATAACAACCGGCAAACTTTCAGTGAGCGATTTGCGCGAGCAACCCTGTAGATTATAGAATATGTACACGAAAACGAATTACGCTTGAACGCAGACGACAAAAAAAGCATAGCCTAAATCTCGTTAAAACCTAAACTAACGGCTAAATTTACGCGACATAAAACATATTATAAAAAGGAATCGGCAACGATCGATAAAATTTCATCAATAAATAATTTGAAACCGGGTCAGCTTCGAACAGAAACGAAAAACCGAGCGCATCCCGCGCACTCATCCCTATATACACTAAGCCGCACCCCCCGCCACCCCGTTCCAAAATTTGCCACTAGAGGGAGAAATAGACGGTGTTATTCGCCCCCTGGACAATTTGTCAGTCGCTTATTATCCGTCGGTACTTCTTGCTAGGCGGATGCACCTCGTCGTCCTCGTCGAACGTCTCGTACGCATACTCGGGCAAAAACTTTTCCAATTGCTCGTCGAAGAACTTCTCGAGCGTCTTCGCATCGCTGTACACCTGCGAGTCGACCTGCAAAAAACGCGGGCGATTCCAAGTTTACAGAGAACATGTAATATCCAATGGCATATTCAACTTTATGGGTTCAGTTATGCAACCTACTAAATGGGAATTTTCCGCTGTTGCTAACAAATAAAAGCGTTTTATCCAGCGACAGGCTTTTAGTGGAATGAAATTCCTTTCAGCACACAATCAATCAATTACCAACGGAAGCCAACAACAGGAAACAAACCATGAAATTCTAGATCGAATGGAATCTCGAAGGAAATATAATAACATAAACCTCGACAAATACAAAGAAGCCCAAACCATTATCCAAAAATCAGACACGCAAAAGAAAAATGGATGAATTACCCGTGCAAGGAACTAGAATAACCCATTATTTTATAAACAATAATATCATTCCGACTGTGCAGTGCCATTAACTAATGTTGTTGAGGTTATGATCAGTGCGTGTGACAAAAATGGTCAGCACAATGGCGCTTTTAGATTTTTCAAACTCATTTTCACACCAGTGATCACAGTTTCCTTATAAGTAAGTTTTGTAGTTTCTCATCGGCATAGTGTAGTTTAATTATGCCCCAATAATACATATTCCGATCAGGTTGCTTCGATCTCTGGGGTCCCACAATGCTCCATTTTAGGGTCATTGCTCTTTTTAGTTTATACTGCTAACATTTTGCACAGTTCTGTGCAGTAGGGCACAAGCATTTGCCGATGACATGCAGCTCTATAGTTGTTTTGATGCCGATGACTGTATGGAGTCTAATATAAATCGCTACTTACGTATTATAAGTGACCTTTCTAGTGGTCACAACCTCAAATTAAACCCGACCAAATCATTATCGGAAGTAAAAACAAAACTACGGCTTTAGTCTTAACATTAACATTAGTTAATGACACTAAAGTAAAATTTGTGACTACTGCAAAGAATCTGGCGGTTGTATTGGATAACTGCTCACTAAAAATGCAAAAGTTTGAGAAGAAACTTATGTGAGTCACTTGTCACTTTAATTATTGTGATTTTGTCTACGGTTTTTGCTTGGATCCTGTCTCTTGTTTGCCTATGGGATTCGAAAATTGCATCATACTTCTCATTTTTATAGCGATATAAAGTGAGTGAGAATGGATATTCGTAAAGATTTATGTTTTAGTTGTTTTTTAATTAAGATTATTAATGAACTCCTTGCTCCCTCTATTGGTGAGCGATTAATATTTCGTTATAAATATTAGAAGTACTATTAAAGTTACAACGCCCTACCATTGAACCATTTGTGCCGTTCTTTTTCGTATAACAGTGAGTTGTTACAATTCAAAACCCAAACACTGTTTAAGTTTCAATGTTAAAACTTTCAAATACGCATATAAATAAATTATTTTAAATTTGGTTTAAGCTAACAATAACATCAATATCAACTTTTGAGACAGATAATGGAAGGAAAGACAGAGAGCCGGAGGGGTCCCGGAAAACTAAGATGTTCATGACTTAGAATATAAGAGGGTGGATAAGATTAGACACATGCATCCCACTGAGAAAGGCAAAAAATAGAGAAGATTGCTGCCATTGTCGCCAATCTTCAGTAATGAAGAAAGCACCTAAATAAGGCTTTTTGTGACCATAAATAATGAAATGAACTTGTGAACAGAGTTGTGGGCGTTTCACAGAGTCTGACCTCACAGTATACATATACCGGGTGTTATGGAATTGATGCGAAATATTTTAAGGAATCATTTTCTAATGAGAATTGAGGAGAGTAATGCATATAATTTTTTTGTTAAATCCGCTTTTTCCCAAGTTAGGGAGAAATTTTGATAATATGAAATTTTTTCGTTATCAATAAAGGTGACTTAATATGATTCAGCTTAGTTGTTTTTTTTAAACAAATATAACCGATCTGTGAATGATTCTTCACACGATTCTTAAGTTGCATAAATTAATTTTAAAAGTATATTTCATTAATAAGCATATTAATAACAACAAATCCTGATTCTTATTAAATACTTTATATATGCGCGTCCGCTCCGTACTCACTGGATTGAAGGTGTAGGCGTTCTTAAACATCAGGCGCACGTCTCGCACCAGCTCTTCGGTGTGCCTGTACCGCCCTTCCGCGTTCCAGTTCAGCTTCTGCCTGATGGTGTCGAGCGCTATTGGTTTCTTAATAATCGAATGGTACTCGACGTTCTTAAAAAATAAACAAGTGTTATAAACGGTGCGAGCTCGAAGATGGGCTGACCTTACATCTGCTCCTATAACCTCGCGGAAGGGCAAACTCGTGTCGTACTGGCAGTACAGTTCAAGGACAATCCGTTCCGCGATCTTCTTCTCCTTCAGACTGAGCTCACCCTCCTTCTTCTCGCTCAATATACTCTCCGGTATGTCGGCGAAGTTCATGCACAGTAAACACTGCCAAGTGTCGTTTTCCCTGCAGCGAAGAAAAACAAAAATTTACGGTACCGCTACGCCGGCCGACAGCCTCGACAACTCTTACTCGACACTCAAATTCGGAATGTGACAGTACTGGTGGAACACCTTCGGACACTTGTCGCAACAAACCAGCTCACCACCGTCCATGCACACCGCGCACCAGTCTTCGTTAGGGTCGTCTTTACTCGTGTCCATCAGTTCCGACTTGATCTTGGGGGCAGAGTCGCCGGTCGAACTGTCCACGTGCGGCGAGCCGCCCTTTTGTCTTCCCTCTGCAAGCACCTGGACCCCGTTCGAGTCGAGTTTCGCGATCGTCGCCATCAAGTCTTTCACCGAGTCCTCGCAGAACTTGTCTAGGCTGCGTTCGGTGTCGGAACGTCCCTGCACGTGGTTAGGACTAGGGGTGGTCGGTATGGTCGATGTAACAGCAGCCGGTGTATTTTTGTTCGTCTGCTCGGGCTGCTGACGCAGCGTTATCTTGAAGTTATCGTTAATCGTGGGCATCGACTGGCTGCGGCTATTGCCCGCACTGTTACCGGCTGTAACAACCGTTTCAAGGTCGTTTGGGTATGTCCTTTCTCGAGTCTCTCAACGTTAAGCTTTCGTGACGAAGCGTGAGGTTTTGAACCACGCCCGGACTCGATGGCGGTACCGAACGTTATAACATATATTTGGAGGAAATTGAATTTTCTATAAAAATTTTGACGAACCATTTCCAAGATATTAGGTCTTAAATATTAATAAGTTTTTCATTATTAATTTCCTTTGAAAAATCAATATTGTTCCTTTTTGTATATTGAATTGTTTGTTATTTACAAAACTCCAAAATGAAAACTTATTAAATGTTTAACGCCTAGTCAAATGAAAATTTTTATAGAGAATTTAATTTCAAAAATACTTTCGAATAAATATTTTTAAGTCAATCGTTTGGCTGCTTTAACGCAATAATGAGATCAGGACAAACAAAAATAAAAATAAGAAGGATGGGGCATCAATAATTTGAACTACTCAATGGTTTCAAAAAAATGGCTATAGGGTTGACACGCGACATGATCACCAATTGTCGTTAATCATTTTCGGCAACTAAAATGCGGAAGTAGTTCGCCTTTAATAGACCAATAGTAAAAGAACATGTGAAATAATCAATTCGGACATTTTAACTACTCCAGTTTAATTTTCAGTCGATCCATTACACTCAACGTCCGTGAACATTTGAACTACTCGCCGTAAAGGGGGCTGAAGCAACCTTACTAAAAAAATAAACAACCCTTAAAAACCCACCATTGCTCTGCTGGGGCGTGTGCCACTTGGCCCCAACCCCACCCGGCGGGTACTGTCCCTGGGGTCTTTGTTGCTGTTGATGTTGCTGCTGTTGCATAATCATCCGCGCCTGACTTCCCTGCGCCTGCATGATCATCCTCATTGGGCCCTGCTGTTGTGGGCCAAACCTGATTGGCTGCTGGCTTGGGTACCGGTTCTGGTACTGCTGCGCCACGTGCGGCTGGACCGCCTGGTACTGGGCCGGACCTGTCTGTATGTAAATTGCGTTGTTGTTGTTGCTACTGCTGTTGTTAGTGGTGTTGGTGTTGCCGTTAGTCGGTTGCAGCAGGTGGCGCAAGTTGCTGCGGTCCTGCATCATGCCCTGGGGATGAGTCGACGATGACACCTGTTGCTGCTGTTGGTTCAGACCCATTGAGTTCGTCGGCATGCGAGGCATGATCGCCCTCGCCATCGGGGCCCTTTGGATTCGGCTCATGGTCAGCTGCTGGGCTAACGATATGGGAATGGCCTGAGGGATGTTGTTCATCGACGGTGGACCCATGTTCGGCATACGACTACCTGAACCTTGAAATTATATACCATGTTCGTTACCGAAAGGGATAAAGGAGAGAGAGAGAGAGAGACACAGAGAGAAAAGGAAAGTGGGAAAGAAATTTTCCTGTTTAATTAAAATAAATGTCATCAGTTATGTCTACAATGGTGAGAATTTCAATGAGTGATAAACATTTATACCATATATAAGACAACATACATACAACATAAAATCAATAAAAACTGTAAAAAATACATTTATGAAATTTTTGATTGTTTTATTGGTCAGTTTTTGTAACAATAAATATACATAATTGCATTCGTTTATAATCTTTATTGCAGCATCTGCCGGATATGAAACATGGTTTCTGTAAGATTATGTAGTTATGGAACATACAGATGCTTACAACACGTACGCGTTAGAATTTTGGTAAGGGCACCGACGTCGTATATCTTTTGGCGCATTTCTTCTTAATTTTTGTAATATACCATATTCCATACCATATACTCCTACTGAAATAACTATTAATATTATCATTATTATTGAATTTTTTGTTCAGCATATTAGAAATATTAAAAAACCTCAAAAATTATGCAATCTTAACTTCTATGCCCGGAGGTCATAGAAGTTAGGTTTTTCCCCTATTATTATCATACAGTTTTTAACACTTTTTAGTGCATCGCCCTTAACATTATTTATAAATTTTATATTATTTAATAATGTCAAACTCACCGAACGGGTGTTGATTCATACTCTGCCCCATCACCTGCATCATGTTCTGGTTCATGTTAGGTGACTGCGACTGGAATGGCTGCCCGTTGGCCTGGAATTGACTGTAAGGGGGCGGATTTGGCAACCGGGCCACTTGCTGTGGCTGCTGGCTCTGCTGATATCCAGGCGACAGCTGCTGGTGCAACGGGCTCATGGGCGACTGCTGCTGCGGAGGCCGCATCTGTTGACCTGGACTGGGAGAACTGTTGGGCGGGAGGCACGCGGGCGACGTCGACTGAGACGGATAAATCCGTCCGTCGACCACGATCTGACCAATGGTTGACATGACTGGACGCGAGAAAAGAAAAGACGGGTTAGCCACGCGGCAGGGAGGCAACAAACGGTCCTACCACGACACAAATCTCTAGCTATTTACCTGCGGAGAGGCCTAAAGCGGCAAGCATGACGAACGTGTGGGAACAAAATTCGCATTATTCGCTAACCTGAAGCACACGCAAATCTCACCTTTAATCAGGTCCGGCACTTTGTCCAATGCGAGATGGATCCTCACCGGGATTTCTGGGTTCGGGATGTCAGCCCGCTTGCACTTGATCCGTTTCAGATGCTCCGTCACCTGTTTCTTACTGTAAAGCAGCGCCATGTCGCTGCCCGTGTCGAGCGCATGCTGCGTAAAGTCGATGCAGTGATCCGTCATTTTGGACAGCTGCTGGAGCGCCAGCTTCTTCTCTTGGAGCGTTTTCTGCTTCGAGTCGCACACCTCCGTTAGTTTCGCCACCAACTGCTTCCCGCGAACGTTTATCGTGTTGGTTAACCTGCAACGAGCGAGCGATTCGAAAATGACACCCGCGCAGCTCGCAGTCGCCGCCGGTACTCACTTGACCACCAGCTGCGTTATTTCCTTAACGAGCGATTGCTTCTTTTCCGTGATCAGGTTCTGCCGATCGTCGATCACTTTCATCGCGCTCGTCAGCAGCGCCCTCTTGTATCTGCACGATCGATGATGGTTATATGGAGCGCGGTCTCGAAATTTTCCAAAATACCACGAAAACATTTACGCGGGATGTGTAAAAATTAAAATTAAACAATTTATTGGGTCGATAAATTTATTTTTTCTTTTTCGTTAGCGTCCATGCGGCCTTGCGTCAGCGATATAGAAATGAAACTGCGCGATAAGTCGACAAGGCTAAACATTTATTTCGTCGAGATTCTAATCACCAAATTCTAGCTAAAACTGAGATTCAAGAATATTTATGTTACACAACTGTTTAAAAGTGCTATTTAATACTTCATAAGTATTTGCTGCCTATTTTTTGAGTCCTTCGTTTCTTGTGCTAAATTTTACAGCCGATATGGACACACTCACTATATTTAACTAGTATATTTGCTTTTTTGCCTAACTATTCCACATTTTGACTTGACTTTTTGAGTGGTCACAACCATTTTTAATTTTAACAGATTCCATTTATTGAATTGTTTTGTTATTATTGTTTATTGATCAGACGTTGTAATATGCCAAAAAACTTTGTAAAAAGAAAGACGTGACTAATGATAACGCCCTCCGGGGTTGTGGGTCCTCTTAATAGACTCGAAACAATTTTTTACGGTAAATTATTTAACTAAAACACGACAAAAAACGGCTTTTGCACGCTCGTTTGAGCTGCCCCATTAAAAAAAAAAATCTCACCCCACATCTTTCAGCATGTCCGCGATGTATTTTTTCGCTTCCGACGCGATCTCGTTGGTAAACTTGTACTTGTGCTCGCGATGCTCGATCAGCTGACAGTCTCTGCAGGTGAGCTTGTCGCAAGTCTCGCAGAAGAGCGACAGTTTCTCGTGGGGATGGTTGACGCAAAATAAATTCGTCGAAGAACCGCTCGAGACGGCGTTGAGCTCGTTCATCGCCTCGTCTTTCGACTTTATCGTGTGATCTTTCGTTATTTTCAACCTGGAAAAATAGGCTGTTAGCCACACTACGCAGTACATCCCCACCTCGCCGCATTACCTTTGGTGGGCTTGCACGCAATTGTCGCATATAAATTCGGAACAATCGGTGCAATAACTAGTCGCCAGGGCCTCATCGCTGCAACTGCTGCACTTCAGATCGTTTGCTTTCGAGGTGTTGGTCTCATCGTTATTAGACAGTTCCATTAAGAACTGATTTTCGATTATGCGAGATGCGTCGCACGCTATGTTGCAAAGCGTACATAATATTTGATTTCCTAAAAGTTTTATCTGTTATGAGGATTCATTTATTGGCGATCAAAAAAAATTACTCTCATTACATAGAAGAAGTAATGTAAAAATGAAACTCCACAAACTCCAGACATATACCAATTTGAGGAAAGTTATGGTTACGTTGCGTCAATTTATAACTAGTATATATCTAAGATATACAAACGACCTTTCAATACCAATGCGCACGACCCCATTATTAGAAAGATATTTTTCTTATAGCTTTTATTAAATTTAATAATACTAGTTTGGGCAAGGAATTATAAAAAACCTAGAACAAGTTATACAAATTAATTTAAGAGAAAATAAATAAAAATAATAAATAACATAAAGGTTTTGTGTACAGACACTTCAAGTCTTTGAAAAATAAAAAATTACAGAAAAAATAAAAGAATCGAATAGTAAAAAAATAAACATCTTTATAATTTTTGACACAGAATAGCATATATATTTTGTAGGCTATAATTGACTTACAAATTCTCATTTCAAAGGCGACGTCTAATTACAAAATTGGAACTCTTATTCAATAAATATAATTGAACCCTTTATTTCCAAAAACTGTCATTTTTGGAATTTTTTCAATTTCAATATGACTAAATTATTTTTTTATTGAACCACTTTTTAAAGTTTTTTTTTAATCGCGAAAAAACATTATTGCTACTTTTACCATACCCTTAACAAAATCTGGGTCACCTAAACAAATACTAGTATTGCAAGCATTATAAATTATTATTATTTTTATTAAAATAAAAATTGGATCAAACAAATATAAACATAAATATAAAATATAAATATATAGTTTTTCAGAATGTTGACCAAACTTTGTGGGCATATAGTTAATGCCATTGGAAATATATTTGATTAATAGACTTGCACACTGTACACTGCTTTTGTATTATTGGTAGTGTTGGGGCTGGTCAACTGACTAGTCCGTTTCAAGCAAAATGTTTTAAATAACATCTTGCAATTGTAGAGTGTTATCTATATTTATTTAATTATAATATAATTTTATAAATTATTACGCATTTGTGATGTTCCATTCACTTATAATTCTCTTCAAGGAATACCTAAATAAGATATTTAGAGACTCAGAGATTCCAAATAAAAATATCCGCTCTATTTAGTTCTCAGAATGATCCGACGGCGATGTATGGCACAGTATAAATAAAAATAAACAAATAAATTGAAATTTCATTGTTTTTTTAAATTTTTTCTGTCAATTGACACCAAAAAAATTTGACGGGTCAATTCCACAACTCTAATTATTGGCAATATAACAACTCATTATTTCGGTAATATTTGTGACTATAATAATGACTTCATTAGAACAATGAAACCTTACAGGTCAAAAACCCAAAAAAAAATTATTGAATGTAATAGATAGGAGGTAAACCGATGAGACTATTGCATTAGATTATAAAGCAGTTATATTTTCTGCCACAATTTTTAAAAGTTACCTAAGTCCACTATCCACTTTGGTAAATTCTTCAAAATCTTAGAGTGGCAATAACATAAAAAATCGAGAACCTTTAGGGCACTGTTCTATTAATAAAATATGTTAGCAACTGGCCTATCCTTAGGCCCACCACAGGTCTGGTCAACCATCTGACAAACACCAGTCTGAATTAAAAACAATCCAAAACACTAAATACCTGATGCTGAAGATTCATTTTGCTCATAAAGCTTATTGTTGACGCAACTGGCGCACGCATTGTGTAAACATTCGAGCAGTTTGGGGTTGTCTGAAGCACCCAAAACGCGATCGCAGTATATGCACTTAAAGGTATAGGTCTCGCCGGTCGTGGGACTTTCGACGTGCATCTCCTCATGTGAGTTGGCGAAACAACTCTCTTTGTCCGTTTGCTTTTGGGGCTCGCCTTGATCATCGTTATGTTCACTTGAATCGCTGTTATTTTGCGCCTCGCTGCCCATCAACTGGTCCATCAGATCTTGGTGCATGGTGTCACTTTCGTGGCCGAAAGCGCCATCGGACAAATTACGCTCATCAGAATTTAGGTCGCTCAGCAGATTGGGGTCGCTCAGGAAAACTTTTGAATCGGCCATGACAACACTAATGTATCATTTAAAGCGGACTCGAGTTTACCGCATAACAAAAAGCCTCGCAATAACTACACCAGAACGTGTTCCTTTAACGCCACGCCATACATTGCGACCGCAACGAACGTGTACTTTTCAAATGTGTGGATACTTTCCCACATTTAATTTTTAATGAGATTGACAACTTTTCGCAGACGCCTTCGTCAAATCCAGAACTGTATTCTCTTTGGTTACAAAACGTGAAAAGTCACTAAAATCTCTTTACCACAGATCGGTGGAGTTAGATGCAAAGAATAGAAAAATGAAACACAATTTAACATGCCAATTAAACTTTAAGACTTGTAATACCCAAGTCTCGGCGTTGAAATGAATATATGTATCCCGTCTTTAAAAGGTCTCTTCAAAAAACTTTAAAGCAGTTTACTACGGTTTAAAACGACATATTAATAAGAATTTAAAAAACAAAATGTATGGATGTTTTCTATTTTAATCATGTGTGTTAATAGCATGTTTTTCATTAAGTGCTAAATAACTCAATAAATACCTCCGAGTACACAAAACAATGCACCCGTTATAATAATTTCTTTTGCTGCAAACTACTAATTAGATAGTTAAATATTTATTGAGACATTCGCATTTATACGTCATCTACTCTTTAATTATTTCTTTACAGAATCGATCAGGACAACGGAAAGTAAAATAGAATTATTTTTTATTAATATCCTAAATTCGTTACACCTCAATTTTAGTTATTTTTTTCTACGGTAAGTTGCGTTTTAAAAAATAAAACCATCTTATCAGTTACAGAAATAATTTGTTTTAAAAAAACACTTGTAGCTTTCTTAGCATATCCTAGCTTTCAGAAATTACGTGAGAACTTTGTACGTCTCGCTTCCCAACCTTTGGAACATAATTTGACATTTGACACATCGAAAACAAATAAAATTGACAGTTGAGACACAAAAACGAAATAAACCTTGAGGTCGTAGACATGAATAAATAGAATTTATTGAACTTAAATCGGTCGTACATACATCATCAGTTCACAACATGATGGAAATCGAAATCGAAGAAAATTGCGCGCAATCAAACGACCAAACCCCCGAAAAGAAAGCCGTGAACGAACTGAAAGATATGTGCCTGGACAATGCGCAATATTTTTCGAAAGACAGCAGCGAAAACGGTCAAAGATTATACAATTCGTTCCTGACTCTCATCGACGCGTTGGATTTAATATGGCCTAAAGTGTGCAGCATTAAAATTCGCGTAACCGAGTTCGATATCGACGAAACTACCCCCGGCAACGGATATCGAAGTTTCATCAACGTTTTCAACATGTCAGTTACGTATGCGTCGGGGCTGATTCGTAACGTCACGTCGCAAAGATCTAGCGCTTCATTTGAGAAAACCTTACCTACCAAGTACGCGTTGGCGGCCCAAAAGTGGAGTGTTATTATAACCGTATAATTTTAGAGATATTGAAACATGCTCGCATTTAATATCCAGCCTGGATACATGCTTCGGACATTTGCAAACGATGATGTCGTGGATGTCGGACGGGAATTTGTTTCCCGAGCACAAATCGATGGACGAAATGATTTCCGTTTGCCGGGGTATTAATCAGTATTGCTTTTACGGGAGGTGCGTCGGTTTTCAAGTAACGGTCCCCGATAGTTGTTTCTTTATGAAGGGAGTTGATGATTTACTTTCCAGTTTTGCCAATCCTTGAGGGCTATATTGCAATTCGTCTCCCTCTCTATGGCGATCTTTTCCGAAGCCTATTATACTCAGGGTAAACTCAACCAAAAATTGACCTCTATTTTGACAATCCACAATTCTGATTTTCACGTGGAAACTTAACAGTAAGACTTGCAAGTCTACTTTGCATCAACTTTGTGCAAAAGCATGAATTATGGTGCATAAACCATTATTGGAACAGTCAAACAAGGAGTATGTAACATCACATGGTCCCCTGGCTGCTGCATGTGCTTGTCATTTTTGTATTCCGGCGGCAAGTTGAAACGTGAAAGTCGAGATCAGTGCAATGAATCCGATTGGTTCTCAGAAAGTATGTACAGGGTCTTTTGTAATTTTTTTTTTTCAAAGAAACTCGCAGGCTAATGTAATACTATTTATTCCTCCGGCGTTGGTTGTTGTTGAATCGAACTTGCTAATGTTTTGCCGATCATCATGATGACTTTTTTAGAGCCTGAGTGAAAGTATTTTAGTGTCAGTTTCAGTGAAGCTCTGAAGAAGCCAACATGATGAATGGTGAAACGTCAGCAAGTTTGATTCAACAACAACTGACCCAGGAGGAATCCAGAAGTTTTGGGTCGATTTTAATGAACACTTCAAATTAAAGTATTTCCTAAAGGTTGTTACAAAAATTAAATCAAGTTCTAATAATATCTGTGACATTTTAATGAAATTCGTTATGCAGGTACTACACATTAGAAGGAATGTTTTCATGTACGGCATTTTTTTTTATTGCTACGAGGGGCGAGCTTAGTCTGACATGCATATTTGGGCAGGTATTGTTACTCCACCCATATCTCTTGAAATGAAAATCCACTCTCTTTAAAACATTTTCGTTTTTTGCTTTGAACCTTAATAAAACCACCCGGATATTTCACCTCCAAAGAATGCAACTTTTACCATAGTAATACTAATGGAGATTGTCTTGCTCTCCCTAAATGATATAAATGGGAGAATGGGGTTTTCTTGTTTTTTATGATTTACATATTATTTGATTTGATTATCATACATTGTTTCCTTTAAACACCGGCAATAAATGAAATTTATAATAATCTAACTTCTTAACTTGCCAAAAAAGTGCATAAAAATTGATGTACTTGGAAATTCAAAATATTTAAGTCTTCTAACTTTTAAAAAAGATGTATTAGGCAGAAAATAGCAGTATGTATCTAATCCTCATCACTACCCGTCTTCTAAAAAAAAAATTCACCTCACTCAAGTCATTACCGTGATGTGGACGTCTAATGGGAATTTGTTTCCCGAACACGAGAGCCAATCGGAAACTGACGTTTGACAAAATGAGTTAGACGTAGGCTTAAATTCAGGTTCTTTATTCGCGAAAGCGAAGAATTCGGTGGTGACTGCCGTGAAGTATATCTTGGATCCAGAGTTGCGCGCTAGACGAATCGTAAACATTTCTGAGAACGCCGACGTGGACTTTTGCAAATCGTTCTGGTTCTTGTCGGAGTGCACGCCGATGAACGGATTGCCTTCGGTAGTCGGAGTCGACGTTTGTCAGGCCATCAGCCTCACACCCCAGCCGTTCGCCCTCGAAATTGACGACCGAATCATCGAAGTTCCCGTCCCGAGCTCTTATTTAGGTGGGTGGGCTGCTATGACATTTTTATACAGAAGTAAATGTTCTTCTGCGCATGTCCTTAAATTTCACAGACTAACTCGTATTTTCCGCAATTTTACTGTCTGTCGCCGCACGTTTCGTTTTTGTCGATGAAAATTGAATAGGAAAAAATGTCACATTCAAATTAAAAACTGTCGAGTTTTGAAATGACAGATTTTATTGGTTATTGTTTTCAACTTTTGTTTTATCATACATCAAAAATTTGTTTAATTCCATAAGCATCGAAGCTCTATCAAATGGGACACCATAGCTTCAATTAATTTTTTTTCATTACATTATGTCTTAATATCGAGATAGGGCTGGTCAAAACAAGTGGTTTGCCTAAGAGAATGGTGAAAAGTGCATTTTCAAAAATGGGACATCCTGTATATTATCAAGAGCAAATTAAATTCTCTTTCGAATGATTCACATTTGGTTTCTTAAATAAAAGCAAGTTTCTCTGAAATCTTTGAAAAAAATCATATTAAATTATGTTAAATAATTCATTTTCCGCTTAACCGTTGAATAACGATTGACTCATTATTGTCTGTGGTGAAAATTTCGTCGATGAAATCGGTTCAAAATGGAAGGAAACCAGTGAAAAACTATTAGGTACTTAAAATAAATATAACGCACAGAAAAATGAACCCAATTTTTACATTAGGTGTTAGAAGCACTTTAACATCCATTCAAGTGGACTGATGGTAATGCTTCTTTATCTCGGATGCATCTACTTGTTCAAAGCATCGTACAATCCAATGACGTAACTCTTCCTCCATCGGTGTCAAATACACTTTAACTTTGAGGTAAAAATTTAATGGCGTGAGATCGGGCGATCTTGCTGACCAAACGTCTAAACCAATGGTCATTAAATAATTCGTTTAATTCTTGTGAGATCTATTCAGTGCAGTGAGCCGGTGCCCCATTTAGTTATCCAGTGGTCAGAAGTTGAAGGCTGAGATTCTCAAGAAAATGATTTCCCACTCTTCTTGATATTTTGCAGCATTCAATGGTTAATCGTAAATTAAAAAACTAAAAAATTAAGAAAATAATTATTTTATCGACAGAGCATCGCCGCTTGTGGAATTAAACAAATTTTCCGAACAATCCAATTTACCGTTCGCCGTAAATTTCTAAGGCACCATCAACCGTGAAACACCCCCTATATCTGGTAAAATTGCATAACCTGCTGTTTCATTCCGTATTTGTTCCATTTCGATCATCCGATATTTTGGGATTGTGAAGGAATTCTTTTGATAGATTTTAAAGAAACTAATACCACTGTCAATGGTAAATATTATTCAACAATATTACGCGTTATCAAAACTTTTTCCATTCACTTCAGGTTAAAAATCGATTTTTTTTATTATAGTTTTTCTGGAGAAAAATCTCACAAATTTGCAGTTACGTGATGATTAATAGCGTCTCGGTTTAATAAGGTCCCAAACCCGTGCACCTGCGCCTCATAAGTTACAAGTTGCGGAGGGGCATGTTGGGGAGCAAAAACAAGGCACCGTCGGAACCGCCGGCGGACGGACTGATCGTCCATTGTCACGGGGGCGGGTTCGTGTCTCAATCTTCGAAATCGCACGAGAGTTACCTGAGAGATTGGGCCAAACGATTGAACGTGCCCATAATTAGCGTCGATTACAGTTTGGCGCCCGAGGCCCCGTTCCCCAGAGCCCACGAAGAAATGTTGTACGCTTACTGTTGGATATTGAAGAACCACCACCTCTTGGGAAGTACCGGTAATTGTTTATTTTTTGCTTGTCCCTAGTTCAAAAGCTTGTTTGCGCGTGTCGAGTAGTTCAAATCTACTGGATTCGTTTTGCCCGTTGACTTCAAGTTAAATCTGTGTAAATTTTTATAGTAACCTAATTGTTTAGTAAACTATCGTTAAATTGGGTAGTTTAGGCGATTTGTGCATTCAAAACGGACGAATATGCCAAATATATCTGCCGGGGTTTACCGTGCTTGTTGCAGGCAAACGAATAATCGCCGCGGGCGACTCGGCCGGCGCGAACCTGCTCCTCTCGCTAACCTTGAAGTGTGTTAACGAAAACATCCCGCCGCCTCACGGCGTCTTCGTCGCCTACGTGCCCACCTTGATAAAGTTCGTGCCGTCCCCGTCCCGCCTCCTATGCATGATGGACCCTATGCTGCCGTTCGGGTTCATGATGCGCTGTTTGAAGGCGTACGCATGTCCTATCGGGCAGCCCGAGTTGGGTGGCGGCTACCATTCGGACACTGAAAGCTTCGAGGTAAGTCAGTGCTAGAGAGTTTGGGTCACAACCGGCTCAATATATGAAGGCTATCAGCTGTGTCTCCTCATTTGCTCAGACGCAACATTTTTTTTGTAAACTTTAAGCAAAGCGCTTTGTTTCGGTCAGTGAAGTCCATTTATTGAAATGGAATATGGATTTTGTGAAGTAAATTTTATGCAGAGTGGGAGGAGGCAATCGTTTGTTAATGGATGCTTTATTTTATACGCATAAATACTCTTGAAAAATACATGCTATTATGTTAAACCGTTAGAGAAGTCTTAACTTCTGTATAAATGAGTATTTAAGGAAAATATTGTTTGATCACCAAATAATTTAATTGTGTAAATAATTTCAATAATGGAGGCTATACACATGTAGGCAAGCCCGCGAGCAAGTGCGAAGCGAATTGCGGCCACACACTATTCAGGTAAACGTCGTTAGTTGGAGCTGCTACTGTGGGAAAATGAAGTGGGCCTTCGCACTTCTAAAAATCAGACACAATCTGATTCACTGCGAGCCGCGATTGGAACTGAACGCGCCGTAAGTTTTGACACATACACATTCGCACTTACTCGCGTGTCTCGACCTCTACAGGCCAATCTTAACACTTGCCTGCATGTGTATAGGCCGTTTAAGAATAAAGTAATCAAACGAGAACATCCCATTCTCCCATTTGTTCATAGTGTTCACTTCATTCATGGGTATTTTTTAAACCATTAAAGATACAGGGTCTGTGAAATGGGATAAAAGTTGTTTATAATGCCCAGAAGCTACCAAATTAAGAAATATTTTGAAAAAATCAAATTCTTTGTTTTCAGTATTTCCTTCTCTAAAGAAAAAACTTAAAGTTTGGGTTTCAGTTCGTTTTAAAGAACCTAATGCACAAGAAATACATTAGTAGTAGTCGTATATACATAGTAATTTAAAATTCCAAAGAAACATTTTGAACCCTGCAACTTTTGCATAATATCTTTTTGTAAAACTGCAAATTGTGCAATATTTTTTCAAAAATATTTGTTAGTTCACTTCTCTTTTGGCCGCGTGGAAACGGACTTTGGCCGCAGTTGGCACAGCACAGTCGCAGCGGTACTGGCACAGCACAGTCGCAGCGGTACTTTTTGAATATGTCCTTGCGAACGGTTTCGCACTTGGCCTTGCGGCTAAGTGGAGTATGCTCCATAGAGCGTTGGTAACTTCTTGGTACCTAACGCCAAAGAAATAGATAAATAATAATAGTAAAAGGAAACTCAAAAAGTTAAATGAAGACTAAACAACTTTTGATAACTTTGGTAGCTATTTACACAACTTTCAACCCATTCAACCGAGCCTGTATCTTGAATGGTAAATACTGAAAATACTGAAAAGTGGACCATTGCCATTCCAGTTTAGATCAAGTTCACTGGCTGTGGTGTACTCTCTGATTATGTCACCGCAGCCACTTAAATCCTCTCGCAAAACGCCATAATCATTTACACCATAAAAATTTTCTTCTTTGCCGTCATAAGGAAATATCCGAATCGGATTTGGACGAGCTGCAGGCTCACAAATCGCCAGTGTCTGACGCATCGGACACTCTCACTTACGGCTCACTCACATCCAACCCTGAAGAAGAAATCGATGGCAAAGGGGCGGAGGAAATCGAAAAGAACGAGATATACGCGACGCGTATTGTGCAGGAGTACATTTTGAGCACGAAGGAGGCAGAACCACCGAGGTCTAGTACCGCCGACGACACCTGCACCGAGAGTTCCACGTCGACGATGGAGTCGGTGCAATTGAAAGTTACGGATTTCGTTGCCAACATTAAGGGTCAGTTTACCAAATTCCTAAAGGAATCGGCGGACCGGAAAAAAAAGACGCCGAAGGAGTCGGCGGTCCAGAATGAGCACGAAACCCAGGGGCGGTCGCCGGCACCTCACAAGAAACTATCATCCAGTTTGCTGGAGGAGGTGTGTAACTTCTCCGTGCCTAGGGATCCTTACCTCAGTCCGTACTTGGCGTCCGACGAGGATCTGAATATGTTCCCCACCACCAAGATATTGGTAAGACCCAGGTTACAATGACCTCTAACGACGCTCTGAAAAATCGGGGTATTCCTAAAAGGTCGGGAAAAGTAGGAACTGTTATGTTTTCTCAAAAGATAGAGCCTGCGTTTCAAGATACAGGGGTCAAATATAAAAAGTATAAATCTATAAAAAGTATAGATTTTGACAGAAAAAAAAAGCGTGCTGCTTAATAATTCCTTTTTTTTTTTAAATTAAGCAACCGAAAGTACAAGTTTTTTGGCATCTGGGTTTTTTCGTATTTCTAAATTACAATACTATTGTCACTATTAACCACTTAGACACCTAATTTTGCAACATCATTGTTATTTGAATGTTTTTTTTTTAATTACCTCGATTTGTTTTTGGCGAAAAAAATAACAACTAGATTTGGTAAAAGCTTTTGATACCCCGTATATCGAAAAAGATCGAAGAGATAAGTTAGTACATATTTTTACCATGAAGTCAAATAAAAGGAAGGAGAACGCACTTACACAACCTATTTCAATTTTTTTTTTGACAGCGTTTATTTCGTCACCCTTGTGTCATGTCTTGTCCCTCTCAACATAGTTTGAGGTTAGGTTTTTTTTTCTAGACCGTCGAGCTGGACCCTTGCCTTGACGACTGCGTCATGTTCGCGAAGAGGTTGAAGAGGTTGGGAAAAGACGTGACCTTGGATATTTTGCAAGGTTTACCCCACGGGTTTCTAAACTTTTCATTGGTACGGGGTTTGCGATTAAGGTGCGCATGGGGTCTATTCAAAATGTATCGTTTTTGTAGATTTCGGAAGACGCGCATGCGGGTTCCAAACTGTGCGTGCAGAGAATAAGGGAGCTGCTAGATCCAGAGTCTTCCGTAAACCCGGCAAACCTTACATAACCGCAGTTGTTTGCGGCGGTTGTAGAATAATGTATTTTTATACAGATCGATATTGTTGCTCTCTTTGATTAATAATCTCAAATCGAGAATATACTTATATTTTCGTTAATTAATTATAATTATATTAGTAATTTAAATGGGCCATTCCACAGGAAAAAAGCAAACTTTGTAACGTCACACTTATTTTTTGTTCTGTCATTTGCGCGACCGTATTTAAGGGGATTTCTCAGGTCGTTTTATGAAAAAAAAAGTTCCTATAAACGTAGTTCGGGAATTTCCTAGATACAGCAATATTATCATTTTTTTCGAAATATTTGGGCGGATTTTTAAAAACTCTTGCTTTTATAGTTAACCCTTTTATACCACTTTGCAAGATGCCAGAGAAATATCTAGATAGGATCGAACAATCCACTTATTAGTAAAGCAAGGATGCTAGATTTCTTTAAAAAAAAAATGCATGTGCCCTGCCCACGGAAATTTCGATAAAATAAGAACTAATTCGCTTTTTTTTTAAATAGTCTTCATTTTTTTACATAATACATAATTACGTTTGTTGTTAGAATTCATTGCTTTTTCAAATAAGTACAATGTGATCGCAGGCAGTTTTAAAATCTGAAAGGCCCAGAGTAAAAGTTATTGACGGGACGTGTTTACTGGAACTAAAAGATTTAACTTGACCCCCAGGCAGCAGCATTTATTTGCTGGTTCGTTGCGCAATATTTGTATGATAGACAATAACAGACTGTCAAATAAAAAGCAGTTACTAAAGTGGTCCAATTTTAAAAACCTTTATTCTTAGTATATTTACACAATTCAGACGCGAGCCCTTAAAGAAATATCAGACCAAATAAATAAAATGGCGATGAATTAAAAAAAAAAAAAGATTTAAGAACACGTTTACGCAGTACCCATAAATCTCCGTTAATTAAAGTTCGCCGTTGGTTTGACCATTCTTTCTGATAGTCTTCTGCAGGAGGTGAGCATCTGCTGGCTCTATCCTCTTGTAATAGTGCTCTTTGGTCTCCACAATTTCGAACCCGAATTTTTTATAAAAGTCTATAGCACCTTCGTTATTAACCTGCACGTGCCTGAAAAATTTCCCCATGTAAAGCACCACTTCTGCCTGATGAAGGTTATAAGACACTCACAGAAATATACTATCGAAATTACCGTCCTGCTCGACGAAGTTCAGGACGTGCTGCACCATGAGTGTGCCAATGCCGAGCCTGCGATATGGATACAAACATCCAAGCGTCATAATATACAACCTCCGCGATTTTTCCGAATTGTCTATTCGACAACACACAGCTCCCACGACTATGTCGTTGTAATACGCAAGCTTGGCCAACTCGCCCGCTTCGAGGACATCTTTGTAAAATTTGTCGTTGTAAGAAACAGGAAACACGACGCTGTTCAATTTCTTTAGCTGTTTTATGTTGTGCGGCGTAACGTTGCCTAGCTCTATGTTCGCCCTGTAAAACGAAAATCCGATTGACCGGAATAGCCACCTAGCCCTCGGCCACGAGACCACAATTACCTGGTCATTTTTAAGAAAAAAAAAACAATTTACTACGAAAAAAAATCGACTCCCTCTTTATTAGGCGGGTGTCAAAAAAATCAAAAATAGGTTGGGCATGTTCGGTCTACTTCTTTTGCTTTTCTAGACCTTTAATCAGTGAGTAACTTAAGCGAATTGACGTTGTAGTAGTTTCAAACCTAAAATTAATTCAATAGAAGTAAAAGAAAAGAAGAAGAACCAAAAATTAAATCGCTAATCCATCAGCCAAATCGTTTCAAATTGTATTGGAATGTCTACGCGATGGTAATCTGTTTAAAAGTCAATGATTATGTATAAAGCCTAAAATTATAGGTATCCGATATATCAAAAGGGTGGACCCCAGTTGCGGGTATTTCTACCGAATTTTTGGATGAAATTAGTGCGACCGACGGAAAATCAACCCCCAAACGTAGTCCAATTTGCATGCTCCATGGAAATGACGAAACACGACATCAAAAACTATCTGGAGAACATATATAATGTCAAAACAGTTCATGTTCGGACTAGGATTGCATTGGGCAAAACTAAAAAATGTCTTGGGCGACAGTACATAATCAAAGACGACGATATCAAGTACGCTTACATTACGATGGTATGTTAATATATTCGGTATGGCGTGTATTATTGAGCGTAGTATATTTTATAGCCGAAAGAGGAGTCGTTTAAATTCCCGGATCTATTTCCTGAAGAAATACAGGCGGAAAACAACCAAATGAAAGCTTTGAAAGAGGTAAAGGAAGGCACCAAACAGTTCCTGGAAAACAACAAGCATAGGCCTGGGATACCTGGATGGCTTACCATATGAAATAATTTAGATAAAAGTAGAAGCTAACAAATATTTAAAAAAAAATAATTTGTTTCCCTGACAACCACATTGTTTTGTCAATACTTTACCCAGTTTCGTGTTTATCCTTCCAAATCCGTACAATGAAAGTAGCTTTTTGTACAGACTTGGATAAAAGTGTGGTGGTTGCGAACTGTGAAAAACGCGGTTGGGTACAAGTAGGGCCTGACGATGACTGGAATATATACTGGGCAAGTACCCAAACTTGCCGCAGCTTATTTAGCGTCGATAGTGGGTACCGAATGAATGACAATCAGTAAGTAGGTTGATGGGAGAGTGCACAACTCATTCATTTCGACGTGCCTCAGGCTCATCAATCACTTTCCGAATCACTATGAAATATCCCGCAAGGATCTCCTCGTCAAGAACATCAAACGATACAGGAGGGATTTGGAAAAAGAAGGTAATCCCATGGCGGAACGGGGCGATTCCAAGTACCTCCACCTAGACTTTATCCCAGTGACGTTCGTCTTGCCTGCGGACTACAACATGTTCGTAGAAGAATATAGGAAAGCTCCGCAGAGCACATGGATAATGAAACCGTGCGGCCGATCCCAGGGCTCTGGAATTTTTCTCATCAACAAACTATCTAAACTTAAGCGCTGGTCTAGAGAGTCCAAGACTCCGTTCCAGCAACAGCTTACGAAAGAGAGCTACGTCATTTCCAAGTAACGCGATAAATAAACCACGACCCTTTCTATAGGTAACGCCTTCCGCTTTAGGTATATTGATAACCCTTTGCTTATTGGTGGGAAAAAATTCGACCTGCGTCTCTATGTGCTCGTTACCTCGTTCCGACCCTTGAAGGCCTACCAATTTCGTCTAGGGTTTTGTCGGTTTTGCACAGTCAAATACGATTCCAGCGTTGCCGAATTAGATAATATGTACGTTCATCTTACGAACGTATCGGTGCAAAAACACGGGGTAAGTACCCCGAATAGTGTCGTATTCAAAGGATTAGTAGTTTCATGGCCAAACAACAACCTATGTCATGACATTAAATGAAAATCATAATAAGGAATGATGAAAAGAAAATTGGTCTCCGACATAAAATTAATACTCCTAAGGGGTTGGTATATAGGAGTACACTAGCGGATTAACTCACTAAGAGAGACAGAACATCCGTGTGTTGAGAAGTTAGGCGGGCATCATAACAAAAATATTTTTTTTAATAGAATTTTTAGTTACACAAACAGTGTTTTGTGATATCACAAATATCCAGGAAATTTGAAATTGTTAAAGGAAACCCAATAATGTAAACCTGTAGAAGATAAAAACAAAAACGGCTATTGGGCAAAACTTCTAGATAACAGCAATGTTGCTGATTCTCGCCAAGGTAATAAACATAAACAGTTTCTTCTATTCCCTTTTGCAATTAGTATATTATGGAACAAGTGCGGGAAACGGCATTTGAGTCACGAGTTTATTTAGCACGAATGTAATCGTGTTGTTTTGCAAAAATATATCCAAAAAATAACGGTCGTAGGAAAACTGTAGTGTACAACGCGTTTGATAAACTTTTTAAGTGACTCGTTTATTAAACACTCACTTCGCTGGTGCCAAATAAACTCGCCGTTACCGCACCTGATGCATAATAGACTATTAAGTCAGAATTGCCAAGCAAAGACAAACTTACTTAATATAACCTTGTTGTGAATTTAAAATTTGCATAAAATGGGATTTTTCTTCTTCTTTTCTCGTCCTAAGCCTTTTTCTTGGTGAGGGGTTTCTCTCTCTACCACCCTGCTAGGAGATTTAATTTTATTGCCTCCGACATTTAGGGAGATCAAGATTTGTGTTGCTTAACGTTTTGCCAATCAAAACTTAACGATCTTGATAAGCTATTTGGATCATTGGGCCCATATTAATGGTTATGCCCGCAGTGCAGTGCGAGTGCAGCCATTACAATCTATTTAAATAATAATCACCAATTCATTAGGGGGAATATAATTCTCTTCATGGAGGGAAACTAAGCGTTGAAAACTTACGGCTCCATTTGGAAAGTACCAGGGGTAAACAGGTCACGGAGAAACTCTTCGACCAGATCAGTTGGTTGATTATTCACAGTTTAAAAGCGATAGCGCCTGTTATTGCGACCGACCGGCATTGCTTCGAGTGCTACGGCTACGATATTATCATCGACAACACGCTGAAACCTTGGTTGATTGAGGTAATATGATATAAAAATATAGGGCACGATTTTTATTCAGAGTAGGAACAAAGCAAACTGTAAAAACACTTGCACCTGCTTTGTCTACTATAGTACTTTGTAAGTCTGGCGGAGTCACGGTACACTATATTTAAACGGTTCTCTTGGGGCTCGACGGTTACCAAAGCGTTCTGAATCTCATCTTCCATTGTAACATATTGCGTTCTCGCCCCTATGACATCTGAAGTTTTCTTGCAGCCAAAATATATGATGAGATCGAGTTCATTTTTCTCTTTCCAATCAAAATCGTTTAGGAGTGAATAAGATCCAGGCGTCCATCTTTGTAATTCAAATTTCATTGTCGCCTCAATGCTGTTCAGTTCTAACTCAGTATATTTTTCCAGTAATTTGAACATGTGTCGCGATTGGAAAATGTCGATAAATTCGATTATTTTTTTCGGCAGCGTTTTATAGTCCGCAATCTCGTAGGAGTACCTATTAAGAGGGTAAACTTTTTGCCAAGCAACATTTTCTTTCCTCAATTCCTTGACCACATTATCAAACAAATTAGGTTTGAAGAAATGCCTAAGAGAAATCTCAGAGTGTTCCTCGATGTGGCGCTGAATCACTCTAATCGCTTCTGGGGCCACGTAATTGTCATCCAACCAGAAAGCCAAATCAACGTCCACATCTTTCGCTTTTACAGCCACCTGCCCATAAATACTACTCTCCGAAGGTATAAATTCGGGTGTTTTAAAGACGGGGGGTGTTTTGGTATGGAACCAGCCATTTATACTTAATCTGCAGTCGTTCAGGGTGACCACTTCCGCGACTTGATGGTATGAATCGCTTGTGACCGGGAAAAAAATGAACTGGTTATTTTCTGGGAACATTTCGTAAACCACTTCCTGCGGATGGCCTGATCTGTCTTTAGAGAACAGTTGCAAAGGGCCTCCTTTGCGTTTATCCCAGCCTTCTTTGCCAGTCAAGTACAGAATAAAGGCAACCATGCGATCCTCCCTTTGGTCATCGTGAACCAGAAGGTAATCACTATTGGTGTAAATGCTGCATGTGGCAGAAACATGTGATAAATCAAAACCAGTTAATTCCGCTATCCATCGCATAACGTCGTCTTTTAAAAACTTGTATAAACAAATCAAGTGTTCTTGTTTTAGGTAGACAATGTCTTTTGATTGAAAAAATTCGTACAAATCCATGCTTCTGTAGTTGAAATCGAGCTCGTTGAACTCTTGCCTGGCCTCGTCCAGCAACGCTGGGTTGGCCAGAAAATTTTTCAATATACAAATCTTGAATGGGTCCGCGATTAGTCGTATGTCGTCGTTAAACAGCTCAGAATTGTTCAACCAGCATTTTTTTATAGATTCCGTCGTTTCCGCGCTCTGAAAAGTCTTGCGAATTATCGGACACAGCCTTTGTTTTTTGCGTGGTTGTATATCAGACTCCCTGTCGCAGGTCGGCATCAAATGAAAGCCGGTAATTGATCCGCTAGGGAAAGAATGCGTCAGTATTCTGCAGTCTTTGTCCCAGACCTCGCAATCCACGTCGCTTTCAGATTCGTCGTCGTCCAACATTGGCGAACGTTGAAAATCATTCTCAGAATCTGATTCTTCCATTTTTCTGCAGTCAGCGAAAATTATTTTTGCCCTTTCAGCATAACCATTTACACTGCAAGTGCGGTTATGAGCTTTGTTCAAATAAAAGTCAGTTAACTGCGTAGCCATCACGACGCATGAGCATTGGGCATAAGCTTTATTTTTTTTTTGTATCCGACTTTTGTTGAAACTACTGTTATAGGATTAAGCGATTTTGATCCAGACTGCATTGCCTACAATGCCGATTTCTGTCGAGAATTTTTTAGTTCGTAGGAAGTGCTAAAGCTTCTGTCGCCTTCCTCGCATTAATTTTATATGAACTGACCATCTGTCGTCGCTTGGTTGAAACGTGCAATGAATCGTACACCACTAATAGCTGCGCGGATCACTCTGCAAAATATATTTACCTGATTCCGGAAGGTTTGAAATTTCAAATAATTCCTTCCTGTCGCAGAACATGAATGGAAAGTTTATTAGTTGCTGGTTAAAACTCACACAAAAATTTTGCATATAGTTTAGAACTTACATTTCAGGTATGATTCCACCAACTAAACTATGGTGGCCCTATACAGTAAAAATAGATGCGCCTTAGGGGGCTATGATATTTTCGCATGCCTCTACATTTCAAACACTAACCTACAATTTGTGCAGTTTTCTTTCAAACGCTCATATCCATACACCTAACTGCTTTTTGTCTGAAGATTTAATGGCCATAAAAATGCATGCGCATGTTGAATGTACTTTCTAAAATTTTTGTTTTATAGTTGCTTCATAAGTTCCTGTACATAGTACATACTGTACATAGCTACTAGACGAATACAGGCCCTCACTATACTGGCAGTACAGGAACTCATGAAGCAGCTATGTAATTTTTTTCAAGAAAGTCCATTACACGTGCGCATGCACGATGTTTAATTTTTTTTTTAAACCAATGGCAGTTCTAATTGCAAATTCTTGCGTTGGACCCGTAAGACATTGCGACTTTCAGCAAACAGCATGGCCGCTGACAGATCGTGAATGTTTGGATGCGGTATTTTCCCAAAATATGTTCTAAGGCCTGCTCAATTGCAGCACCCACGTCGGCGTCAGTATAATTCCGTAATTAATTTGGCGTTATTGTTCTTCGAGCCCTGTAGATTGTAGATACGATGCAATTTCTACATGCATTTTTTTTATCTAAGCTATTTTTTTGTAAATCGGCGCAAAGCTTTAGTTTTTATAAACTGATATGTTTAACCAAAAATGAAAACAACAATGACAGAGGGCACAGGCTGTTCTGCGACAATAGTAATTACTTAGCTCGGCGTTGCCTATTATGTTCGGATTTGAGAGATTGATGTTGCTGCTTATAAAAATTAATAAATTTTCCAGAAAAATTACAGCAATGTAGCAACTCAGCCAGTTTGGGGCCACCAGATTATCTTATAACTATATGAGCAAAGCCTCTATCTCTAGCAGAGGAAACTGCTATTTTTTAATTTCTCAAGGACCATGTGTTGTTAATATTTAGGTAAACGCGTCTCCTTCACTGACGTCAACCACAGCGAATGATCGAATACTGAAGCACAAATTGCTAGACAATATATTCAACGTCGTCGTTCCACCGAACGGAATGCCCGAGTAAGTTTAAAAAAAAGTGAATACATTCGAAAACAGTTTTTGTTTTAGCGTAAGGTGGAACAAGATTCCTTCACCAGAGGCGTTGGGGGACTTTCAACTGCTCATGGACGAAGACCTTGTGGCACTAAACGAAGGCCACGACAATGGTTCTGGCAAAAATAATTCAAGGTGGAAATAAAAAAAAGGTCAAGGGAGTTAAATCGTATATTTGATTAAACGTACACTAAATTCGGTTTAAATACGTCGATCAGCTTTTCGAACGAATAAGGGTCTAAGCATTCCCTTATTCTTTTCGCTTTGTATTTCCCGCTCAGACCCTTAAATCGGTTGTATTCCAAATACAAATTAACGATAGTATCTGCAACGACATATTTATTTAATCAGATTTAAACCCACTTGACCATTTACCCGCTAATATATCCGACTGCTGCGGGAAATTCTTGAAACTGTCATTAATATCCCTTTTCCGGTCCAGTAAACACCGGTATTTGGGAGTGAGATATTTTAAATTTTCCTCTTCCGTGATTTCTAACTCCTCCAGGGCTGCCAACAGCGCGAAATCGCGCAACGTTTGTTGGTGACCGAGCAACTTTGGCTCTATTAGCTTGATGACATGGTTTACGCTCTCATCGTTAATGCCTTCGAGCGATTTAATACATAGCCAATTATGAATGGAGGCGTCATACACGGAATGAAAGAAAACGATTAACCGCAAACCTCGTTGAGCCACAACAACTTACCGTATTTGAATTCGATTTTGGTTCTCTTTTCCGTTGCCTTTTTCGCTAGAAAATCTTTAACTACTGAAAGAGTGAACACGTTTTCCGACTCAAACTCCGCCTCTCCCTTTCTGAAATCATCTCGCGTCAGAGCCGTGTCGTAAGCTAAACGCAGCCGCGACTTACTGGTATGAACAGGACAACAGGGTGTCCGTTAAACTCGACTTATAATACAAAACAGTGTTACCGGTTATTTCCGGCTTTTCGGGTGTCTCGGGCAAACACTGGCCTATCCAGCTATGCATTTCGCCTAAACTAAATGACCCTTTAACGTTGAGCTGGTTGTAAGGTCTAAAAAAATGGTCTAAACACCAAACCGTAAGCCGCCCTTAGAGATGCGCTACCTGTCTGTGTGGTCGAATTTATAAATTCTGTAGTGCAACGATAGGGGTTTTACGTCGAACCGTAAAAGTTTGCTGCATTTCGGTTGCAGAACCGGCGTGATGTATACCAGCAGCGTACCGGTTCTCCCCTCTACCGTACGAAATTTCAATTCGATGCGATTAGTATCGACCTGACACCGGTAGGTGGCCAAGAGAACGTCCGCGTCCTGAGAAACGCTTAGGCGATATTTTCGGGGGCGGGATTCCGCAAAATGAATACGAACCGTAGTTTGAGCGCGACTCACTATGGCCGTCGTTTTTTCTGCGTCCAGCAAATCCACGCCACCGTCGCAATGCACCATGACGTTCTCTATGGCCGCAGGCACTTCCACCGACATCGTATGCGTCGCGTTACTTTTGTTTAAGGTGAACTGCAATCGCACACGATACGACGCTTTCATTATAGTCTGTGAGGCTCTACCCGAAAGCTAACCTAACTGTCATATCTACGAATATCTACGAACGCAGTTGTAACCGAAGTTTAAAAGTCATTTTCCTTCAGCTTCCACTTTTAAGAGTTTTTTCTTGGGGTTGTCTTATCACACGTATTACGTAGCGACAACTTACCGACGAGTTGACCGATAGCGGCGGTATGGCGGAAAATTCATCGGAATAGGTCAAAGTCGACTTTTGGTACTTGTCCCGTTCCCGCGACACCCTCAAGTGTAGTTCCTCGATTTCGCCCCTGAGCTTGTCAATTTTTTGTACGGTTTCGGATGAACATACGTAAGCGCCGGTGGCGCCGTCTACGTTAACTTCCGCGGCTTGCGTCGTGAGGCCGAAAATGCGACCGCTGTACGTCGCCACTAAGATTTCGTCGTACCCCGCTGCAGCTACGACGCCGCACTGTACGCCCGTCACCATCTCGTTGCAATTCTGGGGATTTACGAAGTCGTAGTCGCTTTAAGACACTTTTGTTAAGCCCCTTAAAGATTCGACGCGAACGGTCTACTTTTTTAATCATTTTAGTAAATGGAAACCCAACAATAGAAAAATACGGTCAATCGAGCATAGGTATTGTTTTCTTTTTGTCCCTCATTTATATAAATGGTAGAAGTGGGTGTTGTTTAATGACTTTATTTACTGATATAATCATTTACTGAAATCATTTAAATATTATAATCTAACTTCTTTAAAAAACACTGAAAAATACGCATACAAATTGATACAAATTTTAGAATAGTTAGTCTTTTCTGGCGGTTTTAAAAAATTGATTGAGCAGAAAAGAGCAAAATATATTTTTCAGAGTATTATTTCGAAAAGAATTAAAATCACATATTTACCTAGCTACGAGTATGTACATTTAACTAATATTTTTTATTTCTCGAAAAGGGAAAATATTTTACACTTTTACAGAATACTGACCTATTTTTGATTTCTAAATCACATTCACAACTAAAAATGATAAAATCAAATTAATAATTTTCGTTACCACATACCCACTTATTTATGACGCGTATGACTAAGAAAACAATTCTCATTACTACCCGTCTCCCTCTAAATAAAATCTATATTGACCAGACATCAAATATCAATTTCCGTCATACGTTTTACAAAACTTTTGGATTCCTCCTGCATCGGTTTTTATTGAATCGAACTAGTTAACGTTTCACCAATCAAGCTCTGAAGAAGCCAACAGGATAATTGGCGAAAAGTTTAACTCAACAAGAACCGACGCAGGAGGAATCCAGAAATTTTGTAAAAATTATTACGGTAGCCTGTGAAAGTTCAATCACGATCAACTCATCTCGTCACGACTAGCTTTTGCACTAGAATTATTAATAAGTGCCTTTTATTCAAATAAATATTCCCATATATTTCTATTTTGGTTAATTTCTTTTTTTGTGTTGAAATATAAATTGTAGCAAATGGAAAATATTTAAAAAATTCTAAAATTAGTTATCTGAATCAATATGTTAACAAAAAACTAGCCAAAACAATTCAACCCTCATGTAAAGTCAAATCACGCTCGCGGCGACGCCTTTACGAGTCCGATCGCATCTTTATAAATGGTTCCCCAAACTCGATGACCTGTTAGAAGTATATGGAGAATGGAAAAAGACTTTTGAAAATGGGATTGCGGCTATAAGAGGCTATGGCCCGTATTTTTAAAAGACTTGGGACATTGCAGCGTTGCCACATCTACTTGACCCAGACACTAACTTCGTTTTCTTAAATTGAATGACCATGTAGCTATTAGATAATATAGTGGCCCTACTATGTTAACAGTTGATGCGCCGTAGGCGGCATGGATACTTTCGTAGAGAGGCCTTGCCTCTACATTTCACCCACTAACCTGCACTTCGCGCCATTTTCCTTCTAAACATCTATTTCCACACACTGAACTCGTTTTTCCAAAACAGTTAACATGATCTAGGCATATTTTGAGAAAATACTGCCGCAGAAATGCCGCATTTAAACTTATTGACGATCTGTCAGCCGCCATGTTGGCGTGCATGCGCATGTTGAATGGACCAAATTTTTTTTCATAGTTGCTATATAAATGCCTGCATTATCACATGGGCAAGGCCTCAATATCTCTAGTAGCTATATGGGAATGACCTGTATATCATTACATTTCTGGGTCCTATGAAACATTAATTAGATGTGGTAACGCTACATTGTCCTAAATATTTGAAAAATAAAAATCACCCAATCAACCCAAATTTTAAAGGACTATCTTTATTCATTCTTCATATTCCATATACTTCTAATAGGTCACCGTGTAAACTAACTTGCAAAAATACGATCACCGAAGCATCCATTTCGTCGTGAACGTTGACCCGGTATACTTCTATGTTGCCGTCTTGTTTGCACGCGATGACGTTTTTCGTTCCGTTCCCACTCAGATCGTAACTGTCGATACAAGAAATCGGGCTCGCGCTTTTGTCGTTTGCGATAAGCCACCGGCGGAATCCGTGCAAACTGCAATCACGACGCCCGTTACAATCACAAATGACGTTCCGCGCGTGTTCGCTATACTTTTCTACATCTACTATGCCGATTCGACCGTCAATAGTTCCGAAAAGCACCGTGATCACACCGTCCTCGTCATAGACATGGAGAACGGTCGGCGAGCTTTCAACCTCCATGCTGTACGTCACTCTCGTGTGTTCTAGAACGCGGATCATGCGGCCCTCGCATGCGATCAAAGACGTCAACCGTCTTGTCTACAAACGCAATGCTCATGCGCAATGGATGACGTAATAACCAAAAGAAATTGAGCTGTTTTATTGATTATGGGGACAATATAAATGTGCGAGGAAAGTGTTGACTCAATTATTCATTTAAAACGGGGGGTTTACGTGATTTGTTGAACGATACGTCCCTAAAATGTCAATGTCGTTAATGGTGTGAGTTAGCGACTTTAGCACTTTTCTGAAATTCTTTATATAATAAAATAATTATTAAATTACGGGCATAGGCACAGGTTAGAATTAAGAATATATGTATTAATTAAGAATTAATTCTATCCTTTGCTTATAATTTTTTACTTCTACAGGATAATGTAAATCAATCCCAAAGCTTCTCATTTAGATAAAGGGTACGTGAAACAGTCCTATCTCGCAAACGCAGCGCTTATAGGAAATAACCATTCCTCTTTTCTTGCCGTCCGAGGGATACGCCATTGTTTGCGCTTGAATTATTCAAATCCGCCAACCTTTGGCGCGTAGAACGCGACCACGTCCACGATGACGTCACCACAGAGGTACGAGCCCACGTCTTTGTGATCCCTGAAATGTGCGTACACGTGCTTCCCACACATTAGCATTTCGTTGCCGATGACGAACCTACAATTATTGCAAGGCAAGCTTTTTTTCGAAAATTTACGTGTCTATATACATCGCAGTAATTTGTTCGGTCATTCCGGAGTCGAAAACCGAAAATAGTTTGCCCTTTCCCGTGAAACATTTGATTTCGTTCCCCATTGCGATGAATATTTTCTCGTCGGCGGTACCTGAAAGCGAAAACGCATACTATATCGGCGCCAGCGTAAGTTTTGACATCAACATTGCGGACGAATGCATACGTCAAAATTTCCATCAGAAACGAATTATTTAAAACGCTATCATGATTTTACGATCCAATAATAACTTTTCGGGCCTGTTACGGGCCTACGAGTTTGTCATCTGTCAACCTACAAACCAGTTTCACTTTGTGTTTTCGTGTGGTGGAGAACGCTCTTTATTAAAAAAATGAAAATCATAAATCATAACGAGGTGCCACGCCCGTCAAAAGTTTTAAAAATCAAGTGGAGAACAATCCCTTTTTCTGACAAGTCAGTTTTGAATCGACCGCATCTTAATGTTTCCGCATGGGTTGTGAGCTTGCCACAAGTTTGTCTAAATCGGCCACTTGTCTCATGAAATTTTTGCTATAAGTGACATAGCCTAAACTGACACCTTACTTTGTTACACAGGCTGTGAATTTATTATAAGCTGTTCTAAATTGACCACTTGTCTCAAAAACTTTTTCCTACAAGTAAGATGGTCTAAAAAATTGACATCTTGCTTTATCGGAGAGCCTGTGAATTTGTTACCAGTGAGTCTAAATTGGGCACTTGCATCAAGACCTTCTTATAAATATGATAATCGGCATCTTGATTTATTACAGAGGCTGTAAATGTGTCACAAGTTGGTCTAAAGCCTGATGACATTTTTCCTATAAGATAGTCTAAATTGATCTTTTACTTTATTATACAAGCAGTATATTTGTCACTAGACTTCAATTCCGCCACTGTTGTCACGAAATTCTTTCGATAAGTAAGGATAGTCTAAATCAGCATCTTGCTTGCTTTATTACAGATTCTGTGAATTTGTTTCAAGTTGATCTAAATCAGGCACTTGTCTCAGGAAATTGTAATTTGTCACAAATTAGTCTAAATGAACTACTTTTCTCATGCAATTCTTCCTACAGGTAAGATAGCCTAAATCGGCATCTTACTTTATTACACATGCTGTGGACAAGTGGATCTAACTAAATCACCACTTGTCTAAGGAAATTCTTCCTATCAGTAAGGATAGTTTAAATCTTCATTTGACTTTATTACATAGACTGTAAATTTGTCAGAGGCTGGTCTAAATTGACCACATGTCTCAACAAATTATTCCTATAAGAAAGATAATATAAATAAGCATCTTACTTTATTGCATATGCTATGAACTTGTCACAAGTTAGTTCGAATTGGCAACCTGTCTCATGAAATTTTAACTATAAGACTGTGAACTTGTTATAAGTTGGTCTATTAACTCGGGGTAATTTCAATTCTGGTTGGACAACTTATGTGAATGACTTATCTATTCTTAAACAGATTCCAAAATAGGCGAAAGCCTATTATATAAATTAAATAAATAAATAAGACAGTCCGCATCGTACTTTAACATTTTGTGAACATGTTATAAGTTTTAAATGGCCAAGTGCATCGCCATCGCAAGTTGTTTAAATCTACCACTTCTCCCATAAGACCCTTTCTTTTAGTAGATGATCTAAATTGACTTCTGCAAACTCATGCTCTGAATCTTATCACAACACGGTCTGTATCGACCGATTGTCTTATGATATTACATAAATTGAACACTTAGATTAATTTAAGAAAATCTAAACTGAATGCTATAAATTTGGTTTTCTTGTCGTAATAAAAGTTTTTTAATTTCGACTATAATAATCGAAACTAAAGTAGAATGCATGAAGATCGAATACTCCATCCAGAAGTAAACTAAAAAAATTTCCTGTCCTGACCCTTATACTAGCCTTGCAGATATTAATATTACCAATCAAATTGGAAGAGGACGAATTTCTGAAGAGATTCTGTAAATTCAGGCTCGGGATGTTATCAGTAGTCGGCTTAAATTAGCCGCTCGTTTCAAGACAATTTTATTATGAGATAGTCTTGGTCTTTTTACTGTATTCTTGCCACAAGATAACGTAATTTTGTAGAATAATCTCCTGTGTATTCAAGTTCTAAACAATCTTTTTACTAGATTAAATTCTTACATTTTATATGAAAGCACTACGAAACTACTATCAACCACCGAGTATAGTGGGCGGGTTCAGAAATGCACGGCGACATCAAGATACCAATGTTTTATGTAGTTTTTTTTTTTGTTGCCATTTTATACATAAATCTGGGATATAGTTTATGAGAAGAAACGACTTTTGGAATTACGTAAGAATTGCTTCATAATATCTAGGGTAATATTTTGAGGCTGATTCGAATTTTGTGTCAATCAAGAGGAAGCTGAAAAAGATCTACATCAAAAAATATTTAATAAAATATCCAGAATTGGTCCCTCCTTTGCAATTCAAAATAACGATTAAAAAATCCTGACCAGTGTCTTCTATTATTAGGAACATGTGAATAGAAGCGGTAGGTAGGTGGCTAAGTAGGTATGTGTTTCGGATGCAATGATTATCAATCTAAGCGTTCATTTATATAGGAAATAGGATAAATGGATTAGTTAATTTAACAATTTTGGAGCCCCTTCAAGTTTGATTTTGAGCTCCAGTCTTACAACATAATCTTTAAATGTTATTTTGTCACTAAGTCAACTTTGAAAAGAGTTGAAGGTTAGGAACAGTTTAGAAACTGCTGATCGAGAACAGAAATTTATTTACATATTTCCGCTATTCGTATTAAAATATAGTTTAGAAATACAAATTTTGATTTAATTTTTCAAAATGTTGAACAAGCCACAAGTAACATCTACATAGTGTTATAGGACGAAACTGAAAATTGAAAAATCAAACTTCTTGAAGTGAAGGTCGATTTAAATATTTACAAGTGATTTTTACCTAACTAGACCAACTCCCATTCTTTTTTCAATTTTCCCGCCTGTTTGTTTGAAAATGTTGACTTTAAACGCATATAGCTACTCGAGATATACAGGCCTGCCTATGAGTTTGAGGTATTCAACAACCAACATGGCCACTGACAGATCGCCAATAAGTTTAGATGTGGCATTTTTAGGGCAGTATTTTTTTAAAATATGCCTAGACCTCGTTAATGAGAAAAATGATTGGAAATCGCGGTTTAGAAAGAATATTGCACAAAGTGCAGGTTAGTGGGTGAAATGTAGAGACATGCGCGAAAAATAATTATCTTTTCTATGAAAATATCAATGCCGCCTGCGGCGCATTAATTTTTACCTTAGAAAGGCTATGTGTTCCGTCGGGGGTTCGTGCGACAGTTACATGAATACGTTAGTTTAAAAACCTAATAATTACAATGCCGGTTATCGTACGTTGCCTGAGGACAGTGCGCTCGCGCATTGATATATGCTAAGTGCTAAGGATAGACTAAATCCTTGAAGGTTCTATGGCAGGAACGTTAACATGCTATGTCGCCATGTTTAAAAGAACAGTTGAGTAGATTGACGGATGACATACTCAGGCCCATAACAGACCGATTTTTTTTTTATTGGACTGTAAAATCGTGCTTCTTCAACGACAAAATGGAGACTAAATACATAGTGATCTAGTTTGAAAAAGAAAATTAAAATTGAACTTCACTTCAAGTTTTTAGTTTTTCAATTTTTTTATTTTTACCTGTAGCCCCCGCAGTTTGCACCGACGTAATCGCGGATCCGGGAAGCGTTTTGAATTGCGTTTGGACGTCGTCCTTACGCACGGTAAACACTTGCAAGGTGCCGTCGGTGTCTCCGACAGCGACCTAAGTATTTGGGAAGTTTTGCGTTATGTATTGAAGTATTTTATTTAAAAAAGGACGGAAGACATACACGTCAAGCAGGCGCGTTGTCGCAGACTATAGAAACCGCAACGTCATCGATCGTTAATCGAATTAGCGACGCCATTACCTGACCGATGTATTTTTAATCGCGTAATTGTGGTTACCTTTTGCTGTTCCCTTGGGGCTGCGGAAGGTAGCAGCCTCAAACAACTTTTGTTCGTGACGCCCACCAGCGTGTAGTCAACTCGACGCAAATTAAATTCCATGGCGAAGGGACAAATCGCAGCAACACGTTAAGAAAACCACGTCGGCATTTTAACAGATGGCGCTTCCATGACAACCGCCGATTACAAACAAACGCGTATTATCGACCGCGTTCTGTGATTTTGGAATTTTTTAATTTTATTTTTCCGACTTTACTTGAAATTGAATTTCCAAATAAATTACTTAAAAAAAACTGTATGCCTGTTTTTTTATTTTCAAGAGAACATACTAAATCTTAAGTACCCCATGCTTTAAAAAAAGTAAAAATACAAAATCATAAATAACTAAAATAATGTTTGGCTCTATTGGTGATAGTGGAACTGCAAATATATATTTTTTTACATTTTTCTATATTTTCAATTTTGAATAATTTTTTCAATTTAGTCTTTTCTTTAGTCATAGTCTGTAAACTATATACAGGATAGTTTACGATCCAAGAAGAAAAAATTGGGAAAGGCGACGCGGCGTAAACGGCACGTAAAATCAAACTATGGTGTAGTGTTTTATAGAAAACTAATATTTAAACAGTAAAATATGTAAAAACAAAAAAAAAAGTTACACATAAATAGGTTCATTTAAACACTAGAAAATGTCTTAAAAATCATCGTATAATATATTAAAGGTACAATTAATTAACAACTTATAGGTTTCTTTCGGTATGGTACACTTTTTTTCTTTTATTTAAGAATTATCACCGTAATCTCTATCACCAACATTGATTCGATCAGGGGCTGATGTCACGTTAAATCCTAATATCCTTGAATCCACCTTCAGCATTTTCGATTTTTTATTTTTTTTATTCTTGCCCTAAAAAAAGAACGTCGGCGTTAAACAAAAGAAATTCCACCGCTTTGGAACCAAATAAGTTTAAAGTGCGGAAGGGCTCGACGCGACTGAAGGCACCAAAGGATATGCAGACCCAAATTGAAATTATAGATCTTGATAATTCTCATACCTTAATATGTGTGAACTACTGTCGCCATTTAACCGTGTAAGCCTGATTTCGATGATTCGAGTGAATATACATTTTTTGCGACAGTGATACATTTGAAGTACTCACGCTAATTTGCATAATTTTATAACTTTGGCTCGCCGTCAATTACTTGAGAGCATAGACTGTGATAGGTTTGAACTACTCTAGCTAAAGCGTCCCGGTTCGATGTCATCGTCAAAGTTTATATGTTACTTGTTGCATTTCTCATGACTTTGGAAGGGACTGTGTGGTGATGTGGAATCACTCGGTTTAATTTTACTTGTTACTTGTTTGTGGTCACTTTAGTATAGTAGAGTCAGGCTACTTAGCCTGGACGCATCGGAAACCCCGCCCACCTTAACTTTACCTTGACCTCCTGAAACTCCATACTGTGCTGCGTGGAGGGCGTGATGGCCGGTGCCGGCGAACACATATCGTCCTTGTGGGCGTTTTTTGGCTTGAAGGAGCGTCGCTTCTCGAGAAAATTGTTGGCGAACTGCTGCGTGGTATTGCTCTCGCCCAGGTACTCTTTGCAGTATTCGCGCACCTCGAACGCGGACTCGATATCCCTCAGAAAAGTGATGAAGGTGGGAACTGCGAAAAAAACATTTTAACTCCGATTCCTGCGGCGCCGCCGGACATCGTGCGGAAACCTACTATCGACGTCGCTGGAAAAGTTGGCGAGCGCCTTGTGACACCATGCAGTAAAATCGTCTTGCAGCGGTCCATTGTTGTTATTATGGTTCTTTTTCGTGGACGACTCCTCCTTCTTGGCTTTGACTTTGGGCTGCTGCTGCTGTTTCAGCTGTTGCGGCTGTTTTGGCGCGCCGCCGATCGTCGATGCCGAACTACTCTTGGACACACCGGACGGTTTGTGGAGTTGGGGTACCCGGGGCTGTGCGTCCTCCCAAAATCCGGAATAATTCGTGGAAGACCACTGAGAAGTGGTCGAAGCGCTCGCCCAGGTAAGATTCTGCCCGCTCCATATGTTGGCCGAGCTCTGCACCTGTGGCGGCGCCTCCTTCGCCTCCTTTTCCTTTTTCATGCGCGCCTCCGCGGACTCCTGGTGACGTTTCACGATATTTAAAAAAAAAAAAAAAACAATTGCGGAATTGCTTCAAAAAGACAAACCTTCGCCAGACGTTCTTGCTCTTCTGCTTGGATCTCCGCCAACGATTTCACTTTCCTCGGCTCCACAGGCTTCCTAGCCCAGCTAAGTTGAAGGCCACTAGGTTTTTCATGCTGCTGCTGCTGCTGTTGCATCTCCTTTTCCTTAACGAAAAATAAAACCATTCCCCTCCTGCCTGTAATGATCCCACTCAAAGCTGCTCACCAGCTGGGCCCTCTGCTGCTGCAACGCCACCTCCTGGAGCTTCCGTTCCTTCTCCGCCTTCTGGATCTCTGTCAGGCTCATACCGAGCGCTGAGTTTGACTGAGACCACGGCGCCGCCTTCGCCAGCATCAACTGCTCTTGCCGCTTCTCTTCCGCCCGCTGCTTCTCCTCCGCCTCTTTCTGCTGTTTCTCTTTCTGCATCCGTTCCTCCTCTAGCCGCTTCGCCCCCTCCGCCTTCTTCCTCGCTTCATCCTCGACCTTTCTTTGCTCTTTTAGCCGCCTCCTCTCCTCTAACTCCCGCAACCGTTTCTCCTCCGCCTCCCTTTTCGCCTTCTCCAGCTCCTTCCTAATCTTCTCCTCCTCCTTTCTCTTTCGCTCCGCTTCGGCCTTCTTCTCCGCTTCCAGCCGCCTCTGCTCCTGTTTCCGTTTCTCTTCCGTCTCTTTCTTCTGCTGTTTCTCCTCTTGTTCCTTCTTAATCTTTTGCTCCTTAGCATCGTCTCGGGGTGGCCGCGCCTCCGCTTCTTTCTCATCCAGCGCAGGTTTTTCAAGTTGTGCGTCGACCGTCTGCGCACCCGCGGTCAAAGGTTGCTGTTGCTGCTGCTGCTGTTGCACGTCCCAAAGGGACAAGGGTACCTCCTGCGGGGGCTGCCACTGCTGAGAGGGCACGGACGTAGCGGGAGAGAACTGGTTCTGCTGCCAAAGCGCCTCCACTTGCTGCTTTTAAATGAATAAAATGCACCGAGGAAATTCGAACTACATATCGAAAATCTCAATACCTGGGCCTGTTGCTTATGCTGCAGCTGCTTGAGCAAACTCGATATGGGGTCGGATTGGGCTGAGGTTGAGCCCACCTGCTCCACGGAACTGGCCCTGGGCACCGTCAACCCCAGCCCCGTTATCGGGTTAGGCATACCCGGGAGCGGCATCCCGCCCGAAGTCAGCGACGGGTTTTGAAGGCTGTGAATACTGTCTGGCGGTATAGAGGTCGGCACGCTTCCCGTTAAGGCAGAGGGTAGGTGATTAGGAAGGCCACTGGGTAAACGGTTTTGCAATGACAGAAAGTTGCTCATGTGCATTTGCACATGGGGATCCAGGGAGCTCGGCATGTTTTGGGGTGGCTTGTCCAATAGGCCCGGACCAGGAAGTTTGTTCGCCTGCGGAAGGTTTGAACTACCCCGTGAACGACCGCTACGATATTGTTGAACCTTACCTGCTGCATCTGACTGATCATTTGCATCAGGGGGTTGGTCGCCTGTTGCTGAAGATATGGTATCTCAGATTGGACTTGTTGCTTGGGAAAAGAGACTTTGATTGGTGTTGCGAAGTCTAAGTGAATAAAAAACTAACCTGCTGTTGCATAATCAGCCTCTGAGCGGCGACCTCCTGCTGTTGAAGGGTGAGGGCGCTCCAAGGGTCTGCATGTACGCGAGCCTGCGCCTGTTTGTAAGCAGCCAACTGGGACAGGTACTGGAACTGGAGGTCGTTTTCTGGCATTTTGGATATGTCGTTTTTCAGTACGGGAAAGCGGAGTGTGGTCTGGAACGGGTTCGAGCCGCCGCACATTGTCATCAATTCGCCCAATAGGAAAAAGCGCTCGTCGCAGTGGCGGCGTACCTTGAGATCCTGACCGAAGTAGCCCGCCTTGAACCACTCAGACATTTCAGTGTTCGTGAACGGACCTTGCATTTGTCCCTGAGGATAAGAGGTACGGCTCATTTTTGTTCTTACTTTCATTTCAGATCCCCCTATGGTCGGTCCTAAGTCGCCAGATATGCATCTTATTTTCTTTTATTTCAAATTTTACCCTGGGCATTATTTCTTTATAAGTATGTTAATTTTTTTGTTTATTAAAGCGCTATGCATAAATGTTTTTGGCATTATTCTTTTGCAGATAACTCATGCATCATTAATATTAATAATTTATTTTTGGAAAAATTAATTATTTTTATTGGTTTTAATGAAAAACTTAATTCGGAATATTTCATCACTTATATATATAATTATTTTTGAAAAAAAAAATTACCTATTTTTAATTTTTGGTTAAAAAAAAACATATTCCTGATGTAATTTTGTGCAGGTACAATACTCAGTATTTAAGACCATTTATTTTTGAAAAAAATAATGCATCTATAATTTTTAGTGAAAAAAACCCTAGGCATATTTTAACATAATATTTTGCTGCCAAGTTTTTTATTAATTTGACAAATTTTTGGTACACAAAAATTTTAAAAATGAATCTACTTTAATTTATTGTGAATATAAAAACAACCTATATAATACCTGCGGATCTTGATAAAACCATTTATCCTGTCCTGCCACAGTCAAATTAGGCGGAGGTGGTAAACTGGGCAAGTCGAAGCTGGCGTGCGTCTGCGGCGGATGCTGAGGCTCCTCGTCCACCACTAGCTTTAGAACAAAATCCTCCTGGAGCTTCTCAAATTCGCTGTCTTCAATCCTGAAACAACCTGTCAACTCCCGTGGGGAATAACGTTATTAGTTCCAAGCTCACCTTTGATCTGGCGACTTATCATTTATGCATTGTCTCACTTCTATGGTTTTCTGTTTCCCTTCAGATGCTATCCTCTCCTTGGCAGCTAATCCGTCGCCATCTGGGAAGGCGAGTTTCATGCGCGCCCCATCCTTCAAACTATCATTATCCGCCAGATCCATGGGTTGCCCACTCTGAAGATATGTTAATCAACCCACCTTTCTGCACTCGCCAAAGAACTTACCTCACGCTTTCCGTGACCATCTTCGTCTTTGACTAACGACATGGTTGATTTGGACGAATGCAACGGCGGGTGGCCTTTGTTAGTAATGTGCTGTTGTGACGTAGACTTTTGCAAGCCTTCCCTTCTAAAACCCCTCCCCTCCAGCTGAAAAAAATGTTCCAAAGTTTGATCAGTACTCTAGCAATATCCGGCAAAAATACCTGTTCATCGTCAGAACCATGAAAAGCTCCCCTTTCGTCGAAAGAGCCCCCGCATTCTGAAGGATTCTCGTTGGCCCACTCAGGCAAGTGATCTTCACTATCCCATGATCTCTTCGCAGGTCCCCGGGTAGTTTCGTGCCAATTGGATCGGTTACCTCTTTCTGGTGGCCCACTCCTCTCCTCAATCTCTCCCTCACCTCTCCAACTTGTGGATCGACCTAGCCACCATTATTATATGCAACCAGTTCAATGGAGGACACCCTAACGGAAATTCTTACCCCATTTTTCGTGAGGGTTCCTGTTGGGCGGTAAATTCCTCCATCCATCATCCTCTTCATTGCCCCTAACACGCCTCCAATTGTCCAAAGAGGCGGGCCTGGAGTTATACTCCTTCCGGGGGCTCCAATCGGAAGAATCACCGTTACCCCAACCGCCCTCGTAAGTGGATGGCCTACCATAAGAGGGATAGCTACCTCTACCTCTGCTTACACGACCGCCGCGTTCCAACGAACCACCCCTTCCTCTGGGCGGGCCACTCAGGGTGGTCGGACGACTTTGCCACCCGCCCCTCTGAAATGAGCCTTCATCCTCAGAGGAAGGCAATAAGGCCAAAGGAGGCAGGGTTGTTTCAGAATAGAGGCTTTTAAAATTGGTGAGGCAGGCAGGAGGCTTGATGTTTCGGTCAAATAGCGCAAGCATTTCTTCACGACCATACCTTAAAATGGTCAAGAGGAAAGACATTAGAAACGGACAATTAAATCAAATCCCAATTACTACTCAACAGTACTTATTCGTCAGTTTGGTAAAAACCAAACTCAACACGTCATTTACTTCATTATTTCGAACATACTCACCGATAGTCTGCAAGTTGGTACCGCGTTGCGCTACCACTGGCGCCTACCCCTGCACCACTACCGTCTGAAGAAAGATTGCGAATCCAGTCAGGACCGAAATTCATTGAGTCAGTCATACTAAAAAAATTGAATTGGCATGGTCATGTAAGGTCGTTTTTTCGTAGTGACGGAAAAACTATTCAACACAATAGATAAAAATGGAAGCAACTATTTATAGACTTTTCAACGTAAACTAGAACCAAGCGCTCAAATTGGGCAAGACTTCATGAAAACTAAACAATATGTTAGGCTGCGATCAATTTATAAACAGAGTTTTATTGTTAGCCACACAAGTGAGCAGAAAGGCCTCAGGCGAATATGTGTGTGACAATTTTTGGGATTCGATCATTTATTTTTGTATTTCAGTAAGGGCAAGCGCCGCTTTCGGGCCGCCATTGCACAATCCATTCATAAATCCGCGATAATTCCGCCACAACTAATTCAGAATTACCTGAATATTCCTTTTAAACACCTTCTAATATGTGATCAACATAAATGGCTGCAACCCGAATTGTAGGTTATCGCGCATGTGCCTCACTGTCAAAAAACACAAAGGAAATTAAGTCCCCAGTTTTTTTCTCTTTTTGAAGTTGCATTTCAAAATTGTCTTTCTTGTGTCCGATTTGATCCACTTTTTTGTGGGATTTTGCAAAGGACGGTTGCGACTATTAAAAAACCTTAGCCTTTCTTACACTCGAGACGCAACCAAAAGCAGAACTTTATTACCGGTTATTAAATTGTCGCGTTTCCTCGCCTCTTTTTGTTTTTAAATTAAATTACACTAAATCTGGAAAAGTTATTATAAAAATACTGTTTGCAAAATATGAATTTTTATTGTGCCTGTTCAGGGTAATTTTTTTTTAATTATCTGTGATACCACCGCCAGCTATTACCAAAGCGCAGGCGCGAAGCAATAGTGCTTGATTTGGCTGTCATGAAGGGCGTTTGCATTTGTGGTTAATCGTGCAGAGAGCTAGTGCTGTTAAAAAAAAATTGCCAGTTTCGCGAAAATCTACACGCGGTAGTACCAGTAGGTAAGTGTTTGGATTTAATTTTCAGTTTGAATTTGTCGAGTTCGCCCGTTTATAGCTCCGTAGCTATTTAAAATGGCCGACGTTAGGTGTAACCCCATTTGATTACCAAAATGGAATTACGTAAAAAAAACGCAAACTGCATCGAACCGCGGGTCGATCTATAAATTTCAACGATTTATTTGGCGGGTTTCGTTAAAATTTCGGCGATGAAAGGCACACAAGATGAATTTTAATCTTTGAAGGTAGCGTCAAGTGTCAAAACAAGAACAATTTTTGAATCCGGGGTTCTTGACTTGGCAGCGTACCCTCAAAAAAACGGGAGAATTAAGTTAGTCGTGCAGCTATCAGAAAGTTGGCACTGGCCTTCTGCAGATATTTTGCAAAAATCGATGGGTTAACTTTCGATTTGACAGTTACTGGAGTGTGAATGTTTTATATCGTCGGTGTTTATAATTCTTTTGCAGTAAAATGATATAATATGTTAATAACCGTGAGTCATCTCCTATTTTATACCGGACGCCCTTGAAACCGATTTATTAAGAGTAAAGAATAAAATTGCTAAATTTAGAGTAAATTAATTTGGTCTAATTTTTTTGCCAGGACGATTTGCGAAGAGTATTAACGCAATAAAAATAACATGTTATTGCGGTAAATTGATCTCGGGTGTAATAAATCACGTTGAACTTGAACAGCAACGCCCAATCCATTATAAATAAATGTTAATTTGTTTAAATTTTTTGTGTTTAGAGATATTGGGACGGATTTTGTTTTTGACTGATATAATGGTAAAATGTACGTTAGATAAAGTGTATATATTAATATTAATTGGTGATTCTCTGCATATTCGGATGATACACTCCATGACCTACTTCCTAAGCTGTGGTCTGTCAATGAATTGGGGAAAATAAACTTAATTTGTAATTACACGACCACTCCTAGTCGGCAGCAAACATAATCGGTATCTTTCGAAGATTAATCTGAAGTGCTACAGGTTATTATGTTGAAATTTTTATTTGAAATGCTTATTCACTTTTATATGCCAAATTTTGTTTCGAAATGCGATTTTTCTTTCCCAAGTAAACATGTTAGTTAAATGCTTGTGTTTATTTCACGTAAGTAGATCGAGTTAATGGCGTAGCATAAAACAATTTTTTGCAGACGGTCGGTTCTACTGGTATAAGAAATGACTACGGACATCAGCATCGTGAGGTGGGACCCCACTTTGCCGCAACAGATCGAAGAAGATTACGAATATGACGGCGGAAATTCTTCGTCGAGACTATTCGAACGGTCTCGCATAAAAGCTCTAGCCGGTGAGTTCACTTGGCGTTAGCCATGTAAAGTGAATAAAAAATATTGGTTAAAACTTGGTTCTTTGTTTTTTCATTTTAATTGTGTTAAATCATAAACAAAAAATACGTACTCTGTAAAAAGCGACGCAGTGATGTAATTAGTAGGTTTATCATACCCATGAATGTACAGTGAAATTCAAGTGGACATGGTTCGCATTTTGTGTCCCAGGTAGTACCCCATTTTGCTGAAGCTTCCTTAAAGAATAGATTAAACTTTTCCATTCTTGCCAGAATTGAGCGCTTTAGAAAGAAATATAGGTATGTGCTACTCACAATGTGTTGTACATCCCTTTGGATTAAATTTGATGATTAGAATAGAATACAACCTTTGGTGGTGTGATCATGATCTCATTTTGGGACTCTTCTGTCTTGTAGACTGCTTGTAAAGTTGGCGTGTTGAGTGACGAACCTCCATGCGTTCCTAGTTTTGCCAAGTTTCTAGATGACACATTCCACTTTCTAGGTTCCATTTTTTGTTCTGAATGTTCAGTGACACGATAGCGTCCTGTAAGTTGAGTTGGGATAAACAATGCATATCTTAGAAAATATTTGGTGTTATTTTATTGGATAGTTCTTGTATCTGTTTATTTTTTTTTAAGTGGGTTGTGATATTATGGAATCAATGTAAATTGAAGTTTTATCAGTGTAGAAAAGAGTGTTAAAACAATTTTTTATCACAAATATTGTTATAATAAAGAATCGGATTTATATGCGTACTGAATCTCGAAATATGCAACGATATGTGCGAAAGACGCAGCGTGAATAAAACAAAAAAAAAGTGAAGTCGTTTTTATTTATCTACATAATATTGTACCCCTTTACAAAGATTCACATGGGAACACTGACAACTACTGGTTTTTCTAAATGCTCTAATTTAAAAGATTGTCTGCTTTATGTGTAAATTTGTACATAGAAAAACTGCTTTCTGTGTTGACCAACGTAATCTGCACATATTTTAATACTGACACTTAATAATATTGACGCATTAGTCAAAGTAGTAAAGCCTTCGTCTTTAGCAGTTGCTTTCATTTTTTTGAAATTGATTGTGCAATTGCTGTCTGAGCTTGTAACTTATAACAATGGTGTGATGTTATTGTTGTTCACGTAGAAGTTCTTTCCTTCTACAAGAACTTTATTTCATGGAATTCTTCTGTTATTTACATTTTCCTCAAATTAATAGTCCTAATAATGTGTTTAACTTGGGAATTAGTTTGATGGACCTAGTGAAAGAAGCGAAATATTATGTTGTTGAAAGTTTTTAAGTCCCTTGCGTATTAGAAAAAGAATTGGTTTAAAAATATTCACTGCATAATAAAGTTATTTGTGTACTTATCAGCATAAAAAAAATATCGCAGCGTTGCCGCCTATCGCGAGAGATGCAGTGACGTCACGGTCTCTTTAATTTAACAGCCAAACTAGGAACCACCTTTGAGGCGAAAAAAAATCTACCGACGGGATCGTTGGTAAAACATTTGGCAGGTTGAAAACAATACTCCCACCATACGTCCTAATCCGTTGTTTCCCCAATAAACAAATCGTCGTTTCCAGACGAGAGGGAGAGCGTGCAAAAGAAAACCTTCCAGAAATGGGTGAACTCGCACCTGGTGCGTGTCAACTCGCGTATCGTCGACCTCTACACCGACATGCGCGACGGCAAGAACCTAATCAAGCTGCTGGAGGTGTTGTCGGGCGAGCGGCTACCCCGTCCCACCAAAGGCAAAATGCGTATCCACTGCCTCGAGAACGTCGACAAGGCGTTGCAATTCCTTAAGGAACAGCGCGTCCACCTGGAGAATATGGGCTCGCACGACATCGTCGACGGCAACCCCCGTCTCTCTCTCGGCCTCATCTGGACCATAATCCTCCGCTTCCAAATTCAAGACATCACAATCGAGGAGACCGACAATCAGGAAACGAAATCTGCCAAGGACGCATTGCTCCTCTGGTGTCAGATGAAAACCGCCGGTTACAATAACGTCAACGTGAGGAATTTTTCCACGTCGTGGCGCGATGGGCTCGCCTTCAACGCCCTGATCCACAAGCACCGCCCTGATCTGATACAGTTCGAGAAACTTTCCAAATCGAATCCCATGCACAACCTGAACAACGCTTTTAACGTTGCCGAAGACAAATTGGGTCTCACGAAACTCCTCGACGCGGAAGATGTCTTCGTCGAGCAACCGGACGAAAAATCCATTATCACTTACGTCGTCACATACTACCATTACTTCAGCAAAATGAAACAGGAAACAGTGCAGGGCAAGCGTATCGGTAAAGTCGTCGGAATAGCTATGGACAACGAGCGCATGATCAGAGAGTATGAATCGCTGACGAGCGATCTTCTTGCCTGGATCGAGGCGACGATCCGCGCTCTCGGCGAGCGACAGTTCGCCAACAGTCTCGCGGGTGTGCAGCAGCAACTCGGCCAGTTCAATAATTACCGAACGGTCGAAAAACCGCCGAAATTTGTTGAGAAAGGTAACCTCGAAATACTCCTTTTTACGCTCCAATCGAAGATGAGGGCGAACAATCAACGTCCATATACGCCCAAGGAAGGCAAAATGATATCGGATATTAACAAGGCGTGGGAGAGGCTCGAGAAGGCGGAACACGAACGTGAACTCGCTCTCCGCGAAGAGCTGATCCGCCAGGAGAAGCTCGAGCAGTTGGCGGCGAGATTTAACCGTAAGGCGAGCATGCGCGAGACGTGGCTCAGCGAAAACCAGCGGCTCGTTTCTCAGGACAATTTCGGACAGGATTTGGCGGCGGTCGAAGCCGCAGCGAAGAAACACGAAGCCATAGAAACAGACATATTCGCGTACGAGGAACGCGTTCAAGCGGTCGTGTCGGTTGCCGCGGAATTGGAAACCGAAAACTACCACGATATGGAGCGCATTAACGCGCGCAAAGACAACGTCCTCCGCCTCTGGAATTACCTGCTGGAATTGCTTAGAGCTCGTAGGAATAGGTTAGACTTGTCATTGCAGCTGCAACAGAACTTCCAAGAGATGTTGCACATACTGGACGCAATGGAGGAATTGAAGGCGCGCTTGCTGGTCGACGATTTCGGCAAGCACTTGATGGGCGTCGAAGACCTTCTCCAGAAGCATAATCTACTCGAGGCGGACATCAATATACTCGGCGATAGGGTCAAAGCGGTCGCCGGTCAGTCTCAACGTTTCGTCGATGTCGAGAATGAGGAGGGTTACAGACCGTGCGATCCTGCTTTAGTGTTGGACCGCGTGCAGCAGCTTGAGGAAGCGTACGCGCAGCTCGTTAAGCTCGCGGTAGAACGCAGGTCGCGACTCGAGGAGAGCAAGAAACTGTGGCAGTTCTATTGGGACATGGCCGACGAGGACAACTGGATCAAAGAAAAGGAACAGATCGTGTCCACGTCTGACGTCGGTCACGATCTGACCACCGTCAACCTGTTGCTGAGCAAGCACAAGATATTGGAGAACGAGCTGTCTGCTCACGAGCCACAGCTCGAAGAAGCGCTTAGCGTAGGCGAGGAACTTGTCGCTTCCGGACACTTTGGCGCGGAAAAGATCCAAGAGCGATTGAACGAGATCCGCGACGCGTGGAAACATTTGCTTGACCTCGCTGCTTACCGTCGCAAACGTCTCGAGGAAGCTGTCGACTACCATCAGCTATTCGCCGACGCCGACGATGTCGACATCTGGATGCTCGATACGTTGCGTCTGGTCTCAAGCGAGGACGTCGGTCGCGACGAGGGTAACGCGCAGTCGCTCCTCAAAAAACACAAAGACGTAACCGATGAGCTTAAGAATTACGCGAGCGTCATCGAAAGCCTGCACCAGCAGGCGGAGCAGCTCGGTCCAGAAGTGGCGACCTCGCCGGAAGTCGCACAGAGACTCGCCTCGATCGATAATCGATACAAAGAACTGCTCGAGCTCGCGAAGCTGCGCAAACAACGTCTCCTGGACGCGCTCTCTCTCTACAAACTGTTATCGGAGAGCGATGGCGTCGAGCAATGGATCAGCGAGAAGGACCGCATGCTGCAGACAATGATACCGGCGCGCGATATCGAAGACGTCGAAATCATGAAGCATCGCTACGACGGCTTCGAGAAGGAGATGAACGCTAACGCGTCCCGTGTCGCCGTAGTCAACCAGTTGGCGCGGCAACTGCTCCACGTTGAGCATCCTAATTCGGAGCAGATCACTGCCAGGCAGAACCAGCTCAACCAGAAATGGGCGGAATTGAGGGAAAAAGCGGAAGCGAAACGCGAGGAATTGAACTCCGCGCACGGCGTCCAAACTTTCCACATCGAGTGCCGCGAAACGACCACCTGGATCGAGGACAAGGTGCGCATACTCCAGGAAACCGACAGCCTCGAGATGGACCTGACGGGAATAATGACATTGCAACGCCGCTTGTCCGGTATGGAACGAGACTTAGCCGCGATCCAAGCGAAACTCAACTCGCTGCAGTCAGAGGCGGACGGAATCGAGGGCGAGCATCCGGAAGAGGCGGCCGTCATCAGGGAGCGCATAGTGCAGATTCAGGTGATTTGGGAACGGCTGACGCAGATGTTGAAGGAGCGCGACGCAAAACTCGAGGAAGCCGGCGATTTGCACCGCTTCCTGCGCGATCTCGACCACTTCCAGACGTGGCTGACAAAAACCCAGACGGATATCGCCTCCGAAGACACGCCCAGCAACCTGCCGGAGGCGGAGAAACTCCTTTCCCAGCACCAAGCCATTAAAGAAGAGATCGACAATTACACGGACGATTACACGAAGATGATGGAGTACGGCGAAAAGATCACGGCCGATCCGGGCACCCAGGACGATCCTCAGTACATGTTCCTTCGGGAGCGGCTCAAAGCTCTGAAGGACGGATGGGCGGAGATCCACCAGATGTGGGACAACAGGCAGCATCTCCTCTCGCAGTCGCTCAGCCTGCAGCTGCTTGAGAAGGACGCGCGTCAAGCTGAAGTCGTTCTTAACCAGCAAGAACACACTCTCAGCAAGGATGAGTCCCCCACTACGCTCGAACAGGCCGAGAATCTGCTCAAGCGCCACGAGGCTTTTCTCGCGACAATGGAAGCGAACGACGACAAAGTCAACGGCGTCGTTGAGTTTTCGAGACGGCTGTGTGACGAGAATCATTTTGCCGGCGACAAGATCGGACGTCGGGCCGACAACCTCGACGAGCGACGATTGGCGAATAAGGAACGCGCACAGGCGCTGTTCGAACGTCTACGCGATCAGCTCGAACTCCACCAGTTCCTCCGGGACTGTGACGAATTGGGCGAATGGATCCAAGAGAAACACATCACCGCTCAGGACGAGACGTACCGTTCGGCCAAGACTGTCCACTCAAAATGGACCAGACATCAAGCGTTCGAAGCAGAGATCGCCGCTAACAAAGAGCGCTTGCTCAATTTGCAAAAAGCCGGTGACGAACTCGCGAAAGAGAAACCCGAATACGCGAACCTTATTCGGCCGAAGATCGATGAGTTGGCCGATCAGTTCGATGTGCTCGAACAGACGACCAAGGAGAAGGGCGAGCGCCTATTTGACGCGAATCGTGAAGTGCTCATCCATCAGACTTGCGACGATATCGACTCGTGGATGAACGATCTAGAGAAACAGATCGAGAGCGACGACACAGGCAGTGACCTCGCATCCGTCAACATCCTCATGCAAAAGCAGCAGATGATCGAGACCCAGATGGCGGTGAAGGCGCAGCAGGTCCACGAGCTAGAGAAACAGACGAAGCACCTCGAGACTGCTGCTCCCGACAAAGACATCAACGAGATCAAGGTGAAAAAGTCGCGGGTCGAGGAACGCTTCCAGTTAATCAAGCAGCCGCTGCTTGAACGGCAACGCGTGCTCGAGAAGAAAAAGGAGGCATTGCAATTCAGGCGCGATGTCGAGGACGAGTTGCTTTGGGTCGCGGAGAAGATGCCGCAGGCGACGTCCGTGGAATACGGCAACAACCTGTTCCAGGTGCATGTACTCGAAAAGAAGAACCACTCGCTCCAAACGGAAGTGGACAATCACGAGCCGCGCATTAACACTGTATGCAACAACGGTCAAAAGTTGATCGACGAGGGTCACGAGGACGCGAGCGAGTTCGCGCGTCTCATCGGTGAACTGCACAAGGCGTGGCAAGAGCTGAAGGACGCGATCGAGAAGCGACGCGAGAATCTATTGCGCAACGAGCGCGCCCAGCAGTACCTGTTCGACGCGAACGAAGCCGAGAGCTGGATGAGCGAGCAAGAACTCTATATGATGGTGGAGGACCGCGGCAAGGACGAAACTTCGGCCAGAAATTTTATGAAGAAACACGAGGGTCTCGAGGCGGCGGTCGAAGCTTACGCGGACACGATCAGGAGCTTGGGAGAGACGGTTAAAGCTTTGGCGGCCGAAGGACATCCGCTTGCCGAACAGGTGGCCGTCAAGCAGTCGCAGCTCGACAAGTTGTATGCGGGACTTAAGGATTTGGCGCAGGAGCGACGGGCCAAGTTGGACGAGGCTCTCCAACTTTTCCTCCTCAATCGAGACGTTGGCGATTTGGAACAGTGGATCGCCGATAGGGAGGTAGTGGCTTCGTCGCACGAACTCGGTCAGGACTACGATCACGTCACGCTGCTGTGGGAACGGTTCAAAGAGTTCGCCCACGATACCGAGGCGATCGGAAGCGAACGAGTCGCTGGCGTGAACGATATCGCCGATCAGCTAATCGCTGCCGGACACTCCGACTCTGCCACCATAGCCGAATGGAAGGACGGACTTAACGAGGCGTGGCAGGACCTGCTGGAATTGATCGAGACCCGTACTCAAATGCTCGCCGCCTCGAGGGAATTGCACAAGTTCTTCCACGATTGCAAGGACATCCTCGGTCGTATTTTGGAGAAGCAGGTCGCCATGTCGGACGAGTTGGGTCGCGACGCCGGTTCCGTATCGACGTTGCAACGCAAACACCAAAACTTTATGCAAGACCTGCAGACGTTGCAGTTACAAGTGCAGCAGATCCAGGAGGAGTCGGCGAAACTGCAGGCCAGCTACGCTGGGGACCGGGCTAAAGAGATCACGAACAGGGAACAGGAGGTGGTGGCCGCGTGGGCTAACCTTCAGGTCGCGTGCGACCAGAGGCGGGGCAAGTTGGCCGACACCGGCGATCTGTTCAAGTTCTTCAACCTGGTCAGGACGCTGATGCAATGGATGGACGACGTCGTCAGGCAAATGAACACCAGCGAGAAACCGAGGGACGTCAGCGGCGTCGAACTACTGATGAACAACCATCAGAGCCTGAAGGCGGAGATCGACGCGAGGGAGGATAACTTTGCCGCGTGTATATCCCTCGGCAAGGAGTTGCTGAGTCGTAACCATTACGCGAGCGCCGAGATCAAGGAAAAACTGGTGACGCTGAGCAATCACAGGCAGTCGGTACTGCAACGGTGGGAAGAAAGGTGAGCCCGGGCAGGCGCGTGGATAGGCGAAACTTGTCTCGAGTTGCGCGTGTTTTTTTTTTTTTTTTCTCAGATGGGAAAACCTGCAACTGATCCTGGAAGTGTACCAGTTCGCTAGGGACGCCGCGGTCGCGGAGGCGTGGTTGATTGCGCAGGAACCGTACCTGATGAGTACCGAGCTGGGTCACACAATCGACGACGTCGAGAACTTGATCAAGAAACATGAGGCATTCGAAAAGTCAGCGGCCGCGCAGGAGGAGAGGTTCAGCGCGCTGGAACGTCTCACGACGGTCGGTTTGGTCTGTGCCGCCGGTTCGAGCGTCTGAGATTGATCTTTTGCGTGTTGCAGTTCGAGCTGCGAGAGATGAAGCGTCGTCAAGAGTTGGCGGAGGCCGAGGAGAGGGCGAGACGCGAGCGCGAAGAAGCCGAACGATTGGCCGCGATCGAGGCGGCCAAACCGAAAGAACCCGAGCAGGTGACGAGCGACAGACCCGACTCGGGAGGCATTTCCGTCGAGGAACGACCGGGTAAGAACGATGATAAATATCAAAGTACCGGTTATCGGAACATAGATGATATCTTTGTGCTTTTTTCTAACGTAACGTTGATGATTTCTGTTTTCGACACATGCAGCTTTGGGCAAAGAGTGTTCTCTTAAAACTGCGTCGCCGGGTGAAGGTAACGGTCTAACAGCGCATGCGTTCGCACTCTCGGTATAACGTGTCGCAGCACAGATTAATGATTATCGGGCCTGGTCGAATGTAATTTTTTTCCTTTCGGTTTTCTCATTAACCGGTTAAGGAACAACAACGTTTTAAAGGTCGTAAAACATAAAATATTTCGTAAACGAGGTTAAGTCCTTGATTGCTCGCGCCGGTTCTGCTTTTGGTTTTCTATCGCTTCACTGCTTCTTTTTCGCAAATGTTGATTTGTTCCATCGGATTCGTTTTTACCTGCATGTAATTAAGCATGAGCATGTTGTGTAGTGCATGGACAACAGCGACGGCCGCAGACCTTGCCCGCAGCATCGGGCGCTGAGATAAGTCCCCGACAGCAGAGTCCGGGGTCGCAGACACGTAAGTAGTTTACTTTACAGATCCTTGAGCAATTTTAAGCGAAATTGGTTTCGTGTTCTTTTGAAATTTCGCTATTTGTGAACGGAAGGAAGCGGAAAACTAGGCAGGTCGGCATCCGAATATGTGACTTATTTAAAGAATTTGTCATTTTCCATGGTAGAATGGCATGTTTTACATCAGCACAGATTGGAGATTTTTAGTTTTTACCCCGAATATTTCTTCTAACAAGTAGGGTCAAGTCGCGTGCGGAGAATTAGAAATGGCTTAGGCACAATAATAATGACTTCAAAACCGTTTTCCCTCATGCAAGTTCTAGGTTCCTGCGCTCTCAAAATTAAAAGAGCGATTATATATATTTGGAATTGAAATATTGAATTTGAAATATATTTGAAATAGATCACCGCTTCGAAAAATATTTACACAATTTGTTTTTGAAATATAGTATGGAAAAGTAAGAAGTTTTTATAATATTCGAGGACTGTGTTTTTTTTTCCTGTAAACAAAGCAAAATTCGAAAACGAACCACCGTTTTCCTAAAGCAGTGATTCACGTTTTTTTTTTAATTATAAACGATAGAAAACGCTGGGAAGCCACTTGGACCTGATAACGTGAATCTAGTGCTAAATTAAAATTTTTTAAATAAAACCTGATTCAGGATATTCATAAAAACCATAATTATATTTTCAAAATGTGGCTTCCAAAAAATCTGTGTGCATTTTGAATTCTCTAATACATACCGTAATTGGCGAACGCGCAAAAAAAAAATTTTTTGTTAATTATAGATTTGGTTGCTTGCTTGGCGCGTGCATGATGTCCCCTGGGTGTTTTAAAATTAAAAATGGCAAAAAGAATATATATAGAAGCAATGAAGCACACATGAGGGGAGAGAAAACATTACGGTTGTGTTAATTATTTATGTTATGTTAATTATTTTTTTAATGGACGCCATTCTCACGAGGGGTCATGCGCGTTGATTGTACATTTGTCATGTGTATTGCGCTTGCGTTGTCCGTTTGTGCTTTATATGTTGCTGTTTCTCTCGCAAGTGACGCGATCGGCCGAGAAGGCGAAGCGGAAAGATCGGTCGCGTAGTAAGTCGCCGTTTAGGAGTTTCCGGTGGAAAAAGGGCGCATCAAAGTCATCGTCCGGCGCCCACAGCGACGACGAGGGCATACATTCCGCCTCGGCCCAAGGTACGTCCGCTTTTGTTTGTTTGTTCATTCTGTACCGAAACTGTATCCGGATGATGATTAGTCTGTGCTCCGTTTTATTTTATAGCCATAATTCTTGAGCCGATAGTTTGCAGCAACTTGGCGTGGACGTTTGATCTTTTCGGCTCGACTCACTTTTTTCGTTTTATGTGAAAGTTTGACCGTTCTTGGTGTCCATGTAGTAAGTAACAAATACTGAAATTGGCACTTAAACGTTAAAAAGAAGCATCATAATTTTTTAATAAAAATATGCACTCACGAAATCCTTTTAAGTAATTTTCCGCGAATGCCAAATTGCTGCCAGATATTAACTTGACAAGATGCGACGTCAATGCCGATGTGAGGCTGATCGAAGCTACTGACTGACGTTATATTCGAACGAGACCCGGCATTAAGTTATCGAACGTGCACGAATCTCACGCACGTTCCACATCTCTTTAGAACGCGGCAGTCCGGACGAGGAGGAAGGTTTCGAGGGTGTCTTGGTTCGCAAACACGAATGGGAGAACACTACCGTGAAAGCGACGAACCGATCGTGGGATAAAGTCTATGCGGTACTTCGTGGCAGCCAGCTCTCCTTTTACAAGGAAGCGAAGCAGGCGAAGACGACGCCTGACCAGAGATACAAGGGCGAGGCGCCATTGCAGCTGCACGGCGCGAACGCATCGATCGCTTCCGATTACAAAAAGAAGAAGCACGTGTTCAGGCTAAAGTGAGTGTGAATCGGATGCCATGTTGCCAGATTAGTTTCTCGTTGGCAAAAACGATGTAATTATGCCCGACAAGTCACGAAAAACGGTGCGATTTTGCCGCAAATGGCGTTAGCTGGCAACACCGGTTCTGTTTTTTTTCCCTCTCGCGGAGACTATGTGTCACCGGACGCTGCACCGTCTCTGTTTCAGGCTGGAGAACGGCGGCGACTTTCTATTCCAGGCGCACGACGACGCCGAAATGAACGCGTGGATCAGCCGCATCAATTCGCACGCCGACGTCACCGCGTCCGGTCCGTCGAGGTCGCAGACGTTGCCCGCGTCTGCGCAAAAGGAAGACTCCAAACGGCGCAGCTTTTTCACCCTTAAGAAAACCTAAGGTGAGAACTGACGCGAGCCAGTGTTGACGTTCACTATTAACGGTTTCATACTTCACAGTATTGCCGCAATTTTGCTTTCAGTTTTTGTAATAGCAATATCCAAAAACACTTTTTCAATTTCAAACAGTCACTTTTCAATCAATATGAAATGTCGAATGTATGGGAAAAAAGATTTGTATTGAAATAAATAATTTGTTACACAAAGTTTTATTCCGCGGTTTTTTATATAACAATTTTAATTAATATAATTATTTAAAGAATTTTATTAAGAATACGCTTCTGAAGCCGATCCAACGGGTTAAGCGATGAACTGTAGAGACCTTTCCAGCCTATGACTGCAACACTATGGAAAAAACCATTATAAATTTATAATAACTGCTTTCTCGTTAGTATTTCCTTGAGTCTGTAAAAACATATACTAAGTATTTGTTTTTTTTTTACTCTGTCAGCCAGGTGCACATCCTATTTTGTATTATAGCCACAAGTTATTTGTTAGTGATTAAATTTTTTGCAACTCAACATTTTGTTTCAGATAAGTGGCTTTCCTAATCTCCTCCCGTGAAAGCTTTATCGCCTCATTTTGGATGGAGGAGTCTGTTCTTTGCCCATTTTTCGTATTAGAGCGTATGATTATATTTTTCCTTGTAGATTGCACATTATAGTAATAATTTAAATGTAATATACTTGGAGTTTCAAAACAAAAAAGAATTATTATCGATCGGAGTGTAAGAGGGACGGACTCCATACAACCAGTGTTGACTATATGTATTTATTAAAATGGAAAACAGTAAAATGCTTTGGCGACCATGTTGAACACTCTTATCGAATGTATTAACCCTGACTGCAAAGTGGGGGGACTTAAAAAAAAATTAACGCGTTTTATTTCTTTGGACGGTGACACCTATTCGTTTTTTTTTTGTGTGTTATGTATTTTTTAAATTTTCTATTTTTCGTTGCAGTAATTAATATTAATATATTATTATTACGATTGGTTTATAATGAAAGTTTTTGCTTAGCAGGTCGGCCACGAGCTGAGCGGTTTATATATTTTCGTATTTGTATTTTGTAGAATTTTTGTCTATTTTACATTCAAAAATTTGTGCTTCTGAATATAAACTATATACATATATATATATTAAAATATTGTTTTTAGTATCACGTGTGTTTGCTTGCTACAACTCCATTCCACATAAGGTAAATAAAAGCAATTATACTGTGCCTTATGTTTTATTGAGGCCAATTTTTAAATGAAAAAAAACTAGCTGGCCGATGATGACTAGGTGGGCCTTTATCTAAATAGGAAGCTGAAAAAACTTGAATTAAAAATACTGATGTATTTCAACCCACAAGCGATACCTGTAAGGGTAACCCTGAGTCTTTGTCTTGAAAACAGACAAGAGGAGGGAGAAAAAGACCGATACCAAAATGAGGCCCACTACAGCAAATATTTTCCTTTTCCTCGCATCTCCTTTCCCTTTCGAAGCCTCAGTCATCAGTATGAGGCCCACGACGACCGCTGCGTCTGATATAACGTTAAGGCAATTTTAATAACTTTATTGACCTTTACTGGTTTGCCACCAAAACTGCAGAAAAATGCAACGTTGCCAAATGGTACTTATTATTATAGAGCGAACAAAACTACGAGAAGCAAAATTGGCAATAATCCCATATCGCCTTCAAAAAAAGGATACTTAAAAACATGATGATGTAAGTTTCAAATACAAACTGGCCCTGTGAACTGCCATGTATGTAAACAACCTGCCCATTTTGATTCTTATGGACAAATGGGGGGCCCCTAATATGGTTCCACATCTGACCCGATGTCATAGCAAAGCAGAAAAATAAGGACCACATGCCCCACATTGTTTTGTTGTACAAGAACTCCAGGTTGTTCCTTCGGAGATATAAAAATCCGGCCACAAAGCTGAACAGAATAATCACCGCCAATGTGCCAGAATAATTTGGAGGGCGGAATACTCTGATCTAAAAAGTGATACATATTTATTTGGGGAACATTCAAAGCCTAATGGTCACCTGGATATCCGTCCTTTCCTGAATCCATTTTGCTACAGCTTCAGCACCAAAACCAATTCTCTGGATGTCCATGGTATCGGCATTCTTGGGTTTACCCTTTGGCGGAAAATGTATAAACACAGGCGCCGTGTTCAGTCTCATCTAAAAAACGCATTGCTTTAACAACCCATCCGCGGATGCCACAAAAAGAATAACCATTTGAAAAACTTCGGATCCTTCATCGAAGTCTACCATTGCAAAGAATAGTTTATTTGAGTAGGACGGAGAGTACCTATAGGAATTGGCAACGATTGTGTACTCATCGTGTGCCTGACGACACACGGCGCACTGCCTCTGAGGCGCCATAGCGGTGAACATTACAATGATGGAATAATTGCGTGGTGTTGATTTGACGAAATCTTTGAACTTATTCGCGTTGAATCGGAGCACCGATCTTTTGTTAGTCAAGTCGGTGAGTTGCTGAACCCTTTCGCCCAACGTAGAACCCTGAAATAAATATTTTTCTGTCCCTTGTACTAGGAAACTAATAGTAACATAATAAAACACTTGATAGACGCTTAAGAATTTTAAAAAAATACCGGCTTTCTTCCTTGACCACCTGCATCGTAAATTAACGTTGCTAGAATGCAAAGCGATAATATTAACGTTGTTCTCATATTATTTTTTTAGTTTGCAACACCTGGTTTTCAACTAATTATTTTTAAACCACGGCAAGTATTCTCCACGTTGCCGGTTTACATTACAATTTGATGACATCATCAAGGATAAAATTTCAAGTATTTTGTCACAGAACGCTAGTGAAGCTGTCTTAAAAGGCAAAATAGGAACTGCAGAAATTACTTCATTTTTAAATTTAATGTCTCATGATGATGATATAATTTGTCTAAGCTACTGCTAGGCAACTCTTTTCATTAATTTGTGTTCCAAGCAGACTTCCACACTGTGAACCTTAGGTATTGCGATACGTTCGGCACCGGTAACTGAACGTCATCAAGTTAGGTTGGCAACGATAGAAAATCCAATTTTTTTGTGTATCCTTTTGTGAAGTGAAAATGGCAGAGCCCGAGTTGAATGTTGATAGCTTAATTCAACGGTTATTAGAAGGTATAAATACGCATATCTTACGCGAATAATGCACCGTTTATTTTCGATTACGTTTGGCAATACATTTTGTCGGATTCTCACGAATGTATTTGAAAATATCGACTATATATTTTTTGCATCTGTCATGTCAATAGGGCTCGATTTATTTTTGAATTTGGGCATTCGGACTTCCGTGTTAGCGTTAAAGTTGCCGTGTTTTCAGTTAAGTTTCTTAAAAAGTGTTATTTTACGAACTGGGAATAACTCGATTTTACGTACGAATTATGAACGTTTAGGCACTCCGACTGCGTAAAATTAATTAGTATAGTTGGTTTTTCTTGCTGCTTTGCTGGTTATGGCTCGCAGTGTATTCAATGCTGCGCGATTTACAAGAAAATCCAGAAGCAAAGAAGAAGTCTAAGTTCAAAGATATTTTCACTCCCTCGGAACGTAAGAAGCCATAATTTGTTAGCTAGTATGTAATTTTCTCCTTTGACATAATGTATTTGATTGATTTCCGCAAGCAAAAATCCTGTCATCTTGACCTTCCTAAATCAGTTATTTGTACCATTCCTTCATGCGACTTTTAATGTTTTATGTGATTTATTATCTATAATAATGTTGGAATATTTGATAAGCATGTTTTAAAGGTGTGATTTGGATTAGGTAATCTGTCGTCTTTGAGTAGATAAGGCGTTGCATTTCCAATGGTATGCCGGAATTATATTACCTTGGAAGTACAGTTTGCCTGGTAATGAGAAAACTAATATTTTGTACATCATTGTCGCCATAATTTAGGGTTTTGACAATAAACAATAAAGCCACAAGTTAGTACGGTTAATTGGTTTTAAATGACAGAATATATGACAATTTCTAGGGACAAGTTTCAATTATCCTTGTAGAATTTTGCCTTTTTTCATTATTTTTTCATCATTACCGTTTCTGTGAAGGAGGGCGCAACGCTAACCTGTTTTACGTTTGGTATTTACTGCTTTCCCAAAAAAAAATGGACTTTAGGTTGACCATTTTTAGAAACCCCACAAATGGCCTAGACTTCGCTCATTTGTCAATCACCCTAGACCGTTAAGGTATTTTTGATAGATTGTTTGTAGTGAGGGGATGCCGGCCAGGAAAATCTGTCCACATGACGGAAGCCGAGGTGCGCGGCCTTTGCCTAAAGTCACGGGAGATATTCCTGCAGCAGCCGATTCTGTTGGAACTGGAGGCGCCGCTAAAAATTTGCGGCGACATCCACGGGCAGTATACGGACCTGTTGCGATTGTTTGAATACGGCGGTTTCCCCCCTGAGGCGAACTACTTGTTCCTCGGTGATTACGTGGATAGGGGCAAACAGTCGCTCGAAACTATCTGCCTCCTGCTCGCCTACAAGATAAAATACCCGGAGAATTTTTTCCTGCTGCGTGGTAACCACGAGTGCGCGTCCATCAACAGGATATACGGATTCTACGATGAGTGCAAGAGACGGTACAACATTAAGCTGTGGAAAACGTTCACCGACTGCTTCAATTGCTTGCCAATCGCCGCCATTATCGACGAGAAGATATTCTGTTGTCACGGTGGTCTCAGTCCCGATCTGCAGGGCATGGAGCAAATTAGGAGGATAATGAGACCGACCGATGTCCCGGACACCGGTAAATCAGATTATAGCGCGCGCAACTCCTCCCATTGGAACTGTTAGTATGGTTTGCCTCAAAATATATCGTCTTGTCTTTAGAATGACTCTCCCACCAAAAATTAATTACTATGTTCATACTTATTGTTACTGGCTAAACGCAACAGCCAATAATTTATTCATAGCTAAGGACAAGAAGGGGGCGTTTCAGGTAGCTGATATCAGTGACAGTGTTGAATAACCCATTAATATATTTTGAGACAAACACTGGGACAAACATTTTTAGATGGTGCGGCTGCGATGCGATTTTCTGTTTGTGCAACGCAACATCAAAATATGTGTAATCTTATAGGCAATTTTCATATGTGGAAGCAACAAAAAACATTATTTTGTCACGTCCCAGTACCATGCGATGGTCCGTCAGATTTCGACCTATCACTAAAATAAATGGACACTGTAAATGTGTCGCTGTGGGGGTGCAACTGCGATGCGCTTTTGCGTTTGCGGTATATTGCATCGCATTCCCAGAATGTTTCCCCCAAGACGATAAAATATCTTTCAAACGATGGAAAAATAAAAACATGGGCTGTAACGGTAGGTTTTCCCAGGGCTACTCTGCGACCTGCTATGGTCCGACCCTGACAAAGACGTCCAGGGTTGGGGCGAAAACGATCGCGGCGTATCCTTTACGTTCGGCGCCGACGTCGTCAGCAAATTTCTGAACCGTCACGACCTCGACCTGATATGTAGGGCCCACCAGGTCGTCGAGGACGGTTACGAGTTCTTTGCCAAACGGCAACTAGTCACGCTATTTTCCGCGCCGAATTATTGCGGCGAGTTTGATAACGCCGGCGGCATGATGAGTGTTGACGAAACCCTGATGTGCTCTTTTCAGGTAAGAAACATTTGTGATTTCGGGCGAATGACGTTGATACGTGAAGGAGACGGGACCCAAGTTTTTCGCGCCAAATAAGAACTAAATGTCAATATTCTAAGTTTGGCCCCATAAACTTTGTCTTGTTTCCTTTATACAGTATTAGGAAGTTTCCAATACGATATTAGTGTTTTTTTGCACCGTTTATTTCGGCAATGTTTTACTGCAGTTAAAAAAAAATTGAGGGTGGACGTAACGATAAAGTTCTAACTACCGCGGAATAAAGTTTCCATGAATGAGGTGCAGACGTTGTCCCAGTATTTACAATGTATTCGTTTATTTTACTAGTTTCCAACTAATGCTACTGCTGGATGTCCTAGGCTGATTCTAGCCATAAATTTCGTTAATAGCAAAAAAAAATTATACATTAAAATACCTAAGGAACCGTTTAGAATTATAATTAAATTTTGCATTGGCTTTTAACGGAAAACCGAAAGTTGCTTTTTAAAAAACTTAGAAAAATCAGTTAGTTTACCGTAAGAGCTTTGCTATTCCTAACGTTGAGGAACTTCTTGCGGCAAGCCTCGCAGCTAGCGATTATCCCGTAAATCGATAAGGTCCGTAAGTTTGGAAACTCCGGCTGGATTTGGGCCCTTATTGTATGCATCTCGTCCAACTTGTACATCAAACAAATATGTACCAGTTAGGATAAAAGTCTTTTATTCTTAATTGCAAACCAACTTAATTTCTTATTTGCGAGGGAAGATAGCAATAAACTTCCAATTCAGTTTGTTGGTTGTGGAGATGTGCCCGGCTTCCAGTAGCAGATACAGAGAAAAATATTCAAAAATATCGATGTGAGTAATCGGGACCTTTAAAATACATATTATTTTCTTACCGTTAACATTCGATATCGATGAAATTTTGAAAATTAAAAATATTTTCCGGAGTTATAATGGAAATTGTTTTTTAATTAAGTATTTTTGTACCCTCAGCAGTTCTTTAAATAAGTAGATCGCTCGCTTTTATCATACTAGGATGTACTGTATTTTGCGTTGCAAAAGAGATTAAATTATCAATATCCTGTAACACTGAGTTAATTATTTTATAAAGATTTATTACTTGATCCAAGTAATCTATGATAAAGGGTAAAGGACCTTTTGTACCTTTAATAACAATGATTATTTCACTAATTTTATTTTCCAAATTTTTTTTGTTTTTTTTTTTTTTTTTTTGTAAATTGTTGTGTTAAATTGTGATGTTAAATTAATAGAAACTGAGTTTTACTGAGCTATATACATCTTAATTACCACTAAATGAGTTAAAGATTGAGCGTAGACCGTTGTCAAACCTCTTTTAGACCTTTGAATATCGGGCACTAGCACTTTTAATTTTGTTTTTATGTTTTCTTTTATCATTTTTGTATTCCAAGGGTTGATTCAATAGTTTTAGGCAGACATAGTGGACTTAATTTGTAACTTATCTACTTCCAAAATTATTTGATTAAGATCGTAATAATACATTAAATTGAAAGCCGAATTTTGAATTTTTCTAGGCTCTAGTTTTAAGAGAATTAGACCAGGGTTAATGTTCAAGTTCCTTACTGCGATGTAGCTGCTCTCGTGGAAGCACGTGTCAATCGCCGGGAAATAATAAAAGATGTAATTTCTAAAGGTGTACCTTTTCTTTATGGAACGTTTTAAGAAATTTATTGCAATTTTTTCTTCCGTTCCCATAGATATTGTTTTATAAGCGGAATCTAATTTAGTGATGACAGTGGGTTTTTGAAATTCATCCGCGGTTTTCTATCTTATGTATTTTTTCACTTACACCATTTGCTGTGGTTGAAATATTTCAGGATTGTCGTGATTTTTATTCAAGTTGATATGTGCTTATTTTAAGTGTGCAGGTGATTTTAAGAATTCTTACGTATTTAAAAGACGAAAATGTAAAAATATTTAATATAACCTTTCGAATACACCATTTGGGCTTACAAAATGTTCGGTTTTATTTTTTTTCCCCCAAGTTGAGTAACTGCATTATTATTAAATTTCTAAATTCACGTCCATTATCTACCATTATCTGTTTAAAAAGAATTTTAATAAACAATCTGCAACAAATTCTGCAGTTTCGGTAGGATAGAGGTGCGCGTATTTTGAAAATGACGGTTAGAAATTTTAAAAACGTCCATATAGAGCCAATAATATTTACTTTTAATTTTTTGTTTTGTTTTCTCGAGTTCCCTTCATGATAGTTTTTAATTATGTCTTGTATGTCGTCTTTATTTATATGTATTCGTACAAAAGCTAAAAATTTTGGGTTCAAAATAAGGTTACGTCATAACCTGTTAATAAGTGGTGCAAAAAGTCTCTAATAAGCTCTTCCGTCAGTCCAGCGCCGGTACCACGGCGGGTGAGAGATAGTATAGGAAGGGGAACACTTTATTGTAATCGGGATTTTGGCGTGCTCCCGCGTGACGTTACAACCTTTGCCGGCAGATTTTGAAACCGTCCGAGAAGAAGGCCAAGTACCAGTACCAGGGGGTGAACTCGGGACGTCCGTCGACGCCGCAGAGAAACCCGACGCCCAAGAAAAAGTAGAGGGCGGCAGCGACGAGAACGAATTTAGAGTCTTTTTACGTGTGCGTGATGTTATTATTGTTTCATTTTATATTGTCAAGCATTTTTTTTTAACAAAGCGTCTTATGCCCCCCCGCTCGTCCCGCCTTTGAAAGTATTATTAATTTATTAACGACGGTTAGGGTGGCGCCGAGGAGGAAAATTGTCCAGACAACGTCCGTCCGTGCAATATTTGAAAGGTGGCGCAGTCGCAAGGCTACATTCCATTCAGGAGGGGAGGGACAAGATGTCGGGTCACATTCGACCATGAAGATCTCTTTGTTGGTTTTGTGCCACCCTTCCGCCTGCGTATACCTTGTTCGACTGATTTAATTCGTTGTGAACGCTCGTAGGGAACCGCTGTTTTTTTTTTTTTTTTGAGTAATTAGTCGCCTTTACGTATTGCGTAAATAATCTCACACTCGCACCCGTTTTTCTTCGAACATTTCGCTTGCATTTAAGGACTTTGCGAAAGAGGCCCACCCCCTCGTCAAACCGAGTGTTTGGTGGTAGATTCAACTGTGTGTGCGCGTGTTACGTAGAGTCTTTCTTTCGCGCTTGGAATAAATTTCGACGACCACAAATTGGGCACCTCGATGGGGTGGGGGGTGGGGCGGCGCGGCAGGACCCCGACCGAAACGGTGCTCAAGCCCCATTGTGCGAATAGGGAAGAAAATTGTCATTTTTTTGTTGTTTATTTTTTTTGTAATAAATGTACTGTTTTTTTTATTTACATTGAATGATTTATTATTACACATAGTTTATGTAGGTCTTACATCAAAGAATAAACTATATATTACTATAAAGGTGTTTTTTTTTTTCGGTTTAAAAAAATATAAAGATGATCTTTTTAAATTAATTGCAAAACTAATAAAAAATATTTTAAAACAATAAGAAAAAAAATTGTAGTAGGTAATGACTGTTAACGACTTTGCAGATTAGATATTCCATAGTGATTGTTTAATAGTTACAGGTGGGGTGTCGGTAGCTTACGAGTACGTTAAAGCGACCTATTGTACATCAAGACCTTAACCTCGCAAAACTGTAAAGTTTGTTTTTTAACCATAGGGTATGCCCGCATACCCCAGAATTTTTACATGTCCTTAAACTCCCCGCTACTATTAAGCATCAATATATTGGGGTTTTCCTTTTCAAACTCGCTCGGCTCCCTCTCCCTGTCCTCTATCCCCCACTCTCCCACCGAGCTCATGACGTTCAGCTCGCGCCCTTTCTCAATCTCCTCCCTCTATTGGGGCGACATGAAATAAAACCCCCGGTTATTACAAATTACCAATGTATTTGCCATCAATTATTATAAAATCAATCGCCATTCACCTGGGTATCGTGTTTGGCGAACTTGTCGAACATGTTCGCGTAGATCTGTTTCTCTTTTTGCAACTGCTGTTTCAGGATCCTAGCGCACGCCGCGTGTTGACTTTTGGCCGCCGAATTGTTCGGATCGATTTTCAGACAATGCGCGAAATCGCAGGAAGCAAGATCGGCGTCGCCCAATGCCAAAAGCGCCTGCCCGCGCCGAAACAGGGCTTTCTCATTTACAGGATCGAACTCGAGCGCTTTTGTCGCTGCCATTTTGGCCTCGAAATTGTCATTTAGTTTTAGCTGGCACAGTGCCACGTTCAAGTGGGACGCGAGCAGAAGCGATTTTATTTGCCGATTAATTTCGTCCCTGGAGTCTGTGGAAAAACAATAGACAAGAGTTTTTATTGTCTCTATATGGGCGATTCCGTGCTAAATGCAATTTTTTTATTTAAAATTTCTAAGATTTGTAAACTACACTTTTTATGCATATTATTTATCTATTTTACTGTAAAAATAAAAGCCTGAAAGGATTTTACTACAACTTCAAGGCATCAAGAACGAGAAACAAATTGCAAATTTTCTGACAAATCGAGGTAGGGTCAGTTAAGTTCCGTAATTCTGATCCTTTACCTCTCGCGGCTTCTTGCTGTGTCAGCTGCAGCCAAAGTCCGTTTCCGTTGTTTTCAATGAATTCAAAAATATTGCTATATACTTTTTTTCTAATGGACATAGTAGGTAAATGTTGACCTATTCATTCGTAGGTAGGAAAAAAATCGCACTCTATGTACATTGGTATCCATCCTTCCGCAAACATTATATTCTTATATATTTGTTTCTATAACCATGACTTCAAGATATTAATGTGCGACTATTATCCAGTAGAGCAAACGTGTTAGACAATATATTGCTATGTAAATAACACCACTTAACCGAAAATTAAGTATTAAAAAACTTCACGAAAGCTTTAAAAACAAAAATAAACCTTTAGTCCGTCAAATCCCCGAAAAATGCATTTTTTTGAGTTACTAGAACAGGTCATCAATTAGAACTAAACTAGAGGAATTTCTAAAACGGTGACAAATATCTGTCTACCCAGAGCAGGAGCAAATGTGAAACGAAAACGTCTCAAATCTTAATCTTAATAAGTAATTTGATCCTCAAAGTCTTGATATTATTGATAAAAAAATTTGCGGCCTCGATTTACATACAAAATTCATTTAATTTTGAATATTCCACCTTTGTCTTATTTTTTCATTAAAGAGTGTCTTTTATATTGGCCAAAACTTTACTTTTTTTAACATTTCCTTCACTGATATAGGTAGAATCACCACTTACCCTTTTCTGACTCCAGGAAATTCTGAATCTTTTTGTAAAATTTTATGGCCAAGTTGTACTTTGCATTTTTGAAATAGTCTGTCCCTTTTTCCTTAAACATTTTACACTGTTCCACTTTCTCTTCCACATCAAGCTCCCAACTCTCTTTGGATTTTTCAAACTTTTTCAATGTTACTATATATTCAACGACTGCGTTGGGGGGCACATTTAACTCTGTGTTGCCTTCTTTGCCAAATGCATATTTCGGTTGTATAATTAACCTCGATGTCTCACCGCTGTTAAATTTCTCCAGTGCTTTTTCTACACCCTCGATTACCTTAACCTCAGCGCCTTCGCCAATGGCAAAACTGATGTCTCTATCTTCGAAAACCGCGCCACCATATTTCCCCGTTAAATGAACTGTTGATAATGACACAGTTAAAAAGAATTCCGCGTTGGCATTCAAATGTTACCTTCGACAAGAGCTCCGTCATTGGGCGTCGAATATCCGTGGCCTTCTTTCAAGATTTCGGCCTTTTCAATACCACCGTCTTTGTTCGGGCTGAGGTCTTCGCCCTTCCAATCCAATACTTCAACCTATGCAAACACTTTATAAAAAAGTTCAAATAATTTTTTTTAAAGCAAGCTTACGTCGAATTTAAGGGTAGCGTTTGGTGGAATAGTAGGGGGGCTACCCGCCTCACCGTAAGCGTAACTTGGGGAGCAGGTCAAGATTGCCCGTTCCCCTATTTTCATTGTTGCCACTCCTATATCCCATGCTTTTATAACGCTACCTTTTCCCAAGTTAAATTGGAAGGGATCGTTTCTGTCGCGGCTGGAATCGAACTTTGTACCGTCCAGAAGCGTCCCCGTATAGTGTACCTTGACTTTCGATCCCGGAGGCGGAACAACGTCCCCCACGCCCTCCTGAATTATCTGTTTTAACACTCCCCCATCCCGTTTCGGTGAAATATCAACTTCGACGGACATATTTTTAAGATTGTTCTTGCTTTCCTCGTTTGATTTGAAAAAGCCCTACGTCGATTCACAAAACGCCGCTTAAAGTAATCAAAATTAAATTATCATCATAGAATACCACGTTGGAAATGTATTTATTTATAGTCTGTGGCGACTTAACGCTCATCCTAGAATATTCCAGAGCTAAACGAAAATTGTAACAAATAAGAGACAATTTGATACGCATGTTTGAGGAATGTTATTTGTGCATTTCTAGTTTAAAGCGCAATTGCCACACACAAACAAAAACACAATATTCAAATTAGATTGGTAATAAAGTAATAAGCAGATGTAAAATTGACGTATAACATAATTTTATATTCTGAACCACCCCATGGATAAAACTTTTGAAGTTTTATAATCCGCTAAAGATTTTTCTATGATTACAATCATTTGTCCACTGTCATTTACGTATCAAAAATTTTCTTTTTGGGTGACTTTTCTGAGTGAGAAGCAGATTTAAAATGGTACGTTTTGTTTTATCTCGTGCATCCGTATATGATTTCATTGAGTTGCATGCTCATTGCGCTCGGTAAATACGGCGGTAGCTAATGGTGTTTGTATTTTCTTCCAGTCTGCCCACAAAACGTTTATAATTAAAAGGAAGCTAGCCAAGAAGCTAAAGCAAAATAGGCCTATCCCTCAGTGGGTTCGGATGAGAACGGGCAACACTATAAGGTATATTTGGGCCACATAATGAAAGTGTGAAGCCAAGACCTTAAATTACAATTAAGTGTTTATTTGATTAAGTAGAATTTTTTAATTTTCACCCATTAATTTGGTGATTATTTTCTAGGTACAACGCAAAAAGGCGTCACTGGCGTAGGACTAAGCTCAAGCTGTAAAATGTGACTTAAATAAAACCAATTAAATAAGTAAGTTAATTGTTTATTTATAAATAAATTGCCTTCTACGAAAAAAAAAAAGAAAAATACATTCGTGACAAAACACTCTTACCTAATGAAATGGAACACATAGGTATCTAAAAACCTGATTGTTAGAAAAACTGCGATTTATACAGAGTGTCTTATTGTTTAAAAAAGAAAAACGTACACTATTTAAGTGTTCGTTGTGTGAATCCAGTTGGCTGTGGTTTCTACTGTTGTCCTGGGTGCTATTTCATTTGGGTAAGTGACCAAAAATAGTTCATGGCCATTGGTGTACCTAAAACAAAACAAAATTATAAACAGATTTTTGTGACATTTTACAAAACAACTTGTTGGGTTTTTGTCATCTTGGACGATGTTTTCATTTTTTACAATACATAGCAATTTTTTTATTGCGCATTATTTTGGACTGCTTAATTATTTTGGTTAAAACTTGGTGACTCTAGTGACTTACAGATTCCTTTTGGATATTCCCATGGCGTTTATGTTTTCCAAGGAGTCTGGCTGGGCATATTCCTCCAGAATATGTTCTGCCGCCTCTTCCTCCTCGCCAATGTGCAACTCGTTCGACTCATCGTTTTCCTCAACTTCGCTTTTGTGTACCTTAAAAACTTTGGTTGCGGCATTGCCAGACGTCTTCTGGCCCACCGCTTTCCCGTGCGTTTTCTCGTGGCGTTTCATGTCCGATCTCACCCTAAAGGGTTTCCCGCAAAGCGAACAATTGTGTGGTTTCTCGCCTGTGTGGATTTTTCTGTGGTTTTGCAAATAGGATGAGGCGCGAAAACTCTTGCCGCAATATTCACACTTGTAGTTTCTTTCACCTGGATAGGGATGATATTCAATTATAACCATATTTGAAAAAAAAATTGTCATTTAAATACAAACATTCTGATTTCTAATAGAATACTATCAATGGGATGAGTGACAACAAGCCAAACAATTGTCACCATAAATACTTCTACTTGTGTGTTTGAGTTTTGCAGCGGTGAGGGTCTGAATTTATTTTCAAATTAAGTTTGCATACAATTTTAAAATGCATAGTTTGGCTTAAGGAAAAATATACAGCTTTTTTGAGAAATGAAATATAAAAAATAAAAGCTTTAAAAAAAGTTTTATTTTGGGAATTTACAAGGGAAATGTTTAAGGTAATACGGTATTTTTCATAATATACAGGTTGGCCTCAAAAGCGTTAAAGGTAACAAAGTCGTGTGTATAATTATTTCAATAATGGATTGATCACTATCTCCCAAATACTGGAAATTCACTTAAAACGTAAATTTACATGTGAGTGCAATAAAAAGATCTGGTTATATGGATGCTCAAAAATTAAATCTAACAGAATTCAACAATAATTTTTAATTTACAAAAAGTTTTTTTTCTTTTGCAAATGCAACATAAGTTAAAATTTTATTGTTCTCTTATTCAAGGTGAGTCAGAAAAATATCTAATAAATTCGAATCCAATAATGTTTTTTCTGACCTCATAGTGTTTCAAATAGTTAAGGGAAGTGCGACATGCAGACAGGAATTTCAACTTACCAATAAGGCTTTCCTTTTATTTTTAATCAAAATCTAACCTCATTCTTAATCTTTCAAATGCTCAAGAGATATACTTCAAGTACTTCAAATTACCCGTGTGTATTCGTCGATGGACGACCAGCGAGTACTTGCGCGCAAACTCTTTGCCGCAGTACTCGCATTGGTACTGCTTCTCGGTCGAGTGTATCGACGTCTTGTGGTACTTGAGGTCGCCCCATTGCCGGAATTTGCGGCCGCAATGCTCGCAGTCGTACGGCTTGTCGCCGGAATGGAGCCGCAGATGAACTTTGAGGGCGCTTGATGCGAAGAAACTCTTGCCGCACAGTTCACACTGGTGAGGTCTGATGCCGGTATGGCTGCGCATGTGGTAGACGAGCGAGTTCCTATGCTTAAATACGCGGTCGCACTCCGAACAGTTCAGCTTTTCTTTGACCCGTTTGTTTTTCTTGCGGACGATCACGGCGGGTGTGGGTTCCATATTGCCCGATACTACGCGGCACGTAACCAGATGCTGGAGCAGAATCGCCCTCAGCGCGAAAGGCTGCTTGCAGATGTGGCAAACGTGCTCGTTCTTGTCTTCCAACTCTTTGAGGTCCTCCTCGGTCTGATGGAGGTCTTCTTCGCGGTACCACGCCTTGGAGTCGTCCTCCTCGTCGTTGTCATCATCGAGATCGTTGTCCACCACCACGTTGATATCTGAATGTAGATACGTTGACTTTTATATGGATAGACGCAGTCTGAATATACAGCGTGTTACAAAAAAGTAACATATTTTCTCTGGGCTAAAATAATATGTCGTTCCTTATGTCACTTTGCATTTGAACGCTTTGTCCTCCTAAGAAAAAATGGTGGGTCGAAGGGTAAAACACCCACCTTTTTTTTTTTCATTATTTCTTTAAGTTATTTGCTACAGATCATAAACGTACTGTGTTCAGATTATATACTTAGATAAATAATAGGTAACTAATTACAAAAAGATATCTCAAAATATATGCGAAATTAACGTAAATTATTATAATGACAAAAATATTTTTAATACCACAAACACATTAATACAAAAATTCCTTTCCATAGCCAGATTTGCCATTGTCAAATTTACAGCTTTTTTTCTATAGAACAAATTGTTCAATTAGAAAGTCCCCGGCGCCTCCGCCTTTTAATTGAGTGTTTTAAATTGACTGCTAGAGGTGATGCGATGAAACTTACCAATTAATAGTAAGTTGAATACAATGAAAACTTGGTTCTAGGGTTGGAACAAAATGGGATTGTTGCCCAGTATTGATAAAACTCGATTAAGTACTTTTCTGATATGATCTTGATTCTCAAGCAAATTCACTTTCAGGATTTTTAGATTATACCACAAGCGTTTTACTTTTTACTTCAAAATAATTGCTTTCTGAAAATCGAAATATTTTTTGGTCGAGGACATCTTACCCGCCATCATGTCTTCCGGCTCGCTGAACTCGTCGAGGGGCTCGTTCTTGTTCGTGTGCACGTCCCGCATGTGGGCCTCGAACGTCTTCTGTCGCCGAAAGGTTTTATTGCACTCGATGCACGTCAGGCTCAGCAAACTTGACAGTAGCGTCTCCTGCGGCTGATTTTCTTCTGGCGCGGACTTTTTTTCAGCTTTGGGGGGCGTGGCCAACTTTTTCGGTGCCTCCGGCTCCCCCGACGCCAAGCCCCCACCACCAGGCTCATAGTGCTTCTTCAAATGCTCAAAAAACCTAGAAATATACGGGGGAAAAAGTTATACTTCGATTCATTATCGCCTCTAACAGGGTGAGCAGTCAAACTCGGGGCTGGGGGGGAGGTGGTTTGGACAAAAAAATGTCATTGACATTTTTCGTTGTATTTTTTATTCGAATTCTTAATGATTTTAATGGGTAAAAAGCTGGTTCAAAAAAAGTAAAGATAACAATTTCAGTTTCAAGTTGCAGAAGAAAGATGCCCTGGTGTCCACCATTTATATAACATAACCTAAAATATGTTTACGTGATCGGGAGCGTACTTCAGCTGATCCTGGAAGGATGTGTTGCATAGCTGGCAGGAGAACGGCGAGGCGACCGATGAAGCCCGCGCAGTTTGACACGCGGCTTCATGCTCAGCGCACTCGTCGTCATTGGAAAACGTCTGATCACACGAATTGCACACAAACTTCTTAACGCTCAAGGTGCTGTTCTTCCTCAGTTTCCTCGATATTCGCTTTTTGTGTGGCAAACTTTTTTTCAAAGTGCGGTGCTCGTTTCTAAGGAAAAAAACAAAAACAATACTTAAGAATGTACCCTGTACCCTGTTATTATGACTACTATTATTATTATTATTAACACTATAGAGTGAAAAGTTTGATAAGTCTACAACTGTGCATTTTAGTTATTTCTAAATTTACTTTTTAATTTTGCTTTGTTTCATAGTTACTAAATATGTGTTCCTTGAATATCTGGTATAAGCTAAATATTATAAACAATAACTTTTATATATTTTTTGCAGAGTAATGTAATATAAACTAACCATACTTGCCTTTTGTGGAATTAATTTCAAAAAATGGATGCTTGCCATGTTTGTTAAAATGATATGTTACCTGACAGACTCTCTATCCGAATCCCCTCCGCGTTCTTCCTCTGTTTTCGTGATAATAACTTTTGGCAGTTCTTCGACATAATCGTTTTGAACTGCAGAGGTACCTGCCAGTCTTACATTGTCCACAAGCTTATGTAAGCCTTGCTGCTCCACATACAGGTTATCGGAATTAACGATTCTCAAATAGCTCGAAGCTCCCGAATTCTTGTCTTGGCTCAATATCAACTGAGACTCCTCCAAAATTTTACTCCCAGCTAAAAATTTTAACCAGTAAAGGCAGCATTTCTAACTATTCCTTGACCTACCAACGATAGGTAGTGATGCATCATGCAACTGCTGCTGTTTTTGCTGTTGACTTAACTGAACGGCGACCAACGCAGCTGCCAAATTCCGATCTTCCTCTGTCAATTCCTGTGATAAAAGATCGTCGGAAGTGTAAGTTACAGGAATAAAATCATTGCCAGCTAAATCTACAACTAAGCCGTTCGGCTGCTGCAATAATTCTGTGCTTATAATCTGAGACGTTTCTGATAGTCTTATGTACTGAGGAGCGTCGGTTTCGCCGTTAATCACGACGTTTTCCAAAAGCTCCCGTCCGCTGTCGCTTTCCATCATTTCAAATTCCGCGCCGCCGACAGTCTACGTGACGTTGACACGACGTTTCAGGGTCACTCTCTTACATTATTTCAGCCTCTCCTACAGGCGAATATCGACGATTCCGAGTCTCTTTGAAGCATCCGAAGCCACTCAAAACGTTCGTCGGGTGACTAAAAACACATTCCTTCCTGGAAATAGTTTAAAAAATGACTTCAAACTATAATAACACAACAAAAAGTGACAACAGTGCAACAATGCAACGCAGGAACGCCATCAAAGCACAATGCGCCGATGCGCAAACTCGGTGAACTTCCCTGGGGTGCTATTGCCGAATAATGCAATCTTTTAGAATTTTACTCAACTCTGCCATTTGTTTAAATTCAAGTTTTTCAACTCCTATTCAAAATTATCTAAAAATAGTAATCATCTTTGTGCAAATTTTGAAGTTTATAACAGAAATGGAGAGCCTTACACATTTTGGATAATTATCTGGGGCAGTCACCTTACCAATCGCATTTTCTATGGTGGCGGCGATGTTTTCGTTTTAATTCTTTGTTGACGCTGTGGGGGTTATGCTTTTTTTTTTGTAGAAAATTGTTAAAAATCTTTTTGGGATTGTTATAGACAGAAGAATGTAAAATGTCTGAGTTATTGCCGTTGTGAGAAATATTAAGTCTTCATAAATGTTTAGTTTTTCTCATCCAAGTGTAAGAGGATGTCTTGATTGGTACTTTATTTTCCAATGTCTACTTATAGATCGTTTTGTTTACATTTGTTGGTGCTAACTATAAATGTGTTTCTTAAGGCGAAAGCAGGTAATTAAGGATTTTAGTTTGTAGACTACATGTTCCTAGATGTAACGTAGGACGCAGAATAATATTACCTTTAAAATTGATATACATGCACTAAGGCTCTTTATTTTAGCCTATACTTCCCTCAATAACCCTGTGCTGCTTTATTCCACAACAAAGGATATTCGAATTGTGAACATAACCAGAATAAATAATGTGAAAACAAAACCCCTAACAATAGTTAGGAATTACACCTACATTTCCGCAATAGACTTTCATTATGCTAAACAGAAAATTTGCTGGGCCGATCACGAAATTGAGAGCATTCAGTGTTGTCACCATACAGGTTTTGTTGCAGAAAATAAGGTAAGTAATTGAAGGAATCGAGATATTTAAATTACTATTATCCCCTCACTATGTTACAAATAGTTGCTTAAAATAAAATAAAGCAAATAAATAGATATCCCAAAACTTAAAATGAGAATATTAACAAAAAATATAGTGCCAATATATTTCAATTTCGAAGGAGCGCCCCTACACATTTTTAAGTAACTTCAATTAGTTTTTCTTTAGTATACATATATTAGAAGTAAGAAAAAACATTTTGTACCTTCTATCTGCCCAACAATTATTATTTTATTATCCAGCTTTAAATTTTTGTGAACTGCAACTATAGCCGAACTTTAAAAAATTATTCAGGTTGAAATTATAACGGGGGTACTGGCTCCCGACGGTATTGCGATAGACTGGTTTACTGACAATATATATTGGACGGACAACGATGCGAACAGAATCGAAGTGGCAACGCTGGACGGAAAACACCGCAAGGTGTTGTTCTGGACCGATATCGATCAACCGCGCGCCATCGCGGTAGTGCCGACTAAAGGGTAATGCGGTTTATGGCGAAGGAGCCGGGCTTCATGTGACATGCCATTGCTTTTAGGCTGTTATTTTGGACCGACTGGGGAGAAATACCGAAAATCGAACGGGCGGGAATGAATGGTGAGATGTCTACAAGAAAAGTGATCGTTTCGGAAAATATTTATTGGCCCAATGGTATAACAGTGGACTACGAAAACGAAAAGGTCTACTGGGTCGATGGAAAACTGTTATTTATCAAGGTTATGGATTACGACGGAAAGAATATATCCACGTTTCTCGCCACTGGATTTGAATACCCGTACGCCGTTGCCCAGTTCCGTAACAAATTGTACTGGACCGACTGGAAGACGATGTGAGTGGTTTTCTTTTTTTTATGAGCAAGAAGGGCTGTTTGTTCTGTTATACCCCATTACTTTAGAGCCAACAGTAATTTAAAAAAAAGACGGGTGCTTTTTTTTTGAATTCATAAATAATAAACTGGTAGGCCATTAAGTAGAATGACACACGCACGCGAGACCCGGTATTTGTAGTTTACCAAATGAATACGTTAATCTATATATTATAAACGATCTGTCGTGTTGAAGTGAAGGATCGTCGGTCTGTCAACAACTCTTTGTATCAAGCGAACCACATTTTCAATCGCAAGTGAGCGACAAGTGAACTATGTTTTGTATCGCTAGTAAACAATTGAACAATACAAAAATGAACGGTTCTCCGTATTATAAGTGAACAATCTACCACAACTGAGTAATCTTGTGGGCTGTATGTCTAACTAAAAAATCTTGTGTATCCTAAGTATCTTTATAAGTGAAATAAGTAATATGGTAACTGAAAGTCCTATGTATCCTCTTTTAAACGATTTTTTGTACACTGTCGCCCAAAGAGAATTATGCCACCTTATGCCTGGAGATACAAGGTAAAATATAAATTTTGCGCCTTTTTGGGTGGTATCATATTTAGCTCAGCCTATAAGATAGAAAAAATGGAAAATTGTAATATAAATGTAAATGGTGTAACACAATTGGTTCCCACGTCTGGAGTTTATTTACTGTTTTATGACGGTTGGTTCCACGAAAATAAATCGGATGTCATTTCCAGAAATCTGTGAAAATCTTGAATTAAACGCTCTACCCCCCCCCCCCCCCAATTCTTCTCACGCTGTCCCACGATTCTTCTCTTTCGTGCACATAATATAGTCGGTGCGCATTCGCAGGGCTATACACTTCTATGAGCGGAGCGTGTCGTTGAAACCCATCGAGATACTTCTCACCTCCCATCCGATGGACATTAAAGTGTACGACAGACAGAGGCAGCCACTCGAAGCGCACGCATGCGAGACGGATAACGGCGGTTGTTCCCACCTGTGCCTCCTGGCGCCCGATCAACCGTATTACAGTTGCGCGTGTCCCATTGGGATCAAACTGGTCGACAATCAAACCTGCGCGGACGGCCCCCAAGAGATTCTCTTGCTAGCGAGGAGGACCGATATTTACCTGATTTATCTGGACTCACCCGATTACAGTTACAAAGTAATACCGCTGAGTGACGTCAAGTATTCGATAGCAATCGATTATGATCCCGTCGAGGGTTACATATATTGGTCCGACGACGAAGTTAAGAAGATCCAAAAGTCGAAGCTGGACGGTACCGACCAGCGCGACGTCATCGCCGCGGAAGTTCAGGATCCAGACGGCATAGCGATCGACTGGGTGTCGCGGAACATTTACTGGGCCGATACTGGCACCGACCGGATAGAGGTAGCCAGATTGGAGGGGGGATACCGGAAAGTGATTGTCGGGCAGGGTCTGATTGATCCTAGAGGCATAGCGGTGGCGCCGGAGCTCGGCTGGTTGTTTTGGTCCGACTGGAGCGAGAAGGACACGAAGGTTCGTTTTAGTTTGAAGTTATTTTCTAATTTGAAGTAGGTGAAAATATGCACTTTAATTTCCGTTTATGAAGTGTATTAAGTAGTAATTTGTTAACAACGGCATATTATATCTATCTGCTACCCTGAAATTATATGATGTCAATTCAATAAAACCTTGAATATATATTTTCGAATTTGAAGGTGGAGCGGTCGAATTTGGATGGTTCCGAGCGCACTTACGTAGTCCGCGATAAGCTGGGCTGGCCTAACGGCATCACAGTGGACGTGGAACGTGAGAAGATCTACTGGTGCGACGCCAAGTTCGACAAGATCGAGTACGCGGACATGGACGGGTCGAACCGTCGCGAGCTAATCAGCGACAATCTCCCTCATCCGTTCGGGTTCAGCCTGATGGGCGGCTATTTATACTGGACGGACTGGCAGAGGCGTGCGATCGATCGGGCCCATAAAGAGACGGGCGGGGGTCGACAGGTGATCGTCGATCAAATGGAGAATGTGATGGGGGTGAAAGCAATAAGGCTGGGTAACGCCAGCGGCAAGAACCCGTGCCAAGAGGGCAACGGAGGCTGCGCACAGCTTTGTCTGCACAGACACAACTCAACGCGCGTCTGCGCGTGTCAAGTAGACTATGAGCTGGCCAGAGATCTCACTGGATGTGTCAAACCAGACGCCTTCCTGTTGTACACAAAGAGGGAGGGCATTGGAAAGATTAGTATTGAAAACGAGCCGCTGGAGAATAGTCTGCACATCGCTGGGGTCAAGGAGGCGAGGTGAGCGGGAGAAATATTAATATATTCATTAACTGTAATTTATATTTTTCTTGACTTTATTTCTTTTGATTACTATACGGCGGTTTTTGAAATCATGGTTTCAGTAAACAGTTAAAGTTATTTCTTAATGCAATAATTGTCGAATATATGTTTCCTATTAGTGATCCCCTTTTCCCTTCTTCCAAAGTTCAATCGACTTTGACACGAATTCGATGCGAATATACTGGAGCGACAGCAAACTACGAACGATAATGAGGGCTTTCGTTAACGGATCCGAACCTCAGAAGGTCATCGACCTAGGTTTGACCTCCCCCAAGGGTATCGCTGTCGACTGGCTTGGTCTAAACATATACTGGACGGACCCTCTGTCGCATCGGATTGAGGTGTCCCGTTTGGTGGGAACATCGAGGAGGACTCTCCTGTGGGACGAGACCTACGAACCGCACGATATTGTCCTAGATCCTGTTTACGGGTTTATGTATTGGTCGGAATGGGGCCAGCAGTCGAATTCGATCAAGAAAGCTGCCATGGACGGGTCGAACCCCAAAGAACTAATATCGACAAACGGACGCGCTGCCGGACTGACCCTAGACTACGAGGGGCGAAGACTCTATTGGAGCGAAGAAGACGTGCCGGCCATATGCTCGGCCGACCTGGACGGCAACGACAAGAAGGTTATCGTAAAGGATAATCTGCACGTGCCCGTCGGGTTGACGTTGTACAAGGAACATATTTACTGGAGTGATCACAAAACTGGTAATGGAGAAAGGGTGATAAGGGATGGGAAACTCGCTCGAATCTGAAAAATCTTTCTCATAGCGGAAATATCGAGAGCAAACAAATACGACGGCTCGGGGCACGAGAGAATCTTCGCCTTGTCGGAGAACGTGTCTGACCTGGTGGTTTACCAATCCATCAAACAGAAGCGTACCAATCAGTGCGCGATCAGCAATGGCGGTTGTTCCCACCTGTGCCTCGCCTTACCCGCCGCCGATCCCGATGAGCAGAGCAGATACACGTGCGCGTGCCCCACCCACTACACTCTACGAGGCAGTGAGTGCGTTCGTAAGTACACTCCTTTATTTATTTATTTTTGCCTAAACATCGGGGTATAGTTCGAATTATTGTTTTAATTACCTCAATTGTACTAAATTAGTCCAAAAATTACTTCTGGAACCTCCTGCGTTGGTTGTTGATAAATCGAACTTGCCAACGTTTCGCCATTCATTCTGTTGGCTTCTTCAGAGCTTAACTGAAATTGAATGGCATTCTACCCTATACTGTTTGAGGGGGTAGCTAAAGGAGGGGCGTGAACATTGTCTCAGGAGGAATCCAGAAGTTTCGCAAATAGTATTCCAGTTGCCTATGGAAGTTTCATTGAGAAATGAACTTAAAATGGATTTCTTTACAGCCCCGTCGCACTTTATGATCTACAGCCTTAAAAATTTGGTGGTAAGACTGGTACCGGACACATCGGACTGTCCAGAGGCCGTGTTGCCGATACACGGCCTTAAAGCGGTGCGCGCGGTCGATTATGACATTAGGAACAACGTCCTCTACTGGGTTGGTTTCCTGCTGTCGCGTTTCTCGCTCGCGTTTACCGCATCTTCGTTTTTAAGATCGACGGCAAGTACCACACGATCAAGAGTTCAAACGCTGGAGTGTTCGTGCCAGGCAGTCCAGACATTAAACCGTTCGATATAGCCGTGGACATGGTAGGCCGGGTTCTGTTTTGGACGTGCGCGATACAAAATGTGATCAATGTAACCCGTCTCGACAATTCCAACCCGTTCGGCAGTCTCGAGAGGCGGAACGGAGAACAGCCTCGTTTGATCGTTATACACGTGTCTAAAAGGTAAGTGGTAAAAAAACTGCCTGCGAGTGTTGAATACCCCTGAAATCAATTGCGATATGCCAATAAGGTGTGTGACGACGTTTGCATTCAATCACATCTAGTGGTGAATCTACCACTAATTGACTAGTCAATCAGTATGTTTATTTCGTTTTAAAAATGACTACTAGTAAACTTATGACTTACTTACTTACTTACTTAGCTGCTTATGAAACAAGCATTAATGAATAAAAAGCACCTACACAAAAAGTTTGTTCAAAAAAGAGAGGAAGAGAGGATAAAGAAACTAAATTTAGAAAATACTTTAAGCTCACCAGTTGTCAGTTCAATGAAATTCTAATATTCTAATCTTATATTTATAGATACTGGGCTGCAGAATAATAATAATAATAATAATAATAATATCGTTCCATGACATTTAATTATGTCACAAGTTAGTGCCTGTTTTCCGTAAAACAGCTGTAGAAAAGTGTTTTACACTAGCTGCGCAGTTAAACGAGTAGAAAATGGCAGAATTGACACATCAACAGTTTCACTTGATTTGTCTACAAATAGTCATTTCGCGCGAGTTGTACACTACATTTCTTCCACGACTGATTTTTAAAAAGACTATTTTTAATTTTTTGTTTACAAATTTATCCAGTAATTTTATGAATAACAATAAAAAAAGACTAGATGACAGTTGAATGGCTTATGAATGTCGTACAAAAAATAAAAACTACAGGCAAAAATGAAACTGTCCCTTAATTTCAACATTCAATGCTTTATTTCAGTAAATTTAAATTCGGCAACTTGTGCCGTACTCCGATTGGCCGAGAGTTACCAGAAAACCTGTATAAATTCTCTAAAACATAAGCCTCGGATATTTCCTTTTTTTTTTTTTCATGTACCACTTGACTTGTTTATGTCAGCATCACAATCATAAAAATAAAAATATGTGTCGTAAAAAACACTTGTATTACAGAGATAAGTTGTCCATTTTTTTTTGCTATTATTTTCCAAATATTATCCCATACATTTTGATCCTTTTAAAATTTATGATTTAAATTGTACAATGCTGGATGCATAGACACTTCGTGAATTAATTTTTCATCTCCCGCTTTGGAAAATTTAAGTGTATTACGAGGGCTACAACCTTGGTGGGAACTCATTTGTGCGCGACTAAAGATTCTGCTGCGAGACGCGTTGTCTTGTGGCGAATTGTGTTGACTTGTCGATTAAACTATTTAAACAATTGACACAATTAAACGCCATTTTTAAGCTCCTCATCTACTGGCCTAAAACAGGCCGGCGAAAAGCAAGGATGGTACATTTACCATCTTTGCTTTTCGCTTTCTCAATATGGGTGGCAACATTTTAGCAATCATTTTCCCAACAAATTGCCAAGGCGTCACCATCGTTATTTTGCTCGAAGGTTGTTATTCTACACGGACGTGGGTGAAACGCCACAACTAGTTAGAACCCGCCTGGACGGATCGCACCGGGTCGTTATCACCAAGGCGGGCGACATTACCGCCGTAGCGGTCGACGTCGACAACGACTTGGTGGTCTGGTCCCAGGGTCAAAGTATCTACATCAGCAACATCGACGGCGAAAACAAGTAGGTGCCAATGGAGCAGTAGCCTTGGGTCTGGAGGCCAGACAAATAGTTAAAACGCCTAAAACGCGACAACTAACATACGCAATTATTGGCTTGTTGACTCGTCTCCCCCACTTTATTTTCCATCCAGTGCCGTTTACGATATACAGGGAATTATAATGCTACCGATGCTTATTGTGTTGGGCTTTGCAAACATTGGGGCTTTGTCAGGTCTCCTTTTGACGCATATTTACATCATTGGAATCCACTATAAGCGCTACCTTGTTAGGCACGTGCTGGTCAACGAGAGTAACTCAAAGATCACCCAGCTCACTGTCCACTCTGGTTGGCTCTACTGGATCGATCGCGACGTCAACCAGCTACAACGGCTGGAGCTGACTACCGGTAAGTCGCGATCGACGCTTCCCGTTCAGGTGTCCCACGTCGTCGACCTCGTATCCGTGAAGAGACCGGACAACCACAGCTGCGACACCTCCCATCCGAAAGGCTGCTCTCACTTTTGCGTACTGAACGGTACAGATGCGCAGTGCGCATGCCCCAACGGTAAGACGCTGCAGGAGGACCGCAGGTAGGGATTAGATGATATGTAAACTTTGATGATTTGATTTTTTGTTAAAACATAAAGGCAAGCGAAGTTTAATTTCATATTATAACGGTAAAGTAGTATATTAAAAGTTTTGTGGCGATTTCTTCCATTTAGGTCCTATCTCACGTTTATTATCACGTATTTGCGTCGCTTTACGCGACCTTGATATAAGATCCAATGAGCGTTCACAAAGCGATTTCTCGAGCTTTTCCACCAACGTATCGACGATTTCCGAGATTTGAAACGTCGATCCTGTTGCAGGTTATGCCACACAATACCAAATTGCGGTCCAGAGCGTTTCTCGTGTACGGTCGCCTCTTCGGACGTCAAAGACTGCATTCCGATCTCGTGGCGATGCGACCACCAAAAAGACTGCTCGGACGGTAGCGACGAGCTCGACTGTCCGTCGTGTCGGCCGAATCAGTTTCGTTGCCAGGACGGGCAGTGTATCGACAAGGCGCTCGTCTGTGATAAGACCACGAACTGCGCTGACAAGTCGGACGAGAAGAACTGCTGCGAGAACGGGTTTCAATGTCCGCACACGGAGGTGTGTTTGCCGTCGTCGCTCGTCTGCGACGGGAATGAGAACTGTGCGGACGGCTCTGACGAGAAGGACTGCAACGGGACTAGAGGCGGGTCCGGCGACGCCTGGCTGGGCAAGACGTTTTTCGTGGTGGCGGTGGTGATCGCTTTCATTTTCACTCTAGTATTGGCCGTGTTCTTTTGTCACCGGAAGAGATGGCTGCCGCGAGAGGACGCTGCGGAAACGCCCGAAGACGCGCTCAGTCCCCTCCATCCGAACGCGCACGGCAAGCATCTCAAGTTGCGCAAAGGTAAGAGCGTCAAGTAGTGTGGTAGTTCAAATGTCCCGTTTTACATTAGAACGTTTACATTGCCCCCTGTAGATTTGTTGTTATATGTTGCTCTATGTTCGTTCATTTCGTGTTTAAACTTCTTATTGGCGAAATTCAACATAATCGGGAGACGTTTATGTTAAACGTTTTGTTGGTGATTTTCAAAATCACATTTTTAAAACAACCGTGGTTGTAGTTGTCTAGTTATGTTGACTAGGGCCACTTTTATCTGTTCCAACTATTGTTAAAACATTTTGTCGTCAAGATAGATGTGCTCGATTAATAATCACAAAAATTTCACCTAGTTCAAACGCCTCTTTCAATTTGTGCTCGATTCCGCTTTGGGGCGGTCCATTCGACTGAATCGTTCAAGTCGGGTATCCTTCGTCATTGTCACAGTGTCGAGATAATATAGGTTAGCATCATGGCAATAACTCGATATTATTGCTATTGTTTTCGTTATTGAGTTTTACTATTTCTACTGTCCCTACACACTGCTTGTCGTTCAGTGCGTCACACAAACCGTTTCGAAAGCAAATCGATTTGCAGGTATACCGGACGTGGTACGTATGTCGATGCTAAACGATAGCGGACTCTCTTCCTATGAAAGGCGTCACATAACCGGCGCGTCCAGTAGTTCGAACACCAACGGCTCAAGCAGCGGTTGTTATCCGCGCGAAACGCTTAACCCACCCCCTAGCCCGGTGACGACGGCCGCTTCGACGAGGGGCAGCAGCCCTTCGTCTCGATACAAGCCGTACCGCCATTACAAAGCGATATATCAGCCTCCGCCCCCGACACCGTGCTCTACCGACGTTTGCGACGAGAGCGACTACAATTATCCTATGATAAGAAATCGGTGAGTCCAAGCGGCTTTCGCGTAAACCCGCAGGCTCACTGTTGAATTTTAGATATGATGGCCCGCCTCCTACTCCCCGATCTCATTGTCACCAAGAGAGTTGCCCACCCAGTCCCAGTTCGAGGTCATCAACATATTTTAGCCCAATGCCGCCGCCCCCGAGTCCGGTGGCCTCGCCCAGGGGAGATTCCGATTCGTAAAGTCGCGTTTTTTTTTTATTATTTTTTACCTCAGTCGCGTTTTAGGTTATTTTTTAAGCACGACCGCCATATTGTCTGAATGTTGTATGTTGTGTCGACGTGCCATGAATTTTAAGGTTATAATCAATATTTTTTGCGGACGGTTAAGTCTCGATTATTCTCGACGCGCATCCGCGCGGGTTATGTGATTTTTGAGGTTATACACATTTTGTTGTAATACAGTCGGAAGCATTCGTTATGGGAACCATTTTGTGCCTAATCGTTTGTACGTGAAATAAAACTTGTAAATAATATTATTTTTTATAAAGCTGATAGATTTTACCAAAAAAACTGTTTTTTTTTTCGACGCACAAAAACTAACCAAGTAAACAATACAAACACAAAAAAATTAACGGGACACCGACTTATGAACCATCATATTTGACGTTGCCTGACGTTTTTCATCTCATTCCGCAAACGATGGCTGCGAGCACGCAGAAACGCTGTTTATGTTCTGCTCAGATTAAAAACAAAGTACGTGAGTTAGGGGATGTGTTCCATTTGCCTATAATTTCAACCGAGGTTTAGCACGATCACACGATCGCGGCCACCCAATGCGCCGACGCGGTTAAACCTTCTCAGCCAGAGGAAGGAGTCGGCCAAAACGAGCCTTCGAAATGTTGCCCTTGCGCAAAGGAGCCTACTTCAAACGACAACGAAGTTATCAATCATTACGACCGCAAAGACAAAATTCCATTGATTGAAAAACCTGCGCCATTTTGTTATGCTTCACAACACAAAGATGCCACGACGTTGTCCCAGCAGGTAAAGTTCGATGCGCAACTAAGTCTAAACGAGTCCTTCATGGGCTTGCCCCCCTGCTTTTTATATATTTTTTCATTTTTTAATAAGGGCTTCGGTCTTGGAGGGCCACAAGGAAAATAAAAATCCTTGAGCACGCGTTGAATTCCCTGATACTCTGCTGTAGGATTGGTTAGAAATTTTATAATTTAATTCGCGTATTAACAAGGGATAATTCACATACGTTGATTAATAAATTCATGGGATAATCGGAATAGGTGAACGAAATGGGGCCGGTGGGGCCGTGGGCGACGGGCAAAGTTGATTGGGGCCCTCTCGCCGGTTTAACGGGAACGAGACCGGTAGTCGACAAGTACTCAATAACTCGTTTCAGCCCGGCCGAGTGGAAAATTCGCAACGCTCTTATTTTAAAAGGTGGCGACGATGTACGTTCGAAATCGAAAACGTGAGTGTGACTGATGAATATTTTTATCGCCTGGAACCTTGATCTACTGTCCCAGATATAATTGGAACTCGCGTCAGTGTTTAGAACAAATACAGGTGAGCGTGGATAAAACGCAGCAAGACAATAGGCGACTGCTTAATGACAAGAGCGCCGAAGTAATGAGGTGGAAATGCGAGCTCGAAAGAGCTGCTGAAGCTGCCACTGAGGAGATTGGATTTTTGGAGGAGCAGCGGGCCAGGTTGAAGCGCGCTACCATCATTTTGCAAATGCCGGAATCGATAGGTACTTTTTGCAAAAACTTACCCTCCATCACAAATAAGCGCCAAAATAGTTGTCTAGGTAAAGGTAGATTGAAGTAGTATTGGGTGTTCATAGATGTAAGAAAGTGACCAATTGCTTTTGAACGGATTGTCCAAGGGTGGTCATTAACATACAATGCAACAAGCTTATTCTTATTAATTAATTAATTATCAATTGTTAATTATTAATTAAGGTAATAATCTTGTTGCATTGTATGTTAATGACCACCCTTGGATAATCCGTTCAAAAGCAATTGGTCACTTTCTTTTAGCTAGGAACAGACCATACCTGTTGTAATAGTAATAGGAATAATATTACATCACTCAAGAAATTTCAAATAATTTGAAAAAAAACGTTTATCACCGGATCTTGGGTCTTGTGGGCAGTGAATTATTTGCTTTCCGACAAATGCGGATGGAGATATTTGTATCTATCAGTTATTGGCAGCGTAATTTCGACTTTTTTATGAAATAACGGAAGTTCGACCGAATTAAAAATTCATGCTTTAGGTACTTTCCAGTTTATTGTTCATTTGTTTCCTTTAAATTTATAATTGTTTGGTGTATTTAACAGGTCATAATGCCTTTAGATGGTATTGTTGTCTCTAGATTTGTAGCATTAATGGCAAGGTGATCGAGGAAAACGGAAAACTGCAAGAATTGTTGGTAGGAGTCTATGTGCTGTACAAAGTGTATACCCACGCTATGAGGAGACTGGCTCGATCACGAGAAGACCAGGATCCGGTTGAAGAAGGATCAACGACCAAAGGGATGATCAATTTTTGGTGTTCGTAAGTTTGGCTTCGAAATCAGCGTCAAGACGTCACAAATGTTAATGTTAGTGAATGCACTGTTAGAATGCTAATGGATTGTCTAGTCAAAGGATGGCTACCGACGGCATCGAATAGGCAAATAATTTTTGACTTAGACTGGAATGATTATGAATGGATGAATCCTGTTTTTGCCTTACTGGGTCAGGTGGACGTCGGAGAGTATATAGAGGACACGGAGACAAATATGCTGAAAGAGTTCCACAAGGTGATGGTTCGGTTATGGTTTGGGCGGGAATCAGTTCGGAAGCATGCACAGAGTTGGTTTTTATACAGAATGACTCTCTTGACTGCTTTAATGCTATAGGCGAAGATGGCATTTTTATGCACGATAATGCTAGATCCCACACCGCCAGAATTGTCAGAAAAAATTTGAATGACGTGGGAATTAGGCGGTGTGATTGGCCAGCACTCGGACGAATCCCATTGAACATGTGTGGGATGAGATACGAAGACATACACCGGCTTCAAAAAGTGCTGAGAGAGTTGCTTATGCAGGAATAGAACAATATCGACCATAACGTAATCCGTAATTTAATACACAGCATGCCTCGTCAATTAGGAGCAGTCATAAACGCAGGACGAGGGAATACGCGTTATTATCGGGTTTTCTCAGTATTGTAAAAACATCACATTTTCCGACGAATTGTTAACTTCAGATGACCATATAGGGTAGGTTACATAATTTACTACCTACAAGTTCGTAATAAACTTTTTTTACAAAAAAATTTGTAATTTCTCGAGTGAACTAAATTTTTTGGTCGCCCGTGTAGTAGCAGTACGCTACTAATTCAGATATGATAATATCAGCATTTTTTAAATTATTGTAGGTGAGTTTTTAGCTGCAAACAATAATTGCGCGTTTTATTTAAAGAACCGCTATTAAACATAATATTTATCCTTAAAAACGAAAAAGCGTTTCTTAGTATATTTTTGACATGCGTTTCAGCGTCGGAGTGTTTAGACCGGCGAACGGGGCGACTAGACGCTGAACTAGTGCGCGACGAACTCGAAGAGGAGTTGATAAAAGAGGTGGCCCTGTGTTCGGAAATTCGCGACCTCTTCGGCCGGGTGCTCGACGACGTCGAGAAACAGCTGCTGGAAGACAAAACGGCTAAACAGCGCGTGGAATTCGACTGGAGCGACAAACGGGACGCCCATGAAATCGACGTCCTTTGCTCGTCGCTAAATAACCGTTCCACCGTTTTGACGTTCAAGCCCGGTTCTGTTATTTTTCCGGAAAGGTACGTGTTTTGACCGAGACGACTGAGGCGTTTGTTTTATGTGAGAAATGGTCTTGTTTTTAGACAATCTTCGCCGGAATATTGGGAGAACTGGACGAGAGAGTCGCTGATCGAGGCGGAGGCGACGCGGCAACGCTCGTTAACTTTGAGAGCGACGCTGGATTCGATATTGAGAAAGGCGGCAGACGATTTAAAGGCGCAGGCCAACCGGGTCGAGTTGGCATTGGCGAAAACTGTCGCTTGCAACGAGGAAGTAGTCGCGAGACTCGAAGACGACTTGCGCAAGGTAAGTTTCGAGTTGTCGCGGGCGAGTAGGGGAGGTGTAACAGCGGAGGGCGATAATCGGGAACACCACAAAGTATCGAATGTTGAAATCCCGAATCGCGCTTGTTCTGCTTGTTCTGGATAATCCGAATACGAATTAGCAAAATATTGCTTGTTTTATAGATACAGGACGTACATCGGATGCTAAATCCGCACAGGACACATGAATTCTCATGCATACGATCAATTAATTATTATTTAAGTATAGGTTAATTTTATTATTTTATATAGGGCACTGAAAACCGCATTCAAAAGAATATTTTTTACCAACCCGTGAGTATCTTTTTCGACGTCTACCAAATCAAATATATCTCATGAGGGAAAACGATGATAAATTCCTACCCTATTTTATAAATAAGGTTAGACATTTCTCATAGTCACATGAGAACCACATAAAAATAGTGAGACAAAATTACTTCAAAATCTGCATGATCCTGGATGTGGACTCATGGCCTCAGGGTGGCCCACCAAATCTTTTGTTGTATTGGTGTAGCAGAAAATATTTATATTGATTGTTCATCTTTTCTGATGTAAAACTGTTCCAATAGTTGAAACGAAACAAAAATTTTAAACACAATCATTTTAATAATTATTCCTAACACATTTGCGCCATAATTTTCTTCCATCCATATTTCGTTGTCCAAGTGAAAGCCTGTAAGAATAACATTTTGTATTTTTATGACAAAGGTAACCTTTACCTTTATACACCATACTAGGAGTTAGCAGTAATTTTTCTTAAACGTCAAATGTATTTATTTAGTACTTCAAAAAGTGCCAAGAAAGAAATATAACATTTCTTAGTGACTTCTATTAACTTATACAAAGGTAGAGGTTACCTACCCGAAAAATATAAAATACTTGCTAATCTGTGAAAAAATCTAAATTTATGCCCATATTCTATGGTTGGCTAATATCATCAATGAATGTAAAATCATTTTTTGACCCTGTCTCTCAAATTTGATTATGATTCCCTTCATACAGGGACATGCGAGAAAAAAGACTGATGTCAAGCTTTTGTGCCACACTGTATAACCAAACTAATACCTAGGTCACTCTCTTGGTCCGACAACTCTAGTCAAGGCTTCCAGTTCTACAGGTATATTCACCTTTGCCTAGAGGTGCATACTGAGTTGAAGGAAAGTACGTTAGCGTAATTGAAATTTATTACTATTTATAAAGTTTCAGTTGTACAGTATAATGTACAACACATTTCTACAAATATTTTGAATACCAATCATTTTTTTACCTTTTCTGATGCTTGATATTTTGTTTTCGTACATCTGAGATATCTTTTTGCAATAACTTGAATATATATATATATATATATATATATATATATATATATATATATATATATATATATATATATATATATATATATATATATGATGATGACACTATATTCCGGGATATCATCCGTTCGCTCGTTGAACTCCGACTGGAATCCTGCATCCGACTGGAATCCTGCAAATCTTGCATCCGACTGAAATCCTGCAGACGTTTCGCCAAAATCTCACTTGGCATCTTCAATGCTCGCGCTCCGAAAACACTTCGAAAACTTCGATGATATCCCGGAATATAGTGTCATCACATTTTTCCATCCGTGAATCAATACGTGAGAATATATATATATATATATATATATATATATATATATATATATATATATATATATATATATATATATATTTACAAAGGATTAAATAATGTTATGCACTAAACATGCAAAATGCCTTTTTTGTAAGCTACTATAAAATATTAAATCATTTTTACATCGTTGCGTTACACCGTGTATAATACCTAAAGACGTAGTGAAAAACTATTTGTTGAGCGGTTCTGTTTCTGTTCTGCATTTTAACCTACCTAACCTATCAATTTACTACCTACAATTAACTGCATTTCTGGTTAATGTTAGTATTAAATTTGATATCCTTATAAAAATCCCTGGTTTTAACCTAAACATTTTTTTTATTTATCCATCTTGGTATCACGTGTAATTTCCTCTGTACGTCACATCTCAGCTGTTGGCGGGTCTCCTGTTCGAAACCGCCCCCCCCCCCCCCCCGCACCACAGCCAAACACGCCTTTCGGGATTTTCGACACTTTGTGGTGTTCCCGAACATTCGACACTTTGCTACCATGTCGATGATCGCAGACGCTCGGCGAGTTGGTCGCCGCGGAAGGCCTCATCGATACCCTGGAAAACGACCTTCGACGTTTGGACACGCCTCTGAAAAAGGCCCACACGCGTCTCGATAAACGTTTGGCGAGAAACGGGGTGGAAAATTGTCGCGACGCGGTCCATTACGGGTAATGCAGTAAACTCGATCTGAACTGGACTGACAATGGCTTAAAAAGTGAGGCAAATTTTTCAACAGAAAGAGACGGCTAGAAATGGGGATTGTTTTTGGTTTTTCGCTCCCTTATTTTTAAAAATGGGAGAATGGGTTTACGTTGTTTTATTTTCGTGGAGTTGATCCCGAACTTATTCGGCCCATTCAATTTTGGACTTTTTTGACTCCGCGAATGGACCTCGGGATTTCACGAATCTCAATAAGTAGGTACAGCAATTTGCAATATAAAGGTCACATGGAAAAATTTATATACCCATATATCACTTAATAATGTAATTAGCCTTAATTGTCTAGTAAAATGAGTTGAACAAGAAAGTATTATGGCCTTCAACCTTTTTGTTAAGGAAACTTTAAAATTGTTGTAATTGAATCTTTAATAAAATTTCTTCACCGATTCCAGAATCTGTTAAACATATATAATATTGAAAATATTTAAAAATATTTAATTTAATTATCTGTATGAAATAAAATTTATAATACTTAAAATTTAACTTCTTAAAAAATCTTTAAAAAAACGCATAGAAATTCAAAGTATTTAACTGTTATTCCAACATTTTATCTTGCGATTGTAGATTTAATCAATATTTTCTATTTCCTGAAAAGCGGATAACAAAATACTCATTTGTTTTTTATTTCTAAAAATATTTTATATAAGCGTATTTATATATTTTATTTATATAGCAACTTGAGTCATTATTTATTTATAAAACCAAATCAGATCATGTAATTCGTAATAGGTACAAATGCTTTGCTCACCCGAAAAGTAAACTTTCTTTTACCGCATCACGTCAATTTTTATTAATTAACATGAAATTATTAACAGCTATTCTACATACCCAAGATTTTCGCCGTTAAAACTTGTCAAAATAAATCGCAGCCACATATTTCAAAGAAAGATACATTATTGCAATGATTTCACAACAAACGAGCTCTTATTACAGTTATCTGTCATTGGTATTCACGTGCATGACAAAGAAAACAATTCGCATTACTAGCCCTCTCGCTTTGATTAGAATTTGCTTTACAAAATTTCAGTTCAATTCAGGTTCACTGGGGTAAAGCTGCGGCGTAGTTGTGACGTAGAGAATATTAATAAAAAGAGAGTGCGGGATAAAACGATAATATTTGACCAAATTGAAGTATATACTTATATACTGGGCTGTTTGACGGTTGGTGGTACGTATATGTCTTTTTTATCTACCCCAGCTGTTAACGACAAAGACGAATACAAATGGGGTGTTTCACGGTTGGTGATACTTTTGACGTTTACGGCGAAGGGTACATTGGATTTTTCTTAAAAATTTGGTTAGTTTCATAAGCGGCGATGTTATATCGATCTAAAATGTTTTTAAGGCTGCGACGTTGCCGCTTTTTCCAAAAAATAGCATCAACATTGAAATTTTAACTGAGACACCATGTACATTATTGCATTTTCCTATCGGCTAAATTGTTTTTTAAAAATACAAATCTTCAGCGGTGTTAGAGAAAATAATTATTTTCAGCATTTTTCTGATTATTTTTTTACCACTACTACAGTGGAGCCAGAAAAAAGTTTTAAATTTTGGACATACCTTTAGGAAGGTATCGAACAGAATTTCATAATATCGAAATTAGTTCTACATTATGCAGGGTTGATCAAAAGTAATGATTTGCCTACCAGATACAAAAATGGTGAAAAGTGCTTTTTTTTTAAGAACGCCCTGTATGTTATCACATATTCTAAGAGCAAATAAAATCGTCGCGAATGATGTATTAGGTCCCTATACCTAAATCGTTTGGTTTTTGAAATAAAAGCAAGTTTCTCTGAAAACTGGATTACTTTGGCATAATTCATCTTAGATAATGTTAAATAATTCATTTTCCGTTTGACAGTTCAATAAACATTTACATCGGATAAAATCGGTTCAAAATGAAAGGAACCAGGAAATTTGCAAGGATTAAAAAAGAATTTACAAACTATGATTCGAAACTAAGGGTATTCCTATCTTTACCGAAACGGTTCACAATTATATGAATTATTTAATGACCAGTGGTTTCGAGGTTTAGGGTCGTGGTATTGGTCAGCAAAATCGTCCGATCTCACGCCATTAGATTTTTTACCCATGGAGTGCGTTAAAGTCACGTGTCTATTTGACACAGGTGCGGAGTAACTAAGAGTTACTTAGTCATCGCACTGTAAAATGCTTTGAACAAATATATCCATCTGAAATAAAGAAGGCTATTACACTTCGAACACATAATGTAAAAATTGGTTTCATTTTTTAAAATGTTTTTCGCAAAGCTTTTCAAGATTCGTTTCGTTACATTTTCTGCATGTTGTGGCTATAATGTGATTGCATTGTGTGCATGCATAATAAACAAATTCATTAAAACGGCACTAGAATACTGGTTCCTTCCAAAATTTGGGCCATAATCTATAATGTGTAAATGAGAAAAACGGAAAATTATGGATATGGATATTTCATAGCCACGTAAAAGACGAATTATGCCAAAGAAACTTGTTTTTACTTTTTTTTCTTCTACTTTTAGGCATAGAAACATGTTTCATTATTCGAACTTGCTCTTAGAATATGCTATAATGTACAGTGTTCCATTTTAAGAAATGGTACATTTCGCCGTTTTTCGACTTCGATATTGATAAATAATGTATATCTCCCTTGCTCCCTCCTTTCTACTGGGTCCAGTGTAATAATAAAAATTCGCGATTTTAAGTGGCCCGCAGTTTCCGCGAGTCGTTCGCATACTTGTTTTTTTTATATTGAGTGATTTTCATAAATTTACATCTCGACTTCTTGGTAAGTTTGCCACCACGAGGAGTAGTTACAACACCCGGCGAGACGAAGAAAACCCTCTGTGCGCCACTCGATTATTCTCTAATGTGATTGACAATCGTTTTTTTCAACTTTTTCTTAATAGTTCTGAGGTTGATCAGGCAAAAATACAGTCCACTTCCTAATAACTCCAAAACAAAAATTAACTGCCATGTAAAATGCCTAAGAGATTTACTTTCCTATAATTAGGGTTTTGTTTCCTTTTTGTTATTTGTTGTTATAATCCCACTGAAACTGAACCATTTTTTTTTTCAGTTATAGTATGATTCGTCCTATAAATGCTTATTGTATCCGTAATTATTAATTTAGTTAGATAGTTCTGTGGACGGTAGCGTTGGGGAATAACTTGCGATATTTACAAGGCAATCTACAACTCCCTTTTTTGTTAGTTTTTTCCATGGCTTGCGACGAAAGCGCTCAATGACATGTATTTGCAGATTAGTAGACGAGGTCAAATCAATCGCAGAGAGCGCTTCCGGTCTCCAGGGTCGCCTCTGTCGAGCTCGGCAAGTGCGAGGTGAGTTGATCGAGATTAGGACCGAGCTCGAACGCGAGCTCGCGTGCAAGCGTAAAACGATCGAAATCGACTGGGGCCGGCTGCAAAAATTGCGTGAGCATTATCCGTCTGCTGCGGCTCTGCTTGGCCACTGAAAAAAAAACGAAATAAAACTGCAAATTTGACGCGGGTTTTATTTAAAACGACAGGTGCGTTAGCACTTTAAATCGGCGGGGCCGCTCCAGGTGGCGCTTTTGTCGCACAACAGATGGACCGATCGGCCGTCGGCGCACGAGAGGGTCACCTTGTCCCCGTAGAGGTATGAGTTACCAGCGATTCGCGCTCCGGGCTGCGCGGGTGGTTTACCACACGCTTTTCCTAGACGATGAATAAAGAAAATTAACACAATTAAGTTAGAGCAAAAAATGTTCATAGCTTCTAACAAATATAGTTTTTTGCTATTTGTGTCATTCTGTAAAATGTCAAAATTGTCGTCAAACTTGTGTTTTTCTCAATTTAAATGAATGGCATATTTGGAATCCCAAGTTGAAGATTCCGTACTTTTGAGTTTTTCGTGATTTAGTTTTAATGTTTTTTAAAAATTTTCCAATGGTGGTTTCAGTTTTAAAAGCAACCTTAAGACCAAATTTAGACAGATATTTCAACATTTTCTTGCTAGGATCTACTTTGTTGTACTTTATTGTTTTATAAATTTTGGTGTCGGTATTTAATATTAAATAGGTAGAGTATTGAGGTATTTGAAACTATTTTTTAGATATAATTTTATCTATCAAAGAGGGTTCGTAACCATTGTTAAATCCTATATAAGAAATATCCATTCAGAAATCATTTTCTCAGAGAATGTTTATATATGATATTTTCCAAATTGTTCACGAAAATTTCTGCAAGTAGTAGACTAAGTGGGTTTCTCATAATTAGCAATATAAAATTGACCATTAAATTCACAATAATTTTGGTCCAAACAAACTCTTAAACTATCTAACAAGACTTGTCTCCGAATACGAATATTGTCTATTAAATTTGTTACGTCGATCGGTGGATTGCTAGGAAACATATTTTGGACGTCAAATGAAGCCTTAGGAGGAATTTTAATGGTTTTTACTTTATTGATTAGTTCGAACGAATTCCATTAGATTCGTTTAGCCAAATTGAAGAAAATTTACATCACCATCTATTTCATCATTGTTTTATCCGAATTCAATCAAAAAAAATATCGATTCGACATTCGGGGCGAGATGTAGATCCGTTTATTACATTACGCGACATTTCTATAAGACTTCGTATGAGGAAGAGTGAACGGCGATCGAAAAATGACGCGGGACATCACGCCGTCGTGCAGTTTTCTTTAAAATACTTACTGGTGCATTTTCCTAACATCCGGGTCCATTTTCCGGCCGCGGTGCACCTAATGTTGTTGTTCGAACCGAACAGCTTGTAGCCGTCGTCGCATTCGTAACTCTGAACGGCGCCGAAGCGGTAGACAGCGTCGGTTTTTGTTTTTCGCATGTTCTTGAACGTGGGCGGCTCTGGACAACGGATTTCTGCGCGGGAACATTACATAATCGAAAATTAACGACATGAAAATATTTCCCAATGTTAGATTATTATAAACCTTAAAAAAAACTTCGAAGAAGTGACGGTTTTGCGTTTTTTACATTGACTTTACAGTTCTCGCGTTATTCCATTGAAGAAAAATCTTGTTACTTTTGAAAATCGATGAAATTCAATTTTTCTAAAGTATCTACGCTCGTATAAAAATTTTATATCTCGGTAACGGTAGGTCCTAGGGGACCTTTGATGGTACTTTGGAACGGTTTCAGCTAGACGGTCCAAATTTTTCTCATTTTTAACAGTCCACGGAGTGCACAAGATATGTGAAAATGGCCGCTCGATCAAACATTTTTTTTTTTCAATTTTCCACATCGCTATGAAACACGATAAGCGTCCGAAATTTAAAGCAATCGACTTCAAAGAAAAAAGTCATTTTTCAAAAACCGTTCATGCAATCGAAAAATATATAAATCCCTATTCTTTACAATTTTCAAAAATGTACAGGGTACGGCCGGTAGTCGCAAAAAACTGAAAATTAGTGTCCCCCTATAAAGTCTATTGACCATAACTAGAAGGCTGGGTTTCAGTTGTCAGCTAAAACTTTTGTGTAAAATTTTCCCCTATTGTACAGGGTGTTCCATTTATTCCGTGCTGTATTTTTGAAGCTACAAATTTAGCAGAGGTGCCATCAAATATTGCGAAGTATTTTTTTTTATTTTTTGAATAATTTTTTTGGGTCATTTTGTCTCCCTGAAAAAAAATATTTTCTCCAAAACTATAAACCCGACCCGCAAAATTATTGAACCAAAACCTTTATTTCAACCATTTTTCCGATTATATAGAGGGTTTTTCATTTACAGACAAAAATCTAAAAGAGCCTGAAAATTGTTCTTTTCCAGGGGAAGTTATTTACTGTAATTAAAAATTCGTTAAAAAGATCGCTAATTGGTTTAAACAGTATTGTAGGCCACATCGAGATCTACAATTTTTGTATTTACGATTTTCGTCTATAACATACGCTTCTCGAGGGAATCGCTATTTCTGGCACACGATGATGTAATTTACTATTACGGCGTACTGCCGAATAGTAGAATTATTTTCTCGAAAATCATTGGAAACGTGGAAGATTCATGGCTACAACCTCTATTTCGAACATTGTTTGAATTATATACATATATAATATATACATTATATATTTTGGGCAAAAATTCTAAAAAATCCTGAAATATTCCGTTTTTGTGGGTAAATTATTGGTCGTAAAGGAAAAATGTCAAAAGATAGGAAAATTTGGTTTAAACTGGATTGAGACCTACAGCTTTCTGATTTGCAGATCTTGTTGTTTGTTGTTTTTATATTTACGAAATTTTGCCATGATTTTGGATCTCGGCGACCGTGAAAGGCACTTTATACCGGATGCACGCACAATAAAATTACATCGATTTTGCGAAAGTTCCCTAGTGATCCGCAGGAGCACGATAGTAAAACAATGTGTCCTCTGCAAAGGGACTTTTTGGAAATACAATGCCGCATAGCGGTCTGAAGACTGCGTAGTGCGGAGCAGTGGCCCCTCGAGATTGCGAAAGCAATCTTTTAAAGAGTGATTCAAGTCGACTTTTTTTGCGATTTTTATTTTTTTTATAAGTGTCGTCAACGACCTAGAAAACCTGAAAAAGTCTGGGTATTCTTGAATTAAGGTTAGGGAAAATCATGGGGTTTTTCGTTTTCACATTCAAAATCAAATGTGGACGATTTTTTACCTTTACACGTCATGTTCAGCTCGCTCCAGTAGCCGTCGGTAATGCACACAGACGTGTCGTGACCGGATAACCTAAAGCCCGGTTTACACTTGTACCGCACCACGTTTTCGGTACCGTTCTTGACGACGCGGAGCGAGTCTTGATCGACAACAGCGTTCTCCGGCGCCTTGGGTATCAGGTTGACCGCGCAATTGAGCATCGTTGAATTGCCGTCGTCGGCATCGTCACCGACAGGTGGCACGCATGTCGGTGCCTCCACGTCCCAAGTACCTTCAATTTCGAACGGCACATGGTGGGATATTCGATATTAAATTCTGATCGCAATTGTTTCTTCAGTATATATTGTGACATGGTTAGTTTTGGTTAGTTCTTGCAATTGCAGTTGTTTTGAAATTTAGTATACCGGAGTTTTTAAGTATGCTTGATAACTTAATAAGTCCGAGGTCATAGTTTTCCGCCCAGAGGTCCAAACTTTCTTTTTTTAAATGAAAAAGATTCGTTTTTATTTAATTTTTAAATTGTCGGCATCTCAAACACTAAACAAGAAAATATTTTTGTCATTTAAAATAGGATGTTCGGACCTCTAAAAAAAAGTTTTCACGCAATAATTTCCGAGATACGGCTGCTACGGGACTTTTGACCTGAATTACAAAGCTCTCATTTTAAATGTATCAAAATATTTAATATATAAAATTTATTGAAATTTATGCATCTGATTCTGAATTGGTAAAGATTACATAAATTATATAACTTAACTTCTGTGCAAATTTTGTTGACGATAATTTTTGCGATGCGTAAAGGAACGGCCCCATGTAGAAAAAAGTAAGAATAAAAAACAGAAAACCTGGAATTTTTTGGAAAATTTTCACACTATTTTTTGTTCAATTTGACAAAAAAGGAGCAAAAAAAGTAGAAGAAAATTTTTCACCACAAAAAAATTGGATGTTTATTGAGTAAGAATTTATGAATATAATTAACTAAGCTTATATTATATTAAATTTAAATAGTATATTATGCAAGGTGTTTGGTGATGAGCATTTGGGTCATAAGTTTTATTAAAAAATCAGAATTGATTTCAGATTTGCACCAAGTCGTATCTTTGCCATAACATAACAATCAAATAATCGGAGCGCGAGCATTGAAGATGCCAAGTGAGATTTTGGCGAAACGTCTGCAGGATTCCAGTCGGATGCAGGATTCCAATCGGAGTTCAACAAGCGAACGGATGATATCCCGGAATATAGTGTCATCACATTTTTCCATCCGTGAATCAATACGTGAAATATATATATATATATATATATATATATATATATATATATATATATATATATATATATATATATATATATATATATATATATATATATATATATATATATATATATATATATATATATATATATATATATATATATATATATATATATATATAAATTGTTTATGTTTTTTAACTTACCGTTTTCGGTGCACGTGAGTAGCGATGCGACGCCGGCATTTCCACGGCAGGACACTTTTATTTGTGTGCCAAAGTCGGCCCCGCCACCAGTCGAGCTGTCTGATTCGTCGCCCGTTTGATCCGACACGATTGCGATCGTACCGCCGGAGACTTCCGGCATCGGACATCGGGTACCTAAAACGCTAGCCTTACCTACGGAAGAAGAGAAGAGAAGGCCGTTCGGTACGCTTACCGAGACATCGGGGCTTGTCGGGATACCATTGGCCGTCCGCCCTGCACACGATCGTACCATTCCCGGCCAATTCAAATCCGTCGTAACACCGGTAAGTTATTTTCTCGTTGTAATAGAACCGGTTTCCGATTGAGTAGGCGTTGGCCACGTGGCCCGGGTAGCCGCAATACACTCCTGCAACGTTTCGCAATTTCCTGGTTCAACGCAAACTTAAGAATGGTTTATGGGAAAAATTGTTAATTGTTAATTTTTTGCCTACGCAGATTCGAAGGCGGATGTTTTATTATTACGTTTGCAGTACGGTTCGTAGAAACCCTCCCACTTTGACGTTTTCGTGCACTTCCTGCCCTTCGAGTAGCTCTTGTGGCTGATTTCATAGCCGGGGTAACACGAGTAGAACGCTGTGTTGTCCACCAGGTCGATTAGGCCATTGTAGAGCGGTTTCGGGTCTGAGCATTTTTGACAGAACGACGTATTCAATATCTGAAACGTGCGCCTATTTGTTTAGGAATAAGTCCGATTAAATTAAGCATTGGTATAATAATACTTGTAAACGAAAATAACCAAAAATATTTGGGCATGTAATGGGACCATTGTTGTATGAGCTGCTGAAAAGTTTCATGTAAAGCACAATATAAAGTTAACTATTTTGGATCCTTGTAAAGAAAATTTTTAATGCTATGAGTATCTAAATAACAATTATACTTGGACGTTTCCGTTGATGTTGTCCTGCATCTCGGGCCACGAATACAAATTCCCGAACGATGTATCCCTGCAGTCATTCAGATGGTTCAGTATGTCGTCGTCTGAAATGGGATACGACCATACGTCGACGTAAGCCATGTTGCCGACAAAGGATTCGGCCTGACTGAATTTCCCTCCGATTATGTCCTGTTCTTGGCCGACGATGAGGAACCCGTGGCCTAGAGGAGAGAGAAGCCAAACCCGCACATGATTGCCACAAAATGCGAAAAAAAGTCGGGGAATTTGGAAATGCGGTTTAGTGGATGGTTTCGTATGTAAAACATTGCACAAAGTGAAATAGAAACTATGCAAGTTACTGGTTTCTTACGGTGGCTGAACATTTCTAGGCACTTGATTATCAATGAGTCGTCGAGTGTTCTTTGAATATAATCTTATTGGGCTTACCTTCAATGTAGGAGGAAGTGGCCAGTCCGGTGCCGTTTTTCACAGATTTTCCGTCGACATAGACCCTGTAGACGCCCCCGCGGCTCTGCCACAGGGCACAAACGTGGTGCCAGTATCCGTCATTCAACAGCACGTCCGTTACTACGTACTGATTGTTTACATACAACACCAGGCTGTAAATGCAACGGGTATGCGTGGTTTTGAGGTAAAACAAGAGCGAAACCACCCACCCCGTGTAGTCGGTCAGGGTGAAGGCGTTGTCAGATTGGCGGGTAGCGTAAGACAGGAGGGTTCCGTAGTTGAAGTTGTCTACCGTCTGCATCCACAGGCAGGCGGAAATCTGAAATCATCCATACGCCATAAGCGGTTCAATTCAATTCAATTATGCATTTCACAAAAAATGTTGGGCTCGATTGCTAGGATCATTCGCCCATTGCCGACTTCCGTCGAGGATTTTCGTTTCTGGTCAATGACCACCACGTACAAAGAAGAAAAATAACCAATAATTTGCTCAGCTAGCAAAAAACGATTCTGACCGATACCAAAAAAATCGGCTTCCCCCCGCTTCCACCTCGGGCCATCCGGGCCCATCCGGCCTCCATACCGGCGTGAACGGGGAAAAACGACGGGGCCGACGACGATTATCACTTAAAGACATACACTGAACACTCAAAACACTAAATCCTCACCGTGGAAACCGATATCAAACTTTTTGGAACGAATACATGGGATTCTGTCGGGAACGAACAGAGGTTAAACCGCCGCGTGCAATGCTCCACCACAGAATCGCCATAAGCGGTATAGGTCGACTTGGCCATCGTTTGAGCATGCGGGTCAGGTGGTGTAGGGCCAGTGCACCGTAAAGAACAACAGAAAGGGGAAGTAGTCATCCAAACTTTACGATAAAATTATTCGATGACAACGATGCAAACTAACAATAAAAGAAAAATAAAGGAAATTTAATGAAATAACTTAAAAAATGTTAATTTAGCGATTGATTTTAAACGATTGACCTGGTGGTTTCTATGCATTTGCCCGGTAAAAGAAGAAGAACCAACCGATCAACCAAAAAATTCTCGTTCGGGACTCACCGCCGAAAGGTTACGCTTGAATCCCCTCAGTTTAACGTAGTCGTTAACGTCGTATCGCGGAAAGTTCAGCATATACCGGGTGTTCCTCTTCAGCTGGCACTGGTCGCCGTGAAATGGCGGCTCGCACACGCACGCGTAGTTTGTCTCGCCGTCGACGCAACGCCCGCCGTTTCGGCACGGCGAGTCGGCGCAGTGGTTAATTTTATGCGAGCACTTCTCGCCCGTGTAACCGTCTGGACAGACGCACCGGTAGCTCTGCCTCGTGGCGTTGGATTCGGGTAAATTGACGCACACCGCTGCCTGTTCACACGGCCTGTAGTCGCAGGGCAAGATGCTGCAACGTTTGCCGATATGTCCGTCGCGGCACTCGCATCGAAACGTGTCTGCTTCTTCCACGCAGGTGGCGTTGTTGTCACACGTCGAGGCCGTGCAGTACGTTATAACTCGTTCGCACCTCTGACCCTCGAAACCTAGCCGGTTAAAAGGTAAAATTTTCAAGTTTTTAATAATATTAAATGCCTTTTATTGGGTAATTTTCGGATTCCATAAACAAAACGGAGACATGCATTTTGAACTCTTTTTATTCGAGTTCGACTCTCATGATCCAAGCAAAAACCGTAGACAAAATCACAATAATTAAAGTTAGACAAGTATTGCTTTTTGAAAATAGATTTTAAGCCTTCCTTAAACCGACGCTGATATCCAATACAACCTCCAGATTCTTTACAGTAGTTACAAATGTTAATTTAATGCTAGGTCTACCGACTAAACGCATAGTTTTGTTTTTACTTCCGAAAATCATGGCGCATGATTACGTGGGGTTTGATTTGAGGTTGTGGCCACAGAAAGGTCACTTATAATACGTAAATCGCGATTTATATTAGACTCCGAAGTACCAAAATGTTCCTTGAAGCCGCACTGGATATTATTGTTTATAAAATAATCGTACATTTGCGCAAAAATTTTTGAAATTGCTGGTGGGATACTGAATATTCGTAGATCATTGAGATGGTTAGGATTACTTATTTTTGCCAGTGGTTTTCCTATTGATATTTTCCAAACAACAGTTTATAATGCGAATGCTGTTTTTTGGGTTTACTTTTTATTTTGATTGATGGCCCGCAGAAGCCGGTAGTCGTTCGCACATATGTTCTTTTTTATTTTGGAACATTAAGTGATATTTCGGTGGGTTCGCCACCACTACACGTAAGGAGTGTTGCAACACCAGACGAGACGAATATTGTGTAGTTTAATTTTGTCAACTTTTCTTAATGGTTTTGAGGCTGACCAGCCGAAAAAGACAGTCGACTTCGTAAGAATATGTGTTATATATTTATCTATGAAAGAACTACGAAATTTTAACATTAGTGGTGAAACTTCGTCGCCCCGGTTGCATTGGATTTCATTGAATTAAAAATTTGATTTATCTGAGACACTTCGACCATGCTAAAGGAGAAGTTTATGTGATTATTGTATTCATGATTATTATAGTAGTTAACCTGCTGGTAACTGGAAATCTTTTGAAAAAATGGAGCAAAGTGCTCATTAATTTGGAAAAGAGAGTGTGATATTTCTTTGGGAACAAATGTTTTATTTTATTGGTAGCCATTCTTCACTTTATCTTTAGTTTTGGCTCGGTTAACTCTATTCCGCGGCGTACCTTTGGGACACAGACACGTCACTTCGTCGTCTTCCACCTCGACGCAGGTGCCGTTGTTCTCGCAAACTATTGCGCACTCATCGGCGGATGTTTCGCATCGTTTGCCCGCGAAAGCGTCGGGGCATTCGCACCGATAGCCGCCCCCTTCGAGGTCGACGCACGTGCCACCACCGAGGCACGGTCTTGAGACGCATTCGGACACGTGCTTCTCGCATCGAGTTCCTGAAACGCAGAAAAAAACAAACCCAATCTCGCGGCTTAGAATAAACACTATGCAGAGACGACAAAGGTGTATCTCTTGCGCTTTCGCGGTTAAGTCGGGATCCCACAGCGCGTGAATCGGCGTGTCACAAGCCAGACCTGTCGAATTTCGCACCATGGAAATGTGCTGGCTCGTTTTCTCTGGCACGGTTCGGACTTATACTTTGCGTGGAAATGTCAAGTTCGATCAAAAATAATTTAAAAAATGGAATTGACCAACTATTTTGCCCTTGAATTTTTGAAGTGTTTATAAGAAGAAAACTGCCTTCTTATGGAACCCGAGGGATATAAACCCTAAAAATGGAAACCACGTTCATGATGCCCGGAAACTCATTAAAGAGGATTTAAATCATAGATTTAAAGAAAAAAAAAGATGCTTTTGTGGGTTCTATTCGAAAGCTTTAAAAAATGACAACTAAAACTGGATCTAGATCTCGTGGAGGGTATTTTCATACGTACCTATTACTGCTTTTACACAGTGGTCTCCAGCATCTTCTTTTTTAGGTTTTCGTATGTTTACACAACTACCTAAATAATACACATAGCCACAGCTAAGGTAGCAACTCATTGTCAATTATTCATGTTTACTTTTTTACCAAGATAGCATGCGACGTGATTGACACTAGCTGGGGAGAATATTTATGCCAGAATTTTATTTTGGGCTTGTCAAGCTACCACGAGAACACTCGACGAACTGACAGAGGTCATTTTTTAACGAGCCGAACCCAATTCGCAAGCGAGACTCGAAGATCCACGCGCCGTGGGATCCCGCCTTCACTGTACCGATGTAATTTTCGTCGCACGCACAGGCGTACTCGTAACCGTTGACGGCGTGGCATTTGCCGTGTTCGCAGACCGCCTTGTCGGACGTGCAGATGCCGCGCGAAGTTGGAATGCAAAACGACGAATCGCCGCTACGGACGGTCGCGGTCGTGTGACCCTCGGGACACTGGACACACCTGGGTCAATAAAAAGAAGGTGGAGAAAGCTTCTTAAGTTGGGAAATAAATATAATATATTGTAACGACCGAGCGAATAGACTGAGCCCGGTCGGCGCACCCGTTTTATGCAGGGGTGCGTTCAGATTAAAATATCCGGGCGAGGTCCGGAGAAGGACACTTGTAGGTACGTTTCAGAATGTGGTCGAGTGCCTGGTACTGGTGCCACTGCTACACCAGAACAAGACCTAATCTATCGAGTTGCAAGTTTTCTATAATAGTTTAAAATGCAGTTTCATAATGGATACGTCAGTGATAAGTTTTCTGTATAATAATTTACTATTGACACTGTACCGTACGTTCCATTTATTTTAATAACATTTTAATTGGCTGTAACTTTTTTGTTTTTAGAGATATAAAGGTAAACCAAAAAAACAAAATGTAGGGTTAGTTGCCAAGTTGTTTTCCAAGTGACGTATAAAACAAAACACTATCAATTTTCTAACATATAAGCCTACCTCATCTAATATAATATCTTATTCTGATAACAATTATGTAACACACTTTATATTTTGGTCCATTCGTTTTTGACAAGTCCGCAATAATAGGAAATTTTTATATAATTTCAAAGGGTGCCCTGACTGAGAAATAAAAATATGTTCTACATATTAGTAAACAACGGTATAAAGTATAAAGTTTCCTTTTAAAACTTTAAAAGGGCAATAAGGCGCTGGGAGGACTCCGAAATTTCGAAATAGGTACGTAATTAAGTTAGTTAACCTCAAAAAATAAGCTCCTTAGTGTGGTTGGATTATTGTCCGAGTCATTGTTAAAATTGTTTTTCGTGAATTTAGCATCCGTGAAAGGAGTGATATGCTTCAAGTATACTTTCTGAATAATAAATGTGCCATCGCAGTACGTCGTCATTAGACTTTATCTAGAGCGGCGAGCTCCTTCAAAACAGACCGGCAAAGAAATTTGAGGAGAACGGTAACGTATTAAATGCTAAAAAACTAACCAAAATCATAATGTTTTAAATGAAGAAAATAAAGCAAACATATTAAGATTCTATGAAGCATATCCAGTTTCCTCTATTACTAGAGTATATGAAGAGACAGGTATTTCTCGAGGATCAATCCGACCAGTTTTGAAAGAATATAAATATAATGCTCAAAAACTAAGTGCAGAACAATGTCAAAGGAGGATGCAGTTTTGTTTGGATTTTTTTGAACGGACATAATGAGAATAACAATTTATTGAAAAACATTTTATGGACTGATGAAAGTTCGCTCACCACAAGAAAGAGTTGCAACAGACAAAATACGCAATATTGGTCTTTGAATAATCCCAGACAAATACACGAAATAAAAAGCCAGCGGTACCAATCAATCAATGTGGGCATATTTTGGGTCTGATATTTATTGATCAAATGTTAACTGGAGCTCATTTTTTGCAACTCTTAGAGCACGCAATAGAACAATATATAGAAGATTTACTAAATATATCAGCGCTGATGCCCCTCCTCGTCATGTTGTGCAAGTTAAAAATTTTCTTAACATGGAATATCCCAGGGGTTGGATAAGGAACTGCGGAATTGTGGATTGGCCAGCCAACAGCCCCGACTTAACTTTAATGGATTTTTTCTTTTGGGGACACGTAAAAATCACGTGCACAAAACTCCTTGTAATAATCTCGTGAAACTTCGGCAAATGATTTTAGAGGCAATCGATCAGTTAAGAGATAATCCGGAAACGTTACTAAATCCAAGATATCATACAATTAGAGTGTATGAGAAATGTGTTGATGAAAATGGTTATCACATAGAGCAGTATTTAGAATAGTTAAAGAATTTTTTACTTTAGTGTGTCTTGTCTTTTTGAGTGTTTTTGTTATATTTTAATTTGTTTAATTATTGTTATATAAAAATTTCCTATTTTTGCCGAATTGTAAAAACGAGTGGACTAAAATATAAAATGTGTAACATCATTGTAATCGAATCTATTAAACACATATATAATATACAGGGTAATCCATTTGAAAAAATATGATGTAGGCTTATTGTTTTATACGTCACTTGGAAAAAAACTTGGCTATTAACCCGACATTTGTTTTTTTTTTTTAATTGATATCTCGAAAAACGTCGGCAAAATAGGTGGTTATGAAGAAGTTGATGAGGAGTTTTCAAAGACATTTTATTACAATATTTAGTAGTAGACGGAATGGTAATTGTTAATGATTAATTATATATATTAAGTACACCTAATTGTTTCTACCATACCAAAAGGAAAGAAACAACCTATCCACTATCCATTAATGCTCGGATTATCCAAGAATGTAATGTAATATAATCAACATTGTGAAGCAGAATATGGCTGCTACGGGGAATGAGCGTAGAGAAATAAAATTAAGGAATTTAGCAAGACTACAATAATTAAATATTTGCTTTTAATTTTAAATTATGTAGGTCTTAAGAATCCGAATGAAAAGAATTAAACCATATTTTTCCTGATTTCAATTAAAACAACTTTTTAAATTTTTAAAAGTTCCCTTATTTCATGATTGAAGAATCTTTTATATAAGTTTATAAGTACCTGAAGAGAATAATACTTATGTGTAAATATGTACCAGGTAGTCCAAGTTGTACACTTGTTTTTGAACGATGATATCAAGATGAAACAACACCAAAAGTTTTATATCAAAATACGGTTTAACCTGGCAATGAGTCTATTTTATCTTTGGGAAAGCCTTGACAGCTGGCAAGAGTGGCCAAATATATACTATAAGCGACAACAATTAGGAAACTAGATTAACGAAAATACGGTTTAATATCTTAAATGGCGGAAAATGTTGCCACAAATATTTTTTTGAAAAAACTAAAAGAGATAAGGTATGTATATCTAGTTCACTGTAAAAAAAATGTTCGCTAAACACCTTGTCGAAATAAAAAATATTTTTCACTAGCCTAAATATGTAACATTTTTAGAATGTTCTCGCACTGGTCTTCTCAGTCCACTGCAGCCAGCTTTTGCCACCGGTTGAACATTGGGATCTTTTCCAAATACTTCATCCAACTCCCCAAAAAAGTCAAACCTAATTCGTTTTAGTCCAGTATTTTTGTCCGACATGCTGTCTCTAACTTTCATTTATTTTGCCTTCAAATGTTTATTTTTTCACTGTTCGGAAGTGTATTTGCTGAAATTATCCCCGCGAACTTACCGCGAATTTTCTTTAAATAAATGAATTAGCTTAGAGGACGGTGCTGAATCGGTCGATCGGTCGCGAGTACTCGCTTCGTTTTATAAGAGCCGGACTGCTCCACTCGCTCGCAGTCAGTCGAAACGAGACGCCGGAACGCGTAGTACGGAAATAGTTAATAACTTTATTATTTTGGATGAAATAAATTTGAAGTTCCTTTAAGTTTTCCGCGGACAAGAGACCAGGCTCTCTCGGCTACCAAAATCGTAACAATACAAAAAAATTATTTCCGGTCGATTCAATTTAATTCCGAAAATGGCATTTTCGTTATACTTGAGCTGTCCGTATTGCTGCTGGTAAGATCCTACTGGACACGACAAGCAGTGGGGCTGCAGTGTCGCCCTCTCCCTCGCCACGCCCCCGTTCTGATGTTTTGAGTGCTTGATGATTTTCCTTCTCGCGCGTGTGCCCGGCGGACATTGCTCTGAAATACGGGACAATGCCCAACGTGACCGTAACCGCGAAGGAGGTTCGCGCGCGTTACCTTTGCACTCTTTCGCGCTCTTGCAGTGGACGCGTCCGGTCGAATGGTTCGGCGGACATGGTTTGCACCTCGTCCTGCCCAATTCGTCGTTGTAAAACCCGAAATCGCAACTCTGACATCGGTTTCCGGTCTCGTTGTGGAACGTTCCCCGCGGACACTGAACTGCACCAATATATAACGTATACGGTACAGTAGAGTTCTTCGAACGATATACCGTTTTCACAACCTTTTATGGTTTTGACTTCGGAACGAGTTTAAGACCCGCCTTTTGTATAGCGGAAGAGACCATTTTTTTCAAGACACGTACAACAAACCAGGGCCGTATTTAAGATTTAAGCCGTTATGTTTTAAGAGTAGGGAAAACAGTCCCTACTTGAGAACTGATTTTCAATTTAAGGGTTTAGAAAAAATCTTATGTAAATAATTGATGTTTTCCCAGTTTGCTATTGGTTTATTTGTGGGGGTTGGTGAAATCGGGGTATGCTGTCAGTTTTATGAAACAGTATTTTCTTAGCCGCTGAAGCTTTGGAATTATTTCTATTCCATCTTGTGTTTATAATTAGTAATTACCAACTTACTGTTATTCAAGACTCAGGATTCCATTTTTATTTAGGTACCATATACATTTTATTACAATTTATTTTATACCAAATACTAACATTGTTCGTTTTTGTTAGTCACTTGCGATGTCCAGCGACGAAGAGGTTGTGGTCGATAACGCCAGCTACAATTCTGCACAAGCCGAAAAAATACTGAATTCATCATCGACTAAAGAAGTTATTCGAAATATTTTGCTTGAAAATGATTTTGAAAATTCCTACTCAAAGAAGCAGTTATTGGAAGTTCTTAAGATGGATCGGGGATTCAAAGTTCCCACTGTAACATTAATCCGGTAGAAGTGATATGGGGACAACTTAAACCCAGTTTAAGAAGAAACAACACCTATCTGATATTTAGTTCTGGGGCAAATATGAGAAAAATATCTGCTTCTAGGTCGAAAAAATGTGTGGAACATGTCATCGAAGAAGAAAATAATTACACAAGTCAACTAGTGGGGGACGAGTCCGGTGACCATAATGATTATTTTGCTGCAGAATTACTTTTTTTATATAGATATTCTAAGATTGCTTTATAGCTAAATTCATATTTGTAATAAACATTTTAAGGTAAGAATGGATTTTTCACTGCATGGACTAATAATAATCGAGGAATGTCACCCATGAAACTCTACACAAATCCGCCAGCGTTTGTATGCACGAACTACCGAAGTACGGTTCTGGAACGTCATTAAAAATACAAAAAAATACCCAAGCGAGGTAGGCCTGCGGTTAGACCTTCATAAAAATTTATCAAAGTTAAAAACGGTATATCGTTGGAAAATGTATATATGATGCGGCTTTTGGAAGTCGATTAAAAAATGTGGGCGACGGTAGTAGTCAAGCGTACGAGTTCTACGACCCCCATATGGTGTTTTGATGAGGAAGACTTACCGCATCGGTTTTTCCGCGGTATAAATCCTGCGGGACACACGAATTTTATGCCGCCATATTTAAGCGTCGCGTTGGCGTTGTGCAGTCTTAATTTAGTCGAAGGCGTCTTGGCGCCGTCCACGTACTTTCCCCTCACTTGAAATTTCACGTTCAAGCGTTTTTTGTTTCGTTTCTCCTTGTTCCGGTGCGGCACCTCTTGGAAAACCTGCCTCTTTATCACGATCCTGTTAGAGGACTCCTCGATCGATTCCCTGTCGCATTCGGTAGACAGGTTCACCGAACACGGGCCTTCGGAGCAGATTTCGTTGGACAGCGTTGTCCTAATTTCGTTCTCGATCTGAAAAGAATTGCCTTTTAATTTTTAACAATATTTTTGATAGCTAGAAACGCGTTTCAAAAATTTCAAGGCGTTTTATTGCACGCTTCCTCAAATTCGATGGGTTTTTTTTGCCTTCGTACCTATTACGTATGCGTACCTCGGCTATCTCTTTGTCGTCACATGCGTCGTTCTGCAACGCAATGTCTACGCTACCGTCCCTCTCGCTATCTTCCGGAATTTTCGTCACTGCAAACAATGACGTGATCTTTTTCGCCCTCCCCACCCCGTTATCACTGTTTCGTACCGGAACATTCCGGATAGGCGAGTCCGCCGGGGTTGTACCAGACGGCGTCGGCGTGAGTGCATAAGAAACTGGTTGCGTTTCCGGCGTCGATGATCCCAGAAGTTTGCAAAGGGATTGCGTAACCCTCTTGGCAGGTGATCAGACACTGGACTTGGTCCATGCTGTCCGTGCATTGTTTGCTTCCGTTATCTGGGCCCCATAGCGGTTCGCATTTCGATTCTAAGGGTGCCGCAGGAGCAATATTAACTTCAAAAACTCTCCAATTTTCCGTTAAGAATTGAATTATTTTTCAATAAAGCCCCTGAATTAACACTTATATACTATATTATATTGTGACGAGCGAGCAAAACGAGCTGGGCCCCTAGTGTGTGGTATAGCGAATAGTAGTGTGTAAATAGCTTATGATATCCACTAGCAGGCTCTGGGAAGGATTGCAAGGTATGGTCTGTTCATGGATATAAGAAAGTGCTTTTGAATGGGATTATCCAAGGGTGGTCATTAACATACAATGCAACGAGATTATTACCTAAAGTTTATTTTAATTTAAATTGAGGTAAAATTGTGGTCCGTAATGGAAAATAATTTTATACCTACCTGTGTTTAATATTCTTTGGTTTGCTATACTACTTGGCTTAAGTTTATTAGTAATCATTCTTATTTCGTGTGTAATACAGCGTGTGTTAAATCGTGTGCGAATTATGCAAAATATGTGCGAGTCTGGTGTATCTCAGAAAACGCTATTCTATTGAGACTAAGGAAATTATAAACAATATTTACTTGACTCTCATTGAACGTGGTGCCAGCAAGCAAGCATCTTTAGAAGAAACGGCCACATTGACGAAAATTCCAGCATCAACTGTATGGAAAATTGTGAACAATCCTATTTCAGCGAGGAAAAAAAGAAGCGATGCTGACATTTTCTCGAGTGCAGATGAAAGTGATCAGGATATAATATGACGTAAAATTTACCAATTGAAAAAGATGAAACCGGTGTTAAATGTGGCAGAACTACCTTATGGAAGTGTCTTAGATTTAAAAAAATTGACAGAAGGCAAGTTTTAATGGAATCTTTTCGATTTCGGAAATCGCGACTGGAATATCTAGAAAAAATTAGGATTTACAGAGAACAACAAAGGCCAATTATTTATTTGGATGAAACCTGGTTCGACACTTATGATACCCCGGAAAAAGGTTGGGTTGACTCAACTGATAAGTCTAAAACAAACGCGCCATCAAAAAGAGGTTAAAGAATAACTATTTTGCATCCTGCCTCTAAAGATGGTTGGATTCCAAATGGACTATTTCTGTCTGCGAAAAATATTAAAGATTCTTCTCTGGATTACCATGAAGACACCACCGCTGATTTATTTGAATGTTGGTTTAAAAACAAACTAATTCCAAACATTCTTCCTAATAGCGTCATTGTAATGGACAATGCAAGTTATCACAGTAGACAGTTGACTAAAGCCCCTTCCTCATGTAACACAAAAGCAACAATCCAAAACTACATGTATAATAACGACATTTATTTTCACGAAGATTATACCAAAAAACAGTTAATTGAGGTTCTACAAAGCTTGAACCTACAAAATGTTCGGGAATGGGAACATCCCTAACAGATAAAACAGTATTGAGCGTAGAGTTTGCAGGCGATCAAGCAGGAGTAAAGAAGATCTAGAGTATATGGCACGTAAACTAATAGAAACCTATGAAGATTGGGGACTGACTACGAATGTTGAAAACGCGAAAGATCTATGCGTAGGAAAGGAAAGTGGTAACCTACAATTGGAAAACTCAGAAGAAATAGAAGCCTGTGAAGAGTACAAATACCTAGGGGTTACACTGGCCAAAACGGGTTCAGATGACAAAGAAATAAGAACAAGAGTGATACAGACACAAAAAGCAATTAACTGTATGAACGGAACTCTATTGAGTAAAAATATATCGAAATCTAGGAAATACAATATATATAACACTCTAACAAAAAATAACTTAATGTATGGTTCAGACACTTGAAGAATGACAGGAAAACATAAAAGAATAATGGATAAACCGAAATGGATGCACTTGGAAGATCAGCAAGACTATCAAGAAGCGAAAGAGATAGAAATGAAAGTGTTTGGAAAGAAATGGGACTTCAATACAGAATCATAACTGACATCGAAAGAAAACAGTTGATCTGATACGGCCATGTACCGCGTACGCACGACGACAGATTACCTAAACAAACAATTAATTGGATACCACACCACCGAAAAAAACGAAAAAAAAAAGAGGGCGTCCAAAAACAACACGGCACAAGGGAGTTCGCAAAGCGACGAGCTCGAGAAACTTAGACGACCGCCAATGGGAGGACCGAGGCTTGATATCGGACAACGTCGACGCACGTTTTAATATAAATAGTTAATAGAATAAAAATAGCGTTATATACGAGGTCCTTCGAAAAAATACATTTGAACCAATTGTAACCCCCTCGAACGGAATTTGTTATGTTGGACATAATATAATTTAAGTTTTGGACGGAAGCATATCAGAAATGACAGTTACCTTCGACAGTGATATTAATGTTGCACTCGTTCCTATTCCCTGCAAGGTCTCGCGCCTCGTACGTCACAGTTGTGGTACCGATTGCGAATATGCCGAATTCTTTATTTTTCGTCACGGTCACATTTCGCGAGTTGTCGTAGATGAGCGGTTCGTCCCACGTGATATTTTCCCCTTTCGCATTCGTCGTCAGGAAAGGGGCCGGGTTCACGCAGCCCTCTATAATCGGCGGTTCGTTATCTGAAAAAAGTCGACCGAAAATGGAGGGCGCGATTGAGCTACGTCCTCCCGCTCCTACCTTTGACTTGGACGAAGAATTTACACTTGGCCGTGTTTCTAAAAATGTCCTGAGCGAAATAGTTCACCGTGGTGGTTCCGATTTCGAATTTGATGTCCGCGAGGTTTTCCGTTCCCAAGTTGCTCCACACGGTCACGTCCATTCGCGAATTATCTGGAAATCCGCTCGAGCATTGGATCTGACCAAAGCGAGATTATGGAATTAGCGCGCGTTACCTGTTACGTTAGGGGCGTCCCATGAGACCTGCGCGTAATTTTTACCGGGTAAAGTGGTGATTGTTATGTTGTCCGGGCACACCAACTCGGGCGGGACGTCGTCTAAATATATAACAGGTTAGAGCGTAACGTAGGACATCCATTTTTGTTTAATTATTAATTCAGGTTTGACTTCAGGTTTATTGTTGTAGCTTTCTTCGATGGCTCAGTAAGGCGACAAAATTTATCATAACTAGAAGACTCGGAAGATTCGGAAGTTTGTTTTACACCAAAATATAGATTGTGTTTTTACCTATTGTACAGGGTGTTCGCGATATACCGTGCAATATTATAAAACGTAATGGGTGCTCTAAATTTGCAGCTACCAACTTCAGATTTGGCAGAGAAGTTTTGACCCACATTTAAACCATTAAAGTTTGGCACAATCAAATATTGCAAATTTTTGAATTTTCTTTTGGGGTTATTTCGGTTTCCAGAAAAAAGTTATTTTCTCCAAAACTATTAACCCGATCGGCAAAATTCTTTAACCAGTACTATAACTTTTGCAAGCATGTTTTCGATTATATACAGCGTTTTTCAATTATAGACAAAAATCAAAAAGACCCTGAAAATTGTCCTCTTCCAGAGTAAATTATTAGCCTTAAATCAAAATTCGTAAAAAATATGACTAATTGGTTTAAACAGTATTATATAGAGAGCTACAATTTTTGTATTAACGGTTTTCGTCACATATGCTGTTCGAGATATTTGAAAATGAAAATCACCATTTCTCGACCTCAATCTGGACGCGATGACGTCATTTACTATTACGACGTACTGCATGCCATCAGAAAACAACTATTTTCTCGAAAACCATTTACTCTATTAACTCTATAACCTTCATTTCGAACATTGTTTGAATTATATACAGGGTGTGTCGTTATGGGCAAAAAATCTCAAATATCCTAGAAATTTCCGTTTTGTGGGTAAATTATTGGCGGTAAATGAAAAACTGTTAAAGATGGGATAATTTCATTTGAACAGTATCGTAAACTGTAACGAGAGAGAGTTTCAGTTTTAATCTATAAGGCATACAAATTTTAATATTTACCAAAGAAGTTCGTCGAGATATGAACGACACTTTATACAGGGTGCATGCATAGTGGTCTGCAAGAACACGATAGAAAAACAATGCGTCCCTCAAGGACAAAAAACCCCGAAGCGGCTTCTTCTCGAAATAAAAATCTGGTCTACGCTTGACACTACGAACTTGCCCCGCCTCCGACGATTTTTCGAAAGCAATTTTGTTTCTCACTACTTTAAAAAAAATGGTGGCACTGAATAACGGTACAACTGACACAATTGCCTCTATCAATCTACAACCTCATACTAACGATCGATTTAACATGGTGTTGCGGTTTTAAATTGGTGTAATTTAGGGAAGGTGAAAATTGTTACGACATTTAATTTCTTACCACTGCAGGGAATTTCCGGGACTTCGCCGGTCCACCTGCCGAACTTTCCACATACGTATTCCCGCTCCCTTCCCGCAAACCTAAAACCGCCATCGCAAACCACCTGGCAAGTGTTCCCGTATTCCTGTTTTTTCGCTGTGCAGCTGGGGGGTTCGACGTGTCCGTAACTTATTTGCGGCAGCTTGTTGCATTTTATCTCTGAAAAAACGGAAATCTTAAGCAGCGGCAGCACGTGCAGCGCCATCTATCGGTTACGTTTGCAAGTGGACCGGAGACCGTCCCATTGCGCAATCGGCAGGCACGTGCGCTGCGCGGACCCTATAAGCACGCGTCCGTCTTCGCATCCGAAATTGCAGATCGTGTCGACTGGCAGGTATTTTTCTTCCCCGTCGTAGGTGATATTTAGGTCCGCGTGTTCGCAGGTCATGTGTCCGTTTTTCGGAGCCGCCGGTCTACTGCACGTTTTCACTGTTAAATAAAACCGCCATTGTTAACGCAGTCAGGGACATCGTAGGGGTGACTTAAATTTAATCGTAGACGTTCAGAAAATGTTGACAGTTTGGCAACAACGCGTTCCAACTTTTTTGAGTCCCACGTTACGTCAACTGGCAGAATGATCCAAATATATGGTCAAACTTAAAGAACGAATGAGTGAGTGTTCGACGTTTTAGTTCAAAGTATCGAGTAAATATTTGTTGAAGTATTTACGTTTGTATGATTTCTAGAATGGAAATTAAAAAAACTTCAAACCTTCGCATGTCGGTTCGATGCCGCTCCAGGTGGCGTCGTCTCTGCAGAGCCGGATACTGCTCCCCACCAGTGTATAGCCAACTTCGCATCTAATACCACACGCGCTGTTTAAAACGTTGCTGCACTCTTTTTTTTTCACGATGTATCCGTGCTGGGGCGCTGACATTTTCGGACATTTCAGTACTGAAATAATAATTTGGCCGGAAGTTTCGACGGCATTAGGCCAGCCACTTAGGTAGTTGGTTAGAAGAATGGAGTAACTTCCTGCCAGAATCCGATGTTTCTCTACTAACCAAAACTACACCTTTTGGTTATACCGAGAAACCGGAAATACGGTTTAATGCATTTGTAGTGTAGTTTTGGGTTTTTAAGTGTCGTACAGCCCATTTGATTTGATTGTTGGAGCCCGAACGGCCTGTGGGAGGAGCGGAGGGACTTCTTTTTTGGTATCGGTTTATTTTCTTTTGTAATCAAGTAATAGTAAAGGTCCAACAAGAATGAACAGCATGAACAGATTGTTTGTTGATAAGTTTGGATGCGGCATTATTAGATCTTCAGTCAAAAAGCGTACAGCATTGTTGAAAAAAATACGGTATATTAGTGAAAGTATATGAGTGGGAATCCTATATAAACTACCTTTAAATCTTTTAAATTTTGAGCGCAAACACTAAAAATGACAACAACGGCGCAGACTGGTAGTATTCTGTGACAATAGCAACAACTTATCCTTGCGTTGCTAATAATGTCCGGATTTCACAAACTGATTTTGTTTTTTAAAAAAAAAATCAATTTTTCAGAAACCTTACGACAATGTCGCAACTCAGTCAGTTAGTTGGAAAGTGACGCATCCGCGAAAGATGTGCAAAACTAATTATATTACCTGCGACACATCAATTTTTACCGAGGCAGGGCCACTATATTATCTAATAACTATATGATGATGGTAGAGCTGTTTCGATATTAGGCCGCCACCAGGCAATTGCATCAGTTAGAGTGACACGGATATGCAAGAAAATGCATCTTTAAGTTCCGAGAAACTTTAGTAGCGAAACTATTTTTTTAAGCTGATTTTTAAAGTGATCTTGTTTTTAAGGCGGTTCACGTTTATTAGAGGAAGTAATTTGCACAGCGATTTTGTTATTATTTGAAAGTTTTTTACGTACTTTTACAACCGTCGTTGCCATCCGATTGAAATCCCTCTTTACACACGCAGCTCTCCCTGCCCAAAGCGGGCGGCATTGTTGTGTGGTGAACGTCCGGGCAGGGCAGGCACAGGTTCGGGCCATGAGAGTACGTCCCTGCCGTGCAGGCTGCAGAAACGACCAAAGCGGTAGAGCACTTGGACGTGAAGTTGATCACTTACGTAAACAGTCGTTTTTCAAGCCCGAGCCGTAGAATCCTGATTGACATACGCAGGAATAATGTCCTGTTGTCGTGCCACAGGTACAGACTGCACGCTCATCGCAGCAGTCGCCTCCTTCGCACAGTTTGTCGCACGGCCCGTTGACGCCCAATGGGATATAATTCCCGGTGGATAGGTCTGGGACAAACGATACACGTAAAGACGTATTACAAAACTAAACAAATATCCTGACGTACTATCACCAGGGGAAAATACTGATTGAAGAAGGCCACGTTCAAGTTAAAGAGTTAAATACGGAAAAAAATCTCACCTACGTGTAGAGCTCTCCTAGCCAAACCTTCGAACTCGTCGAAACTGTCGAGCAGGTAGCTGTAGAATTCTCCTGGGCTTGAGGACAATTCGTACAACTCCTTGTAGTTGCCGTTACGTATTCCGACCGTGAAAATAGTCACGCGTTGTTCTTTTAGTTCGCCGGCAACTGACAGAGGGCTTTCGCCGTTCGAATACCCGTCGGTTATCAGGAAGAGTATCTTCTTGGAGTCGTTTCTCGATTCGTCGATATCTTCGAATATTTCCTACGAAGTAATCGTTTTAATCATCCCCCATCCTGACCAGCAAAAAAGCGACGTACCTTGGCCTTTTGGAAGGCCCCCACAGTGTAGGTTTCGCCGCCACTGTATTCGATCTTGACTAGCTGGTCGTTGAGCAGCAGACACTTGTTGTGCTCCTTCGATGGCCGGTTGATGTAGTTGAGGTTTACCACCTACGTAAACGTTTATCGCCAGTTGATAATTTGTAAAAAGCACAAAATGGATGCTGTGACGAATTTTTTAATACACAGGAATAATTCTTGCTGTTTTAAATAATATGTGTGCCGGCATTTCAAGCTCCGAAGCAATAACGCTTTGTTCTTAGTGACCCGGAAAACCTGAGAATTGCTGAGAAATATTGCTTTCCTCCTCGTACATAATAGAATGGCTAGTAGCTTTTCCACAACGGAGACTTGAAAATTTTGTCGTTTTGCTGTCACTGATCTTGAAATAAGCTTTTCTTTAACGAGACAGACGTCGTATGTTTTTGTCTCTCCATAGCCTAGATAGATCTTTTTGCTTTTCTTGATTGCTCCATTGCAATTTTTAGTGAATAAATTAAGAAATGCTGCCACTCGCTAGATGAAGAACAACTGGCTTAATATCTTGAAGATTGTTTGACTCTTTTTAATTTATCACTAATTTAAAAGTAATAATTACACTTTAGTGGAATCCCACAGTTTTTTTTTTTGGTATTTTATTTTTCGCATCTTTAGAAAAAATAAAAACCACGTTTGGACATTTCTGGTTCAGAATAACGCAACCTATCATTAGGCAACGCCCTGTATAACACAGCATATCACATACCGTGTTGCTTGGCGAACTAAAAGTGACCACCGCCACTCTGGTATGATTGTAGTCGACGGTAATGTCGCTTAACATTTTTTTAATAAACTTCAGCTCGCTCCTGAAATTGTCGTCGCCTACGCTGGAACTCGCGTCCACCAAAAAAACGATGTCGAGCCGATCGGACATCTTGAAGAATTCCACGTTCTTTTTGAATATCTCGCCGAGCACCTCGAGCTTTGATTTGAAAATGGCGTTTTCCAAGTTGTCGCTTTTTAGTTTGTGCAGTTTTTTATCCCCGAAATTTAAAAACTCGCTGTAGTTATTTAGCACATCGAGGTTGAGCTTTTCCGCTATCAGAGGTGTAGCGCGAGCCGCGTAAAAAATCGCGCAAATTGTAAAATATCGGGCGTCAAGCATCATCGTCGTATTGTCGGGCAGTTGAAACGCGACTGATACGGCCACATGGCGGAACATATGGCGCCGAGCGTCTTATTTTTTACGAAATAAACGGCCGTAATTCAAATATGTACAGGGTGTCAACGCTCACAACATTATTATTAAAAAATAAATTTTCGAGAATACTTTTTCTATGGAAAATAGGATATTAAACGATAACGTTAGATTGGTTAATAATCATGTATCCCCTGCGAAAGAGGACGGAGAAACAGGTTAAGATACCTAAATAGAATTTAGACCGCCTTTGATAAAACTTACCGCTGATAATTAAAATGTATTGGAGCGCCACTCCCGTTTAAGAAATAATTAAAAAAAAAACGCGTGTTAACCAAACTCACTTTATTTTATAATGTTCTATTTAGCCTACAAAATAGCGGAACGCTTTTTCGAAGTAGCTATGTGACAAATGTAATGTAAATGAATTATTTCTATTTGTCCTTTTGCTGAAACTATCATCGATGAAATTTTGAGTAGTTTTAATCGTATTAAGACGATTTGTACAAGCGTTTTTTGTTTTTTCTAGGACACAGAGAAATAACATATTTGCTTTAAAATCATTATTTCCTCAAGTTCGATCTAGCGGACCACTCTATATATCCGCGTCACGCTTTACGACTGCTCAAAATTAAATTTAGAATCGGCACAAATAAACTACGATCCACATTCTCTTGGGAAATAACGAACTGAGAATATTCGTTGTCGCCAATCTTGCCATTTGACATTTTCGATTTCTCAAAAATTAGTAACACTCTTTGACTTACTGGACGAGAAACCTGTTAAACAGGACTATTATTCGCATGCGCAGTTCGAATACTGTCGCTTTAAGTGTGATTTATCAGCTTCCAAGGTGATTCAGAATATTTTTTATCTTATTCTTAAAACCAAAGAATACCCAATTGCATGTAAAATCTTTTCTCATATATCAGATGGACAGAGACCAACTTAACAAGCTTTTTACATAAAATACACGAAGTTTACGTTATATTTACAGATTTCTCAAAAGTTTTATTTTTCATGTTTATAATAGTTGGAATTTTGAAATTAATTTTTTGTTAGCCGTATTAAATATTCTAAAAAAATTAAAATCGGACTCCGTAATGTACGTATTACGCTTATCGAACAGAAAAATAATCATTCCGGTAACTATGTCAAATAGGTGGTATCTGCTACCATTAAATCATATAAATATCTTCTTCGCAATCGTTCCAAACGGGATATATGAAAAGAAGAAGAAGAAGAATAAACTAGAATGTTTTACGCAAAAATTATTGACGTTTCAGTAACCTCACTCTTCCGAAAATAGAAAAACAAAAAATGGTCACGAAACGGTAACAGTTGTTTTGGCGTGGTCAAGAACGCAATGGCCGAACAAAACGACCACTCGAAAAAACAGTCATCGAGTAAATCAAACTCCCCCCAACACAAACCCACGCACGACAGAAACAAACACCCGGGAGTGAACAAAGCTCAGAATATTTTCGGAGTGAGCGATTTGCGCGAGCTGCTGAATAAGAAACGGAACGAATACGGCGCGAAGGATGACGTAAGTTCGGGGTGGGATTTTTGGGACTGCGACAGGGTTCTCACGAGAGAATTTGTTTTAGACCATACCCAAGGAGCGAGCGAAAGCTGACAATCCGCCTCCTGATCCCCGGTATGGTTACCTGAGGGATCCTTTGAGAGATAGTCGGCCTCAATCGAAAGAAACAAAGACGGTTAAAATTGTGAACAAGAAAGGTAGCAAAAAATATCCGAATGTGGACGAGAAGGCCAATTTAAAAAGGGACAACCTGCCCAATATTAAGGTAGAGTTGCGAGTGGCCACTGGGTCTAGAAACTGTGTCGTTGACGAAGCCAGTAGGATAAAACCTCTAAATCGGATATCGGAAACGTCAATGCACAGTAACAGGTCACAAGAAGGTCATGGGAGCGGCAGCAGATTTAGAAAGGAACCCATTCATGACGACCGAGCTCGACAGAGGCCGAAAACTAGTAATCAGAGAGTAAATTTTGAGAAGAAAGCTCAAGGTAAAGAAGACCAGCGCAAACTAAATCTCGACGACTCTCGATTTACTGAGGGAGGTGGTAAAGGGGTGCGAGATGCAGGCGGAGAAGGTAATGACGAAAGTGTCGCATATTTGGAGGAAAAATTGCGTGGAACTCTGGTCATAGAGTCGTCCACAAAGGTTTCTAATTATGGCTCTGGAGCAAGGGACGAGGTGGACTCTGGAAGCACAGCAGAGGCAATCTGATATTTTTGACTGTTGCAATTGTATCGGTTTTGTTGTTTTATGGTACTATTTATATTTATTTATTGATTTTTGGATTTGTTTGTGTTGTTTATATTTTTTTATTTATTAGAAAAAATATGATTAATCAAAGCCGTATTTGAGTAAAAATATATATATTCTATATAAATTTAACAAAAACGAAAATAAATTTAAAATAAAAATTAATGATGATCCTTGGGACGCAACTTAACTAGAGTAATGCAGAGTTTTCATATGATTTATCTATCACAAACCCGCTGGGGTGTTCCAGGGGCTAATTTGGTAACATTGGAAAAAGCTACAAAAAAGATTATCCCCTATATACCGTTTTGTTTCCTCACAAAATTTGGTTCGGTTAGAAAATTGTTCACGAATTCTTGACCTCATAAAACAACGGGACAACGCTATAAATATTCACGTTAATACATCTAACGACAAAAAAAAAACTAAAGCCGCCGAACTATGAGAAAACACCCCCTACGAATTTAATTTTTTAAGTTTCATGTTTCTTCCTAGCTATATCACATATCAATTAAATATCACTATGCTCGTTCGCCAGTTGCCGGCTTGAGTTCATCGAGCCGTAGTTAATAAAGTATTCGTCGCTGTCGTTTTGGTAGAATGTCGTCGGAAGGCTCTGATGCACTCGGGGCGGCTCCGAATCGTCCGACAAATTATAATGGCCGGCTGGTATGTCATACATGCTGCGGCCTCGTATGCGCCTGCTTATGGAGCCGCCTATAAAAGGGAGAAGGGAGGCGGTTACCTCAGCCGCCACATGATGCATTCTTTAAAGCACACCTAACGACCACTAATGATTCGCAGGAAAAAGTTTATGTAGAGATAAAAGATTATGGTGAATTTTAGTTTTTTCTATTTTTTATTTTATTGTAAAAAATTTTGTTGGAACTCAAGAATTTGTTGTCTAAAAAAAGAAAGGTATTGTCAAAGAAAACCTTATGCTAAATATTGTTGTTGTCTTTTATATTTATTTTATTGTTGTTACAGTGTGGTCAGAAACATGCCACCGTCATCCAACAGTACCAAAATCGTTGGATAGGGCAACCATGGTTCTTTATAGAATTGTTCACCCCCTGTTGCCAAATTCTTCTCATTCATTTTGCTCGCTACTTGCACATATTTTTGGTGTTTTATGTTCAATTTATAATGATACATGGACCCCTACTCAATGCGACTCATACCAACAATTAATGTTGTCAAGACCTAGGTTAGTTTTAAATGATATTTAAAATACAAGTTTAAATAGTTTAGCTTTTATGAAGTTTATCATTTTTAATTATGCGGTTACGACACACATATAGCTTTTCTGATAATTCAATACAGCAACATTTGTCAAGGTAATATTGAACAAAACTCAATGGTGATTGAAGAATTTATTTTTTAATTTTAGCCTGTTTTCTTATAACTATGTCATCCTTTTTTTTTTTTTTCATTAATAACTATCATTTATTCAACATGTTGAGCATGTTGGTGAGTATTTCATTAACTGCTTGCTATTCAGAGTCGATTAAATTTTAGTAAATTGAATTTAATTAAAACGAATTTGTGTGGAAAACTAGACGTAAAGCTGACCACAACATATTTTCGTCGTTTCTGTGTGATATTGCTCAAAAATATCTGGTATAATTTTTTAAATTCATTGTATTTGTCACATTACAATTTCTGCTGATAGTCTGCTATACCTTTTATACTACTGTTAGAAGTGACACTGTTTTCGTGATAATTTGGAGCCAACTAATGTACCTAAAATAAACACATTGTTTTGGTATATTATAACATTGCTATTGCTGTTACAGTGTTACAAGAATTAAATAAAACACTACCACTAAAAACTTGCCCTTTCTTAATGCTTAAATTTTTTTCTTGGGCAATAGTATCTGGCTAATAACATTTTGAAAATTTGATTTCATTTTTGACCCATTATGTCCAGTTCATTTCAAGTTCAAAAGTGAACTAGAAAATCATTTCGAACTACAATTTTGCTATTTTGTATAATTTCCTAGTTAAATCGCATAAATATAGCACTTTGGCAACACTGTGCAATTGGATAATATTTGGGGATCACAGTTACAATGTTCACATCTACTAAATTTGTAAATTACAGGACTTGTTGCAGCTTCGGTATAAGAAAATAATTGACAGGACTGTATACATACTCAATATGCCTAAGTGCTCTTGGATATCCCTGTGAACGTCCGAAATATCCCACATGGCCAGAAAAGCCATGTACCATTCCCTGGTGTAATCGCTCCCAAGTCTGGTATATGGTTTATAAGAGAAACTGTAGTGATGCGCTATTGCAGCCAAACACATTTCAATGCATATGAGAAAATCCTGTTGAGATAATGTTACTTCTAAGTTTAATTCTAAAATGGTGCTGCATTACATACCTGCAGCCTAGCGGACAGTGACAGGCCGTCACTGGAAGAGTCAGAGGAGGTAATCACCCCAACATAGACCAAGATGGCGATAGCCACTCCTTGGCTGAAAATTTTCATCAATAGGAGGAGTTAATTTCCACATTCAAAACTCACAAGAACGAGAAAAACACTACGGCTTTGATGCACAAAAATTTTGCTAATGGTTTCATTGGCTTCAGTTCCTCCTGATTTGCCTTGTAGAACATTACCAAGCAATACATGGCAATAAACTGCGAAAGGTTATTGATAGCAATTAAGTATGGGAACGCGACATTTCCGCGAAATTCCCCCTCGCCGTATAGGCCCAAGATTTTACAGAGGCTGAAAGAAAAAGATAAGTAAGTCTGTATACCTAGAGGCGCTTTTTTTTCGATGCCTCACAATGAAATGGCAGTCGTCAGCGGACGTATAATTGTGTACTGAAGTATCCCGTGTTTGCATATGTGGACCAACTCCCTGGAAAAAAGATTATCAAACAGCCAATGAGGTTGGTATATCAAAAAACTCACCAACCCATTTCCCAATCCGGAAGGCAGCATAGCGGGAAGAAGTGTTTAACTTGAGGTTTCATTGCCAGGTTCCTGCCCAAATCTGACTCCATATTTAAGTAATTCAATAAATACTTCATGAAATTGTATATTACGTAAGCTTCATAGCATTCTCGCAAACTATCCACATATACCGACTCTTTGGGATAGATTAGACCTAACCACTGCGTGCGCAAGAAAAATATTAGGGATCTTTTTTTTAATGAAATTAGTGGTGACTTACCGCGTTCAATGCGTAAATCGGAACCATCCACAGGACCCGAATTATATGTTTTTGTAATTTTGGCTGCGTGTAATGTATAACGTGTTGGATAATTTCGTACAGAGAAATAGGGATGGCTACTAGAACGAACGCGCCCGCTATCCATATTTCTTCATCGTGTCGATTAAAACCGTCTTCCAAAGACTTAGCCAGAAAAAGAGGCACAAAAACCAAAGCAGCGATTCCATATAGAAATATGAAAAACGGCAGTATCCACAACCTCCATTTGGACAGCCACTCGATAAAACGGGTCTGGCACATCTTTCATCGTTTTCTTTGTCCACTAAAACCTAGTGAAATGGTTATTCTGTTTTATTTACACATTTCAAACAGCTGGTTGTGTGATCACTGGGGTGTCACTTGAGCAGAGAATAAAAATATATCGGCATGGAGCATGCGTTTTGCCTGTTTTGTGCTGTTGACCACTACGATTCTTTTACTTTTGACGTTAAAATTAAATTAAAATTAAAAATTTTATTGACGCATTTAGTATTTACAATATAGTTTAACCTAAGAAAAATAGTACCCCGCACGTGGCAATCGAGCAATAATACTAAAACCGAAAAACACTTACAATTGCTAAAGTGCAAAGTTTACAAGGCGGCCGGTTGATTAAAAACAGTCTTCTTTACTTTACAATTAAAACTACTGAGAGAGTCAGAAAATAAATCAATACGATCGTTATTTGAGAGTAAAATATTTGTCAGCTTGCACATTCGATTCATAGGCGAATTAACGCCATAGTTGGTGCTATGAAAATCGATGTTAAAAAAGAGCCTTATTTCTTAATAGGAGAAATATGAAAACCAACAGATGCCAGATCTGGTGCATCCATCAAGTTATTAAGGATTTTGTACAATGTAGAGACGTCAACAAATATGCGCCTACTCTCCAAAGACGTCAGATTCAAAAGTTACATAATCTCCTCGTAGTTTATTTCCTCAAATGACATTCCCAATTTAAAACCTATCCCTCTAAGGAACTTACGCTGCACACGCTCTATTTTTTCCTTGTGAATTGCATAGTATGGTTGCCAGAAACAGCTAGCATACTCTAAAATTGAACGCACAAGCGCACAGTACAGCTCCCTATACGTAAAGATGGTCTCAAAACCCTTCAAAGTCCGAAAAACAAACCAAAGCAATCGAATAGCTCTGTTAGTCATAAAATCAATGTGAAATGTAAATGTGAGCTCCGAATCGAGCCAAACTCCAAGATCTTTAATTAGGTTCTGTCTCTCGAGCGATCCAGAGTTCAAATGGTAGATGAAAGTTATTGGTTTTTTGGATCTACTAAAGCTTACAATTTTACAGTTGTTTGTATTAAGAGTTAAATTGTTCTGTCTGCACCACAAAGAAAACCTATCCTGTAACCTGTAATCGATGACAGTCAAGAGTTGAAGCTACAACCTTAAAGAGCTTTAAATCTTCCGCAAATGCTAAAAATTGGCAAAAGCGAAAAATATTTTTTTTGTCATTAATGAAAACATTGAAAAGGAATGTGGAAAGATGTCCCCCTTGTCGGACACCAGACGTCACAACAGCCTCTAACGAAATGTAATTTTTAACTTTAACTGATTGCTTTTGGTTAGTCATATTACTGCGAAACCAATTTAGAAGATTTCCAAAGATTCCAACCCCTGAGAGCTTCCCTACCAGAATGCCATTGGTCAACCCTGTCGAAGGCCTTGGAGAAGTCAGTATATATAGCATCTACCTGATACCGACTATCAAAGGTCCCCAACAGCGAACGCTCATAGCTCAGGAAGTTCGAAACAGTTGACCTTCCCTTAACAAAACCATGCTGTTCGGTTAAAATAACGTTTTTAAAATGAGAGGTGACGTAATCGGAAACTATACCCTCAAATATTTTCGAAAACAAGCAGATTTTAGAGATTGGGCGATAGTTTTTATGTTAGCCCTGTCACCATCTTTGAAAATGGGTGTAACACAAGATTTTTTCTAATATGAAGGAAAAACGCCGCAGTTGAGAAAAAACACGATGGTCTCCTAAAGAATTTGTGCATTTGAAAGATTTATGAGTTTTCTTCTTTTCTAGGATTAAAGATTTAAGGTTATCATTAATCCACTTGGGACATTTTGGAGTTCTATAGCCAGCGATAGGTGTAAATAACTCAATAGCACAAAAGACAACATCATAGAATTGCGAAACCATCATAACTACATCCGCACACTTAAAAATACAATCCCAGTTGACATTTGACAAAAACAGATTAATTTCTTAATGACCAAGCTAAATTTGCAAACGAAGGCTGGATGAGGCGCATCCAGTCTTAATAACGGCCTATCACAGATCGTAACACAGGTATCATGCTGACTAGAGAACAGCAAATCAAGAAAATTGCCATACTTATTTGGGATCTGTATGTTTTCAAATAACCCCAAATATGCCACACAATCGGAAATAACAATTGCCTCTAGACGCCTCTTAAATAGTAATAGAAGTCTGAAAAGTAAACTTCCCCAGGAGAATATTCTCGATTATCTGGGGCAGTTCCAAATAGTGCTGGCAAATTGCCTAGTAGCAGCGGCAACCCCAAAAGAAGAAGAAGAAGAAACAATTGCCTCATTTGAGAGATTCCCGCAACGCGTAGCACCAGGTTCCCTGTTCTACCATGATAGTTCAGGTAAATTAAAATCTCCCCAGAGAAAAATACATTACGGAAAGACAACAATTTTCATACACCTCGGCAAGGAGACACCTGGGATATAAGCATTGCCGACCAGAATCTTATTAATATCCATGGTTACCGGAATAAATATTTGCTCGACAGTATTAATAGGAGGGCCAAGAAGTTGGCAGGATATAGACCTCTTCACAGCATTAAGCACCCCTCCCTAAGTCAAACAGTTATTAGTTGCTGCTGACCTATCGCACCTAAAGACTGCTATCCATCAGGGGCTGCAGTTTTGATTTTAGACCGACATTCTGGTAATAAAATGTCAGGTATTTGTTAGTCTTATTTGCGGAGCTTGAAAATATCGTTCATTATTTGTTTCAGAGTTTGGTGATATGGCTTTTCGAGAATTCCAGAACGTAAACAGCTTGAAGATGATATTGTTAGGCCAAAAACTGCTATCATTTAAGGCGTCATAAAACGTTTCACAATGCCAACTTTAAAACTTTTAGAATTAGATTTGCAGGGCAATTCTTCCACCGTCAACATGCTGTCCATTGAAATTTTTGCGTTTTCTTTGATTCGCACCACAGTCAACACGTCCCAAAAACAGCCACCTTTTACCTGGTACCCCTCTGAATGCACCCGCAGAATTAGGTGCCGAACCTCTGTTGACTAATCTTTCTCGCCATTGCATGATCTACAGCCCTACGGATCTGACTATTTGAAATTTGGCATTCAGGAACACAATCCTCCGGGCTGCTGAAAGACTTCCTTTCACTGCGATTGCCAACAATTCCTTGGGCCGACCGGCCAACGGCTGACTGGCGAGGTTTGTGTAGGGGATCGCGAGCTGTTTTGTACTTGACAAATTTTATTGAAAAACGCAACGAAATATGCAAGATTTTTACTAAAAAGAGTCCGTATAGTTTAAAAACTAAATTAACAGTATTAGATTGCAAATCTAACTACATAACAAAAATTAAAGTTTAAGATGTCTCATAACACAAGCACAAAAAAATTAAATCGGTTATTCTACATGGCGCAAATTTTGATATTTTTTCCCAAGCCTTTGGCGTTGTGAAGAGGTTAAATATTTAAAAACAACATATTATATATAATTAAAATAAGTAATAGAATAATTTATTCAGTCATCTGCAGAAGGGAATTTATCGTGGTGTCTTTGTTTCCTCTATTTGCTTCATAGACGGTTTTTATCACATCTTTCTCAATATTCGGAAACATTTCCTCAATCTAGAATGATTTTAACAGATTTTTTGATAGTTGTAAAATCAGAATTATATTAAAAAATTACCTGTTTTAAGTCTGCTTCATTAAACACTGGAACAGGTTCTTGAACTGGATCCCCTGCTCCTGGGGGTGCACTGTAAACCCTCAATGGTTTGACAGTGGAACCGTCTAGTCTAGGCACCATCATAACTGGGTATGAAGGTGCATAGACGTAAGAAGCAGTTGCCTATAAGATATAAATGTAATATTCATTAGTGAGTAATTTCTTGCTCACAGTATAACTAAGGACGAGATTAACCATTCCCTCTTGTCCTTCGCCTTGCTTTCCTGTAAGCGGGTACCAATCTTCATGAGTTTGACCGCCCAACACTTCTTGAGGGATAGGGATCTGTGCCCAGGCAATTAATTCATCATTTGTAAACGATTTCTCATCAAATATTTCCAAATTTATGCTGTTTATGCCCTGCGGTACCAAACTAAAAACAGAGGTTGATCGCTTGGCCAAATATTTGAGCTGAAGTTTACCAATGTATCACTTTGTTCCAACGAGGGTTTTTGCCTCCATTGGGATCGGTAGGAGTTTCATAAATCACATGTCCTACCCTTAAACGGCAATAAGGATCCATTCGAGTCATGCCATAGTTTTTCGTAAGCTTGGCTTGGACGATGGTTATACTCAAGCGTCCAGCTGGATTTTGAACTTGACTAGACCCCGAAGTGTACTGCTGCTGCAGAGCTAATGCGGCCTGTCTATCCGCCGCTTCCTGTTGTTCCTGAGGCGACACGTGCAACTGTAGGAAATCATCGGGCAGAGGTCCCAACAACACCTTTTACAGACAATTGCTTATTTAAAGTTTGAGTCATGATTACGACAACTTACTCTATTTCGTTTCTCTTTAATCTTTTCTGCGACATCTGATGACATTGTTTTGAGAAGACCGAGATTCAGCGCATTCATAAAAATCTATATCTTCCAGAACTTTTTAAATTGCACCTAGGACTTGGCCACAGATAAATATTTATTTAACATGATTTGGCAAACGTCAAATGTATCCACCCTTAATTTCTGGTTAGTTTAAAACGAAGGTCCAATTGGTTATCTTAAACTTGCTTCCTACGAAGTTGGCATTGGCACTTGAATGTTGTCCAAAAAGAAGAAGTCTATCTTCCTAACCCCGTCGGTACAAAGTATTTGTAATTTTCACTTTTAGTTGGAAGGTTGTGACACCCCATAAGTAATGAATTTATTAACGGTAAGAAATCTAAATTTAGTAAAGCAAGGAGCCGAGTTCCACAAGAGTTGTCAGGTTTTGGCTTGGGGTAAACTTAAAGAAAACGGTCCAACTCACTGGTTAAAGTACAACGAGAAGATATATCCGCCTCAGGGCGCAGAAGAGGAACCGCGACCCGCCGTAAAACCCCGTTATTTTCTCAAAGATTGCAAATGGAAAATATTGACTGAATTTTAGTATGTGTGTCATCAGAGACCAAATATCAAATATAGTCCCTTCAAAATGTGGTATGTGGCGTGCCTGGTACGAGGAATGGCCGTCGATGAGGCAATCAAGCAATTAAAATTTGTTACGAAAAAGGGAGCGACGGACGTCAGGGAAGTCATAGAAGAGGCCAAAGAGCTGGCCGTTAAAGAACACAATGTTGAATTCCCAAGTAACATGTGGGTTGGTATGTAGGTGGTGTGGTTCGAGGGACTGTTAGTTATATTTTTGCAATTTTAGCTGAATCTTTTGTGGGAAAAGGACCGGTTGTAAAAGGGGTAAGGAGACATGCCAGGGCAAGGATGGGTATAGTCCACTATGTCTACTGTCATTATTTTGTAAGGTTAGAAGAAGGTCCTCCGCCGAAATATTATTACGCTGCCCCAAAACGACCCCACGAACAGCTCGAAAATTGGCTTGAACAAATGAGGAGAAGAAAAATTACCAACTCTTTGTAAAAAGATTTTTTTTTGTAACAAATTAATAAATACAAAAAGTTCCTGCGTTAAACAGAATTGAATAGGAATGTTAACAGTTCAGGCTTGCTCATTTCCCGTTTGTATTTCTGCACCATTTCTTGGATTTTCAGACGTCTACGGACGTGAGGAGGCTGATAGCTGTAATAATTGAATGACATAACAAGGATTTCTCAATTTTAAATAGGTTAAATCACCTCTCAGAATCCAACCTCTTCCTCCGAGCCATATTCAGTGCGGTGTACCGTACCAAAGCGCCGATAGCTCTCCTGCTAGCCACCATTCCATCCACTAGTGGCGAAGCAACTCCTACTCGACCCGAGGGGCCTCGGAGATGCACTCTGAACAACCCCGTCGATAAGTAGTGCAAGAAAATCAGCAGGACGTCGTCCGATTTGGTGACTTGATCTTTTTCGAGTCCAGTGTTGGTCGTTTCCAGTAACTGCTCCACCGGAAAGTTTAGGCCGTCCTCAAAACTCTCGAGCCAGACGACCATTATTTTCATGTTGGTGTGGGGGTGGATACTCGATTTATTAGTCCTTTTCGGTGGTACAGGTTTGTCCAAGTCGATGCTCTGGGATTGTTTCTCGCCTGACAGACTGCTCTCGCTCAATGCTGCGAAATTGAGTATTGACGTGAGATGGTTCAAATGAACAACCGCATGGTGCAACGAAAAATCTCAAATTTGCGGCTCGCAATTATCTGTCCCGTTTTTGATTGAAATATAAATACGCGCGGATATTGAACAAATATGGAGAAAGATAAATAGACAAAAAAGCGGGTGAAAAATTCAATGACAAAGTGACAAAACACGCCACAAAAACGAAACCAAAGTTTCGACTTTGGGCGCAAGATCGGCCGAAAACTTACATGATAAACTGCTCATGTTGAACTTGGATTGTTCCGATTCGAATCTCTTCAGCTTGGAGGGGATAACGAACGCAATCTCGGAACACGGATCCGCCCAGTACAACACGTGAGTGGTCCCGTCATAGGATATTGCGCCTGGTGGAACCGACCCGATTTTGTCCTGTGAATGCGTCGGGATGTTCCAACTGGTCGAGACATGTCCCGTCCAGCCCGGATGCTTCTGGACCTCGACAGGCCAACCCAGCGTATTGACGAACTCGAAGAAAACCGCCGAGACCCGGTCTGTCTGTGACATGTTATCTAGAATGTCTTGCGCGCGCGCCTGCTGCGACCTGACATAAAACAAATGAACGGTGTCGCAGGTCCGCGAACTCATGTGGTCCAACTCGTCGAGATCTTTGCAAAAATCGACCCGGGTGCTGTCCAGGATCGCCAAAGCGGGACTATTCTCTTTGTCCTGAAAATCCGAAAGCCGTTTAATTGCGAGGAGGACGCGTAGATCAAAATGGGCGGAACTGACATCGAGACGCAGCAGTCCGAAGTTCTGTAGAAATATGCGCGACGTCTGAAAGTCATGGCATACGGGCGGCGGAACGCACTCTTCCGGCGCATGCGCCTCGGCCTGGACCTTGTAGAGATTAGACTCGACCGCGGACTGCTGCCGAATGAGTTTCGCGAGCATGTCGCACCGACGTTTCAACCCTTCATCAGTCTCCATTAGGGATTCGACCGACGGTATCGATAGGTCGCTAGAAAATCGTCGTCGTCATAGACTAAACAAACCTAAACTTGAACTAGTTGCCAAGTTCAGTTTAGTACAATGAGTGAATGTTTTATTGTTTGGTGCGGTGTGACGCAACTATATGGTTTAGGATGAGGCTTACATCTGACACTTTTGGACCCGTTTAATACCGTCCGGGAAAAACTTTTGTCTCGTTTGAGGACGCACCGGGACGTCTTCCATGGCGACCGGTCTGCAAGCGTTCGAAGGCCGAGTAGTCATACCGGACTTGTGTCGCGGCAGATGGCGCAGTTGCATGGTCCAAGCGTGCCTACCGAACGGGTTCCTTATGAGTACCGTGACTGTCGGTTGTGGATCCTGAAAAGCCCAATATTTAAAATTCCATTTCCCAACCAGGTCCGTGGGTGCGGGTAAGATGTTTTTAATGTAACTGGCTGTCAGATGTCCAGATAACAGAATACGGGTATTATTGAAATGATCTAATTAGCATAAAATGTTTGTCAAGTCACTGGGCTGCAGCCCTTATATTAAATTGTATTTAAATTTTCGATCAAAATACTATGTCGTTGATAATCCCAAATAAACTAGGATTTATTCCCTCACACTTTTAGTTGTATTCACAAAAAAAATTCTGACAAAAGTTTTATAGGCATCAAGTATTTCGCCATTGGCAACAGTAGCTCTAAACCCCTTTACGCGTATTGTTAAATACTTAACCAAAGCTAGTTTAATTTTGTTTTTTCGATCGTTTTAAAGTATCCAAAAATCAAGATTATTCCGAGAGTATGTAGGTTAATATAATTATCCAATTTGGACGAAAGAAAATATTGATTCATCGTCGGGGTGCGGCCCAAGTTCAGTTAATAGATTATGGTATGTCATTGCGATAACACCCTGCGTGTAGTGTCGAGGGCGCTAGCTACAAATTTTTTATCGCATTCATTTAATTCCACCGTCAATTTTACGAGAGAAAGTAAGCACACCTGGTCGTTGCCCAAAGGCTCTTCCAGGAGTCCGAGCATGACTGACCCATCGGTGACGAAATAGCGAAACTTTTGAACGGCGTTTAACAATTCGTCGCAATCGGCCGTGTAAGAGTTGCAGTATTTCAGCAATGTAACTTCGTTGAGGAGGGACGACGTCGATTCTGGACCGCACGGATCCGGGAAGCTCGCGACGCGTTCAAACACGCATGTCAACAGGTTCTCGGCCGCGTCACGCACCCTCATCGATACCGGCTTCAGTTCCTTGTCCTCTTTCATTTTGGCGGATTCGCCGGGTTTTCCCAACGATTTACTGCCCGACACGCCCAGCTCCGCCACCTCCAAAACTGTCGCGAGACAATCCTTGTCGCGCAGAAGATAAGGATGCTCGCAGAGCCAAACGGAACAGCACCTAAATGCGGCCACTATTGTCGAATGAAGGTCTTTGGAATGAGCGGGGGGCGGGCGAGAACATTGATAGACGATGTAATCGCAGAGCCACTTGACCGCTCTCTTGCACTCCATAACTCCTACATATAGGGTGTTTATTTACACTATTTAAGATACCGGGTGTCGAAGTGGTTACAATTTATGCCCTAGCCATAATTAGATTAAAATTATTAAGTCCAAAGTACGCAGCTTACATTTAACTAACATATTTCACAGAATTGTCTGAAGTGAAAATTTACTTCCATACACACCTTTCGGGTTTCCAGCTGGCGGTAATGTAAAAACTTACAGTTAAAATCCCACAATAAAGAGTCTGTAACTCTCAAAATTACCTGAATCTTTTATATGAATTCTGGCCAATCCCGACAAAAGCTCCAATGCGGCCAAAGAGACGTTCAAGTCGGTTTTCCAAGTCGAGATAAGCCGATGGCACACCAAGTACGTGGCCCGGACAAAAAGCGCGTGCGCAGAGTCTGCAAAAACCAGTTCGATTAACCCCCGCGTGTCCACAATCTAGCCAATCGGAACTGGCGAGAACCGAGAAATAGATCCCGCCTATGAGCGGGTGTCAACCGCTTCTGATTGGTTTAGACATTGAACACCTACCTAGAAGGGAAAGTGCCTCGACATCCGCTTTGCCTTGCTGCTGCTGATCTGAAGCGGTGGAACGGTCGTTACTGCTAGCCATGCTTGCCGTGTCAAAAGCTATATGAGGCGAATAAAATACAACAAGCGAAATTGTAGTGAGGTGCCCAAAAAAAAAAAACAAAAAACAAAAACAAAACAATGTGCTCAGGATGTCTTAAAAACCACGCGGTCGAGGGACTCACCGGAACTCAACAAATTAGATGTGGAAGTGGTGGGTTGCGGAATAGGCTCCACCCTTTCGTACAACGTCGCGTCTTGCACGCTCAAGAACAGGCCGCCCAGCAGCATGTGGGTGTTCTGTGGATCATACTCGACTTGCAACGCGTTCATGAGGAGATTCATCAGTTTAGGTTTAAGCGACCCTAAAGTGAGCGGTTTTTCTGCAGGCATGGCCCCTCCTCCGATTAGTTCCTTGATCGGTACATTGTGAAAATGAAGGGGAAGCACCAAAGTGGAGAGCAGTAGATGGATAGCAGCTCTGCGGAGCTCTACTTTGTTGACGTTAGCGCCGAGTTTGAGGTCTTTGTCCGGCAGGACCACTTCCAGGGCAGCTATGATGTCCGGCAACAATATATGTACGCCGTCCAGGTCCAAGCTGAACAGGTTCGGCGAATTCATCAGTATCGCTATGGTGCACTCGTCGCATTCTTTCTTGGACGCGTTTTTCAAGCCTGAGTTCGGGATGAAAGTTGGATTTGGGTTCAAATTTTGTAATGGGTGGTTCAAATTTATCATTGCCGAAGTGATTTTTACTTGTATTACAGTAATGAACTTATATCCCAGGGTCCATTACATTTATTTGACCGTTAATGCGTGGTTGCCAGTCTTTTGTGTATTTTCGTGGAATGTCAACGACATGATTTGAACTGAACTATATACTGAATGAATAAACCTTACCTTGCGAGAGGGCCAAATAGAACCGGGCAAGGTACGCGGGCAATATTTCCTCTCCGGTTTTCTTGGCGCAAAATATACGACATAGGGCCCCGAGGGCTTCAGCCCGCCCGTTAACGAACTTGTCAATCGTGAGGGTCGATGGAATATCCGCCTCAGTCAACGATCCGGGCTGCGAATAACCCAAGGACGTTTTATTGTCGACAGTTACCGAGTTTGGTCGTTTGAGACTAATGGGCGCTTTACCGCTGAGAAACTCGCACCCTATGAAAGCAGCATCGAAAAGCCACTCGCCGAATAGATGCAGTACAGTGTTGCATTTGGGTCGATTAGGTGCCAGAGGCGTCCTCGGTTCGTACCCGAACGAAGTGAGCGCTGAAACGACGGCTTCATGGTTATATTGCAAAACAAGCTATAGCAATATGTAGTAGGTTTCCATGTGGAACTAAAGCAATACACACATAATTCTTAGGTTATGTTCGATTAAAATTTTTGACGTTTGTGTTGAAGTTAGGATGTTTTCCACATCAAAACACTATATGTATACACAAGTGTGGTACTGACATGATACGCTGGTTGTCGATGATGGACCGGAGTTTGGAGTGGCAGTCGAGGGTACCGCTGATGTCCTACTCGTCGTTAGGGCTATTAAAGACGACCTGGGGATACCTAGTGTGCGTCGGGAAACCAAATTAATATCTACACAACCGAACCCGAGGCTTAAAAAACTTTGGTAAAACTTTCTACCCGACGTTTTTATTCATATTGAAAGTAGATTAAACGTACCTCCCGAAATTTTGCTTGATAGCCACAGAGTATAAGTTTTAAAATAACTCGACGCTGGAAAAACACACGAATAGAGCTGGATAGAGCAGAAGGCCAATTGATACGCAACGAATGCATGAAAAGTTACGCAAAGTAGTTATTCGGGAGTTTAATTACGGCTGATTGTATGAAAGCGCTGTATTTAAACGCGACAACTTGTTATGAACAACTGTAGAATAAATAATTTCAGTCAGTGATGACTTCAACACTAGCTATCAGCACGCGTTGTAACCAGCAATGACAAACTAGCTAATGTCGGACCGTCTCTACTGCCCATATTCTGTATAATGGATGTTTTTATCGCGGGCGGAGCTTTGAAAAAACGAAGAAGGAGAGGTTCTAACCCTTAGAAGCAGAAGACGGTGCTACACTGAAACTTTTAGCTAACCGACGTTGGGAAGGCGGTGTTGGTGAGTGAGAAACAACAGACGGCGGTGACTCTTTAAACTTATCGGTGCTGCTACCCATCACCAGACTGTCCCACCATATAGGCTGGGCTATCCCTAGCGAGACACAAAGAAAATGATTAGAAGTCAGAAAAGGCAAGTATTGTAGAGAAGGACAAACGTTAACAAACCGAGGAAGGCGTCTACTTGTCCCGCGATGCCCTTCACCGCTTTTAGAAATATGACTGGCAAAGACTGAAGACAAGGGTGTTGACACGGGTCGACAACCCCCTCGGTGCAAATAGCGAACTGGAGAAATTTTTGAGTCTGACTGATGACTTCAGGTCGCGTCAGGCTGACAGGATTGCCGATTGTATTAAGAAACCTGTACCAGCTTTGAGCGACGCAGTCGTTTGTCATGCCTTTCGGTATGAGGTCTTCTTCTCCTGAAAATAACCACCTATGACGTCTCAGACCGGTTAAACCCCATCCACAACCTATTTTTAGTTCCGGATAGGACGGTCCATACATAAAAATCAAAACCTTCGAGGTTAGAGTCAAGTTTATTCGATTCCATTGCTCGACCAAAGCGACTCTATGTCGCCAGTTCATGCAGCACTCGCGCAGCGTCTTCCATAACGGCGGGGAGGGGAAACACTGCGCGCAAGCGAGGAGCCAAATCTAAAAAATTGTCGGGTAGATTGCGAGTGCTTAACAAGAACAAAACAATATCATGACCGCATACCTCGAATAAAACGCTTAAAACTCTTTCGCATAAATGGTCCGCAACGTCGTCCTTAATAGTGGGAGGGGATAGTAAGGTATCGTTAATGGCTAAGAGGAACAACAACAGAGATTCCCAAGTGTCTTTGTCAAGAAGCTTTGATTCGTGGGCTATTTGTTGCAGAGTACGCAACACGCGGTGACACAGCACAGCTTGTCTGTGGATAGTATCTGTGCCTGACAAATGGGATAAAACATGGTGTAATGTAATTGAAGTCACAAAGTAAATGATTGTTCAAAGCATTTTACGGCTAAAAGTTGATCACGCAGTGCTAGGTTTCTATTAACAGAGTTTTTATTAATACGTTTTGTTTAATCTTGAGCAGCCTACATATAATTGTATAAAATAATATTAGAAATAAACACCATCGCAAATCATACGAACAGTTTTCTTTGGGTTTACTTTTTTTTTGGTATATATTTCAAGTAGCCTGCAGTTGGCTTCTGTATCTCGACGAAGAAGCTAATCGTTCGCAAACTTGTTTTATTTTTTTATATTGAGTGTTGAGTGTTGGTGAGTTCATCACACTACACAAGGAGTGTTGCAACACCAGACGAGATGAAGAAAATCCTGGGTAACACGATTGCAGGCACCAGCCGATTATTGTGTAATTTGATTAACAATCGTTTTGTTTTTTCTTAATTTATTTCTTCATCGTTTTGAGGCTGACCACCCAAAAATAAATTTCGCAACATTTGGTCCTTCGAGTCGGATTAGCCTATAGTAAGAGATAGTTAAAATAGTTTTTTTTTTGTTTTTACATAATTTTAATTGATATTTTTTTGGTGGTCACAATCCGAAAGGCAGCATCGCCTTTTTTGTTGTATTCGCGGTTGACCTAAAATTGATTTGCTCAAATCGCTCCTCTTATTGTATATTGATTTAGTATTCGCGTATTGCGATAACTGCTGAGGATTCTCTTTAGCGGTCACTGAAATAGCTTCTGGAAAACCTTTGCCAATCTGCCATATTATTATTTCTGCTTTACCGCAAACCAGGGTTTCATCAGAAATTGTTAATAGGTGATCGAAACTGCAATTTTTAGATCCTTTTTTTGCGATAAATAGTCGCGGATGGTTATTTGGTCAACAATAATTCCCGCTCGCGTTGAAATATAGTTTGATAAATGTATTTGATTATTTTCTAAATAGATTCGTTTATTTGCAAATTGTTTTTCATTTTTGCGCTGATAACAAAACGAAAAAAATTTAAGAGAGATCAGGGAAGAATTTAATACGATTCACGACTCTATAGTTGAAATATTGACATCCAGACAAGGTGATAATCTTCTGAGTCTGCTATCTTGAACACTTTTGATGAACATGTTTATTCGGTAAAAGCGGTTCATCACGATTTAGTTTCAAAGAACGCGGTTACTCCAAACCAGGCCAGATGCAGAAAACCTCGATTGCTGCCATCTGATTATTGTGTAATTTGATTGACAATCGTTTTTTATTTTCAACATTTTCCAGCCAAAAATACAGTCCGCTTGGTAACAAGTTAACTATTTTGTTAAAATGTTCAACCCTCATTTGTACTGATAAAGGGTTAGTTTAACCCATTTATAAATAGAATTAAGGGGGTAGTTTCAAATTTGAACAGAAGATTGTATTAATAAAACGAACTAAAACAACTGCACAAATAAAAGCATATTAAAGTGCAAATATTTAATTAAAATAAGGTCATACCCATGTCCTGATACAAAAATGGCCAGTCTTGCAAAAACAAATTCAAACTGATAAAGATCAACAAAAAATACCTTAAAAAACTTACCCTCTCCCTTTCGAGGCACAAACAGGTAGTGCAAGTGGGAAATTATCTTTCGAGCATAAATATTTGGGTCCTCAACTATAGGTTTCGGAATGCAGATCTTAGGATTCGGTAACAAAGCCATTAACCACTCGCAGTACACGTTAACACAGTCTTTTATTGCTTCATGTTCACTTAAAGGGAGAGATAAACCATAGCACAATACTTCCATACTCCATTGCACCTGAAATTGTATATTTACTTGCATTATTATTATTATTAACTTTAAATGGTACATCACGATCAGTTGCCAAAATGCTTGGCTCTGGTGCATGAGTTAGTCCCAAGTTATTGGCAAGCGGCTTAACCAGCCCCAGTGTGATTTCCTTGCTGATTGGCGAATTGAACTTTTCCAAAACACTCTGACCCACTTGTTCCCCTTGTCGAACTTCCAAACTTAAAGAAGTCCATTCTCCGTACATTCCTTTATTTTCGCCGCTTTCCTGAACAAATACAAAAATTATCATTTCCATGGAAAATGTTTCTAAAATACCAACTTTTAGATTCATACGGTTGAACAATCCTAAATTCATATGCAAGCTTTTATGGTTTCATATAATCCTGGGATAATAATTAACGGTTGGCTGCGCAACAACCTACACAGTTCTTTTTTTTACAGTTGATTCTAATTAGAAGATTAAAGTCTGGTCATTGTTTAATTTTTCAATCGCAGATCAACTAGAGTTGTGTCATTCGCGATTGATTCGGTCACTTTGAATCAATCACTTCTTAGGATCGAACGATCGAATTCGGTCAGTTCAGACCGATCAGGGCAGTAGCGAGAGCGAACAAGGTGATCGTATCGTTGCGAACAACCAATCGATCGACCGAATTCGCCGGGATACGATTCATTTGAATGGTTTAAGATTTAAATGCATGACTGAGACAGGTCACGGAAAAGGAATTGCAGTGCAATAATTATTCTATGGTATTCAGTTGCGACATCGATCTGTAGATTTGCTGATGTGTTGAATTGAATATTGATTGAAGTTTTTTTATTTAAACATAGCTAAATATTATTTGTACTAACTAGAACAGAAAACATAACATATCGACACAACAATAATTCAAATTCAAATGAATCTGAATCGGTCGTTCGGACTGTTCCGATTCAGTGACTACTGTCGCTTGTGTTGACCTCAAAAAGTATTGAAATGAACGATTGATTCAAATGATTCGGTCCTTTTCGAAATTGTCACTGATTGATTCGGTCCTCGCAAAATGAACGATTGATACAACACTAAGTCAACTACTTTGTTACTTGATTTTACTTATTTGCGAAGTCAAGATAGAACGAAACAATCAAATTTACCAATCTATTATCTATAAAGTTGAGGTTTTGTTTTTGCAGTAGAGTGTTATTTCCGATGTTTTTGTTAATAATAATGGACAATTATTAAATGAAATAATTAAGAATGGTTCTATATGCGGCGGATCACGGCCTCCAAGCCGATGTAGTTTTCGTTATCGAAGCCACCGCCGTGAATGGGGCATATATTAACGATATTAAATCGAATTATATTATACCCTCCTTAGAGTGAGTATTGAATTGTTACGGGAACTGTGTTTCTCGATTTGTAAACGAATGATGAAGAATTGAACGGATATTAGAACCCGGTTTGAGGTACTGGTTTCACCGGTGCAACCTTGCTGGATTTGTTAACAGTTACATTTCTGATTTTTTTTCGTTTAAATGCTAATTACTGATTTTCGCGGCTCGTTTTTAATATGCAGTAATGTTTAGGTACTTCAGTCAGGATAACGTAGATGAAACAAGTTACATTTCCGAAAACACCAATTCCCTTTACGGAATTGTTACCTATCAAGCGGCGGATTGCCTACCCAATCCCTGTACAAACACCTACGGGCCATTGTCGAGCCCCGCCAAAGTTTTGGGAATAATCGATAGATTAGAGTAAGTGCATGGCTTAGCTATCCTAAGAAACTGCAATAAGTCAATTTAGATTGATTGGAGGTAAAGGGGAGTCTCACGCCAATGTCGCGGAAGGCCTGGCCACCGCTCTGTGCTGTTTTGAGGACTTGTATTCCAAGCGGGATGCGAATATAACGCCTCAAAAGCATTGTGTGTTGATTTGCAACTCTCCACCTTACTTGTTGCCTGTACTTGAGTGTCAGCCATATTCGGGCAAGTCTGCAGAGCAGTTAGCCGCCGTTTTATCCGAGGTGAGCCGTTTATTCAAGTATGGGGTATTGAAATACCCTGTTTGTTTGCAGAAAAACATAAATTTGTCCGTAATATCACCCAGGAAAATTCCCCAACTGTATAAACTGTTTGAGAAGGGGGGCGGAGATCTGACGGCATCGCAGACAAAGAACTATGCTAAAGATCCGAGACATTTGGTGCTGCTAAAAGGATTTAGCTTGAAAGAGAGGCCTTTGAGTCCAACCCCCGGTGCCAGCCAGTCTCAGATACCCAACTCGACCTTGCCTGTGTCAATGCCCAGCCCTTTAGCTGGTAACGATAGTCCCATCCATAACTCCCAACAGAACCCCAATATCCTTGGTACCAACTCCTCTCCTGTTGTTCAAGCGGGTGTGGGGCAGAACACAGTTTACAGGCCTCCTGTTCCTACAGTTTCTGGTATGAGAATGATGGGCTCAAATCAAATGCCCATGGGTATACAATCAATGCCTGCTCCGCCCGGTTATCATACAGCCTCAGGTGTGTACAATTAAAGAAATAGGGAATGGAGTGGAGTTAGTTGTAAAACCATATAGCTACTTGCTAATGTTAACATTTTGTGCCAATTTATATCCAAACCGGATCTCCACACACTTGACAAAACACCGCCGAAAAAATCCCATAACCAAACAGAGTTGTCAGCGCCCATATTGACTGTCGAAGGCCCCCAAGTAATTTCTTGTAATGTTTCACAACATTTTTTGGTATTGGCCTCAAAAGTGCCTCTATATAACAACTAACTACATGGGAAAAAATAAACTACAAATATTTTCACGAACTCTGGGCGATTCCTATGAAAGTTGGAGTTGTGTTTTATAGAACAACAAGCGGTGTATTATTAAACGCACTGTTTACTCAGGAATTTTAAGAAAATATGTCTTCAATAGGAACCATCTTTATCACATGATGGCCGCGTCGTCCACCCTATATAATAATAACTTCCGGTGTCAGTAGGTCCTAGAGCTAGCTGGCAAATGCCACCTCCAACTCAGCAGCCGAGGCCGTATTTGCAGCAAAACCAACAGGTAAACACGACCACTGGAAGCAGCGCTCTCATCGCTCAACTGCAGCAACCCCCTTCAATATCTGGCGCCAATGTGAATCAGTTCGGTCAAAGTATATTCACTTTCTCCCGATTTCCCCGCGTTCGCGTTTTGAATCTGCATTAATTTTCAACAGTGAGCACCAACTCGCCGCTGAACAAAATAAACATGGGTCAACCACCCAACGTCCAGACCTCGATCGCGCAGAATCCAGGCATTCAAACATCATCGATGGCCCAGGTGTCCCAGGCGAACGCCGTAGCCACGTCGCAAGCTCAAGTTGGACACAATGGCGGTCTTTTTTTTCTGTGAAATTTCACATTAGTTTTTTGTAGGCTGCGCAGCAAGTCCCGCAGCAATTGGCGGGACGCGAGAGGCACACTATCTGGCAGGGTATACTCGAATGGATTGAGAAACCGAAAAATATGGCCGACCAGAAGATCACGCGCCACGTGCCTTGCCACGTGTCGTCCAATTCGAAAGACGGCGAGCCGGAAATGTACGTATTGTCCCGGTGGTAGTTCAAATGTACCGAGGAACTCGAGTAATGTTTTTTTTGTGTGTGACTTGTTTGGTGAGGTGTGGCTCTCTCGCAATTTCAGTAAAGCGGATGGGTGGCCTCAGAAACTCATAATGCAGCTGATGCCCAAGCAACTGATTGGTACCATTGGGGGCAGCTATTTGAAGAACTCAAAGTCGGTGCTGTTCCACCCAAGCCCTTGCGAAGCACTCGACTCGTTGACTAGGGTGATGATTTCGAATTTCGTAGGTTAATCAATATAGTGGAGGAGCTTTTTGTATATCAGCATGTCGCAGGCCGGTTGCGTGCATTTCACTAGCAATCCCAGCCATACCACTTGTGACATCAAAGTGCTAATACTGTTGTACACCCAGGATAAAAGGGCTTATCTAGGATTCATACCCAACGACCAGGTGGCGTTTGTTGACAGGCTGCGCAAGGTCATCCAGCAGCAAAAGTCAACACAAATGAGACCGCCGGTAAGCAAGGCTTGGAAGTAGGTCAAACGTACCAACCTACTTTACCGGTGCGGTCTATTTAGGGTAACGGAGGCCCAGTGATGAACCCGCAAGCCGGCGCCCAGCTACCGGTGGGCGGGTCGCCACAACAGATGGGTGCAAATCCAGTGACGTCACAAAACAGCGGCATCCATATCGCGCAGACCAACACGATTTCAATAGGTGGAGGGCAGATAACCCAAAACGTCCCTCAATCGGGTCAACCGATGCAGTCGATGGGTGGTATGATGAATCAAAATGTTGGACAGGGGGGAGCGAATCAACAGCCCATGCAGGGCGGTATGATGGGAGCGCCGGTACGAGCGCCGTTTGAGAACCAGCTGCAGGTGGAGCGTCAACAGAACCTTGAGAAGATCAATAAGCTGAAGCAGACGCTGGAGGCGGCGCAACAGCAGGAGCAGCAATACAAGAGCCAACTGGAGAGAATCAGTCACATGAAGACGTCGCATTTGCAAGAGGCGTTGCAGGTGGCGCAGCAGACGGAGATGCAGTTTAAGATGCTCGAGGTACAGGTTCAGAGTTGAGTTGTTCGAGTGTTCCGGGTCAATTTGATGTTGTTTCAGTTGAATCAGCAGCAACAGCAGCGTATGATGCGACCCATTATGGCCAATAACCCTGGGCTACGTCATTTGTTGCAGCAGGTTAGGTTCTTTTTAAAGTTTGGGATTCTATTTTTAATGTTTGTGTTCTTGTAGCAGCCTCAGTACAGGCCGCAAATCATGAACATGCAGCAAATGGGAGGCAACCAAGCCCGGGGGCAGATGGGGCAGCAGATGCCCGGTGGTCAAGGGGGTCAAGCCAACACCTTCGACGAGGTCCCAAACTTTGATTTTAATAACATCATGTGAATGCTTTTCATAACTTTTGGATATTTTCTCTGGAAAATAGACCTTTCTAATACAATTTCGGAGTTTTTGTTTCTCGGTGTGCTCAAAAAAACTGAAACCAAACCCACACAATAAAAACCACGATTATTAAAAACATATACTCTTTAATTGAATCTCTTGATCAATTGCGAAACTGAAACATGTTTGCTAGATGTTGAAGTATCCGTATCCTTATGTATACTCTTTTGAAATACTAAAATAAAACAATATAGGCCGCAGATTACGCTGAGTGACATGAGGCACAGATGTCTAGGAGGGCTCCAACCAAGTTCTGATCTTCCATTGTAATATTACTATGTTTATCAATTGTTTTGGTACTTTCCAGTACCTTGATTAAAAAATAAGCCTTTAAGGGACCATCCCCTCTGATAGTATTTACAAATATATTTTTTATAATCAAATCATATAAAAACAATACCATCGAGTAACAGCGAATAATAAAAATTAAGCAGTCGAAACAGCCGTGTCATAGTATTGCCAAACGTCTGATATATTCTCGAAAAGACCAAAAGTACTTCATATAGCTATTACAGAATATAGTGCCCTAACTAAAAATTGGTGCGCCGCAGTAAAGGGGGGAATGATTTTCCGTGCATGCCTCTACACACACTAACCTGCACTTTGTTGCATTTTCATTCTAAACGGCGACTTTCACACACTTAACACGTTTTCCCAGAACATTTAACAATATCCAGGCATATTTTGAGAAAATACCTCTTAAAAATGCCGCATCCCAGCTTATTGACGACCTGTCAGCTGCCATGTTGGTTTTTTGAATGCTGCAATGTCATTGGCTTGAAATTTTGCTCATGCGCATGTTGAAACATTTTTTCATGGTTGCTTCATTAGTCCCTGTATTATCAGTATAGGCAGGGTCTCTATATTTCTAGTAGCTATTTGGACATACTGTACATCTTCGCACGCTTATTTGGACTCTTAATATTAATAATAAACAGTGATATAAATGTTATAGTGGCAAATATTTAAAAATTAGAATAAACCATTTTGTGCAGAGCACCTTTGCGAGTTGTTTGGTATATTTGTTGAGGCGTCTAACGCTTGAGAGATGTAACGATAATACCGATAACAATGGCGATCGCAACCATGCAAATCAAAAATATGAAAACCCACTTCTTCCTTCGACTTGTTTGATATCTCGATGCTTTAACCAACTGCTCATAACCCTCCTCAACATTACCCGCGGCATTATCGATACCATTTTCGATAGTATCTAAAACAAAATTTTGTAACCACCGGGTAAAATCTCTTAAATAGCCTCCTAACCCAAAGTTTCTCCTTGAGCATGTACCATAGAGCCCAGCTCCCTCATGATTTGATTAATGTCCAACACATCCGATTCTATTTGTTTTACTCTAGCCTCCCTTTCGAGCATCATATCCTGTTCAAAAGCCATCTCCCTGGCCAACTGTGCCTGCTTGTTCTGCTCGGAATCGTCGTCAATTTCATGTTCGAGACTTTCCTGAATCAGTAAATGTGCTTTCTGCTTACTGGCAAGCTCCTTTTGCAGCGAATAGTATTTGTTGATAGCATCCCTAAAGTTCCCTTCGAGCTTCTCCACTTGCAGCTTACGTTGTTTGTCAGCCTTTGGCACTTTCAGTTTCAATTTGTTAATATCTTTGGTGCATTCTGATGCTATTTGATTTGTGCTTAACTGGGTCACATGCCTGGAACAAAAAAATGCCAATTATTAACAATAAAGAAACATTAGGAACATACACTTTGTTTCTAACTCCAGCGTTGTCCTTCGCGCTGCCAATAACTTTAAGAGCGTTTTCCAAACTCTTTAGACTAGAATTTATAGTGTATACGTTGGTGACTATATTGTCGCACAGGCTGTTCAAGTCTTTAGATAGTGTTTGGTTGCCACTGAAACCGACGTCTGGCTCGCCTATTGAACCGTAGCTTGTGTGACTCATTTCTGTGTAATTTCGCTGTGCATATGTCGGATTATTAAAATTTGCTGTCCTTAAACTGGACAACACCTGGTATATTTTCTTGAATATTTGTTTTCTAATCAGCTGATTCAATGAAATCTAAACAAAACAATTTGACGCATGAGAAATATGTCAAACAGGGATCCACATCTGTGGTCTATGAAATGAAAAGAAAGAGATGGAGAAAAAATACTAAACTTACCGCACCCTATACTGTTTTTTGTATAGGGTTTATGTAAAAAGCATTTGAGTATTGCTTTTGAATTAGTCGGTTATGGCGAATAACGTTCGAATCTTTTCAAATCTCTTCAAAATAAGGCACTTTTCTTCAGCCAGACGGAACTTAACTTTAGGAAAAGTAATATACGATAAACCAAAGAAAACGGGAGCACCCTCACTGAAAGTGCCTGAACGGGAGGTACCTGGTCTTAGCAGCGCTGTTTTCAAGGTTCCCAATGAACCAGTCGGTCCTGGTGCTTCGAAAAATTCTGATTACAAGAACCCTGAGTACTTCTGCTATGACAATGTGAGCTACTTTGAAGCGGAAGTCGAAATGCTAAAGTACAGGTGCCCACAGCCTTCGACAACTCGCCCATATCACCCACCGAAGTAAAATTAATTTATCATCATATCATATTTGGTTGTAAATAAAATAGTTTTGTCCTAAGTACTCTTTAATTAGCATTTTTCTATTGATTTTATTAACATTTGATAGTTGGCAGCTACTTTTGGGTTGCTGAAGCACAGGGTTCCCCCACCACGTTTGGTTTGTTTTTCCTAAAAAAAAAATTAATTGAGAAAATCCACTGACAAAGTTACCTACCGCTCTGTTAATGTCTCCAACGCAAGTCCAGTAGTTTTTTGTCACATTTGTCGAAACAGCCCACTTGGAATGGTCCACGGTGGAAAAAAAAGTAACATCGCCAAGAGAAACTAGCAAGGACAAAACATTAAACACCCTAAAAAATGGTGGTTAATAAAGATTTGCGATGGCACTGTACTACATACTGAAATGTATTGTCGCAGCTAGATGGCAGTCTATTAGGTTCATTAGGCCAGGTTTCCACCCATAAATTGCTCTGTAGTGAGGGAGCTACAAGATCTGAATAGAGGTCTTTAAGAAAGTGACGAGATTTGGCAAAGGAAACGAATTTTGCACCATCTTTTGAAGTAATTTCTTTGATGCTGAACCAGGGAGAAGACGTGATGGTGATGTTACTCGCAGCCTTCGCGAGTTCAGGTATAGTTTTAGCCAAGTCTTCTAAAATGTTTTGAGCAAATATCGGTACCTCGTTGTATTGAAGTTGTAGTCCTACAGTATTGAGATTTTCTAAATCTAAAGAAACACAGAGGAAACTTTGGCCATAGTGAATTCCTGTCTCCGGATACTGATAGTGATTTAACGAGTGAGGAAAATGAGGGACAGAGTGAATGAGCCAGAAACCGCCGTAGTTTTCAGCCATCACAATCCCCTTTGTATGACCTTTTGTTGACGTTTTTGGGCCATAAGGAGATTCATCGTTGTAGAGTATATAAGTCAATTTGTCCTAAAACACATTTTGTGTTGTCTGTTGATTTTGTTTAAAACCCTTGCCTTGACGTCGTATAACGGGCTTAACGTATACGCGACCATAGAATTTGTATCATTTATCGTTTTTACTGATAACATCCAGGTTGTGTAAACTTTCGATGTGAGGTACATGTATCCCAATCCTTGATTTATAGGCTTTATAGCATGGTTTTCTTTGGGGAATTTATAAATGACGAACCTAACAATATTAATCGATATAAATAAAACTTGGCACGTTGCGATAATAGCAATAGCTAACAAATTTATGATAATAAATAAGAACTAAAAGTTCAGATTTTCACGAAATTATATATTATGACATGACAATTGTTTCGACAACACCGTGTCTTTATCAAATGTCACACTTTTGATAAAGACACGTTGTTGTCGAAACAATTGTCATGTCATAATATATAATTTCGTGAAAATCTGAACTTTTAGTTCTTATTTATTTTGATAAATGGATTTTCATCAAATAAAAGCGACCTCAGTTCAACAAATTTATGGTGTTCCCTCACTACCAACGGCGGTAACGTGGTGACATCATGTATTTACTACTTAACCTTTAAGAACGAATTTTTACCAGTCCACAGGTTCGTTTTTCTCGTCTTTGCATTCTAATTGAAATGAAAACACCAAAAATATAAGGAATACTAGTCCCCTTAACAAACCATTCGATACCATTTTTATATGAAGATTATGGCAGATATGGTAAGCCTGCACTTTAGGTACTGAGGCTATTTAGAGGCGTTTGAATGATTTAAGATTTAAATAAATGACTGAGGTCACAGAAAAGGAATGCGAGTATTGTTATAATTATTCTATATTATTGAGTTGCGACATCGATCTGTAGATTTGCTGATGTGTTGAATTGAATATTGAATGAAATATCTATTTCCACACAGGTATTTAATTTAAACAAATTAATGTATTACTGGTACAACCCAATACGTAGCACCTATTTTGATAAAATCATGATTCCATAAAAAGCAAAAGACAGCTAAATATTATACTAACTAGAACAGAAAGCATAACATATAGACACAACAATAAATCAAATTCAAATGAAACTGAATCGGTCGTTCGGACTGTTTGGATTCAGTGACTATTGCCGCATATGTTGGCATCAAAAAGTATTGAAATGATCGATTTGTTGAACACTAGTTCTTTATTCTTTATAGCATTTTTCGTCCCTTGTTGCCAAATATTCAATTATCATTTCTTAGATTGTGTAATACCTTACTATAATATAATTATAATGGGTCGTTGACCGGTACCAATAACTAATATTGTTGACCCAAACATAATTTTAAATGATTAATCGGATCAATACTTCAGCTTTTATGAGGTTTTTCATTTTTAATTATCCCTTATAAAAATTCAATATCTCGCGAGAAGTGTACTTGCTAATACTAGACAGTGTGACTGCAATAATGAGATATTTTTCGTAGAGGCACGACCAAGTGAATCTGGAAACACCGACTGTACACGAGGACACAGAGCATCAGAAAGGATTCTTTTTTTTTCGCCAGAAGCTATTCTTGCTATTATGTACTGTCAGAGTATAGATTATTCCAAAAACTTTGTAGTACACGAGGAGGTTCCAATATCCCTAAAACTGTTGTGGATTGGGCCTCCTTTGGTCACGACATTTGTAATAGTAGAATGTCTGATGATAGTCTGCTATTCTTTTTATACTACAATATACTGTCATTAGGGATAATTTGTGAGGCATGCAATATTGTTTTTGCTGTTATTTTGTTACCATAATTAAATAGAACACTACTTAAACTTTTGCTCGGGCAAAAGTATCTAGCCAACAACATCTTTGAAAATTTGAGGATATTAATTTATTTACTGCATACTTTAAATACATTGAGATTTTTTTTTGGATTCGGGATGTTGGAATTTTTTATGCATTATGAAACCACCAGTTTTATATTATTTCCTGGTTAAATCGAATAATTATCGCTGCCTGGCAATACTGCGCAGCTGGATGTCATTCGTCAGTAAAATATCCCCATCCTCCATCTACTAAATACTGCAGGATTAACATAGATATTTTATAATAGAAGCAGTGAGCGCAAGAAAAAAGTCGTTTGCAACTAAAATTTGAGATTGTCTTGTATTGTTCCGGTTATGCTTTTTTAAACGCCGAAAATCGTTTTAGGGTCATGGTTTTGATTCTGTCTCGGGATTCTACGTTGGGAGCATTGCACGCGGCGGTTTAACTTCCGCTCGCCACTAGCAGAATCCGTCGTATTCGTCCCAAAAACTTTGATATCGGTATTTATTCGTGTGACTGTGTTTCTTTGTATATGTTGGTCTACAACCAAAAACTAAATTCCTCGACGGACGTCGGCAATGGGCGACTGGCCATAGTTGTTTTGCCCAACTGTTTGTAAATAGCAAAGAGTGATTTTGTCTTATGGAATCTAACTTCCTTCATAAAAGCATAATAAACGCAAGGGCAAGTATTCAAAAAAATTTATTGTTCCAAAACGTTTACAGGATAGCAATATTTAAATGGAATTAACGTTAAATCACAATAGAGGTAATAGGATTATTTACATGCACTTTTCAAATCTAATTTGTTGTGTGGGATATAACCAACCAAGATATAATAAAATAAAACAGTCCGATAGGGTATACAGCCAGAACTTTCCTACCAGACTTTTGACTATCACCTAGAAATACTGTTGAAGCTAAAATGGAAGAGAAAACTAAAAAAAACAAAACAACTACCCCTAAACCTTACCATATGTGGCCCAGACAAATCCAACCATTGACACAGTAAATCTGATAAAGAACAGTAGATCACTGCTCTCTGCTAATAAAATTATCCTACAGATTATTAACGCTATGGTAGTGGGTAGTAAACAATAGCCCAAAACGCAGACACTTTGAAAAAATGATCTAAAAGTCCATAAAATTAAATTTTTGAGATGGATCAAAGCTCCACTCACATATTGCCGCCTAACAATTTCGAATTTAAGGTGACAATCATAGAGCCGACCCAAACAATGACAAACACTTCAGCAAATTCCGGACCCCCATCATTCACATCATCAGCACTACCTGATCCTTGCAAAATCCTACCAAAATCAAATCAATTTCAACATGGCATAATACTATCGCAAGTATAACTCACATAGCCATAAAGGTGCATAACATAAGAGGACCCCACAAGTCCCCTAAAAAAAATTGTTATATGTAATACAACTGAAAAATGCAACTTACATTCTTTAAGTAACGTTTTCTTCTCTTTCGGGAACAACACATGCCCGAATTTAGTACCTACAGCTTTAAGGTCTCTAAGCTAGAAAGAAAACATACAGCAAATAAAAAATTACATATTTATAGTACATACTACAGTCGCCCTGATTGGTTCGTCCAATGTGTTAAAATCAGGTTGACCGATTTGCCCACTTCTAGTACTGCCGGCGGGCACTTCCATTTCTCCCTCGACATAGGATCCCGGAGAGCCCGTGTCACCCTCATACATCTAAAAATATCAGCCACACTTTAAATATTTTGCGCCCCATTGGTACATTGTACGCACTTCTAGCTTTGTTGAGTCCATTGTTTAATTCATTCGAAATGAACGGTATCCGTGTTTTCAATACGTTGTACCCATCAATTTTAAAAAGGTCTCGATATTCATTTTAACGAGTACAAAATTCCATAATGTCAAAAGATGCCGCAGCTGACGTAGACAGTTGCATAGATTAAACGGTAATTACAACCTGCCTTTTTTCCAATTTCACTTAATAGGTGAAATATAACCTCCCAAATAAACAGTAATCTCTAAACATAACCGAAGGAACTTAGCGACCTTAGCCACAATCCAGAGTACCACCGCTACTCGACTATAGATGGCAGGATTACAAACAAATGTTAAAAACATTAACTTAGGTTCTCGATATCTTTTATTTTACAAATATGCACTGTCCCATAACGGCATGTTACGTAAAAAAAATGCCGTCGTTAGGTTAATTTTTGGTGCATGTAATACAATTTTGACACGCGGGAGTAATCACGAAAAAGTGAAATACACTTTTCTGAATTGTCTCTCGCAACGGGCATTGTCTATTGTTCAGAACAATTCTATAAATAAGGCTTCGGAAGCCGCATCCGCACTCGACGAAGACATGTCGAATGTTTCGTATTTTCTTTCGCTGTGTTTTTTTGCCTGTTTGGGCTGTATCTTAGGCGACGCGAATGAAACTGCTGCGTTCCAAAATTGTGATATTCGCAATGATAGCAGTGCTACTATGTCCGGAAATATTATTGCTAGTGTTTCGGCACCTAATACCACTCTAGACGATGTCAAACCGGTCAAACTAATCGACGCAGTCGAACTGAACCGCCCGGGCGGTCACCAATCGCCCGACACAATTAGCAATTCCAGCCAGAAGCTTCTAGAACCTTTTAAAGCAAGTCCCCCGTTCGACGAAGACGTAATACAATACGAGTACAATAAAATTCCGGTGAAACCGGCATTTCCAGAGGCCAAACAGTTCCAGAGTCAAATTACGGGCACCGAAAACTTGAGAGCCTACGAAGTAAACACCAACAACTGGCACCGAGATAACGGTCCGTGGACTGTCAGCCAGCCGTGGCTGGATCAAAGGAAAGATGCCCAAGCGAAGTACGAAACGTACCACGAAAGTACCACGGTTCCTAATTCATGGCACAACCATGTTAAATTTCCAACCGCCCTAACTAACCATAGACCATATCCGTTCTACAACGCAGACTATAATCGCGTGCACATTCCGCAACACGCTCCGCCTAACGGCGGTGGACGGAACGACGATTTCTCGTTTAATAAACCGGTAGAGGTACTAAAGATCGTGATATTTCTGCCACCGCGGCAGTACTATATAAAATACTTTTTAGGTACCAAGCAGAAGATACCCTACAGATTGGCAAAGCGAGAACCGTCAACCGAGTCACGGACAAAGTACCCAACTCACAGGCGAGCAACACGGACACTCGAAGACTTACGACGTCGATTACAAAAGCCCATGGAAGAAGGTCATAAAGTTTTTGACGACATTCATTCCGATCGGTTTATTGATAAGCGCGCTCACGCCAACCGTTATTAGCGTTACCGACGTCAACGACACGGCAACAGATCCGTACCAAACGTAAGTGCGCTCGCTGAACCGACCAAAATTCAATCCGCGATTATGGTCTGTGACGGTTTTCAGTTCGTCGCGGTACAGGGCCGTTTCTTCGAAACACGAGCTCGCCAGCCACGTGCTGTCGTCGCTGGAGTACTTCGAGGAATTGAACGAAAACGGGTGCGAGTACAGGGTGTTGTGCGAGCTATTACTGAGCGCGCACCTCGCGAAAAATTCGGAACGCAACGTCGCTAATCTGCTCGACCATTTTTCCGAACGGAACGTGGACTTGAAAAGCAACGAGAAAGATCTGCGCAGGGTTTTCGACGCAGTTCGTAGTGGCGATTGTTCGCCAATAACGTGCGGTCTCATCAAAAATCCAACGTAGCGTTCAATTTTTCAATTATTATTTGTGCTAATGTTTTGATATTTCTCGTAATAAAGTCTGCCGGAAACGGTTATTATCGTTTTATTTTATAGTACAGGACCATTATCCTAAATTATATAAACTAAAATTAGTGTATATGACCTATGATTGAACCGCGCAAACTAGTGCTGCGGGAACCCATTTGCAAGATTTCGAAAAAGCAAACCTTTAAATTAAGATAATGTTTTGAACTTTATAAGGCCAAGCCCACACATTATTGTACGAAGGACGAGTGATATTGCCGTCCGATTGTAGACTGCGATCGAATGTACTGGCCGATACGAATTTTCGAGGTTAACGATCAATATTTTTGATGTTATCTTTAAAATCCTTGCACGGGGCACCGATATTCACAAAACGGTGCTCATTCGATTTTAAGTTTAAAAATAGATCCATACCGTACGTCAGGATGTACAATGTCAAAAACCAGTCGCACAGTTGCAGGAAGAAACTGAAAATTTTTACGCAATACAAAAAGAATTATTTTAATATATAATATATAATAATAATATATAACATAATATTTTAAAATTAAAAAAGTTCGCAATTTAATAATAAGCTCCTATTTGACAATCTGAATAATTTTCTTGCGTAGTTCTATGGTCCAAATGTTAAATGTTATAAATTTATAATATTAATTTTGTGGCCAGAATGTAGAATAACATTAAAAAAAAAGATTATAGTCCAAACCTCTAACCTCAGTTTATATCACATTAAAAAATAATTTCTGTCTAAGCTGTCGTCATTTGTTGAACCTTTACCTTGGGATATCAACTAACCAATATTTTTAACTGACCAGGTGTTTCAGGGTATATACGAAATATGCAATAAGCATCCGAAACAACGTATCCAAGCATGTATCCAAAGGATGACAATCTTCATTGTCAGTTTCAGTTGATGGATTCCAAAATAAACAAATTTTAGTTTTTTTATAGATATGGTCGACCGTAATTAATTTTCCGAATTTATGTTTCAGCGCGAAAGACGTCAAAACATTGATTCCGTTGAGGAAGGATTTTAAATATTTTTGTTCGTTATACTGTTCTAGCATGTTGTGGGTGAAAACGTAAGTAATGTTTACCAAATAAAAAAGTTTTGTATGATCCAATACTTGGGAAATTGTCATTTCGTTTGATTAAATGGTCAACAATTCATTAGAATGTAAAAATTAGTTTAGGTGCTATAAAACAGCGCGACTTTTTAAAAAAGAAAAGAATATTCCAAAATTTTGTGTCAGTCGATAATATTTTGAACCTATTAAATAGGTAATATAAATGTAAAAATTACAATCTTTAAGCGATTAGCAAGAGTTGTGTGAAGACAAATAACAACTGAGTTATTTACCCAAATTGGGCATCAAATACACAAAGCATATATTTTTAAATTAAAAAATATCAAAAATAATATAAAGAATATTATTTAAGATTAGATCGTTCTACTGGTGGTGCGGCGCAGCTACACTAAGACGCAGACTACATTACACGCCCGCTCCTCGTTTTCTTCATTTCGAATATTTAGATAATAATAGTCATTTTACGTAAGCCCTCGGAACCTTGGATTGCACTAAAACCGGCATTCCCGCGCTCGTTACGCGACAAAATAGATCGTTTCCCTTTTAAATTAACCTCCCCCGCCCGCGCCCGGAAAATCCATTGCCGGTGCATAATAAGGGCCGAGCCCAGGCGTTATTAAATATCGCGGCATAACATAAATCCTCGGTGCACGACGCGCATAAATTATCGACGGTCGCTGTTTCATTGTTGCGGGTAAAAGTATTCGAAACAATCGGATATGCATCTCCCCAATACCCACGTTTTCCTTTCGTGATGTGCGCGACAAGGCAAAAAAACCGCCCGTTCTCCTTTGTCTATAATATGCGAGTCAAGGTCCGATATCAAATCGGCGTGCAGAGCGCGAATCTTTTAAGTTAGCACTCAAAATTTATAAATTCTAAATATTCTAAATTGTATAACAACGTAATAAACAAAGGCCATACTTTTAAATTTCAAAAAATCGCCGTCGAAAGTACCGTTAATTATCATGTCGGGTATAGGTATATATTTTTTGGATTTTTTTTTTCAAAGAAACTTCCACAGGCTACTGTAAAGCTTTTTACAAAATTTCTGGATTCCTCCTGCGTCGGTTTTTGCTTAGTCGAAATTGCCGACGTTTCGCCAACCATCCTGTTGGCTTCTTCAGTTTCAGTCAAGTTCTGAAGAAGCCAACACGATGGTTGGCGAAACGTCAGCAATTTTGACTAAGCAAAAACCGACGCAGGAGGAATCCAGAAGTTTTGTAAATAGCATTTTTTGGAGTTGTTTCATATTTTTTAATCTTCAGGTATGTGTCTGTGTGTTTTTTAAATGTATTAATGTGTTGCATGATGACCATTTCACAGCGAGTTTCACATTGAGAAATAATATTTTTGTTTCTAGTGCAACGTTTCGCATTATAACAATTTTTCAATACTTTGTCAATGTGTGAAGAGAATGCGATCTCAAATTATGTCTTACGTTAATATAATGTTTACTAAGAAATAATTCTATTAAAATGTAGCTGGCAAGACTTGTTTTGCTTGCGCTTTTTTTTATGTGTGTGTTTATAATTTTGATATACATTTTTTAATGCGTATTTCGTATGGTCCGTAATGAATGCTTCAAAAAGCAATCCTAGATTAAACTCGTGAAAGTAATGATATATTAAGTAAAACGTCGCTCTTATTTCTTTAGAACTCAAGCTGTTTTTGAGATATCGACATAAGAACTTAGAGGGTTTTGGAGATGAGGAATACATTAACATTTTACTTTTTCGCATAAAATGTAGAGGGCGCTAGTTACACCCTAAAATGTTATAATTTTAATATTATCAGTAAGTTAAAAAGATGTACTTCATTTACTTCAATTACATATATCAATTTCAGGTTATTTTATCGCAATACACTAATCTCCACAAAAAACTGGTCCAAATTTCAAATTCGGACTTGTAAATCCAGTTTGTCCCACTCTATACAACGTGTCCCACACTAGCGTGTTGCGATTTTCTAGTTTCAGATATAATATTGCACATAACACAAGTTTATTTTAGCAGGTGACTAACTTTTTGTAATTTATTTAAAAAAAAACTGTATTAACCTAAAAACAAATTAACGATTAATGCTTTATAATTGAAATGGTTCGTAAGTGCTATATACAGGGTGTTCCAAATGCGCAAATAGTTTGTTAACGTTGGGTCAAAAGCGAGCAAAAAGATAAATAGTAGAACAGTCAACTATTACTATTATAAAAATACACATTCTGAGTTTTTTTTTAATTAGTAGTGGGGACTCCTATTGATTCGTCCGCGTGGAAACGGACTTTGGCTGGAACTCGTGAAACCGAAAGGATCAAATTAGGGCGGAACTTAACTGACCCTACCTCGGTTTAGGTCTTCTGTCCCGGAAGGGTCGGCCGACGTTATGACCACCACTTGCTTAAATACGCTAACCGTATTCAACAGTATTAACAGCGTTTTTTTGAACCACATGTCCTAGCGAACGATTTCGCACTCTGTCTGGTGACTAAGTGGAGTATGCGCCATAGAGCGCTGGCAGGTACAGCTGGCCAGCGAAGCTTTGAGAATCAATATCGCGAAAGATAACTAAGGAATAACTTCTGGCTGCCGTACTCGTGGCCAACGGATAGATAGAAAGATTAATAAAAAGAAACCCAAAAAGTTAAGTGAAGATTAAAATCGATGGAGTGATTTAGTAAAAACTTTTTTGTCTCCTGCAATTTTTTCATAAAACTCCCAGCAAATAAAGAAAATAAAATGTAAAATCTAAAATCCAAAAAAAATATATTTTAGAAAAATAAGTTGTATTTGGTTCCAACATGTTGTTATCTATTATCTTCTATTTAATTTTCTATTTTTGCAAGATGAGCTGATTCGGGATTATAGTATACGAAGTAAAAAGATACTTTTTATTAATAATACATACTTACCGTTTGCAAATAATAAAATCAAATCCAAATCCTTCCTGCTAATTAATAATTAATAACATTTATTTCAGCAATTAGATAATACATTCAAATTCAAAATTTAATCAAAAATTTATTAATGTTTTAATTGTTCAGTAATAACAGTTTTAATCCAAAGATGGTGAATTACGGTCGTGCAAACGGAACGCCCTTGGAAGTTTGTCGCCTTTATGAAAAAAGGGTTTCTAATAAACCCGTATATCGAGATTTATTTTTTCCATATCATTGCATAAAATTTTTCTTAAATTTAGTTACCAAGAAGGATGAAGTCTAATATACAGAAAGTGTGTTTTTATAATAGTAACACTTCGGTTATATTTTATTGTTCTATCTATTTGCGTTTTTAAGATAAAAATATAATTATGTAATCACCCTCTTAAGTTTTTTTGCAACACTCTGTACTTTTGTTTGCAACACTCTGTACTTTTGAAAAGCTAATAAAAAAATTGATGAAATTATTAACAGACAAGGTGTTCCATTAGAAAAAACGCAAGTTATATTAAATATATCAAATAGAGTTTCAGAAGAAAACTCAGTACGCCCCTGGATCCTACATAAAAATCCCTATCAAGCTCAGTGTTTAAGTTTTCAATAAGTTTACGTATAACCGTGCTAGCTAAAAAGGGTTTCTAAAAATGTAAAATTTCCAAAATTACTCTGTACCTAAACATCCAAGATAGTCTCGACATTTTTGTCGCCTTTTATTGCATAAAAAATCAGGAGTAAAATTCTCGAAAATGAAACACATTGTACAAGATTGATAATACAATAAATGATGTGATTTCGATTTTAAAATTCGGTTGTGTTTAGTATTAATCACAGAATATTAAATTGTTTTTATTGCTGATATCTAGTGTTGGGGCTGGTCAACTCACCACCACTTCTTCTTCAAGCAATACTCGAATACAATACTTAAAATCTCAATAAAAATATGGACCCCACAATACAAGTAAATAAATCTATCACATACATGTTATAATTAAATCATCATTTAATTTTAAATATTGCGCCTATTTTAATAATTTCCTTTAAATCCTAATAAAACGGATCTATTGCAATTTTGGTTGATAGTTTAGGAGATTTAGTCACAGTGGGGCGCCGCATAAAGCCCGGGCGGAAAAACTTGCGCGCAAAACTTTCGGACGTTCGATTACGCGTAGAAAGTAATCGCATTCCTCGATTTTAAACAAAACGAGCGAATCGTAGAAATCACTTTCTTCTCGCAGGTGGTTTCGTGCGAAACGGGTTGCCTGGCCGGCCGTTGACCGCGTTTTCGTCGGAGCGGGCCGTGGATGCGTTATCGGCGTTGGTCCGAAAACGCGTAAAAAAAACTAACGCCGAGTTGATGTCGTCGTCGGCGCGGGGCTCTCATCATCTGGGCGTCGCGTGGAAGTGGGTCAGCAGTGGTAGCGACGGCGCGCAGCAGGTGGAGAGCGGCTATCTCCGGTGATATCAACAGTCAATGCGAAGTGTAACCCGAACGTCGGCATAAAGCGCGAGGCACACTTGATACACGCGGTCCAAGTTAAAGTCGTCGGTCTGTGGCGACAGTGGCTGTGTGAGGGTGATTTATCGACTTGACGTTTCGATCGCGGCGCGCTTTGGCACAAACGGCGATTGTCAACATGGCCAGAGAAATTGTACGTAAATAAGTAGTCCGAGTAGATTTTTTATTGCTTAAAAAAGGGATCTCCCAATGTTACTGTTCTAAGAAACTTGTTCGAGTTACTAGTGCCGCGGTACTGTCCTTCTGGTTTATATTATATATCAGCAGCTCGTAGGAAAAATTTAACTAACCAAAAACGGGGAATTATTAATTTCCTCAAATATTTGTTCACGATAAATTTCAAGCATGCGTATGAATACACAGTGTATCATTCTGATTTTCTTTGGAAGTGCCGTTAATTATCGAATGATTTTTTAGGTGATCAATCTAACTCAGCCGAAAAATTAAGCCCGCAGTTTTTTTAACCAATTAAAATTGATTTAGTTGATAGATTTCCATGGTAACGCATGCTTCTATAAAAATTTCCGGTATAATTCGCTGTTGAGTACCCACGAGGAAAAAAATTCCGCTAAAATTCATCAGTTGTGATGATGATCTGTTAGAAAAACACGTTCCGACTGGTTAAAATTACAGGTGTGGAATTTTCAATGAACAAAAAATTACCAAAACTAGAGATTTAACTGTATTTTTTAAATTCACTTTAATTGCAATTGAAGCACATTTTAATAAAAGCCTTCAATAATAATAAAAAGGAACAAATAAACTAAATTAATTGGAAATATTTTAACAATTTTTTTATTAGTTCAATTGCGCTTTTTTATGAACCTCATTATAAATTTATATTTATAAATTAAAAAAAATGCATAACAAATTTTTATCATGTTTGACATGGTGCCTTGAGAATAAAACCGTTTTCTATGTACCATGAAAGTTACCGACCTTTTTGCAAAAATGGAACATGGGTCAATGTAACTCTTCCTCCTCCTATTCGTTATGCTATTAGTCATTAATATTCGCTCAAACTAAAATCTTAAGAAGTATTTTCGTATTTTTAATTCGCTAATGTCCTTGCTATTCCGTAGAAAACAAACTTTTGCATTACAGTGCAACTAATGTAGATAAATATGTAAAATTACTTGTTTAAAAGGCTATAAAAATAATTTTCTAGAAGTCTACGTTTCCGCGACAATTTATGACCTTGTAGATGACGATAAATAAAAAAATAAAATGAATTATTAGGGTAAAATAAATTTTAAAAAAATTGAAATGACGATCACTATAATTTTTTTATTTTCTACGCTACTGCTAAAACACGGATTTTTGAAATGTTATCGACATGGAATTTTTAAAAAGGAAACTTTTTTCTTGCATTTGAATATTACAATATAAAAGAAGGAGTAAATAAATAACAAATAAATAAAGATACGACCTTTTTCCTAAATCGGCGAAGGTCAGTTAGACTGTTAGGCGTATAAAATGCAATAATAATTACAAGAATGTGTACTCCATAAAACACAAACAGTGGCGGTGTCAAAACAATTTTATAAATATTAAATAATAATTAATAAACAAAAATTAATTGAACATTATACAAGTGAATAAAATTATCAAAGTTGAGGTTGTTTTTTAATGGAATCTGCTATGTATTATATACCTAAATCTAAAGGTTTCTTCAGGACCAAGGTTTCTTTTGCCTAATCTAAAATAATTTTAATCTTTCATAGACTATTTAAGTTAATGTAAATAAAATCTTGAACAGTCTGTACTAAGAGGTTATTATTCAGGAACATGAATGTTAAATAATGTTAAAAATTGGGTTGAAAATTATTTTTTGTATTTTAGTTAACTGTTTATATTATCTGGCTAACTGCAAATGGTAAAGGCGTGTTGCCAGTTGTTTCATTATTAAATTTATAAATTAAATTTAAAAAAAATAATAAAAGCGTAATTTTAGATATATTTTTCTTATTAACTGTTACGAACACTCAAATCTACAACCTGCACAGCTCGAACGTTTCCAAACATTTTGAAATCGATCTCCACTTGTCGAATCCGGGAAAAACACCTATATCGACGCATTCAAAATTACCTTTTTAATTACGCAACTTCAGTCGCAATGAATAAACATTCCCAGCCGCCGCCCAGGGTTGGTGCGGAATTAATTATTGCGTGTATATACAACAATTTCGCTCGTATCGTTCGAATTTTTATTGCTTTTTTTTGCAAGCCTTGCGAATAAATTTTTCGTGCTAAAACAACAGCTAAAACGAGAGTCCAATTGATCGTCCCAAACCACATACCGATAAATACAAACAAATACGGGGTGTTAAAATGGTTCCCGGCAAAATCCGTTTTATATGACCATATAGAGTTATTTACAAAACAAGGTTGCCAAAATGTGTCACTTTTGGGATACGTGTGGGATTAATTTAAATGCGTCATTTGGTTTAATTGACGAAGGAATGTACTTTTTAATTATTATTTATTTAATTTATTGGTCTGGTTTGCTGTAAAGTCTGTTTATGGGGTGTTCTACAATTTTAGACATTTTATAGGTGCATTGATCACTTTCCCTCAATCCTTATATTTTCATATTTTTTGACATTTCAAATTCTTGTTCAATTTTTGTTTTGTTGCGTTAATTTACACACTGTAATTTATTTGTAATTTTTAAACACTTTTGTTATTTTTCGATTGTAAAATTCGTGGTTTTCAATATATTGCCGGTACCGTTCTTTATTTTTGAGGTTAAGTAAACTTCTCAAGCTAACTGCATTTTAGATGTCACGTCGTGTTTCCTAAACGCCCTATATATTTCTGACCCGTACTCCGTCTCAGTGCATTTGCTCCACTTTGTTAGTGGAGCAGCGTCGTATTTACAATAGAAAAAAAAATGTATCATTTAGTGCCGGTAATTATTATTACAGGCCGTCGTTAATTTGTATGGTATCCAGGTCGTTATGGTACCGGGTCTGTAATTTAATGCCATGTATATACGGGGGTGGCATAATAAATGCCCGTGGAATGTTTAATATAATTAAAACAAAGATCTGAAAGCCTTGCTTTAAAATGGGTTCGTTTCATTAAATTTTTTCACGCCTTTTCCGAGATATTTCATCGATTTTCAATTTAATAGCATCAATTTCTGAAATATTAATATCGACTGCCATATTTCGTAAATGTGTCTGGGTATTCGGCTACAATATAAGAATATTTAATAAAACCATAGAAACTGTATTAATAAACAACCTGTGACTAAACCACTCTTCACTTATTAAGGGAATTTACTCACCATGCAGTTCAATATGCAGTGCAGCTGCTCCGCGCTGAAAAATATTTCATATTTAATAGTATTGATTATCTTTACCTCTCTAACGTTATCCGTTCTTAACACCACTAGTTCCTGACGCAGATTTGAACCACCCAAGACACAAATTTAATTTGAAATTTACCAAAAAAAAATAACGTTAAAAATGAAGTTTCTCCAGTTTACGCCATAAAATTATCAACATCACAAACAATTCAAATTTTGTGCAGTTTAAGTGAAATGCGAAAAGGTATCGGTATACCATTTTTATAAAAACAAGTGTAGCATAGCATTCGAAGCATATTTAAGCGAACCGATTAGATTGAAATTTTTACGATGATTGACTATGGAAATAAGATATGTAGAGAAAATGAAGTTATTCATTTATTCAAGGAAATATATCTTGAGTCACATCGCACAGTAACACAAAACATCATAGTCAATGAAAAGTAATAAAAATTGGAAATTTGGCACCCATCATTGATTTAGCTTATAAAAATAGTTTTGTTTAGGATTTTATTTTATTATTATTTTATTATTTTTACATATTTACCAGGGGTTTATATTTCAAATTTGGGACACGCTACATAAAATTCAGTTAAATCAAAAAGAGCGCAACTTAAAATATAAAAACATCCAAGCATGTTTCCGAGAAAAAAAATCAACTTTGATTTACTGAAATTATGTCAAGAAATTTGAACTATATAAACAGTTGGAACAGTGAGAAATTGTTATTACACAGTTTTATCCCCCGTTTTATAATAAAATGTCTACAAAAACTATAAAAAATGTTTTTATGATGTGTCGGTAGTAAATTTTGAAGAAGGCTGACAAAAACTATTGTCGCGTGTTGGTTTGGTTCCCTAAATCAGTTGATTTCTTTCTGGCTCACAGCTCACGTAGATTAGGAAATTTCCATTCGCCTCGTAACCAGTTCATATCAACCGGCGCAATCCAATGAGGCCGTATATTGGTAGTTAAGTGGTTCTTCTTAGGGAGGAAGGGAAGATGTGAGGGTACAATCAATCGAAATGTCTGAACAGCCCTGACCAAACATGACAGGGGCGAATTGCAGTCATGAATAGTGATACTGAGTTTCCGATATACAATTTTATAAAAATCCATTTTAAGCTAAATAAACGTCCACAAGACGCACCTCTTGAAGTTTTGGACGGCCTCGTCGTTCCAAATATCTTGCTCGACCACACACGCGCGCCCATCGAAAATCACTTTCCCTTATCCCGTGATCGTTAATATCGACAACCGGTAATTAAAGATGTGTAAATTGTCGGTCGCTTTCACTGGCCGTTTCTCTTCTTTCGTGACGCAAGACTCTCTCTGGTTTCAGATCGTACTATTTCTATTCGTCGGGCTGAGCTGGTGCTCCGAATCAACAAGAAAATCGCCCACCTTAACCACCAGGACGCAACTTAAAGTGTCGAGGAGTTTAAACCCCGACAGTATGCAAACCCTGAATGTACTAACCAAAGACGGCGGCTTAGCTCAGCTCATCGTCAAGCGAAAGGACCGGTCCAAGGCGCAGGACCAAATTCCAGACCCGCCTCAGACGTTCTATACCAACTGGATACCTTTATCATCTATTGATTACCAACCCAAGACTACGAAGTTAGAACCAGTCACTTTGATGCACAACGCTAGCGCCATTAAAGGCAACGTAATAGACAGCGATCGGTAACCTATGGAAGATTACTATTTGAGATCGTATTCCGTACTATATGTTTTCAGCATACCTCACGTGGTACCTAAACCTGTCAACGTACGCTCTTCCGAAGTCTTGCTCAAGAATGTCGAAACCAAAAAACGTTCCCGAGCTGTTCTCGAACACGGCATCCCCGTGGTACATGGTGTCCGAGTGCCCGACGATCCTTCCGACACCAAGACCTGGAGGAATGCGAGAGTCATCAACGGGGAGCTGGTACCTTACGAACAAGGGTACAAACCACCTGCGGCGATTCCATTGGGTGAGCTCGTCTACGCGGCTCAGCTCGAAGAGCAGAGGGACTCGTCCAAGGGAGGAGTGGGACCGTTCACCGTCCAGGATAACTCGTTAGGGGAGGAACAAGGGAGGAACTACGTGAAATTCGGCGGATCCGGAGTGGGGCCATTTACGAAAGCCGATAACGTCGAGTTCCTCGATCGTATTAGAGAAATTAACGAGCGCGAAGCTCTGGTGGACTATAACTCCCCGAAGAAGAGACAAGAGAATACCCACCAGATTCAACGTAGGATGCTTCAGAACCCCGGCCAGGTATTGTACCCCGATTCTCAGATGTACAGTCCGACGAAATTGAGTCCGGTAACGTTCAACGAGGGTGTGAGGACGCCAGTGCTACAGTACGCTCACCCCGAGCTCGGGATTCAACCAGCCAAGGTGGCTCGCGACGATGACGACGGCATTAAAGATTCCTACACGACCTACGGGGGTTTCAATACCGGTCGTCAACAGAGCAACCGATACGACGTCGATGATAACAGCATCAGTTTGTACAAGAAGGACGTCATTAACTACCCGTACAATACGTACTATATTAAACGGAAACCGGAGCAACCGTTCTGGATTAAAATCACCGAGAGCATCAAGGACAACGTGCAGAACAGTTTCGAGAGGATGCAACGCATCACTAGGCCCGTGTTCGAGCCTATTGTGGAAGCGACGCAGAAGATATCCACCAACTTGGGTCTGAGCGGGACGACACAACGTGCTCAGGATAAAATGGGGCTTGTCGCTCCTGCCGGGACGTCAGTCATACTACCAGCTTTAGGTGAGAGCCATGAGGTTTTAGCTGAGATGGAGGTTAACGTGAGGTTGCAGGTTTGGTAGCTGGAGGAGCGGCTCTTGGACTTGGTGCCGCAGCAGTAGGTCGTTACTTTAGCCCGTTGGAGATGAGGGCGTTGCAGGAACTCCACCCCAACAACGACCTGGTGTTTCTCGTCGAAGAGCCCAAAACCAATGAGCACGACGAAAGTAGGAGATTCAGGAGGAGCGTCGATGACGAGGGTACTATGCAAGACTTGGTGATCGGCGAGGATGTATCTAGGGCAGGCCAGTCTTCGACGACGGGGCTCGAGCATCCGGAATTCTGGGCAGACACACCGTGCTCGAAGCGAATCTTTTGCAAGATCATGCTCGGGCAGCATCCGGACGAGGTAGTCGTCATGGAGAAGAAGATGGACACGCTGATGTCGTCGTAAGTTGATTTTGGGCGCAGGCTTTTGTGGGGTTCGGGTCTCTTCGAGGCGGTCATTGACGCAGAGAAGTTTCAGCTCGCTTTCGCTGACCTCGTTAGGCACAAAGGAGAAAAAAATTAACCGTGACTTCTCGGTACCGAGTGTTACTTTCAACGTTGTTCGTTTTTTTGTTCTCTGCTTCCGAGTCACAAGGGCAAGGCAAAATATAGGTTATGTTTTGGCGCTGTGTTAAAAAATTGACGCCGCCCCTAAATATGATAAGATCAGGGGGGGGATTTATATTAGGGTGCTGAAAAATAACGAGGAAAATGGCAAAAAATAAATCAGAAATTTGGTGATGTTTTTTTTTTGGGAAACGGGGTGAGAGAGAAGGTGATAATGATTAATTAACAAACAAAAGAGGTGTTCGGATTTGAACCCAAAACGCGATTTTTATGTTCGTTTTGTTTTTGTTTTTCGTTATCAATAAAATATTGAAATCAATTCAATTTTCTTTCAGTTGTAATCTAATTTTAAAATATAAATTTAAAATTAAAAAGTTGGCGATGTAATTTAACTTTTTTTTGGAAATTAAGGTGACAAAGGCGACCCCAACTTGCAGATGTTACGGCAGATGAAAAATTTGGAGTTTTTCGGATTCTACCTTTATTTCAAAAAAATCGCTTCCATTCAAGAATTTGTGTATTTTGTAATGTAAAAATATCTGCAAAAATATTCAAACATTGGAACTTCACCTAAAAAAGAGAGTTTGTATCTCTGTATCTCTTACCGTTTCCAGAATCTCATACATCGATAAAAACAAAAATCTGGCAGACAGTTAAAAAAAGGTGATTTTTATTTATTTTTTTTTAAATGATGTATCTTTAGAACCGATAATTCGGCGTGAGAAAATGAGAAATTTCTAAGCGGTTTTCTTTTCTCTCTTTACATTTGCCGGTTAAGTGAAAACAACTTTCACTGAAAGTAAACCGCATGGCTCGTCAGACGCAAACGTGCGTCGAAATGTGAGTAGTCGCTCGGACTTGCTTTGTTATAACCAGAGAAAATGGAAAACAATGTTTCCTTATAAAATACTAGTAGTAAACACATTTTATGCGGCAATAAAGTAGGATTACTGCGAAACGCGTCGGATTATAATTTTTATGAAAATGCATAAGGTCGGCCTGCGGAAATTTTAAATGGCTTCCGCTTATACATATATACGGTTTCACCACTAAATTCCGCATCATATGGAAACATGTTTTATTAATAGGTTTTAACAAATGTTGATACTGGGGATAGCATCAAAAATAATAAATAAATCAATTTACGAGTGCAAGTGTTAGCACATTTACCTTTACCTGTTGAAATTTACTTTTTTTGTTTATAAAATATTAAAAAATTAGGTTATTTTGAGAATTATATGGAAGGAAAGTTGTCCCTTTTTCAGTTATATGCAAATGTGCCGATTTTCAAAAAAAAAGGGACACACTTGATTTTATCTCCAACCTAACTTTTCCATCTTCTTAAAATCAGAAAGTACAATAAAATGTTTTGTTATTTTAAATAATTTCCTAAATTACTGAAAGATTTGTCAAAGGTTAGTAAAAAAAAATAATTAAAAGAAGATCTTTTCGTTGTTTCAGTTATATATTTCATTACCTGAGATGTTTAAAGTAGATTTACTTTTGGAAATAATAAATTGAATTCGTTTGTTTCAATTTTCTTTGTCTTGTATGTGAGATATTATTTTCAGTTTGTCTTGCATCGTTAGAATTATATTGTTTAAAAATACATTAATGTATCTCTGTGCCATTTTTCATGTTAAATATCAAACGATACATTATTGAGGAGGACTCAACGTGGGCTTTTTAAAATACAATTTAACGACCTCCACTGCATTTAATTCGAAGAGGAGCGTAATAACACGTTTATCCGAATCGGAAGTTTTCATAAATAATAGAATGGCCCAAAATTAGAAAACTCCATAATAGCTGAAGATATCGGGCACGCTGTTTTTACCATTCAATATTTCCCAGGAATCGAGCGCTTGATACCTAAGTCAATTTTGCTCCAATTACGGCCACCCTCTAGAGTAGTATGAAAAAAGGCGAGAGTCGCTATTACTTTGTTCTGTGGACAAAGCATTAAAGTTTTTGACTTCGCGATAATAACACACAAAAACGAATTTTAAATCAAAGTGGTGGAAAAAATTTTAGTATTTTAAACAGAAGATGGTTCTTTTGCAAGCCGAAACGTTCTTATAATGTTGGATTGATTTTTTAAATTTTGAATTGGTTATTTTGACTTCAATTCGATTATTTTGATTTTAGAAATTCTTAAAGAATTTTACATAGAAAACAATCAAAAATTGCATTTCCGAAGTTTTTAGAACAATATCCGTATGTTTCCTACTCTGAGTTAAAAAAAAATAATAAAAAAGCGAGACAAGCTATTTAAAAAAATTGAATTCGATAAGAAAAACTTCTATTTCGTCGCGGAATAATTTAAAAATATTTTTCCACATTTTTATCGTTACTTTGCTCGAAAAATTCAATTTGCCGCCACGGTGATGATTCTTTTTTTTTTGCTTCGCAGGTTAAATCCCGACGTGGCCAAGTCGGTATCCCATCATCTCCAGGAAGTGATGGACGCAATAAAGCAGCGGGATTGTTACAGGTTCTCGTGTAGCAGAAAATTCCCGTATCCGGCAGTCGCCGCGTAAAACGATAATAAAATAAAACGTGAGGTGGGGCAAAAAAAGGAACGCCGGAACGGCGACGTTTTTCACGGTATATAAAAAACATTAACCGAGTCTGTGACGTTTTGTGTGGTGCTTCGGATCGGGACGATAAGGTGGCTGTTCGGGTGTGCGAACGAGACTCAAAATCGGTACATTTTGAGCGATACTGTGTATATATATATATATATATATATATATATATATATATATATATATATATATATATATATATATATATATATATATATATATATATATATATATATATATATATATATATATATATATATATATATATATATATATATATATTACTATGCCGATTTGTTGTTTTCTTTGCGAGATAGTATTTATTGTATAATAAAGAATTTTCAAAACGGAGAACTTTTTTCGCGAGTTTGAGGCCGAGTTTGAGCGTCGTCGCAAAAAGAAAAATTTTAATTTAATATATTAATTAATTATATAAGATATGCAAAAAAAAATAACACGAGAAGGGATTCGGTATTTTTTATCCAGATTTTTCGTCAGGTGGGCATTGGTATAATAAGAAAGGAAGTTTATGTTTCTTTGGAATCCCATCGGCATTGATTTTAACATTGTTTTATTGTTAACTGCGAAAAGCTGAAGTTATTAAAAAATAATAAACAGACGAGAAACCTCAAACAGATAGTTAAACAGGCCGTAAGCTAAGTATTATGTTTAACTCAGGACTTATAATAATATAGGGTGTCATTGCTTGGAAGATTATATCGATGTAGATTTTTTTTCTCATTTTTATTGAAACTGCTTTAGATATTTTGTTGGAACTTGGTATGAGCCCCCACAAAACATCTTTTTAGGGTGAATAGTTTTTTTTCTTTCATCAGTGGCGTCAGGAGACATTGAATATTTTTATCGAAAAAATTTGCTTTTTTGAAAAAAAAAACAGTGGCGTGGCAGTTTTTTCAAAATAAATATTCAGGATAATGCTTACCCTGACCGGCGAATGTAAAAAAATAATGTTCGCCCAAATAATTGTTTCTTGGATTGTGAACTTCTACCAAACAAATCAAAAGCAGTTTTAATGAAAATGAGGAGAAACCTTTTTTTTAATTTTCGACAGCCTGTATATCGAAGCTATTGCGGACCAAAACTGATATTAACTTTTTTTTCCTTAAAATCATCCAAGGAATCACATCGTTGAGGATAAGATTACCTACCAATATACCACATAGTTACAAATGATTGGTAAAGAATGACACAAATATTTTAGCGATGACAACTCCATTTTTACGTCTACAACACAATCATTTCGTATATTGCAGAAAATGGCCTCTACATAGAGCTCAATCGAGGTTCCAAATGTCAACACAATCTCAACGGATGGTCATTGACCCGGAAATCGTGATTTAGGGGTGGGCGGGGCACGGGGCAAAATTAAACAATTTTTTTTTTCTTTTATTTTTCCAATAATTAGAATTTTTATTTAAGCTTAGCCACAATTTGTGTAAATTTGGTTAAAGTTAGTCAAAAATAAATCGACTTGGTTATAAGCAACAAAAAATAATAAAAAGTTTAAATGGGACGCCTTCCTCCCCTATATCTCAAATCTATTAGGTCAAAACTTTGTTGGCATTGCAGTGATCGTAATTATGCGCGTTTAGTATTCTTTAGACAATATATATCGTCCTGGATGAGGATCATATTTAGCAAAATAAAAACAACTGCATGGTACTTTTATTACTCAAATTTTCCCATAATGAGGATTATTTTATTCTGACACAAGATTCAGTTCTGCGAGATTTACATACAATAAAGCTAATCCTCGCAATTTATTTACAACAGCCTACTGGTGCGCCGCAACAACATATTCATCTAGATCAACCATAACGTTAACTTGCGTCCGCGTAGCCGCATTTGAAGCGGCTGCAACTGCCCCCAGAGGAGCCCACCGTAGCGGCCTGGTCAACTTCCCTGATAACGTAATCGTAGTTAACGTCAGGGTCGAGGGCAAACATTTTCGCGGCTTTCAAGAGCAAATCGCCCGCGTTCACGTACTTCCTCGCTTGCTGGGGCTGCTGACACGCCACGTTCTGTAAACATCCGTTGTTGCCCGGCGAACCTGCAAATAGCCGTTACAAGAATTTCGCAAGCTTCGAGTTTAACATTTATGGCTTTTATGACTTTATGACATTTCAAACGCAGACACTTAAGACAATTGCTCTTAATTTGTTTAACAATAATCACGAACGGGAGATTCGATTAGTTGATTAATGCACTGAAGTTTCATTTTTAAAATTGTTACTAATTAGAATTTCCGTTGTTTGTTTATTGTACTGCAACGCGTAAAAATATTAGATTTTAGATTCTCCATAAGTTTCGATGCGGGATTTTTACGGCAGTATATTCGCAAAATATGGAGTTAAGTGTGTGGATATCGCTGTTTAGAAAGTGCAGGTTAGTGGTGAAATGTACATGGCATGCTCTATGAAACTAGTAGGGCCGCGATAATGTCTAATAGCTAGAATTTATGTTGGGCCGGCATTTCACCTTTTCCTCTTTGGGGATAACCTCATTATCGCTTACCCGTGAGGTAACTCAAAAACAAGAGCACTTCTTCGTCGGTCAATAGCTTTTCGTCGCCGTCGATGCTCCTAGCCCAGTCTCCTTTGTTGTAGTCCTTGAAGTGTCCCGCCCCTAATGAGGCGGCAGCGAAGATCAACGCTTTCAAAAGAAACAGCACCAGGAGGTTCGTGAGGTTCAGCGATATGACCTGGGAACCTCCGGCGCCCGTAGTACCGTAGCCTCGCGACATTAAGTTGCTCGCAATTGAGGAGAGCACATCTTTGGCGTTTAAACTTCTGAAAAAGCGCTAGTAAGCTTATAAAGACAAGTCACTGGGTTTCACACAAAATTATATGAGGTAAGGGTGAGTTCATTCGACTAATCAATGTAAATCAGCGTATTAGGTAACGGTCCCTTAATAATTTAAAAAACAATTCACTTTGCAAATAACAAAAACCGAAATTGAAATGTGTTCTTTGGTCAAACGCGGTTTGGAATGCATCGCTGTCCAGATCACTTCGCTGGACAATGAAATAGGTGATTAACATTTTTGATTGGTTATCTGTAATCAGCAATCGTGTGTTTACATATTAATGTTAATATTAAAGGCTCGTCGGGTCTCTTAGCTGCAAACCTTTCGTACTCACCTCGCGTTCTCGTCGTATTCTTCACCGGTAGGACCCGCGAAGCAGCACAGGGCGAAGTGAAGAAGCAGCCACGATATGAGGGAAGAGCGCATCTTTGAAATGAGGCGAGTGTACACGGAAAATGTCGTTTATATAAACTGCTGCTCGTAAATTATTTAACTATTAAGACAGATGCGTCGCATTGTCTTATCGGTTGTATTGTTTCTGCTCCACATGGCCGGAAAAAAAGCGCGCAATACTTTTTGAATGGGGAAAACGCGGCGATGTTACTTTCTCGGCGATTTATAGCAAGCTTATTAGAAAAAACATTATCCAAACCGTCGTCGGTTATATCACCCGACAGCTGCAATGTAGTGTAGTTATTACACAGGGCAACAGATATTTTGGTAAAATATTTTTCGCAGACGGAGAAAGTCGATTTGGAATCCAACCATCTGTAGACCGAGCATGCAAAATAGTTATTCTTTTACCTCTTTTTGTTCTAAATCCAAATCTAAAACCCATGTGTTGAATACACTTCCATAAGGTAGTTCTGCCACATTTAACACCGGTTTCATCTATTTCAAGCCTCCTAATTAAGATATCTAATGTAGGCATGCTTTGTTCCTCGTATAACTGGTAAATTTTACGCCGTATTATATCTTGATCACTTTCATCTACACTCGAGAAAATGTCAGCACCGCTTCTTTTTTTCATCGCTGAAATGGGATTATTCACAATTTTCCATACAGTTGATGCTGGAATTTTCGCCAATGTGGCCGTTTCTTCTAAAGATGCTTGCTTGCTGGCACCACGTTCAATGAGAGTGTTTTCTACACTTAAGCGGGAGCATCTACTGGGATCACTAGATTCGCATATATTTTGCAAAATTCGCACACGATTCAACACATGCTCTATTACACACGAAATAAGAATGATTACTAATAAACTTAAACTAAGTAGTATACCAAACCAAAGAATATTAAACACGGATAGGTATAAAACTATTTTTTATTACGGACGACAATTTTACCTGAATTTAAATTCCGAAACTTTAGGTAATAATCTTGTTGCATTGTATGTTAATGACCACCCTTGGATAATCCCATTCAAAAGCAATTGGTCACTTTCTTATATCTATGAACACTTTTTGAGTGCAGTTGTACGTATTTTACGTTACAACTCTTATATTACTGCCAGTTAAAAGCATAAAAACACATTAATTTAAGTATTTAAACCCAAAATTATATTTGCATACATTTGTCACTTATCATTAAAAATTTTTCTTTAATAATACTTTCTATCATGTAGCTATCCCATCGTCCTTGATTACCATCTTCCATATTTTCAATGTCCTGGTGGAATATTTTCTGTTCTTCACGTAATCACCTAATTTTTCTGGCAAGCGATCTACGTAGCTGTCTGGGTAGTAATTTCAAATTTTGAAAGCATATCTCGACTAATTCCCTGCTTTATGATTACAAAGAAGATTTTATTCTACTTGATCAAATGAACAAAAAGCGTTAGATTCACCGTCGTTCATTGATGTGGTGAATTGTCTTGAATCTTGAATAAGTTGCCTTATTTGAGAACCGTCAAATATATCAGCTTTTAGTTTTTTCCTGCCGATCCCAGGAAATTTAGGTGACAAGTACCTAAAATAATTTCCATCTTGATTTAAAGCCTTCACAAATTGCTTTATCGGCTCCAATCAAAGTTTTTTTTCCTTTGGTATTGAAAATAAATTTTTGTTAAGCTAGTGCCATTGTTTCCTTATCCTCCTTAATGACTACCAGGAATTGAGCCATATTTGTTATCATATGTAAAAGAACACATTTTTAACTACGTTTTGAACTATCAATAAAAAAGCCCCAATCACCAAGTGTATTCCAGCAAACCCATTTTTTCAAAGAACCTTTATGTTTTTTCGAGAAATGGTAGCATATCCTTATCTCCTTTACGAAACAATGTGATATTAGTACTTGGATAAAGCAGATTATTTTCTTTTAATCTGGATGCATGTAATTCAGCACACTCCTTTGAGAGAGTCGCGTCTCTCATAAAATCGTTCAGTTCTTCTTGATTCAAACACTACGGAGTTTTAAATCTCCTGCAAATTCGTTGTCCTTCTCTGATTTGAATTTTGTCAGAGGTTGATTTTTCTGTGTCATCTTCCGTAAGTTCAGGAAAACTGGTGAAGAATGGAACAGTAATTTCTTACAGGAAGATTGGCACCATACTTTTTTTAATTTTGCCCTTTATAGGGCATTATGATATCAATTAACATGTCTCTCAAAAAGTAGAGCTAATAGAAAAAATATGGCACCATTTTTGGAATCAGTAAATTTTTGCTATTATTTTTTACCCTGTGTTATCTTTCTAAAGAAATAATTATACAGGAAAAAATAAATATATAAATACTAATCTAAACTTAATTCAACGAAGCTAAATTGTTGAAGAAAATGAAATGGGGCATCTACACAGTACCATTTTATTAAAAAAATTTGATCATCCATCAACAGTTTCAAAGGACCATACTGACATTAGGTTGTTGTCCTGATTGACTTCTCCTCCTACCCTCGACGTATTCCGCATAACTCAAATAACCATCACCGTCCTCGTCGTCTTCTCCGAGTACCTGGTCCACCATCTCTGTATCAAATCAAGAAAGTACTCCAACTTGATGCAGGGTTAATTTTTTACCCACCAACGAAAGCGTTCAATTCCTCAGACCTCACGCCGACTGCATCGTGGTCAGTATGGAGAATGGCCTGGAGCAGCTCGAGCCCATCCAGTTTGGAATTCTTGTCGCTGTCATGGAGAAGAAAGTAATACAGCTCCAGTTCCTCCGGCGTCATCTTTGATACGTCCGGTTTAAGCTCTGCTTCTTCTAAGTGTTCCTGTAACATAGTTGGAAATTTTCCGCAGATGGTAAGGACGTTTTTGGCTAACCAGGGTGTGCTCAGCGTCGTGGAGGAGTCCGGCATCTTGGGTGAACTTTTCGGCGGTCCTGCTGGGTTTATAGTGGGTGTGCCTTTTGACGATGGGTTCGCCGCGTGGATGGTGGGGACCCCTACCGCTCGCTAGCGCTACGATGGTTATCAACACAGTCAACGAAGCGATTTGACTCATTGTTAAGGGTTTAGTAAGCGGTTCATCTCGGAAGTTATCTATAATGGCAAAAAAATAGAACATCTTCCGGCACACGTTATAATGGACCAAATATTGTGGCAAAATACGAAGTCTCCAAAAAGTTGCACTTTTGTGATATGTGGGGTTTATAATGATTATGTAGGACTTTTTTTTAATTTTGTCTTGAATTGCTTTCAACATTTCTCAACTTTTTTATTATTTTTAAAATTTTACGATATACTGGGTGAGGCAGAAAAAAATACTTGCTATTGAGAATATTGAACATGAAAAACAGAAAGGGGGATTTGGATTGAGATCCAAATATGGTTTGAGCAAGATAGAGCTCTTCCGGATTACCATCGAGAAGATCGAGAATCTTTAAAAAATGGAAATTACCCACACAAATGTGAGAACAAGCAGATTTCTTTTTGTGGGGATATGTTAGAGATCTGTTTATGCTAAGGAAAGTCCAAGAAAAATTAAGAAAAAAATAAACATGTGTGTCGAAAATTAGCACAAGATAAATTAATTCGTAGTAACAGGTATTTAATATTATTTACTTTTTCTGTGAATTAAAAATTTCGTTGTTTTTGTCACCAAAATTGCTAATAACTGTCTGCGCTTTATCTAGAGCTACAACAAAGTTCTTTCTCCTGTTCATTTTTTAGTCTGTTGGATGATAGTTTTGCCATGGCTAACTAATATTGCAGTGTTAGACAGAAGAAGAACATTAGAAAAGTTAAAATAAATCGAAAATCTTTCAGAAAAAATGTATATGGTGTGCCATTTAAGAAAATCGATATTTTTACATTTATAATGTTCCAAATATATTCGTTTAATTTGAACACGTTATATGAATATAAAATACAATTGGCGGTATCGTAAAGTGTAAAAACTAGAATTTTTTTTAGAAAAATTTAAATATTGAAAAACTTATTAGGGTTTATTATTTACTATTGGGAATTTAAAACAAAATTAAAATTTTTTTTTGAGCCACATTAAAATAATTTTAAATTATTAAATCAATATTATTCTAAATTATCCCGATTTTGATAAAACAGTAAAATTATATATATTTTTTTTATAAGGGTGGATCAAAGACGGTTCCTTGAGTCATACCGCTCACACAATCGGTTTGGTCTTTTCGTAGGCTTTTCGCGCATTCGGGGAGAATTAAGCGGGAATAATGTAACAGGTGTTACAAAAGAGGATTTGGGGGCGCTTTTGAATTCGACCAGGCCTTTGGGGGGGGTGAAGCTTTTAAGATCACTTGAGGCCGACACTCTCCGCGCAGCACATATGGAGCAACACGCCCTCTATCTGTAACCAGAGATGTTATCGGACGATAATGACCATCCCCGGGGTTTTTAGGGAACCCCGTTATTAATTTGACAGGACCGGGCCTATACGTCAACTCTTAAGGGTACTGACATATATATGAGGAAATGGAGAAAATTTAAGATTTTAAAATAAAAGTAAAAAAAAGGAAAAAATATCATTATTATTATTATTATTATACAGATTATGAAATTGACTTTGGATTTTCGTGGTTACTAAAACTAACGATAATGACAGTTCTGACTGATTAAAAGAAAGAGGCGGGAAGTGCGCAAGAGCTACGCCAATGTATATTAACGAATCCCTCAGCTGAATTTGAATACGGGCTTCAAACGTAATTTATGTTATTTTATGTTTATTTGCCAGGTAACACAGCAAAGAATAACATTGAACAAAATCAATATTCCTATGACTTTGTATTCTGTTTTATAAGGCCACCCATTAAAGCCTTTTTGTAGTATCCCTATTTGCTATTTTTGTTTAAAAATCAAATAAAAAATCTCCATAAAAAAAAAATCCGTTAAAATTACACGAAATACGGTCCTGGCACTGTCGGAACCCCTTCATTAGCCCATCATTACAACTCTCGATACAATGCCGCTGTCAACACTTACATTTCAATTCAATTCAATAAAAGTCCACACTGTGTAACAGTGCCTTGTCGTGCCGACGGGGTGCGACCCTCCTATCCGCACCCCCGGCAAGCCTATCTATATGCAACGTTCATGAATACCCGGGGAATTGTGATTTCTATTACTATGTTTATTTGATTACGGTCGTTCAAAAGTACCCCCGCATATAAGACGGAGTTTTTTATTTTTCGAGATCCCTGGGATGAGGTCGTCGACATCTTTCACATCCATTTATAAAATACATACACGCAACTTAAATAACATTTTTTATTACCAAATCTACCATTGCGTCGTAATTATGATACATGTATATAAGTCCTAAGAAAGTATATTATTCTAATTAAAATGCTGAAACGTACCGTTTGTCATTCATTGTATGATTTTTAGAGAAATATCTCTTGTAGTTACCCTATTACTTCTAGTTTGGTTGTATAAGTTCTCTTTATTTTAAAAACTTCGATGGAATTATGAAGCACATGCCTGTTTCATTATAATTTGAATACTAGGAAAGCGGTTTTCCTGATAAGTTAGTAAACTTGGATGAAGAACTTGTTTTTGTCAAGGGCGGAATAGCGAAAAAATTAAAATGCCGTACAAAGCGTTATCGATAATAATTTCTACGTTGTTTACTGAATAAAATGCACGGATTCGTTGTCCGATTTTTCAGACCCTAGTTTCACATAATTGCTATGTCCTGACGCTGGTTTCATTAATGTAAACCCTTCCATAACCTCAATCCCTCATTTACGAGGAGTTTTTCATATTCAGCTAGCGAACGCTGGAAAATTTTCATTTCGCAACGTACATGCAGATCAGTTCTCTATTCGCTAATCATCTACAAGCAAACAACAGAAAATAAGTCATACCGCCGTTTAAAGGTTATCCAGGCGCGACTGGAACAACGAGCAAACGAATCCACCTTTCACGACGATCTGTCTTTCTCTTATCCCCGCATTTGGGTAGAAACGAACAACTGGTCGGATCACATCCGAAGAGTTGACAATCGCGGGAGGTTTTGAACCGAAAATCGATACGCGTATGGTTGAAACTTGGATTTATGTTGCGTCGAAAAATTAATAGGTTTTATTTTTAAACTATTGGTACGCAGCAGACCGAGTCATAAGGACCCGTCGTAGGTACTGTCCATTTTTCGTCTCTTGTAGCTAGAGACACACGCATTCGGAACGGGGAATATCCCAAAGGAGACGAGAGGCCTAGAGGTACGTGTTGGCATTTGAGAGAGAGCCTTCACTGCCTCCACGGCTGCTCTCATGGCGTATCGCGCGTTTCCATGGAAACCGTACATCGCTGAAGGCTCTCGCGTATTGATCATCGGTGGGCGACAGTGGCGTGCATCGGCAGAAACGTATGCGTTTACGAGAAACTCCGCCGACCTTAAAACTCTTTGACTATTAGACGAATTACCGCATCGAATATATTATCTGGTTGGGGCTTCGTGGCCGGTGATTTGTTTCAATGTCGTTTGTCGCGGCAAGTTCGTAAAATGAAAATTAAAAGAAAAATCCAAGAAAAGCTTTGTGCCAAGTGAAGCAATGGACACAAATGGACACAAATAAATTTAAAGAAAATTATTTGGTTATCAGATTCTACCATGTTTTCGGGATATAAAACTGCTTGCGATAGGGGGCCGTCGTGACGCCGCTGGCGAATTGAACGCCGCATTTTGCACAGTTTCAATCCGCTTTATTTCTTCTCGATGTCAGCGCGGTACGTTCAAACCCCTCCCGCGTCTGGCTGCGGCAAAAAAAATAATTTTGCCTTCTCTACGAGCAAATGATATACACACATTGTCGTCGTGTCATTTCCCGTTTTCTCTTCTCTGCATTGCCCGCAGCCATAGAGACGCAACGTTCCAGAAACATTCAGAAATATCCAGCTATACACAATAAACCCCATGTAAACTGAAATGAGTAAAATTGGGAGATTCTTATCTTTCTCCGTCTTATTTATATAAATGGGAGAATGGAGAGTTCTAGTTATTTGATTATTTTACTTGCTTAAAGCATTTGCATTTGGTGGAACAAATAATCTAACTTCTTAAAAAACATCCGAAGAAAGCTCTTCTAACATTTAAATTTATTTTAATTTATTAAAATATTATTTGTATAAAAATTTATTTAAATATATTGATCGTATTTAAAAAAAAGAATTAAAATATACGCATACCTAAATATAAAGTAAAATAAAGTAACACTTATTTCAGCAATTAGATAATATATTTAAAAAGATATCAAATGCACAATGAATGTGTGGCTGCATTTCATTTCTGCAGATTACTATTAACTGGTATAAAAATAAATAAAAAAAAAACTTGTATTAAAATTCAAAAATTTGGCTGCTTCAGAAAATCAATATTGCTGCATTTGATCGAAAAAAAGGGGCCCATTACAATCTAGGAAATGCAAACCAATCACTGTCAAAATGGCTAAAACAAACAACAACAAAGAGAAAATCGGCAAAACATTTTCTGTACCCCAATGTTTAGACGGAATTCTTAAGAGGAAGAGGAAAATAACGTTAATTTGAATTTTGACAGTAAGTTGTGCACTATCTTTTAATTAACGTTATATTTACATACATAGTAGAGGACTGTTAGAGAACCCACGCGCTTGACAAGAATTAGACCTGCATTTGCATATAATAAGTGGATTTTATCTGATATTTGGGCCATCGGAACACACTGGGCGAGGTCTTTTAGAAGCTCGAGGGAGTGGCTTAGCTGGAAGAAATAAATAAATAAAAATCGGAAACAATTTCTTGCCGGCGGCCTTTTCCAGTTCTTAATATCTTTGATTTTCTTTTTTTTTTGTTAGTTTGTAACACAATATTCGAATTACGCTGTTAATTAATTGGCATACTAAACTTTTGTCAAAATTTCGTCACTCCGAAAATTCCCAGTCGGTTTGCATTTATCGATATTTTCGCAGCAGAAACCGATGAAAACCAAGATAATTTTCACATTTTATCACTGAGTATTGAAAAACTAACACCGACGAGCGAGAAAACAAAAAAAAAAACAGGTTGACACCGAGCATTCAAAAGATAATTGACAGCATGCAGGGGAGTGCTTTTTCACCGCCCAGTTTAAATAAAAGTGAAACCGTATTCATTTGAAATTTTTCGCTGGCTTGTGCAGGGTAGTCTACTTGTCCACAGTATTCAAAATTCAAAAATTTGGCTGCTTCAGAAAATCAATATTGCTGCATTTGATCGAAAAAAAGGGGCCCATTACAATCTAGGAAAAGCAAACCAATCACTGACAAAATGGCTAAAACAAACAACAACAAAGAGAAAATCGGCAAAACATTTTCTGTACCCCAATGTTTAGACGGAATTCTTAAGAGGAAGAGGAAAGTAACGTTAATTTCAATTTTGACAGTAAGTTGTGAACTATCTTTTAATTAACGTTATATTTACATACATAGTAGAGGACTGTTCGAGAACCCACGCGCTTGACAAGAATTAGACCTGCATTTGCATATAATAAGTGGATTTTATCTGATATTTGGGCCATCGGAACACACTGGGCGAGGTCTTTTAGAAGCTCGAGGGAGTGGCTTAGCTGGAAGAAATAAATAAAAATCGGAAACAATTTCTTGCCGGCGGCCTTTTCCAGTTCTTAATATCTTTGATTTTCTTTTTTTTTTGTTAGTTTGTCACACAATATTCGAATTACGCTGTTAATTAATTGGCATACTAAACTTTTGTCAAAATTTCGTCACTCCGAAAATTCCCAGTCGGTTTGCATTTATCGATATTTTCGCATCGGAAACCGATGAAAACCAAGATAATTTTCACATTTTATCACTGAGTATTGAAAAACTAACACCGACGAGCGAGAAAACAAAAAAAAACACGTTGACACCGCGCATTCAAAAGATAATTGACAGCATGCAGGGGAGTGCTTTTTCACCGCCCAGTTTAAATAAAAGTGAAACCGTATTCATTTGAAATTTTTCGCTGGCTTGTACAGAATAGTCTACTTGTCCACAGTATTCCTTATCTAACATAACCTAATATATATCACTGAGGTATTTTATTGCAAAAACTGTGGATATTTTCCGGTATTTCGAGGTATTTTCCTTGCGCATATTTCAAAAATTTGAATTTTGCGAGCAAAAAAGATTTTTTTTATATTATTTTAAGTGATTTTTTTTAGATACGGTATTTCCTTAATAATTTGTTCGTGCGTATTTGTTCAAAGACTAAAATTTTTATTTTTTCGAAGAAGATCCAAACCAAATACCTTTGGAAAGGTATTTTAAAATTCTTTTCAATTACTGAGAAATGTACAGGGTGTCACGTATAAAAAATCGATTTTTCTATTGATAACAATTAAATTATTGGTGTTGCGAACACTATACTGGTATAATTGAACCAAAAAGCCACAATATATCAATATAAAGACCGATATATTGTGAACGATATCAATGAACGATGATTCCTAGATTAAAAAAAAATATTTGAATTAAGCATTATAACAGTTTCAGTGATTCAAGGTATTTTTCACATGTATTAAATGAATGGATTTTCAATGTAGTTTTTCTGAATTATTAATACGAATGTCTCTGATAAGAATGGACAGTATAAAAGATAGAAGCATGATTAAAGGGGCAATGTTTTGGATGATGGTTCAAAATTGTTTTAAAACTCATTTGTTATTTCGGTTTCATCTGTTTATTCAAAGTTTTGTAAATTCACATGCTATTTATTTAACTTTGCTCGAAAATGGCCAACAATGTACTGCGGGTCCTAGGTAGATAGCAAATGGCGACAAACCGAAGAAGTGGAGCGTTTAGATGGCGGGGAATAATATCTTCCTTATATCAAGAACTGCTATACATTGTTTTAATAAACGTGCTCGTATATTTGATGATAGAATGCACATTTTAATTTTTTAAATTCATTTAAAGCATATAGTCATTGAAGTAATAATTAAAATTCCGTTATTCGTTATTTAATGCTCAAAATGTTCATTATCAAATATAGTATCGATAGCCTTAAAATAATATAATAATAATACTAATTTATTAAACCGATTTTTTAAATTGTTGCTGCCAATTTTGTACAGCAAAATTTATAGGGATTTTTTAACAATGCTTATTTTCGAAAAACACATTCTGACTCTGAAACGCTGTTCAACATTATGTTTTTTATGAAAATGGAACCTCCTTGACCACGGGAAGTTTCGAATTTGAGCCACCCTGTATATATTACGGGAGATGGTCCTCCCTCTCAAACACGTCCTCTAAAACTAAAATAAAGAAAAGTAAATTTTCCAACAAATCGCGACCAACCTAAATATCGAATTTTGCCCGAACTTTTCCTGAATTTTCGTGAGCAGAAATCGACCCCGAAGCCGCCTTGTCGCCGCGAGCGTTTCGGAAAGCAATCTTTCCCAGTATTATTCGGGGACTCTTCATTTAAGTTGGCCGCGGGCTATTCGCGCTTTTCGTGCGGAAAATTAAAGATAACGTCGGATAGGCTCTTCACTTTCGACCCGCCCCCCGTAAACGCGCTAATTTTTCCGGAAAACATCAACTCCAAACTGCTATTTTAATGAGTTTGATGACGTTAGATGAAGTTAAACGAACTTGAAATAAGAGATCAATGTCGGTGTCAATATACCTGATGCATTGTCGAAAATCTGTAGCTCGCGACTTTTTTCGAGCAAGCAGCGATTTAAAAAACAATGAAAATGGTGTTTTCCATAGACTCCCGTCTGTAAAATACCTAATTACCCACCGATCTAGCGTGCGGGAAGCGTCACACGTCAGTTTCGTTTCCCACGAATCCGAGCCAATAATACATCGCTCTCTGTCTAACGTACACAGTTAAAAAGAGACAAGAAAAGCAGAACCGATCGGAACCATAAACGAATAGGTGTAATGGCAACTGCTAAATATTTTGTTTGAATGGTACGAAATTCAGTGACGGTC